GGGCAAATCTCCTTTGGCATTCGGGAGTCCTCATCTGACTCTATATTATCCTTGTTTACCGCGTATCCGTTGGTATCTGCCTTTCAAGGCCAGTATTCTTGCACCGAGAATATTGTAGCTTGGCATTGGCTGTGGAAGTCTTTGGCATATAAAGTGGTTTCGTACTGAGCCTGATACTGGTTGATTTTCTCTGAAATCAAGTTGGTGAGGCAGTCAACAATCAAGAGGTACCTTATTTCTTAACTTCTTGATAATAGTTTTTGTTTGCCTATATATCAAATTCATGACTAAAGTAACAACTTTCTTGTTCTATAAAAATGTTTACTTGTCATTTAATCTTTCGGCATGTTGAAGGTTTAGTTATGGTTTCCTTCAGCTTTTGTATCCGAATTAGCAAATGTATCATATTGTAAGATATACTGTGTACTTCAAGTCTTTAAATTCTTGGCTCTCAGGACCAGCTGTTGGTGGCTGAGCTGGATCTGGTCATTAAGCGGCTTAGTGAGATAATTGAGGCACCTATAGCCTTAGGATTTATTTCTCTCCAGAACAAAAACAAAAAGCAAGTTGATCCAATGGGGTATTTGAAGAAGTCAAATCATACAGGGGTCGACTAGTAAGCCTGTCATTAATTATGTTTCAGGTCAGATCGTTTTTTTCGTTTGAACAATTTCCCCCCCTTTAGTAGCTTTCTGACATGATCCACCCTGTTGTTAGGCAAAACAAGCTCAAATTTGAAATGAAACAGTGAGCTGTTGTCTGATAATTCTGCATTAATGAAATTTAGTTCTACTGCTTTTGATATCATTGCAATCATGATGCACTCTTAATTCTTCATTGGTTGATTGAAGCATGAGGTTTACTATTGTAGGTGATGGACATGCTTCCAAGTGACTCCGATTGGGAGAGTTCGAGCGACAGCGGCAGCAGCAGTGAGGACATGGAGGAACTTGAGTTTGCGTACGGTGGACAAGCCTGTAGCATTCTGGCCTGCCTAGACGAGAGCATAGGGAAGATTGATGATTTCCTCTCATTCGAACGTGGCTTTGTCCGTGGTGACATCGTCAGCTCTGTAACTGATCAATCTGGACAAACAGGCAGAGTTGTGAATGTCACAATGTCGGTCGATCTGGAAAGTCTCCATGGAAGAGTCATAAAGAACATAGATTCCAAGAAGCTCTCAAAAATACGGTCCACTTCGGTGGGAGACTACGTGATTCAAGGACCATGGATTGGAAGAGTTGACAAAGTGGTTGACAGCATCACAGTTCTGCTCGATGATGGAATGAGCTGTGAGATAGATGCAACAGACCAAGAAAAGCTGGTCCCACTTCCTCCAAACTTACTCGAAGACCCATTGTATCCCTATTATCCGGGTCAGCGAGTACAAGTTTGGCTCCCCATTGCTGCTTCTCGGTCAACTCAATGGCTGTGCAACGTATGGAAGGAGAATCAAGGCATAGGGACCATCTCTGCTGTAAAAGCAGGCACCGTGTATGTCGAATGGCTTGCTTGTGCGCTTGTTGGTTGTGATGAAGTTAGCCCTCAGACACTCCCTCCATCTGTACAACATGCGAATGACTTGATCTTGTTGCCGATATTTCTGTCTGAGAACTGGCAGCTTGGTGACTGGTGCAGAGTTCCTGCAATTGACACAAAGGAAATATTTGCTATTGGGAAAACGAAGACTACAGTTGATGTTGCATGGCAGGATGGTACGAGCTCGTTTGGTTTGTATTCACAGTCTCTACTCCCAGTGAATGTTGTCAATGCTCATGAATTCTGGCCTGGGCAGTTTGTTCTCGAGAAGAGTGCAAATGATGACGAACAGCCTGGTTCTGGTGGCCAAAAATGGGGTGTTGTTAATGCTGTGGATGCAAAAGAACATACAGTCAAGGTCAAGTGGAAATCTTTTGTGGAAACGAGTGATGCAGGGAGTGATTTGGTGGAAGAAGTTGTAAGTGCATATGAATTAGCTGAACATCCAGATTACTCTTACTGCTACGGAGAGATTGTGTTTAGAGCTCAGGTTGATGATCATCCTTCTGAAGATTACACATCATGCATTGGTTTCGTATCGGGTTTTAAAGATGATGGCATTGAAGTGACTTTTGCTTCTGGCGTTGAAACCACTGTATGATCTCTTATCCATTTTTTTTCTTTTGTGTACTATTCTCATAGCATTCATGTTACGATGGAAGATCTCGTTCTTACCATCCTTTTCTTTGTTTACTACTGTTTATATGACTATCTGTTTCTCTAATCCACTATACATAATGTTTTGTTTCGCATGACACAGGTTGCACCAAATGACATTTTTCGGGTTGAGAAACATGAGGGTTCTACTATGACTCCCCTGCAAGACCATACTGCCGAGGAACTGAACCCAGTGGCAGTTGACCATGGCAAACAAATTGTCAACCATGTTGTAAGGCTCCTTTGTGATCTCTCTCTCTCTCACACACTGTCTTTTCCCCCCCATCTATACACATGTACACAGAAGCTTCAGGTGAACTGTAAATGGTGCTTTCTTGTCAGTGACTGTGAATACTAAAACAACGAGCTTTTGCTGTCAATATGTTTTTTTCATTTTCCCTTCCTTTTCAATTTCTTTTTGGTTTCTGAACATGTTGGAAGTACATATATTCTAAGAACTATCACTAAACCACTGCTCTATTATCAGGATTCACCAGATTCCAACAGGATGGGAGAGGATAGCAATAGCCATCCGTGGGAGTCTAGTTCTTCGTCTTTTCTTCATCCGTCCCCTTTTGGAATCTTCACAAGCATAGCAGCAAGGATATTCGGTTCTTTCGGTTCATCATCAATGTCTAATCCTTGCTGTGTTGCTGAAGATGCAGATCAACTCGAGCCATTTGAAAAGGAACGAGTACCTGAAACTTGTTCTGGTCTCTCAACTGACATGAAACCTTTGGCAGCAGTTGAGATGCAGAGATTCGAAATGACTTGCCCAGGACTGGAAGTTGTCGAAGATGACAAGAACCAAGGATTTAAAAACTCATCTGCCACACAGGGTGGAGAATTGTTCAGGAAATTTGATATGGTGAATGATTGCTCTGACCATCACTTTGTTGATGGTGCAGGCAAAGAAATGACGATGTCTCAGGTAAGAAGACACTTTCTTGTCAGTAGATTGTAAGTACGTGTGTGTCAAACAAAGTTGCGTTCTAACAAGTAAGCACATCTTCATAGCTTGATGTTTGACATCCCCCCACTACTTTTTCCAGGTCAAAAGAAGTTGGTTGAAGAGGGTACAGCAGGAATGGAGTGATCTAGCAGAAAATCTTCCTGGTTAGCACTCTTACATCTTATGTCCACCTGTTTCAACGTAGTTTTAGTTCGTTGTCACTCACTCAGGTCTTTTGACAACCTAAACAGAATCCATTTATGTCCGGATCTATGAGGAGAAGATAAATCTCATTCGAGCAGCCATTGTTGGAGCACCCGGAACTCCATACCACAATGGCCTTTTCTTCTTCGACATATATCTCCCTGCTCAGTATCCCCATGAACCACCCGTAAGTGGAAGCTTCACCATTCTTGCTGCATTTTTTGTCTGTTCATATTTTGATAAGTGACTGAAGAACGTTGTGTTTACTACAAATTTCGATGCAGCTGGTGCACTATCGTTCTGGTGGGCTCCGCCTCAACCCCAATCTGTACGAATCAGGAAACGTCTGCCTCAGTCTCCTAAACACATGGACAGGCACAGGCACTGAAGTCTGGAATCCAGAGAGCTCCAGTGTTCTTCAAGTTCTTCTCTCCCTCCAGGCCCTTGTCCTCAACGAAAAACCTTACTTCAACGAAGCTGGCTATGATAAGCAGATCGGTAAAGCCGAGGGAGAGAAGAACTCTATAAGCTACAACGAGAATGCCTTCCTCGTTACCTGGAAGTCCATGCTTTACTTGCTTCGCAAACCACCAAAGGTAAAAGAAAGGCCTTTATCATGTCTGCAAACTATGCATCAATTTCTTATACCATAGATACAAGAAATCAGTAGACTAACTTAAGGTCGTCGGCCTATCTCAAATGGCAGCATTTCGAGGCACTAGTCGAGGAGCACATCAAGCAACACTCCCTCGACATTCTGGCGTCCTGCAAGGCTTACCTGGATGGACGAGAACCGTTCTCAGCAGACCGGCAGCTTGGAGAGCAAGGAACTCTAAAGGGTAGCTCTGATGGGTTCAAGATCATGCTTGCTAAGCTCTTCCCGAAGCTCGTCGATGCCTTTTCTGGCAAAGGAATCGATAGCAGCCAGTTCATGGAGCCTGATAAATAAAAAGTCAGTGTCATAAAGACTCTCCATTTACTGTAACAAGTATCAGAAAATCCTAGTGGTAGACTGAGAGTTATGGTTTGTGATGTGTGTATGTTTGGTTTTGTGAGATAAAATTAGAGTGAATAAATGAGGGGCGAACATCCTAGTGGTATGCCCTCCCTGGTGTAATGTAATATATGTTTTAAAATGTATAAATGCAGATTATGTAAAATATGAAGATTTGTAAAATAATTATTATCATAATAAAATAAAAATGAACTGGTTTTGTGTGCTTATTGGATTTGTGGAACTCTAACGATTCATTTCTTTGCGATCCTAATCTTTATTATTGATTAAAGAGATCATACGAGAAATTATAATTATTTGGACTTGTTTGAGAATTTTATAATCGTTATTCAGAGAACATACAAAAGAGTACTCAATACGATTGATATGCGTCCAATTATTTATACGTGTTTGAGAGTTTTGTAATCATTATTCAGAGAACATACAAAAGAGTACTCAATACGATTGATATGCGTCCAATTATTTATACGTGTTTGAGAGTTTTGTAATCATTATTCAGAGAACCATGTCACATGAAAATCCTCAATACAATTGATTATTGCCTTCAATCTATTTTTCACCATAATATCGGTGTTTGTAATGTCTAAATTTTCCTCTATTGTATGCAAAGTAATCAAAAAGTGCAAACATTATGCTATTAAGCCAATAAGAAATTGACACGTTGGGTGGTTCTTCAAGTTAAACCGTTGTTCGCAAATAGCAGAAGTAAAGTACTCGAGAAGGAATGGTTGAATCTGTTTGAAACCAAAATTTCCAACACAAATTACAAGTCTCTCCCGCGCCGCGTCCGTAGAGCTTTTCCTTAACCGCTACGATTCGCCATCTCCGATCGAGCCTCGCGGTATAACTTTCACTAGCCGGACGGCGATTCGCATTTCCCCCGATCTTGGGAAGAGACCGGAGGAGGAGAAAAGAACACAGAAATGGCCGGCCGATTCGGCTTCGGGTCATCTGCACCGGCGAAGATGAGAGTCACCAACACTCCTTCCACGGATCTCGCCCTCACCAACCTCGCTTACTGCTCCGCCACCGATCTCCACAACTTCGCCGTCCCCGGGACCAAGCTGTTCATGGCCTTGATCGCCGACAGAGTCGTTCTCAATCTCTCATATCCTTTCGCACTTCCTCGCTGCTGCTTCATTTCTCTAATTTCTGCTCGTAGATTCGATAATCCGTATCTTCTGCTCAATGAAAATTGATCGGCGATATTGATTTTTCGGTCGAGTGAATTTGGCCCCATCTGATTTTTGGTTGTAGAATGGGAATTTGCTCAGTTGAAGCTATTAGGGAATCGATTTTTCAGCTCCTTCTTCATTTGTGTGCCGATTCTATTCTCTGATGTGTTAATGGTGATGGCATTCTTTGTTGTGTATTGTCGTGGTTTTGTGTTCTTTCAACCTATGTTTGTGGCCTTAACCAAGAATTACGCCCCATCAGAGCATTCAGAGTGAGCATATTGCGCTGAATGCTGTTCAGCGTCGGCATATTCAAGTTTCTTCCGGCGATGAAGTGTCGATCACCAGGTGATTACTGATTACTCCTTTGCATTTTCTCTCTGTGGCGCATTTGGATTTTTTTTTTTTTTTTTTTTTTGTTATTTATTGTTCTTTGGGTATCTTGCTTATAGGTTTATTCCTCCTGAGGACTTCAACCTTGCATTGCTTTCACTTGAGCTGGAATTTGTGAAGAAGGGAGCCACTAGAACTGAACAGGTAAAGCGCATTGGTGCCTATTTTTTCGTTTTAAGCATGGGTAATGGTTGGCAAGTATCCTATTGCTTTATGCAGCTTAATTGGATTAGCATGGGTTCATACTTGTAGGTTGATGCTGCTGTGCTCTCAAATCAGCTTAAGAAAAGATTTATGAACCAGGTAAAGCGCATTGCTCTACTTATTGGATCTTTTGAACTGGATTTTGGCTTGATTCCCATAGTTTTTAGGCACAGTTTATGTTATTGGTGGTATTACTATTGAAACTTGAGGCCTGTGTACTGGAATAGAGTGTAGGTGAACTGAGAAACCCTGTATTGTTTGACGCATTGGCTACCGCTGAGGTACGCTATGCTATATTCGATGACCAGGCTCCTTAGCCTGTTTGTGAGATAGACTGGAGTTAGCATTGAGAACTTTGCGTTGTTGAAGAAACTTGGGTCTGGACTGATTCTTATGAAAAATTCCAGCCATGAACACATGACTGGAACTCTAGTTCCTTTCGAAATGTATTCATGCTTTTGATGACTAAGGACAAAAAACAGGAATTTGAGAAAGCTGTTAAAATTATGGTGCCTGACCTGTTTATATTGGTCAGAGTGTGGAGCACTCGTTGTGTTAGAATAGAAATTTAGTGTTTCATCTAATCTAATGTTGCTTCCTGAAAATGTATTGTTAATTAAGGCCTTTTTTGTTGGGTATAGATTCTACGGATGCATGTGATTTTTCTTTAGATGTAAAGAAAAATGTTCTCTAGTTAATTTCTTGTTCTCTGCAGATTATGACTTCAGGGCAAAGAGTCACATTTGAGTATCATGGGACAAACTACATTTTTACCGTTAATCAAGCCACTGTGGAGGGCCAAGATAAATCTGGGGATGTAGAAAGAGGGATGATAGCTGCTGACACGTACTTCATTTTTGAAGCACCAACTGCTAGTGGCATAAAGGTTAATTTATCATTCTTGGCATAGATATTTTTACTCTCTACTGTTATCTCATATTGTATTAGATGCTGGGTACAATCTCTACCATGTCATGAATAATCCAGACTGTAGAACTTGTCATCAGTATATAAAGGCTGTCATGGTAAAACATTCAGCAGAGCTTGAATGACTAGTTCATTGACGTCACTTGCCTGTTCCGACTTTTTTATTTGTTATTATTGTTATTACCTTTTTTACTTCCTGGAGTTAGCATGGAGAACTTCTTTCTTGATCCCAGGATTTGATGCCTAGGTGAAAATTGATTTCTCTATTGACTTCCATTATGTTTGCAGATCGTTAATCAACGTGAAGCAGCCAGTAGCAATATCTTTAGGCATAAGGAGTTCAATCTGGAGAAACTTGGCATTGGGGGCTTGGGTGCAGAGTTTGCAGATATATTTCGAAGAGCTTTCGCATCTCGTGTTTTTCCACCTCATGTGATAAGCAAGTAATTAATTTTGTTATCAACTTTCTCAAAATGTATTCATTTTTTAGCATATATATTCAATCTTTTGACAAAGGACAATGTCATAATTCAGGTTGGGGATTAAGCATGTGAAAGGCATGCTGCTTTATGGACCTCCTGGTACTGGGAAAACTTTGATGGCTCGTCAGATTGGGAAAATGCTGAACGGAAAGGAACCTAAGGTTTGAAAATTTTCCGAGCCTCATATTTTGTTTCTTTTCTGTCATCAGTTTTGGGTATCTTGTAAATCATAACTGGTCCTTGGTTAGTTGTGCATACGAGGAACAAAAGGGTTTTTCTAACTACTTAGTTTAGGAACTTCTATTTACTCAACCAAGGAAACTTCTGAAATTTCACCTCTTTCTTTCAATGGAATTTTACCAGATTGTTAATGGTCCAGAAGTCCTCAGCAAATTTGTTGGTGAAACTGAAAAGAACGTCAGAGATCTGTTTGCAGACGCTGAAAATGACCAAAGGATGCACGGTAAGAACCCTCTGTCTTCAAATGTTGTTAGCATAACTTGATATTTGTATTTTAATTGGACTGAAAAATGTTTCCAGGAGATCAAAGTGAACTGCACGTGATCATCTTTGATGAAATTGATGCTATATGCAAGGTACAGTACTTCTCAACTTTTCTCTGGAATGCAGTGTTTCTTGAACTTTAGTTGCAGCGATGATGAAAACAAAAGCTTTGAAAGCAACCTCATTATGTAAATACTTTCCACTATATCATCCTGAATGCAGATAAAACCGATTTTCATTTCACCAAGGTCTACTTCATCAGCTGTTAACTTATCTGTGTTCTTATTTTGCTACAATTGTCAGTGGCTTTGGGTTTTGTGCTTGTTTCTCCAAAATCTTAGTATCATTGACTAGAGGGGTCATTTATTTGTTTGGCTTTGCAGTCAAGAGGATCAACAAGAGATGGCACAGGAGTTCATGACAGCATCGTAAACCAGTTGCTTACAAAGGTATGGGATGGTTGGCTACTTCCTTTACTAAAACGCCTAAGCAGAGTCAATCTCATTATAAATTATTTCTCTATGAATTTTAGATCGATGGTGTGGAGGCACTGAATAATGTTTTGCTTATTGGAATGACCAATAGAAAGGATTTGCTTGATGAAGCACTTATGAGGTTAGTCTCCCGCTCTTCAGTTACAAATTTTGGTTGACAGTGTCCAAGGTCCGATCTATTATCCAGTATCAGAAACAAATAAGCTGAGATGGATAAGATTCTTCATATTAACCATAATTATCAAGCGGAGGATGGAATTCTGACAGATTCTGTCTCTGAATAATCTCTATTTTGTTGTACAGACCAGGCCGGCTGGAGGTTCAAGTTGAGATTAGCCTTCCTGATGAAAATGGTCGTCTTCAGATTCTTCAAATTCATACAAACAAAATGAAGGAGACCTCTTTTCTTGCTCCTGATGTGAACCTTATGGAGCTTGGTATGTCTTCCTAATGTCTACTTATGAGTGCTAATCATCCAACTTCGTTATGCTTGCATGGAATCTGTGCTTTGTTATATCAAACATTTGTATGCTCGCTAAGAAAGGATTTATTAACTAATCCATGATGAAATAGATGGCATGGCATTTCTCTCTGAAGTTTCTTCCAATAGTGGCAGATAGAGAACCTGCATGTCATGGCAATTCATTGAGTATATATTTGTTTTGTATTTGGCAGCTGCTCGCACAAAGAACTATAGTGGTGCAGAACTTGAAGGTGTCGTAAAAAGTGCTGTGTCATTTGCCTTGAATAGACAATTAAGTCTGGACGACTTGACCAAGACAGTTGATGAAGAGAGTATCAAAGTCACAATGGACGATTTCTTGCAAGCGCTCCATGATATTGTTCCTGCGTTTGGAGCTTCCACTGATGATCTTGAGCGGTGCAGGTAATACCTTAAAACAAAAAAGAGTTGATAATCTATTATCTAATCAAATCTTAGTCTATTGGACTTTGAACTCTTCTCATACTACATCGATTTTGAACTTTCAAAGGCTCAATGGTATGGTGGACTGTGGCAAACGGCATCAGCATATATATCAAAGGGCTATGCTGTTGGTGGAGCAAGTCAAAGTCAGCAAAGGAAGTCCGCTTGTTACCTGTCTTATGGAAGGCAGTAGTGGCAGGTAAGCAGCTGAAGCTCATCTATACTCTTGGTTCTGAAATTGTGTTATATTATTAAAATTCTCTGAAGTTGTTGATTATTGTCTGGTACAGTGGTAAAACTGCGTTGGCAGCAACTGTTGGCATCGACAGCGATTTCCCTTATGTCAAAATAGTAAGTCCTTCAATCAGCACTTGACTTCAACTTCTTGTCTTCTTGAAGAAACTTCCTAATCATTTTCCCGTATTCTCATAGGTCTCAGCTGAAACAATGACTGGCCTCCATGAAAGCACCAAGTGTGCACACATTGTCAAGGTTCGTCCAAGTTCTTTCATTCCATATGTTTCCCCTCTCCTACCTCCAAAAATGTAGAGCACTTCACATCACCTGGGCTTATAGTTTATAAATTTCAGACAACTGTAAATTTCTTTAGCAACATTCATTCTGATTTTCCCTTTTGGTATGTCTGTTTATTGCCGTAGTTAATGTTTGTCATTAGAGCCCTGTATAACTGTATAAGTATGGCTCATTGTCTGTTTCTGTTTCCTTACAGGTCTTTGAAGACGCTTACAAATCACCACTAAGCATCATAATCCTCGATGACATCGAGAGGTAATCATGCTTTCGACTGCCATTTCGTCGATGACTCCCAAGTCTTTTTTATTTATTTTTATGTATGATCGAAACTGACATTCGCAAAATAATGTTGCAGATTGCTGGAGTATGTAGCTATTGGTCCTCGTTTCTCAAACATTATTTGTCAGACCCTTCTGGTCTTGCTCAAACGTCTTCCTCCCAAGGTGAGCTTTTCATCCCCTCGTCGAAATAAAATCACTCGTTAGAGCAAGTAAATCTCTAAACATCCTGCCAAATCAAGTCATTGAGTTAAATTTTTCCCCTCCAACTCTCCAGGGAAAGAAACTCCTAGTGTTTGGGACAACCAGTGAGGTGGAGTTCTTGGACTCGATCGGCTTCTGCAATGCATTCTCCATAACTCACCACATCCCAACTCTCAAGACCGACGACGCCAAGAAGGTGCTGCAACAACTCAACGTATTCGCCCCACAGGACATCGATGCAGCGGCAGAAGCAGTGAACGATGTAAGACCTCCTCAACAACTGCTTTCCACCATATGTCACCTTCAGCATCCTTTCCTTTTGTTTTGTTGGATACTGACTTGGTGTTCTGCAAACCCAGATGCCCATCAAGAAGCTGTACATGTTGATCGAGATGGCAGCACAAGGCGAGCATGGTGGATCGTCGGAAGCTATCTACTCCGGCAAAGAGAAGATCAAGTTCAATCACTTCGTCGACTGCCTCCAAGACGTTATCCGATACTGAGTGAGGACCATGTCCTTGTGACATTGTACTTTTGACCATGTTCTTGTCTTCATTTTTGGAATTTGTTTGGATGCCTGGTTTGTCCATCTCTATAGGCTTTTTGCGATGAAACTAGAACATGTAACCCGAGTTTATTGCACTATTTCGACTAGTAAGGAATCACTGCTAGTGCTACACAATTTTTTTTTTTTAAGTTACAAATGATTTTTGTCTCGTTGGTTTGATATTTGTAGAATTCATGTGTTACGCATTTGATTATTTCAACCACAAATTAGGTTTCGAGCACTCGTTTCTTTTGTAGTCTTTATGTTTGATTCTAATATCAAGAAACTTGTCAATGAAGCTTCTCTGAAATTCTTCTAAAATATTGAGTCATTTTACACTTTAATGACGAGATATGTAATGACTAGTGAGATACGTATCACGTCAAGGAAAAGGGTACAAAAATTCAAATTGAAGACTAGTCAGACTCAAGTGCGAAACACGTAGTCTTACATATTTCAAAAAGTCGGATCATGTCTTACCTGTTAGATTATGATTTGGCATCGTAAACCAAATTCTATACTAACTAAATGAATCGTGAACGATCGATTTATATTTTCCACATTATTATTATATCTTAAGCCGATATGGTAATCGATAAGATCTTATCTTCACAAACACTATAATAAGAAATTTTTCCCTTTTTTATAGGTCATTACCATTTTCCAAGAAAAGCGAGGGAACAAAGACAGCTTGCTCTCTATAGATAGATCACAACAACAACAATAATAATAAACAACCCATAAACAAAAGAAAAAAAAAGAAAACGAAGAAAAAGAAAGAACTAATCATACTTTTCTCTCCACGAATAAACGAGAAAGAAAACCCAGGACAGAGCCAGCAAGAAATCGCCAACTGTCTGCCGGAGCCCGTCCCAGGCCAGAGCCTCCACCCTCGTCCCGAAGTAAACCCTCCACATCGCCATGAAAACGTGGAGCACCGTGCAACCTTTCGCGAAAAAGGTCTGGAAATCCCGGTCCCTGACGAACGAAACCATGAACAGGATGAACCCGATCGCGAACAGGAGCAGGCCCGAGAAAGAATCGGAGGTCCGGATCAAGATCTGGTCCTCCGGCGTCGACCCCATCAGCTTCGCCGCCGTCTCGGCCCCGTGGGTGAAGGTGTAAATCTCCCTCATGCTGAACACCATCAGGGTCCCGCTCGTGATCGCGATTGCGGAGTGAAGCAGGCAGATCAGCCTGAACGCCAGCAGCGGCGGCGACGGCGGCTGCGGTGACGGCGGCATTTGAAGGAGGAGAAGAAGAAGGAAGGAAGAAACGTTTCTTTCTCTTGCGATTCCGATTTCAGCTCCCCTTTTCCCTGCGAGAAGATTGCGATCGGAGATTTCGGGAGGGAGGGATTGTGATTGCGGTTTTCTTTGTTGGGTTGGTGTGAGCTGGTAATGGTATGGGTGAAGAGATGAAGAGAATTGAAAACGGTGCGAGTGAGTCGAGTTAAGGAAGGGAGCGGGGCTGAGCGAGTTAGAGAAGGAAGTGGACTCGGGGGATTCCATTTTGCCTCATGATTCTACGGGGTCAATTACAGGAATGGTCATTAAGGTTTGGATTCACTAACAAATTGGTCACCCCATTTTGATTCTAAATAAAATGTCGTTAGAGATTCTTTCTTCCTACAATTTAAACGCTTTGAGCTTATATAACGAATCATACTTTTGAGAAGATGACTTCTCGTCGGGTTTCAAGAAGGGAAACAAAAAATCAGAAATGGAGTCAATGGACTAAATCCGAACAAAATAAGACTCTCGGGTCCAGGCCACCCTCCTATCAGAAACTACATCGTTCTCAGCAACTACATATATGGAACCGCAATCTTGGATATGCCCACCTCCAACTTCTCCAACCTTGAACATTCCGGCATTCATATTCAATCACCAAAAGACGGATTGTCATCTAGTTTAGCTTCCTTCACCGTCATAATAATCGATTAATCTTCTACTTGCATCGGGGGATATAACTTCTTTTTTTTTTTCATAGGAAAGCTATTGCTTCTTTATTTAGTGTTTCTAGTACTCCTCTCATCTCGAAACCTCCTATCCCCAATATTCTTGTATTGGAGTCGATTTTGAACATAACTACTGATGACCTTCTCCGTTTTGTTATATTTTGTCGTGTGGCTGATCAAGACGAACGATTTCCTCGTTGGAAGCGGACCTTGAGCTTTCCTCTTTTCATCCCCTCTCTCTCTCTCTCTCTCTCTCTCTCTTCGACTAGAGAATTGCACAAAAACGTTGCATGTTCTCCTCTAAGCATAATTAAGATCCATGTGTCCTTTTTTATTATTAATTTGAGTGCGTTAGTGGGATGATTTGGATGGAAATACGATAAAGGATAAAGACATCACATATTGTTATGTTAGTTACCCTAAATGGAGGGACAAATCTATTTAAGCAAAATAGTGACTAGCTTGTTAATGCTTCCAAAGTTTAGTACTATTTGAATAATTAACCCCATTCTTGATTCTTCTTTCCTTTTCTTGAGTATCTCGTCTCGTGGGACCCACTGCCCACCTGGCCTCTGGATTGGAGGGTGCCGACACCAAAAGTCTAAAACGATGGGCTGGGCTTGCGTTTACCGTGTAATAGAATGATAAAACGACAAGACTTATAATCCCGTTAGATAAATATCACGAATTTGTGATTTTTGTTTGATTGTTTCATTTATAGGAAATATCTAACTATCACACCTTTCCCCCCCCCCCCCCCCCCCCCCCCCCAAGCTGTAGTAGTGGGTCTCTAATGGATATTGTTATTTTTGTAGGAATGATGTTGTCAATGGATAAATAATAGTTAATCTAGTTTAGTGACCAGATAAGAGATTCCTCAAGGTGTTAAAAAAATTGCTTAATTACGTGTAATTGTATTTTGAAATTTAATACATCCTAAAAAAAGGTTGAACATACAAATATAAAAATATTGTTTTTCAACGATGATGTAAGGTCAGTTTAATTTATATTGCTGATCAAACGAGATTGAAATATGAGTTGGTCAGCAATTCCAGTTTCCACATATGATGTGGTATTCTGTGAATCCCACCGATTTTGTCTTAAGTCTTACATATGATTCATTCCTTTCGATTATATGCATGCTCTTGACTATGTGATTTTAACAAATCTCTTCTTCTACGTAGTCTCATCCACGAGCGAGGCCATGGTACGGGGAAGGCTTCACATTCACACACGTGCGACGTAGCTCAAATTCGTCGATTATAGCGCAGTCTCCGAAATACCCCTTTTGATCCTTGATTATTTACAAAATTGCACCCGGTGATCCCATGACTTTATATATATGAAGTGATCAGGGATCTCATAGATTAATTATTTTGTCGGTAACATGCAAAGATAAATTAATAAAAAATTGCCCATAAGGCCATAGCACAGTAAGAACATTCATTCCCCCCCATCTCGGATTGCATAAAATAAGCTATAAATAATTAATAAGCACAGGGTTATTAACCATAATACCTCTACATTATTTCAGTGATTCTACAACTTGGCCCTCACAGTTTTCAACAACTTGCCATTTGGTCTCTTAACTTTCCATTCCATCTATCAAATCCTCAAATAATTTCCTTTAACATGGGGTCGTTTGGATGGGTTAATTGTCAATGTGGTATTTGTAGAATCAAATAACTCATTTATTGTTCATGTGATATTTCAGTGTTATTTCAGTGGTAATTGAAATAAAGTATCTCGTTTGGTTGAACCATGCAAATGTGGTATTTGACATGTGGTATTTGGTAAAAGCAGAGTGATAAAAACGAGTTATTTCGAAATAACACATGGGTATAAGTTATTTCAAATAACTCACTGTCCAAATAACTCATTTCAGTAAAACACTGTCAAACGAGTTATTTGCGTCCAAATAACTCATACAAATACTCCATCCAAACGACCCCATGATTCTATCTCTTGATAGTACTTTGGTATTCTCTAAGAAGATGACTCCATATATAACAATCCTTCAAGTACAATGCTAATACATTGATTGGAATTTGAATTCATTTTTAGGGTGGGGATTGCTCTAGATACCTGAGATTTTACCTACTTAATACGTTTGATAATATTAAATTTGAAATGAAGAGCACACTGATACACTTTGAAACACTAATGATTTCATTTAATAAAGACTATCCAAGCGTAAAAAAAAAAAATCAAGGTCACTGAGAAGACGACGATTCATAAACTGCCTCAATCATATGGAAAAGGTTAAAGTGAATGTTGATACATTGTTCAACTTCTAAGATGAATTCCAACCATCATCATAATTTTCAGTTTTCGTCATAACATTCGACGAGCAGACAATACGACAAGCCCTTTTGACACACATGTCCATGGACTTTGGTAGCCATGATCTCTTTAAGCGCTAAGAAGGGTGAATCAAGAAAACGACTATCATTGTGAATTTTTGTAGGGCACACTCTGCGATAGACTAACACCCTGTTCACTTCCATTTTCGTTTCCTGTTTTCTATTTTCATGTGATAAATTTGGCAACCGAAATAAGAAAACTTGTTTACTTTTCATTCGGTTTTCTATTCGTTTCCAACTATGAAAACAGAAAGTGGCAACTTCCTACTGTTTTCGGAAACGACAAAATGTTGTTTTCACCTATTTTCAACATCTGTTTTCTCAAAAACAGGAAACAGAAATGAAAGTAAACAGGCCCTAAGTTGTTAGTGAATCTCAGTGATATGATTTTTGTTAAACATAACAAAATGAGATTTGACCCTTGTATTCCATTTAAGTTCTTGAACCATTAGTCTCTGTTCCCATGTAGTGTTATTCATAGCAAGTTAACAACATTATTTTGCTCTTGTTGAGTCTTGTTGTATCCTTTTTTGGAAAATAAAGAATAATAACTAACTCATAAACCGATAAACAAGAATGTGTTCTGAGTGAAGGTATAGATTGGTCTTTATTGCCATTTCAAGAAATTGAGCTTCGAAATACTGTAACAAAAAAAAAAGGGTCACCACCATTTTTTGCAGAACTTTTCAGCAGCAGCCCATGATAATTTACTGACCCATGACAACAAGTTTTCTCTATATACAACAAAAAATTGAATATCGATAAATTGAAATTTTTTTGTGGGAGGTTGAAAAAAGTAAGTAAAGGGTGGTAATGGTGGAAAACAAAACTTAGAAGGTTCTCTGAGGTAGAAGAACTACAACACTCATTTTCTCCTTAGGCACAATTGGTGGTCTCTCTGATCCCTTCAGTGAAACTGGACTCTTGCAAAGAAGGGAAAAGAAGATCAAAGAATGATACTTTCTTTCTCTCTTTCAGGACAAAAATTCCCTTCCATCAGCCATCAAATCAGCTGATTGGTTCTCCCTCCCGGTCACCTGCAACTACTTTCCGGTGCCGCCTTGCTCCGACCCTTCTGCCACGCCTCACTCCTCCTCGTCGCATCGGAGTTTCCTGAGGTATTGTGGGCGGAGGCAGCATTTCTGGCAGTGCAGGTGGAAGAGGCAATGGGGGAGGTGGAGACATGTGCTCAAGAACTTCTCTATGGTATTTCTGCATCATAGGCCAACGCAAAGATTATTACAAATGGAGAAAGGCAAAATATTTTCCATGATCAAGTTTTCTTGCGGCGCAAGGGACTCTTACCTGAACCACAAAGTTCCTTCTTTCACAATCCAAGAACATGTTCACAGTCCAATTCGTCTTTGCCCTGATCTTATCCCTCACTGTAGCGAAGCTGATCTGGTCCCTTGAAGTAAATCGGTCAACTTCGTTGTACCAAAGACAAGCAAAGAGGTTGCTGATAGGAACATGCTCCCTAATTACGACACATCCTTCAGGAACATCTGCAGAATGAGATAATCGACAGAGAGAACTTTGTATTAAGGAGCCAGAAAGTAAACAAGAATAGACAAGGGAAATGTCTCTTGAACCCTACCAGATGTAATAGGAAGCTTATCCAAAGTGTAAGGAGTTAAGCCTTCCTTTTTGTAGAATTCAATCTGGAAGTCGATGGATGCATTATCATACTTCCCAGCAGCTTTGTTTGCCTCGGCTTCGATGAAGACATCGAAGCGTTTGTAATGTCGAGAGATGGCAAAAGTGGCATTTTTTCTCCACAGATGCCTGAGAGAGTAATGGAAGGCAGGACAAAAAGACAAGAAAAAAGGACGGAGTAAGTAAATAGGGGTCGACACAAGCTAATTCTAAATCACAAACCAAATTGAGGGCAATTCCAAATGTTTCATGAAAACCCGAATGGAGATAACAGCATAATCCAGGGAATCATTCAAGAAGTCATCAAACAGAGCACATAGAATCACACGTCATTATTGGTTTACTGGCTATAATCCTGTCAGAGAATGCTTTATCTTATGCCTCCTGAGAATGGCAGACAGATCGTGGGAGGAAGAACCAGAATAGGGAGTACCTTTCAAGAATTTGATATGGATCAACAACCAACTCAAGCTTCCCATCAATCCATATAGAGTAGCGGGCATTTGGAAACAGCCTATGGGCCAGCAGCTTCGGAATCTGCAATTGATAAAACCAATATCAAGCGATTTATAGAGAAAGTTCATGACATGTAAGCAAATGTTGTTCTTTGATGTACAAGGAGTACTTGGAATTTTATTCCACAATCACATCAATCTATGCCCGTAGAAAGAACGACAATAAGAGCAACAGTAAGGTACATGTAATCTGCAAGCTAAAGTTGAGATATGAATCCAAGAATCAAGAAAGAAAACCATAACTAAAGTCGACATATGAATCACCTTTCCAGTGCGTCTCCCATCAGTGTACGGAGGGTTATGGATCAGAACAATTCTCCATACCCCAACCTTCCTGCTCTCCCCTAATTGCCCACTATTTTGCAGATAGGCTTCTGTTTCATCATCCACAAACATAAAGAAGCATACAGTTCTTTTCGAATACTCACTGATGTTGCTTGGCTGTTGTATATTATCAAAGGCCGCTGCAAGAAGAGAAGTTTTTAAGTAAAGCGATTTGAACAATCAAAAGGAATGGACAGTGGCATTTCATTCTACATTCTAATTGACCATACCAAATATTGCTGACATAACAACCACACCCCTGCACTGGTCCATTGCATCTAGATCAACCTCATCGATATCATATCCAGTATTCCGGCCAGCCCTCGTACCTCTAACAAACCTAAATCAACGCAGATATACAAGGGGAGATCACAACCGGCAGAATGTGCAACTCGCACAATAAATGCAACAGCATCCAGCACTTCACACAATGATCGGTGGAATGAGATAAGAGAAAAAAATGGGAATCAGCTTACCCACAGTGCACACTCATTGATTCTCTAATATCAAAGGAGTCGGTTCTCTGAGCGAGTGTAGGATATCCACCGAAATCTGAGCCTCCAAATTCCCCATTCTTGGTCAGTGGATTTTCATAGATATATGTCAAATTCTTCAGCACGGGAGAATAGGAGGGAAGCTTTGGCATCAAGGCAATGGCTTCCTCCACAGGCAGGTAACATACCGGACATGCTGATATACAAATAGAACGGAAAATACTTAGCATTGTGGAAAAGCACCATCATGATGGCTAAATCGAAAACCTCTCAACAATAATAACATCTCTGGCTCTTATTGAAACAACACCACAGCCTGCTCCCTTAGAATTCTACTGTTGTCTGTTAGTACAAGGGCAGCATGCTATAAGAATTTACTAGCCAATAGCAAAAAGAAAACAAAATAGCAAAAGAATTATGAAGGCAGAAGCACATTTGAGGGGTGGAAACTCACGTCTTGGTCCAGTTCTTTTCTTGTCCGCTGGTGGAGGAGGAAGAGTGAAACTATTGCATGGATGTCCTGGAGGCAGAGAGTAGCCCAAAAAATATGAAGGAGAAGGGGGTGGAAGAACCAAAGCTGTTGTGTTCTGTTTATGTACATTCACACTTATGTTCGGGCTGATCAAGTTTGGGACCTGGTCACCTTCCTGTACATCTCCACCTGAAAGACATGCAAAAATGTCGCCGTATGAAAATGTGAATAGAGCTCCGGCAAGAGCACCATTCTGTCAGCAAGCTACGATACAAGCTTGCATCGCCATTCCAGAAGAAGAAGAAAACGCAGTACGATACAAGCTGTGACTGACAAAATACCCTCCACATCTGTTTTAAACAACCACCTGACGAGATAAGTGCTAACTACCATGAAACAACCTATATCTCATAATTATTATCACAATCCGAGTCCACCAACAATCTAAATTGAGCAGTATTTCCCCAAAAACTTTAAAAACTATCTAATTGAGCATCTATTTTCAACCCCTAGATAACAGCATTGTTCTAATACTGAGGCAAAAGTTCCAGAGAGTCGATGTTCAAAGCGCGAATCACTCAAACAAAATACAATCAAGCAAAAAAAGGATGCAGGATTAAATGAATGGAGTAGATGGAGAGTATAACAGACCTTTTCCTAGATACAAAACCCAGATAAAAACTGCGGCAGAGATTACGCAGAGCATCAGCATTCCAACCTTCCTCTGGCTGCCGAACTTGAAGAGCCAAGGGAAGCATCTTTCCTTCTCCTTGAACATCTTGGCGGGCTTAGTCCGAATTGTCGATTGAATCGGCAAGAGATGATGACTACCACCGTTCTGTTGTTGTTGTAATTGCTGCGGTTTGTCCAATGAACCATAACTCCCTGAGCGGATCCCCAATGAACCTCCGTTCATTGTCTCTCCTCCTTAAACCCCGCGCCCCAATAGCTTAATCCCCCTCTCATCTCATCTCCCTTTCTCTCCCCCTCAAATCAAGAAAACCCAAATCTCAATATATACCCATTGATCTCCAAACTTCGGACCCAGAAACGAGAGAGACACTCGAATTTCCCGCGAATTCAGATGAGACCCAGTTCAAGGAGAATTGGCCCCTAACTTCTGGGCCAACTTTTTTTTGAATTCCTACTCTGAATCGAAGTTCAGTGACACACAACCCAAGATTGATTCCCCACTCGCCGGACGAACTAAAGCAAAACCCAGGAGCAATTCAATCCCAGAGAACAACCCAAGTGTGCCAAATCAGAGAAGAGAAAGGATTCACAGTGATTATCAAACCAGCCAACTTCCAGATCAAAGCTGAATGTGGTAAGAAGATGAAAGGATGATTCGCAGAAGGGGTAAAAAATATATAACTTGATAATGCCGTAACCGAGAAATATAGGGGAACTGGGAAGGGAAGGATGGTGGTGGGATCCTAATTGGATTCTGAATAAAATAAATCTAGGGTTTGTAATTGGAGGATGGATGGGATTGGGGTTTTTTATTTCTATATATCTTCTTTTTGTTTTGTTCTTGAGAGATGATGTATATCTAAAATGGTGGTCTGTGAAATCAAGGAGCGTGTTTTTTACTTTTTATTTTTAATTAATCTAATCTGGGATTTGTGTGGTAATTGTCTGCAAAAATTGAGGAACCAGCTCCGACTTTATATGAGTTGGAAAAATACGATTATTTTTGTTGTTTTTTTTTAGTATTGATTAATTAGTTGTAATCAATTAATAAATGTGATTGTGAAAAATATTTGATAGGGTAACAACCCTAAACCATGTGCGTGCCATGTTAACAATAACACATAGACGGCGATTGCTTGGCTTATGCCAATGGGGAAAGAAGACATTTGTCAAGATTAAAATGAATGTTTGATTTTAAAATTAAATAACTTTGATTATTTGGGTGTTAATTGATAATGCTTGAAAGGAAGCATTTGATTTCCCACCATACTTTACCTTTTTGTTTCTTTGTGGAATGACAAGGGGATTGCACTTCATGTGCAAACAAAAGTGTAATTATTTATGATAAACTAACAATTGTAACATTTCATAACTTTTAGTATAGAAGATATATTTTAACCACTTTCCTCTGAATTCGGATCAGCTAAAAATCGGGATGAATTTTGATCGAAGACGACATAGATGGTTGTCTCTGATTCTAACATTTTTTTTTTACGATTCTTTCGAATGGACAAAGCTAAAATTCAATGGAGAGTTGGATGTGATATTGGACCTATACTCTTATGCTCGTGAGTTCATAGTATATGAGATGATTCGTGGAGACAAGAACAAAAAATGTATGGAAAAACATGGAGGATATATATAGAAAAAAGGTAGGGAGATATATAATTAGGTACAAAATGAACGAGACATGTTGCAGAGAGAAGATAGTCAGAGATCCATAATTTTCCTTGGATGTTGTGATCCCATTTTCTAAGTAATTCGTCCCTTTTCGGGATCCGTTGGTGGGTTGACGAGACTTCACTCAGGCAAATTTAAACTTATAGATCTTATGTGACACGTACCTTGTATGTTTTTTAATGATTTATATATAATTGTATCACTAACAAAAATGTTATTTGTTTGGCTATATAAAATTAAGAGATTCAAGTACATTACATTTGTAAAAAAAAAAAAAAACACCAAATGAACCATTTAAGATTTAAGGTGCACTCTTAATTTTTCTCACTAAATAGGCACTACACTATATATTGTCTGAGAATGTGTCCTCTCCACCAATAATCTCTCTTTAAGAATATTCCCAAACCAACTTCTTACGTCCTTAATTAATTAATTTAGTACTAATCCACGTAATTGTATCTTGTGGAATATTCTTAGCAGCGTAAGTTTGTATTTGCACTAATCCAAATTTCGTTAGTAAGATAGCCTTTCACTACCCTTTAATGCAATGGCTCTCCTCTTGTATATGTCCATTGTCGGATTGGTGACCTAAGAGCATCAAACTAATACGGGATTATTTTCCCAAAATACAAGAATTGCTGAAATTTTTTATCACAATATCATGCGTACACTAATATTCTCAAAATACACAAAATTTTTTATAGTTTGGTGCACTGTTCAACGATTTAGGAAGCAGATCGCTTCAAATAATTGCAATCTAGGTATACTAAAGCGATCCACTACTATGGTACTCTACAGAGTATTTGAAACTCTACTTGCGAAGAAAAACACTATTAGTTAGATACTACATTTCACTAATGAGTGAAGACAAATTGCAACTACAAATTTTATCCTCTCTCGATGTCTAAGCTTTTGAACGATTGCAAATCACACCTTTTCATAAACTTAATGTAGCAGCTCCACATCCTCCGATAGGAGTATTAGCGACACATACATCATCGATCTCGTATCCCATCTCGCCTTACACCAGCTATACAAAGCTTCTATGTACACAGTAATCTAAGGTGAAAATATTAAATTCAAAATATAATGAATTTGTTTTCCACTGATCATAAGTCGATCGAACCGAGCGTATTGTATTAGAATAGTACTACTCAATTGAACTATATCTCCCATAAACATCCACTTTACATCCATCCAATTCTCCCAACAACAAAAGGGAGGCCAAAATAATGTGGTTGTTGGTCACAAAATTAATCAATTCCTTTTACTTAGGGCTGGCAATTCGCTTATTTTGGTTATAACCGGTAACCAATTGGCCGGTTATCGGTTAACCGAAATAAACACCCCCCTTATCGAAACCGACCGAAATAGGCTTCGATTTCTCGGTTACCTCGGTTATCGATTAACCGAACAACTTTTAAGACAAAAAACCATTTTGGCCAGCTTCCGATAACCGTCCGAAGTTCGGTTACTTCGGTTACCGATTAGTAGATAACCGATCGATTATCGGTTTAACGGGTCGGTTAACCGGTAACGGGTGACCGAACTGCCACCCCTACTTTTACTGTTTGCTTTTTGTCCATGCACATCTACAAAGGAACATAAATTGTACAATCCACATTACTGCATGTTCATGAAAAGAACGGGTGAGAGGTCACAAATGAGTTAATAGATGTACCTTTTAGTCCCTTTGCTGCCCTAATTTCATTGGCAAACGTGTTACGTGTAAGACTTTGTAGGACAGTGCCTCGTTTTAATGGTCACTATTTATTTCGTACACTACTATCTATTTTAATTTAGGTTAAGAGTCACATAACCTTTACCATCACAATTCACAGAGACACAGACTAGGCCATTATGGACTGATTTTAACATATGGAAACAGGGAGTTTTCTTTTTACAAAGTGCATGTTAATTTTTATATTCGAAATAATATGCAAGGATAGGTGATATTATGTAAAGGGGAATTGCGATAAGTTTTAAATAGTTTCATGTGATTCGGTGTCAAATCAATCTCCTGTTAACAACGCCTAGCTAGTGTGTGTGGTTATGGTTATGCATTTTTTTGTTTTGTCAAGCCAACTTTGACGCCAAACTAAATTAAAAAAAATGTAAGAGATGCCCATAAAAAATACAATTTATTATTGAAGAACCTTAATATTGCATTTGCAGCATGTTAATTTATTAGCTAATAGAATCATTGTGATTTCTCATTCTGAAGCTAAAAGATCATTGAGGTGGAAGAGTGGTTGACATGTTTATAGTAGTGTGCTAACTTCTCATAATCACATTGTCAACGATATAAGATGAAATAACTCATACATATAACTAACATTCTAATGTCTGATCTTAGTAGTATTATTGGACTACCTAACGAGAATCGATGATAAATCATCAGTTATATGATCAATTGATAGAGAAATCATCTGTGATCAATCAATCTTTTTATATGATAATATCTTGGTTGAAACTACGACTATTGTGTGTTTAGTCTTAATTACGAAATGCATAATCCTTACATTATATATCTTAAGCTACTAGTACAATGACATATATAGATAAAGGAATGAAATAAAGAAAATGAAAAAAAAACCCTACTAATCAAATATGTCTGAGTAACTGTACTTAAAAGGCAGCCCTAAACCATATTGTACAAAAATATACATAGCTTGGTGTATCCCCACTAACTCGACATAATGAAGTCTCAGAATTTGATTAATTAACTTCCAATTGTCAGCAGCTTTCAAGTTTCAAGCACTAATCATGACTTGGCACCTTAATCCTATACATTAATTTCAGATATCTAATCAACTCATAACGTGAAAAAAGACTACTGATTTGATTAGTGGAGAAAAACCTAAAACATAATTAACCCTCAAACTAAGCAACTATCCAATGGTCATACCTCAGTCAATAGTTCATGTTAAGAATCCTTAAATCAGAGATAAAGTCGAAAGTGTTAACCATCGATATGTTAATATATTTGACAAGGTTATTTGGTGCATTATAGCACCAATGGGCCTTGGTGCCGCGTATATGCTTAGTAATTAGGGATTATTAATAGTTTATTATGGTTATTCGTATTAGTTTATTGTTTCTTGTTGAAGAAGTTAGTGTTACTTGTTGGGTTAGGATTAGTTTACCTTGTTGGAGAGGGAAAGGGTTATGACTTATGAGAGTAGTCCTATAAATATGTACGTTGTTCTTTGGTTTTGGTACGTCAATGAATAATAAACCAGTTTAGTAGTATTCCTAGTAGATTTAGGAGTAGAAGTAAAGTAGATTATAGTTCTCTCGACGCATTAGAAGCTATAATGCGCCATTATTACGGTAAATGTGTGTATATGGTAGAGTTATGTTTAGAACCATGCCTCTGGAGTGTATAAATACAACAAAGGATATATCAATTATTTAGACGATAATTTTGTACACGAGTTTAGAATTCATTATGGAGTAGTTTCGTTTACGCACGTAGCCTCATATGCATGATACAACCACTTTCATATATGTGGCCTCCTATGCATGAAACAACCACTTCTATGTAGCATTATCATTGCCGTAACAAGCACCTTTCGTGTGGCCTCATCTTTCAGTTAGACTGGTGTCGGGGTGAGTTTCATGTCAGCTCGTTAAAAAGTCAAGACATATGGTTTCTATATCAGGTTGAGTGATGTTACTTTATGTGTCTAAATTCTGACGGGAAGAATGAATGAAGATTGATAGGCTGGCCATTTCGTTAGTTAGTACAGACATACATTAATCATTTTGATTAAGAATCATATGTAAGTGACCATTTGGTTGCTGTTCCCAAATGTAGGTGACCATCAATGTAATTAACCCCAAAATTAGAACAAACCCAGATTTACAAACCCAATCCTTTTGGGCTGATTCCGAGTCCATGGGCCAAATTCATCGGACGGGCCGCGCATGCGTCTTGGATTTAATAGGAAGAAAAACAGTAATGCATTCGACTGTCAATTTGAACCCGCCCCGTCGGGTAATATCTGACCTGGTCCGTGATGGGGCGGGTATTACCCGACCTGTATTAGTGTGAGGCGGGGCATGGGTATCAATTTCTGACCCGTTCTGTCCCGCCCCGCCCCATTTTTAGTCCGTTCTAGATCAATTTTTTAACCCATCCATTCATATATCTCCTATTTAGACTTTTATTCAACTAGTTAGACTTGATCTTTCAACTAAATAGACTCAATTACTTATTATTATCACTATTATTCATTCATCAAGTTTCCCCCTCTTTGTTTTATCATAAAAAGTAAAATTATACGTTTATTTTTCTTAAATAGCATGTAAGAGTGGGTCGACCTGGCCCGCCCCGTACCCGCGCGGGTATTACCCGCCCCGACCCATACTAACATGGGACGGGGCATGGGTATTGACTATTGAGATACCCGCCCCGCCCCGACCCATTGCCATCACTAACTGCCATGTTGGGCTTAGTTTCATTGATGATGCTGTTTTTTTTTTCTTCTCTCCAATGTATTCTGAAAGCGAAAGGAAAACAGCGAGATACAAGTATACACAGGACATTTTCGGATCAAATCACATAACAGATAAAATGAAGATGTGATAGATTAATCGTAACCCTTACTTCTCGCATTGTACTGATAATATAAGGTATTAAGGTCGAAATCGGTCGACATTAATGTCAAATACCGATTTAACAATATAAAATTGATTGGGGTGATTTTCCCCCTAATATTTATTTATGTATTACAATATAATTATAGATGGCGATAAACAATTTTTACGGTCCGATGACGGTGCAATAGTTAATAAATCCTTGCTTATTTGATAAATTGTCAACATACTCGCAAAATTCCAGGTGCTTGGTGTGGATAAAGTCCATTTGTGGATTGATGTTGGTTTGGTCGATCGTGTGTAACATCCGTACGATGGGGAAAATGTCAAGGGAAAATCTGCACTCAAGAAATGTCAAACCCGAAGACTCTTGAATTGGTGCGCGATAGCAAATCAATGGCGCCATTTAATGGCTGTAGCCGCCATTCCTTAGCTCATTCAACTCGTCTTTTGCTCCTCCCTTGGCTTTCATCAATAGTTTTGTTTTTTATGATGCAGGAGCCCCATGGCTAACGGTTGGGCTCAATTTCGATAGTATTTCGAACGTTATATTGGGCAGATAAAAAAATTTGCGCATAAATTCGATTGTGATCATTAAAAAGCGGCTTTCTTTCCACATCTATGGAGATTAAGTTACAGGAATCTAATCATGTAACATACGTTATCACTTATCAGCCTTTGATAGCTAAACTCGATAAGTATATATTAATAAACGAAATGATCGATATGAATACTCAAACCTCATCCGTCAAAACCAAACTTATTGTATTCTGAATACAAGTATCATGATGAGACAACAAATCAAAATTGGGGAAGGACTTCCCACCTATTTTAAGCTCAAAAGCAGTGGATGATATCATGAGACTCCATTGATGGAAGGTGGATGATACATACTTAGAGATTCCTTTGTTGATTAAAGGCTACAATAAACTCGACTGATCCCAGACGTTCGTAGTCTCGTCCTCTTTCTTGTCATGACAAGCTTGCATGATTCTTTGTCCATAAAGTGAGGTAGAAATCCATTCTTCTTCAGGTCATACCCGGATTTCTTCTCCCGAATCACCAATTGTTCTCTGATTGACTCGAAACTTGCGCCTATGTTTCACTTTACCGGTTGTTCATTTAGGTGCTTTTAACAATGAGCTAGTTATGCGTTCTTCCGGTTACTTTCCTCCAGAAATCAAAAGTAGCTAGGCTGGCATGTGCCAACATTCCTTTAGGCCAAAACATGGTGCTGTTAGAATATGTTTACTTATGCAAAGATCAAAATTAAGATGCTAATTGTGTTCTTTTTAGAGCTCTCAACTCTATATTCATATTGTTTTAACATATTTGAGATACATAAGTTGGTGCAGGATCATACTATACACGATCAAAACGCCTAACAAAATCAAAATGTCTTAACACGATAATTATAGGTAAATTACAGATACGTATATGATTCACGATGATTCGATCACGATAGAACATCCTAATTAATTAATGCCTAGTGGTTGGCCCGTGGCTAGTGGGAACCCGAGATTGGAAAAGTTCCAGAGACCACGCGCTCAATGTTACAAAAGTCAAATGCAATTTGCAGATTGCAGTGTTCGTCTTTAATTACATGCATTCTTTTTGATAATTGTTAATTCGCTAATCAAATCCATGTCCTTATCGCTCACTTAAACTTTTTTTTCTTTGAAAATCTGAAATGAAACCCACCTGTAGATTGCGAAAGAAGTAGGGCCGTCCTGTTTTTCTCCTATCGTCGTGGATATAAAATTCCATCTCCATGTTTGATTGATTGAGCATGTCCTAACAAAAAGTGATAGAGCCACTAATCTGAATGGAGAGACTCACTTGAATCCTGATAATTAGGAGAAAGAGGATTAAGGCTTGGTGGGTACTCTATTTTTTAAATTTGTTATGAATTTTACATGTAATTTTTGTTAGTGTTGTGGTATATGGTCCATGATTGAACCTCTCCCAACAACTACTGTTATTGGGATCAACTGGTTACTGACATGGTGTCAGAGCCTTCGGTGACCGTGAGGTCTTCTGTTCGATTCTCGGTGACCCACATTTGTTAAGCACATGGTATTCTTGTTTTCAGACCTGTGCAAACTCCAAGCCCTTGTGAGTGGCTTTCATTTGAGGGGGCGTGTTAGTGTTGTGGTATATGGTCCATGATTGAACCTCTCCCAAAAACTCGAGTTATTGGGATCAACTGGTTACTGACAATTTTATCTATATTTCAAATTTGAGGGGGTTATAAGCTTACAGCTTTTTCTAACTTCAACCTAGCTCCTCCCCTGCTATCAAAGTATGTAGAATTTTGTTAAATGACAACCTAGATAGTGGACGGAATATCGATTGATTGACAAAACACCCATGCGAGTGTTCATGGATAATTCTGAAGTCAAACAGTAGAAGTATGGTTGTATTCGTGATTCAAAATACTGGACCGATCTCTGCGCTTCATGTACATTATGCGAGCATTCATGAATGATTCTGATAATACCAGCAATCAACCATATTAAATTTCTTAGACTTGAGTTTGATCAACCCGATCCTAAAGCCAACCAATAAAATTCTATAGTGCCAAGATTTGGCTGAATTTCTAACCCTAAACTAGCCAGGATGGTCGAATGATATATCTCAGTTGGAATTTGGCATTTCTTACTTTTGACTTTCCTAATATGTGCAGGCTTGCTCACTTGCTGTAGATGAACCCTAGAGCCGTCTGCTCTGCCTGCTGTGATACATACAATAACCAAACGACAACTAAACTTTGTATGTAATATGCTTCTTTCTTAATTCTAATAAATCTAGCCATTGGCCAGTAATAAGACCGCAAATGTCGACAGGCTAATAAGTTGAAAAAATGATAGTGTTTTGGGAAACGATAAGAAAAGCATTAACGCAAGAATCAAAACATGTATTTTTTAATTCGCTCTACTCGTCAACGCATATCTAACATAATTTTTTTTTTACTTTTAATTGCACATTGGAAAAAGACGAAGTTGGTAATGTGATGAAGTCATTGATTACATATCGTAGTTAGGAAAGCCCTGTCCTTGTTTCCGATTGCATGTCGTTTTTTTAATTTTTAGATCTGACTGTCTTCCAAGATGTAACTATCCTTGTTTCAATTTATATATATGATTATCTTTTGTAAAAAAAAAAAGTCATTGATTACTGCATTGTTTCCATAAATGTTGCTTCCAAATTGCGAGCTCATCCCCCCTTCAAAAAGATTTCAGGGTTTCATCTTTTATGAGGTCACATTTCACAATTTCAAAGAGAAGTCGTAGTAAAAGATTTGAGTGTCAACAATTCATTAACATCTCTCACATAATTTGATATTTTCGATATCAACGAAATACTCCAAATAAAAATAGCAACTTCGACGTCGTATATAACTCGTATAATTCACGCTACATATGCAATCTTGTCCGCTAGAAGCATGGGGTATAGGACACAAGCCTTATTTCAATGCCTCTCTTCCCATCTTGAATAGGTCGAATCTCAACATTCTCCAATATGTGCACATATTTATATTGTTATAACGACATTATAAAATAACATAACTATAATTTTGTTCGACCCATCTTTTTCTCAAATAGTCCAAGTTTATAAGTCATCCCCATTCTCTTTCTTATACTATGTTTAGGAAAGGGTGTAAATGGAAGGGGGTGCAAGTTTGGAGGGGTAAACACAAGTTCCAAGGTGTTTACCCCCGTTTGGTTATTTTGTAACAGTAGGGGGGTGCAAAACGTGAGCGTAAATTCACTGTTTCGGCTTACCCCCCAAATTGGGGTGCAAGGGAAGGAAGGAAGGGAGGGGGAAGGGGGAGGAGGGGAATTTTTAATTAGATTATAATTACATAATAATTAATATTATTAATTTTTTCTTATATCTATATTAGTGTAGAAGTTGTTTGGGGTTGACCGTTTGACTCAGAGAGCAAGTTTGTCAATGTTCGCCTCGTCAAATCGATATCTCTTAGTTGACCCGAATTTGCATTGAAAATTAGAGATAAGAAGCGTTTGTTGAAAAGATAGAGAGGAACAGTTTAGTTAACTCGATTTACTTTAATAAGTAGTTAAAACTTACAGATTCGAACATGTTTGACTAAGTTTGACCATATTCAATTTAAAGTTAGGCACGAGAACCCCGTTAGGATGACTAGTTACGAGTTGGATTTTGAGTTTCGAGGTTGCTCGACCAATGATTATTATTGTTGTTATAAATAATTATATTTGAGCATTATTATATAATAATTATTTTTATTAAAATTATTTTTATTAAAATTATTTTTATTATTATATATTGAATTTTCATGTTATTATTTTGTGATAATATTTTATAAATTGATAAATTTATTTTATAATAATATAATTACTTACTTTTTACTCTATTTGCACCCCCCTACTTTTTCATGCAAACAACAATTTACCCCTCCACTTACACCCTCCACCAAGTTGCACCCCCCAACAATTTACCCCTCGAACTTGCACCCCCCTGTTGTCAAACATAGTGTATGAACTATCGAAATTACTTCTTCTCATTCAATTCCCCCATAAAATTCTACCCAACCTAACTCATGCTAAACACGAGGTAGATATGCAAATTGATATATTCACTTATCACATCTCGTTGTTATTTCTAATTATGAAAAAATTTCATCATATAATAAAATTGTAAGAAAACAAACAATTTTATGTGATCTCCCAATAACCAAATCTATCAACTCGAACTATGGAGCTCACGACACTATTTACAAAGATTTTACTGACCTTTTTAGTCAACCACACCATAATATAATCAGAAATCCATAATTGCTTTTCCTCAATCTGTCAAAACTTTACCGTTCAAGAACAGCCGACATGTATTTGTCACCCCTTTCACAAAGACTCGCCAGTTGCCACGGTTCCTTCCTTCCTCCCTCGTTTTCCTTCCTTTCCTTCACATATTAAATGAGAATCCAGATGTTTGACCAGAACCGTTCACGAAACCGGTTAACTCTCCCTTTCCCCTTCTGGCCTTCTCCATTTTCCCCACCTTATCATCTCTTTCTCCCCAAATGAAACAACCGCCGCCACCGCCACCCATTTCCCCGCCGCAATGAACCACCGCCGCCCGCTTCACACCCTCCCGTTCCTCCTCCTCCTCCTCCTCTTCCAACCAACCTCCGCCGTCGACTTCGTCTTCAACAGCTTCAACTCCACCAACTCCTCCTCCAGCCTCTTCCTCTACGGATCCGCCGCCGTCGAATCTCGAGTCCTCACCCTCACCAACTCCACCACATTCACAATCGGCCGCGCTCTCCACCCGCAGAGAGTCCGCACAAAAACACCCAATTCCTCCTATGTCGATCCCTTCTCCACCTCCTTCATCTTCGCCATGGCGCCGTACAGAGACACCCTCCCGGGCCACGGATTGGTCTTCCTGTTCGTCCCCTTCGCCGGAATCGAGGGGGCTTCCTCTTCCCAGAACCTGGGCTTCCTCAATCGCACCATCGACAACGACCCCAACACCCGAATCTTCGGCGTCGAGTTCGACGTCTTCGCCAACCAGGAGTTCAGCGACATCAACGACAATCATGTGGGGATCGATCTCAATTCGCTCACCTCCAGATTCGCCAACGAGGCCGGCTACTGGCCGGATTCCGGCGCCGGATTCGAGACGCTGAGGCTGAACAGCGGCGAGAACTACCAGGTGTGGATCGATTACGCGGATGGGTCGATGAATGTGACGATGGCGAGGGCAGGGGCGAATCGGCCGAGGCGGCCGTTGCTTAACGTTTCGGTGGATCTCTCGGAGGTTTTCGAGGACGAGATGTATGTTGGTTTCACTGCTTCTACAGGGCAATTAGTGCAGAGCCACAAGATTCTAGGTTGGAGCTTCAGCAACTCGAATTTTTCGCTGAGCGAGGGTTTGGTGACTACTGGCTTGCCGTCGTTCGTGCTTCCGTCGGATTCGAATCTTCAATCGAAAGGGTTTATCGCCGGGGTAACGGCGGGGAGCTTGGTCTTGGTAATTTCCGGCGTTTTGATTGCCCTTTTTCTAATCAGGAGGAGGAGGAGAAAAACAGGGGAGAATAAAGACGAGGAAATGGAGGATTGGGAATTGGAGTACTGGCCGCACAGAATGGCTTACCAGGAAATAGCGGCGGCGACGAAAGGATTCAGCGAGGAGAACGTGATTGGGATCGGAGGGAATGGTAAAGTCTACAAGGGAACTTTACTCCCCGGCGGAATTGAGATTGCAGTGAAGAGAATCTCGCCGGAGAACGACGGAACCAGAGAATTCCTCGCAGAAATCGCCACCTTGGGGAGATTGAAGCACCGGAACTTGGTGGGATTGCGTGGCTGGTGCAAACGGGAAAAGGGAAGCTTCCTTCTGGTCTACGATTACATGGAGAACGGAAGCTTGGACAAATGGATTTTCTCCGACGAGAGGGGGAAGTTGCTGAATTGGGAAGACCGGATACGGATCCTAAACGACGTCGCTTCCGGTATCCTGTACCTCCACGAAGGATGGGAATCGAAGGTGCTTCACAGAGACATCAAGGCCAGCAACGTTCTGCTCGACAAGGACATGAACGGCCGGATGGGCGATTTCGGGTTGGCCCGGTTGCACGAGCACGGGGAGGTAGCTCGGACCACCCGAGTGGTTGGGACGGTCGGGTATCTCGCTCCAGAAGTGGTCCAGACGGGTCGAGCATCGACTCGAACCGACGTATTCGGGTTTGGGATCCTGATACTAGAGGTCGTGTCGGGGAGGAGGCCGATCGAGGAAGGGAAGCCAATCCTGGTCGACTTCGTGCTAGAAGCGATGAAGGAAGGGAAGCTGTCGGATTGTGTCGACCCGAGGTTGAGGGAACGAGAGGATCAGGAAGTGGAGCGGGTGGTCCGGCTTGGTTTGGTTTGTGCCCATCCCGACCCAAGTGCCCGACCCACGATGAGGCAAGTCGTTAAGGTGTTGGAAGGGAAGAATGATAGTAACGATGGAGACGAGGAGGCCGAGAGCGAGGAAATGGAGGCGTACTTGCTTCAGCGGACGAGGACTGGGACGATGACTCCTACGAGAGACTTGTGGATGAGTCGATACTCGAGCGATTTCGGGTACGTTGGATTACATCCGACGATGGATGATGTCAGACAATCGCAATCGACATCGTCCGGGTCGTGGACCACGACGACCGTGGAGGGTAGGTGAAAACAAATGGACTGGTGGTGGGATGTTCCATAGCGTGTTTAACATTGTTGAGAAGGTCGGCGAGTTTTGTGACTTGGTTAGGGGGAAATGTGGCAGGTTTTGCGAGCAAGGAGAGGGAGCTCCGGATGTACAAGAGCGTATGAGGTGCATTGCTGCTGCTAGTTAGCTTTGCGGGGAAGAAAGGTGCACCTTGGAAGACAGAAGTTAGGCTTTTTCCCCTTTGTTTTGGTTCATTCCTTGGAGTGATTGATTTTTTTGGGTACATGAATGTACAAAGTGAATAGATGGTGGATGGGGTTCTTCTTTGTATTTAAGTTTATATATTACTTTTGCTTCTATTTCATTAATTGCATATAAGTAGAGGGCTTATTGATTACTATGAAATGAAGAAACATAAACATCAAGCGGGGATAGCTCAGTTGGGAGAGCGTCAGACTGAAGATCTGAAGGTCGCGTGTTCGATCCACGCTCACCGCATTTTAATTTTTTCATGTTTCCTACATCTCGTTCTTTTGGGCTTTGGAAGACTAAGGCCCAAATAAAAAATCCTTCTGTCTAACGTTTTCCAATTACTGTCGCAGGTTTGGGCTTTATGGATAACTTGAGCCTCTAATGTTTTCGTTCCTTTCTTAAGATGTGGGTTTTTTTTTACCTTCAGCCCAGTTCAAGGAAATGTGTCCCACAATGAATAACTCTGGTCTGTCTTCTCCATGAACCGATTTGAGGTCTCCTCTTACTCCAATAGGATCCGAGTTAAAACCTAATGCTTAGACCTCTCACCTCTCAAGCCAGGTGGAAGAAAAATCATTTGCGAGATCGAAATCGGACCGAATCAAGAGCTTAATGACGACGCAACACAAATTATTACGTACAATCATATATACACATTAATATACCTTTAGACTACAAATATTTTAGTCAATCTATTGCTTGTTTTCAATTGATTAAAAATCCTCAATCGAAAAGTTACATGTCCAAATCTTCATAACCCGCAACATTAATCGTACGACTTAGATATCAGCTAACGTACCTATATACAAACTTTCAAGTCAGTATAAACACCGCACGACCAAAACAATATTATCTTGGAGTAGTGTATTATATTTGCAGCATCGTGCGTGGGGATAAGGTATATATCACATCGGATCTCCAATTTGGAGCACCTGTCAACAAATAGCCATATAGCATTCTCTATATTTATGCTTTTTTTATATTCTATTTTCCTTCAATTTTTTTATAAGAAAATAAATAATATTATTATTCGAGATAATGATCTCTGTTGTTTATAGACCTTTGGTTTCATTGCTTGTGTATATATATATAGAGATTGTGAAAGCAATTTTCCAGCTCATGCATGTTTCTACCAATTATTCCAGCCCTCAATAATAATTTCTAAGGCATGGGTGTATGACTGTATATATACGAGGCTTCGAGTTTCCGCATTCAATGAGGAAAACCAAACCCCAAATTATTGGGTTGGACATGAGACAAGCCAATGTGGAGATCCCATCAAAACCTAACTTTGTATAAGCTTTCCGAGATGATGATAATATATTATATGTTAAATACTTACATGTGTGATTGTTTGTGTAATTAACTAGAACGATTGGTATTGTAGTTATGTATGTTAGAGGTGGGCATTGAGTGTGTCGAGTGGGCTTTCGGTTTCAAAAATGACTCATTCACTTACTATACGTTTTGTTGGGTATGGTTAGGATTGATGGGGTAAGCCATAATAATATTTCTGTGACTAGTCATCATGCAAGTGGATTAGCTAGTTAAACCTTAATTACCATGTCCCGTCCCATGCTACTACGGGTCGGGACGAGTAACACCTGCACGGGAACGAGGCGGGTCGGGTCGACCCACTCTTACATGTTATTTGGAAAAGATACACACATATTTTACTTTTTGCGATAAAACAAAAGGAGAAACACTTTGTGAAAGAAAAATGTTGATAATAAATGGGTAATTGAGTTTAACAAGTTAAAATATCGACTCTAACTAGTTAAATAAAAGTCAAAATATGATAAATATGTATAGATAACGTAAGAAATTGAGATAAAATGGGTCTGAAAACGGGGCGGGGCAGGCAGGGTGGGTCAGAAGTAGATATCCATGCCCCGCCCCACACTGCTGGCAGGTCGGGTAATACCCGCCCCATCGCCGGTCAAGTCGAGTAATACGCGCGGGGCAGGTTCAAATTGCCATCAGTAGCCCCACCCAGTACGCACACTGGTATTACCCGATCCAACCCGTACTTAGTGCGAGGCAAGAATGGATATTGAGATATCTGCCGTACCCCGCCCCATTGTCATCAATAAAAGAAACAAATTAAATCACTTTTTTTTTACGAAAAATATCCTAAGAGGGAATACAACAAATGCGACGAAATACGGGGACCTTTCCAGGTTAAAATTACAAAGTAGAATTAAGGAAACAGTATCACTTAGGATTTGATATATGTATATAAAAGGAAATAATATCATTAATATTTTGCATTTATCATGTAATAAAAGGCAAATGTGTAGAGAGAGAAGATTTTTATTTACAAAATGAAAAAAAAAATTGTCACTATAATTAGATACCCATATAGAAGAAAATCATGCCAATAGGGTTGGGTATATCTTCTATCATATAAAAGGAGTTCACATCAACGATTCTTTACCAAACACTTGAAAAAAACTATTGATATAAAACTCATAGAAAAAAGTTCGTGACAGAAGGAAATGGAAAATACTGCAATGAAGTTGGCCTTCTTTGTTGCTCTCTTGTTCTTCACAGCTGGTAAACATATCCGACGTATCATTTCATTTCTGAGTTCTAACAGTATTTGTATTATTGATATAGAAAATGTTACTTTTGTATTGATTAATTATAGGCTAATAACAATTAACAAGTGTGGGTTTGTTGGTTTGAAGGTCTGGAGAAGAGAGTTGCAGATGGAAGGGGACTCGTCGTAGATTCATTCAAATGCAAGATACAGGAGGATTGTTACGAGAACTGCAAGTGCCAAATTTGTGCATGTGAAGGGAAAAAATGTATTTGTAAGGTGAAAAACGATAACAGCGTCACTAATGCTACTGCCAATAGTACACCTATCGAATTAATAACTATATCGAATTAATCATCTAGTCGCATACATATATTTGTGATAACCTATCGAATTATAATAACTATATACTGAATTCGTGGTTCAATGCGAGATATAATTTTTTTTTATATACACGTTTCGATCCTAAATAACGAGAAAATGTTTCGTTTATGTATTAGGGAGTAAATAAAGCGTCCATAATATTTATACGCGAGATAGACACCAAAAAAGGGTACAAGTGACGTTATAGATGCCAATTGTGACTGAATAATAATTTGTATTTTGTTCAACAGCAATCTTTCTTCGGTTAATACGTGACAAACTATGTCTCTGTCACTAACGTGGAACTGAGTAATGATGGCTGATATATATCATAACCATCTATTCATCGTCCTAACCCAATTCCTCAAAGAAAAAAGGACTCCTTTGAGGGCTTTAGTACCTTAAAAAATGTGATGATTTTGGTTATTTACAGCCCACCTGGAGAGTTCGAAATTACCAATTTCACTTGAGATTTACTTCAATATTACGAGAAGAAATTTTTTTTTTTTTTGGTAGAAATTTGGTAGTTTGGTTTGTTTTTTCCACGTAAATATCGTAGATATTTTTATCAGTGAAAGAAATCAAAATTTAGAATTAGCAGGGATTACAGAAGAAAAAGGAAATTGTCAAAATTTCTCATTATAAAACTTAAATTTTTTAAGAATGGATTAATAGCTCTTATTCTATTATATAGTACATAGATTATAACCTCATAAGTACTATTTATATATAGTGAAGATTTGGTTGGTCTTTGATCTACTTCGATGTAAGTGTAACGAAGTAACGAACGACTAGCCAAGTTGAATACCTTTGGGAATTTATTATAATTAGAGCAGAAAGTGTGATGGGAAGAATCATTTGATTAGAGATCAGGTGGGGGACAAAAGATGGTTCCACGAAAAGAGTAGGCAAGATATGTAATAATATAGTAATTAACAATGATAATGATTTTGGTAATTAAAAGGGTGGGTGGAAGGTATTACTGAGTGATGATATTATTAACACAAGAAGAAGTCAAAGACGTCGTTTTAGGCTTTTCAGATTAGAAACTAACGCACCTACTCACTTTTTTTTAGATAAATTAATATTTACATGCTCACTTTTGCGCCACTTAATTTAATAAAACCATGTTGTCATTAGCAACAAGAGATGGATATTTGTATAAAAAAAAACATTACTTTCTTATCTTACCTTATCCATAATTATCCAACAAGATGTGCGTCAATCGGTTTTTTTTTAGCATTTTAAGATTCCTCAAATGTATTATAGATTTATTGAGAATTGCGAGATTTAAACTGCAACTCTATCAATGACGCCTCAAGCTCAAAATTATGACAAAAGATTAATTTGGTTGTGGTCGATCTCGTGACTCGCACTAAATCGATCTCGGATTCGTCAACCAACACCTATTGAAATCGTTTTTCAGCGTATTTATAAACCAATCAGGAGTATTGTAGGAGGATACGAGTAAACGTCGTGCAACTTACACCTCCTGATCAATCGTCTGATTTATAACCATTGATCGAGAATTTGTGTGACCCAACACAATGAAATTGTCCGATCACAAACCTAACAAATTAAGAAAGCGCGAGCGAGCGCATCGCACATCTCAACCAGAATAGATAATCAACCAATATATGTGTACATATATGTACAATTTGATTAAACCCTACCGTTTAACACATGGTATTGACCATGTCCATGCAATAATATATATGAAAGATCCATATGATCAAGAAACCTTGATCCAGATCAGATCCAACAATTGTTCTTTTTTCTTTTTTCCCCTGGTTATAAAATCAGCTTGTGAACCACAAGTTTGGGTTTACTTAATAGTCCCGCGAATCAAAGTATGATTTTTCAACGTGGGGCTTCCCGTGTTAATAATTAGCGTTAATCACCTTGTTAATCAGCATGTTTACTAGCAAGTGGTCAACTAATGAGTTAAGTAAACAAGCCATCAGATACATCTCACACACCTGTATCGATCCAATCCTGCGATCGAATCCACATTAGCAGACTGTTCAATCAGACTTAAAACCATTGTTTAATTTTGGCTAATCAGATTAAAGTTACAGGTACGCTTTATATTTTAATTAAGTAGTTTCCTAATCCAAATTGATACTCTTTTTTCTTTTTCCCTCTTTCAATTATCCTCGTGTTTTGGCTGGTATATCATTTTGGCATTATTCTCTCATTTTTTTTTTCTTAGACTCGGCAGCGCTGAGTCAGCCCTATCAATTATACACCCGCGAAGTGACCGAATTGCCCCCGCCGGTCCACCCATCTCTCGTCCTGTCTTGTCTTGTCTCTCTTTGGAAGTGCCAACATATTCATCAAAACCATTGGCTGGACGCCGCGTTTTCTATCCATTTCTTCCCAGTAATAATAATATTCTTCCCAATAATAATAATAATAATAATAACAATAATAATAGAGTAGAAGCAAACAAATAATAAATAGAGAAAATAAAAAAAACATACGAACATTTGGTGAGTTGGAGATATATAGCCCCACTTGAAAATTGGATAAGACTATCAAAGTTGTCCATAGATCGAAATCAACGGCTGCGATCGTGCCTCGTGTCGAATTCTTGTTCATAGCCACACACGTAGATCAGAAGTGGAACTGATCTTGATGATGATCGGGATGAACTTCCTTTCCTGATGTATGTTGACCGGCGGACGGCCGGCCCCACCGCCGGGAACCGTCGTTCTCGATCGGTTTGCATTGTCTTTTGTCTACATTTCTTCTTCGGCTTAGCTTCTTCCTCCCATCTTATCGGATACAAAACGGTGAAGCAAAATCCCGGATCCTTGGTGTGTATAACTTAAGGCTATTTTGGTTCGAGGAAATACTCGAACGAATATGCGGGTTTTGTCGATGTCAGATAAAAAATATTGTTTTTAGAACGATAGTAACTTAGTTATTAACACATCCATAATTTATGTTGACTCCTGCACGAAATGAATATTCTGAATTATATAATCCGATTATATCTAATTTCAACACATTAAAAAAAAATATTGACATTGCAAAATTAAAAATTCTCTTCTTACATACTATTTTTGGCACACGACATACGTTTTTTCCTGCTAGATTTGCGACGAAAATCTAGTAAAAGTTTTTACTTGCTAAATCAGCAAAAACGTTATCCACAATTCAAACTATAAAATCCTGTAATCCAACATCTAAAAATTCTCTTTGTACTTACTCTTTCTTCACATACGACATAAGTTTTTTCTCTGCTAAATCTTCGACGAAAATCTAGTGGAAAGACTTATTTGTTAAACTGGTAAGAGAACAAGAAAACCAAGTAACAAACTATCCTTTATCCAAAAATCCTTTATTGTTGAAAGAAAAGGATCCCCCATCCAAAATCCAATAACTTACCACTTCATGTAAATGTAATTTATAAAAAGAACATAACTAACTACCTAAAAAGCCACAAACCCGACCCGCCGACCCGACCCGACCCGGTGGTCCATGAATATTCGAGCATATCCACATTAGTCACACCACCAGGGGCACCCGACCCGGTTCAGCAGCATTATTGCACTGATTGAACTAACTGACTGACGTGGATCCTTGCTGTTTCTCGAACTGTCCCGATTCGCCACTTCCAATCATACCGCGCCATGTCAGCAATCCCGTCGCCAGCAACATGTGCGCGGCGGGCTGTTCGGTCAATTATGCCCCTCCCTCCCACTGGGCCCCACTTCCCCCACCCCTCAACTCCTTATATATAAAACCCCCCGCCACATTTTATTAATTCTTCCCACCCAAACCGCTCTCCTCCTTAATCACAGTGATTAATCATTAATTACCTCTAAATTTCCTAACCTTGATTACACGATGCCTAGCGCTCGGATTAGAGTCCCGATCCTGCAGCACAGCTTCATGTACAACAGCAGCCTCGAGCAATCGTCGGAGGGGAGTTCGTTGATCTCCGACGTGGACGATCCTCTGTTCGGGTTCCTCGACGGCGGAAATTACAGCAATTACGAGACGTCGTCGTCGTCGGAGAGCTCCGACCGGGGAATTGACGACGAAGAGGCGATGGATCTGGGAGAAGAAGAAGAAGAAGAGGGCGCAAGAAACGAGGAAGAGGTCAGGAGGTTTTGGGAGAATCAGCACCAATTGGTCCAGGTAATTAAGTAGTTAATTACTCTGGATAAGCTTGAGAGGGGTAAAATAGGTAGTTTGCAAAATTTTGGGAGAATTGACTTTTTTTTTTTTTTTTGTGTGGGGGATTCAGGCAACGTTGTGTAGAACGAGCTCTCTGGAAACCGGGATAAGGAATTTGACGAAAGAGGCGGTGAAGGAGATTGAGATGGCCGGAACGATTTGCGCCTGCGGCAGGGTGATGGTCGGCGGCTGCCGGAGCTGCTTGATGGCCGAGATCGCCGGCAGGCTGAGGAACGCCGGGTACAACAGCGGCATTTGCCGGACCAAATGGAGAAGCTCCCCGGATATTCCATCTGGTTAGTAATTAATTAATTAATTAATTACATAATTGGAATTCTTTATTCAAAATAAGTACGGTAGTGTCATTAGTTTCATTATTATTAATAATTCTAATTTTTGACGAATTCCAACAACAGGAGAGCACACATTTTTGGACGTGATCGACAATTCGAAGAGAGGGGAAGTGAGGGTGGTGATCGAGCTGAACTTCCGGGCGGAGTTCGAGATGGCGAAGGCGAGCGACGAGTACAGCCGGCTCGTCCGCCGGCTGCCGGAAGTATTCGTCGGGAAAATCGAGAGGCTGACGAGCGTGATAAAGATACTGTGTATGGCGGCGAAGAAGTGCATGAGCGAGAAGAAGATGCACATGGGCCCGTGGCGGAAACACCGTTACATGCAGGCCAAGTGGCTCGGCACCTGTCGCGAACGGAAGACGCCGTCGCCGTCGTTGTCGGGCAGTGATTTGGCGACGGCTGCGGCGGCGGGGTACTTGGGGAGGAGGAAGGCGCGGTCGTCGATGCTGACGGTGGATTTGTTGGACATGTTACCCAATATGCACTGCACGGCCGTCGGAGTCATGTGATCGATACTATTTTTTTTTTCTCTTGTTTTTTTTCTTTTTCTTGAAGGTGGTAATTACGGTTTACGGGCTTTACGATGGATTATATGTTGTAAATTGTTCCACCATAATTTACAAAGATGGGTTCTTCAATGGATATTGGAAACTAATTTACAAATATGAGGAAGGTGAGGTTGCCGGCGTCTTGTTGATCGACCATCATCATGTTCAGCAGCATCACGAAAGTGAAGTAGTTGGCTCTCTTCATCTCATCCGTCGCAACGACAAGGTCTTGCCCGCCGGTGGCAGCAGCAGCTGTTGCACTGGAGTAAGAAGAAGTGAGATTGACACCATCACCTGGATGATTTGCTGCAGCAGCAGTTGCAAAACAATGCAAAGGACAACGAAAGATGCCATAATCCTCCTTCGAGTAGATCCTGTTTCTGGTATTTTTCTATTTGACGGAGTTCCAGGGCTTGGGTTGGATGGAGAGTTAAGGACAGGAACAGGAGATACATTTTTCCATCCCATGCTTCTCAGCTGCTCAAACCACTGCAGTTCACGACTTCTGCATGCACTTCCTCTACTTTCTTCCTTCCATCTATAATCTACCAAGAAAACTGTATGTTCTACTTTTAACTAATGGACCAACGAAAAACCATGGATTGCAAAACCAACTTTCATTAGTCACCTGCTGTAAAACTGATCAACACTAACATCATCAAACTTTCGATTACAAAAAAGATAGAAAAACATCTACTTCTTTCTGTTTGTTTGGTCACAGTTACAGAAAAAGATTTCTAAAAGAAGAACCAATATATAGGAGTAATAATTTAATGAAGGAATACTTGCAGGCAGGCAATCACGTCAAAATCAAGCTGCAGAGGAGGAGTGACTGGGTAAGAGGAGGGTCTAGCAGTAGCTTAGGGGAACTGGAAGGATCCCCCAATTTGGTTAGTGTTGGAAGGAGGATTGATGGCCACCCAGAGCAAAGATATGGTGATGGCGACGAGCCCCGACCACACGAACACAATCGTAGGCGTCCTCCCTCTCCTCCCCATCAGCCCCTTGGCAAATGGATAAAGATGAGCCAGCACCCAGAAGCTGAAGAACACTCCTCCAAGAAGCCTGCTCCACTGCGGGATCACACTGTATATAGTCCTGCTCACCCCTACCGCTATAGCAATCAGATTCACCATCATGATCACGATCGGCGGTAGCATCAGCGATGTCCACTTCACTATGTATAGATCGGCAAACTCATCGTCCACGTCGTCCCCTCCCGACTTCGACGTCAGAGTGAAGGAGATCTCGATCCCGGCCACCACCTTCAGCAGGCCCTGGAGCACCGCTGCCAGGTGAGCGCTGGTCCCACCGATCAACCAGAACTGTTCGTTCCTCCACCATTCCTCCAGCTCGATCCCAGACCACTTGATCTCCAACACTGCCAGCATGCACAGCGTCACAGAAATGACGAGCAGGTACACGAGGAACGTCACGTCCAGAGTGTTCACGATGAACTGCCCCGAGAACAGGGAGAGCGCTGGCAGGAAGCAGTAGACGATCAGGAACACCGATGTGAAAGGGTATATACCGACGTTGAGGTACGCTATTCTCTGGAGAAACTTCATCCTTGAGCTCGCCAGCAGTGCGTTGTTGCGGGAGAAGAAGATCTCGACCGAACCAGTGGCCCACCTCAGCACCTGGTGGAGCCTGTCCGTGAGATTGATAGGTGCCGTGCCTCGGAAGGCATCACGCTTGGTGACACAGTAAACAGATTTCCAGCCTCTGTTGTGCATCCTGTAACCGGTCACCACATCTTCAGTGACCGACCCGTAAATCCATCCAGTTCGCTGACCCCACTCCGTCTTGTCCTCGTACCAGCACGATATGACACTGATTGCCTCAGCAACCGTAGATGCATCGAGAAGATCACGTGCAATGGTCAGAGCACCAGGTGGGCGCCCATTCTTAATAGCTGGGTGATCAGCAAGCGGGCGTCCTTGAAACTCAGCCACTGGGATTGAGTCGATCAGGAAGGTTGAGTTACCAAACTTCTTGGGCAGCAGCGAGAGGTTCATTTCTTCATCGTCTGAATCACCCATCCTCAATGACCTATTCTCCTCCGGAGTGTGTGCAACTGAGGAATGCTTCTTCCGGCGGCTGGAGAAACAGCAGCTGCAGCAGCCTGGATGGTGATCTTTTGATCGAGGAGGGTCAAACCCATACAAAGCAATCCTTCTGAAAAGGCATCCCGTCCCCACATAGACAGGTCCCATAAGTCCATCGAGAGCACGCATGTTGACATCGAAGAAGACAGTATTGTGGTTGGCATATCTGTCAGAGGGGTCGATACCTTCGAACCTCTGAGGGAACTGAACATAACAGAGGCGATCCCCACCTCGATCCATCATGAAGCACATGCCTTCTCTTAGTGCCTGAGAGTTGTATATGTAATGGTCGCAGTCCAGATTGAGAATGAAAGGGCCATTTGACATGATAGCAGAAGCTCTAACCAGAGCGTTCATTGCTCCTGCCTTCTTGTTATGATCATAACCAGGGCGCTTCTCACGGGAAACATAAACAAGAAGCGGTAGACGAATGTCAATATCAGTGAGGTCGATGAGCTTAGCTTCATCGGAACCGCCATGTAGTGGCTCGTCGCTCGGAGGTTTCAGCATCACCTGCATAGAACACCGCCCCATTTCTTATATCAGTTAAACCGACCCATGTAGTGGCCTGGAGAATGAAAGCAAATGAACTATAAGAATATACCTGAATAATTCCAGCATGGTCTCCTTTGGAGTGCTCAGGTCCAGGAGTCATCCAAGTGCCAGGCCAGTGAGTACCATCAGCCATCCATGTAGCCTTTGGAATCTTGACACTATCAACAGGTTCATCCTCCCTGTTCTGCCTCTGAAGCTTCAAGGCTTTGATTTCTTCCCGTGCGTGATATGCATCAGAACGACGGCGAATGGAATCAGGCAAACCATTGATTCGCACCTTGAACTCGTCGTACTCCCGCTTTACTCTTCTGCGGTCCTTGACAAAGTCTGATTTCACTTTGTTCTTGTAGGGATCCCTCTTCAGGCTAAAGTAGGACTCTGGATTCCTAGGCTCTATATCATGTTTACGGCAGAAGGGAACCCAAATGTTGGCAAAACTAGCAGCTTCAGCCATGGCCTCGAAGGTCAGAAGTGCTCCACCATCATCAGAAACGTAACATGCAAGCTTTTCAACAGGGTAGTCGGCAGCCAAGATGGATAAGATGGTGTTTGAAGTGACAAGAGGTGGTTCTTTCTCAGGATCTGCAGTGGAGACAAATACATCTACCCCTGGAAGATCTGACTTTCCTGTTGGGTTGTTTAGCGTGGGGGTTTCAAATTTCTCCTTCAATACATTCAGATCAGTGGCACGGTTGATTGGGCAGAGCTTGGGAAGTTGGTCAAGAAGCCAAGAAAAAGCAAACCAAATCTCACAGACAATTGACATCCCCCATAGCCAGATTGCGTCCTGGTTAGGATGGGCCACCCTCCATTGCAAAAACAAACCAAGGGCGACGATTCGAATGACAACAAGAAGTCTGAAACACAAGAGCGGAGAGGGTGTGAGTAGAGGACTGCAAATTGGTTTTAGTTTAAGCAAGGGATGAAGCAATCAGTCAGCACCAAGATTAACAACAAAAAGCTCTCCTCTCTTGGGAGAAGCAGTACCTAACACTAACAGAGAAGTAGAAAGAGAGCAGCTTTCTTTTGCATAAGCAAGGAAGCAATGAGAATTGAACTACTTGTTTGTTCCACTTGTGTGAATATTCATCATCAAGACCCCATAAAAAGATTTCATTTACAAACAAGGGCTTGGGCAGGGTACTATGCAGTTATTATAGGGTATAGATCCAATCAACTCAGTAAACAGGAAATGGAAAGAGCTTGGATTATGAATGGATGAATGAATACCTGTATGGGCTGATAACAGCAGCAGGTATCTTCAATTTACGGGTGAGAGGCCTCCATGGTTTGGACATCAAGTCCTTAGGCTGATGAACATCTTCGTCCTTGCCATTGTTGGAGCCAAAGCCACCGTCATTGGGCCAAATAGCATTTCCATAGCCGTAAGTGCCCCTGGTCTCAAAGAGCCAACGGTTGTGATCGAAGTCCCCAGTCTGGCTCCTCATGAGCACGGATTTTGTGGATTTCATGAGCGAGAGGCGGCGCTCCATCTTCGACATGGTCCCAGGTGGAGGGAGCGGAAGCGGGCGAGAATTGTTGTCCACCGCGACCTCATCCAGCTCGGTGTTCTTGTAAGACTCCTTGCACCCGGGGCAGATGCCGCCGCCGATCTTGACGGCGTCGATGTAGCAGTCCCGGCAGATCTTGAAGTCGCACTCGCAGGGGAGGATGTCGACGCCGCGCTCGTCGCTCATGACTTTAGCATCGCACCCTGGGACGGCGCAGCAGGAGCCCTTGGCGCCGGCCATCTGCGGGTGGGTGGCCTCGGAGTCGATGACCTTGTCCATGAGGTGGGCCCTGGTGAGGCTGTTGAAGCCGCCGGTGAAGAGGGAGTTGGAGACGTACTGCTCCTCGACCTTCTGCGAGATGGAAGGGTCCATCGGCTGGTTGTCCGGCGTCGGCGGGATGTGGACCGTGTAGTTCATGAAGTCGCTGCTTCCGATCTCGCTGTCCAGGTCGTCCCTCGAGTAGCTCACGTACCTTCCCGACGACGTTCTCCTCCCGAATGTCACCGTCGGCGGGAGGGGAGGCTTCTGAGAGTCCGTCGCATCTGAACTGATGGATAGGTTCGATCTGCTCCCTTTGAACGACTTGGAAGCCATCTCAACAACGAAATCTTTAAACCCCCCAACCCAAAATCTAATTATTCCCAAAAATTCCTAGGTTTGGATAATCCCAAATTCTGTCTTGCTCAGAAGATCCTGCCAACCAAAATCAAAATCTACCAACATCAATATCAACGGCTTCTATTCAAAAAAGAAAAGAAAACACAGTATCAGCCAGCTCCCATTTCTAAGCACAAGTGCACCACTTCACTGATTCATCTCTAAACCCTAGCCAACCCTCACATGACAAAAACAACCCAACCAAGTGCCTCCCCGTCTTTCTAATTCAAATGATAAAACAGGGGATAATGATTCATTGATTCGGAAATTTTCTCTTACTTTTTTTGCTTTTTTACTTATAGCTTTCCCTTTTCCGCCGGAATTTTCCCGAGAAAATTAAGGGAGGTGGTATCCCGTAGGAAAAGGAAGGGGGGAAAAAACGGCGAGAAAGGAAAGACATAAAGACGCGTAGATCCGGAATCCTGCTTTTTCTTTGTTTCTTCGCTACCTCCATTACTGCATTTCATCTTTCACGGTCTATAATAAGCTAAATTAAGCAAGCGGCGTCAATTTAAACAAGAATCGATCGGGAGAAGAAGAAGAAACCAAACAGCGAGTGAGCTGTGAGCTCAAATAAGCAGATCAGATCGGAGTAATCAACTGAAGTTCACAAGCGATCAAGGCTCATCGCCAAAAATCGAAACGAGAAAGAAAGAAAGAAAGAAATCAGGCAGAGGAAAGGGGAAGTGAACGAACCTTTAGGAGGACGTCAGATCCAACAGGCGGCGATGGTGGTGCAGTTCGAAGGAGATCAAGGGAGGGGAGACCAAATCATCATCCCCCCACGCAAGAGAACGAAGGAAGAAGAAGCTTTTGGGGAGGGAGGGAGGAGAAACCGAGAAGAATGAATTAACGAATTAATGAATGGAGAAAGAAAGGGAATGAGAAATCTAATAAGGGAAGGGAGAGAGTTGAGAACAGCAGGATTTTTTTTTTTTTTTTTTTTGTATATTTCGATTTGATTATTATTTTATTGTTCAGAGTGGTAGTGGTCTTTCTATCCTGCTGGTTTGAAAGAGTTGTGGGTTGCTTGCGCGTTGATGGAGGAGGAGGACGACGACGAGAACGGGTACATAATCGGGTTGGGTGAAATGGTGATGGTGACCCGACCGGACGGACCCGCAGATGAGCAGAAAGCGCAAAATGGCACACCCATAATTACGGACTTTGTCCACGGGCCCAAAATCCAAAAGCCATACAAAATAGGGAAGAAAATTTATATACAAAAAAGGAAATTAACAAGCAAATGAAACGGTAATTTATTTGAATATTGATTAACTCTGTTAATCACGATAAGTTCTGATTTTTGGCAAGCTGATTTTAGTTAGTTATTAAATTCAAAATTATGCATTCGGATCAGGTTAGCATGGATGTTGTTTATTATATAATTTTCATTAGGTTGTTAATTTCTTTAGGGTTAATAATATTGTGTACCCCTCTATTATGGTAAATTAACAAACGTACTCATCTACTAAATTTTTGCACAAACATACCCTTCCGTCTAATTTTCTGTTAAGTGGCTGTTAAATGAGTTGTAAAATGACTTAATTGCCCCTCATTTATCCTTAAACACTCCTAATATATGTTTAATTAATAATTATTTTATTTATTCCCTCTATTTAATTCATTACCATCCACTCACGTACTCCTCGATTCGTGGCATTACTTTGGAGGAGTTGGAATTGGGTGGTGTTTGATCATGTCCAGCATGGGGTGAGTATTCTGGTGAGGCCGTGTGAGGAGCAGGTACGTGAGTGGTTGGCTCTGGTCGAGTCTGGGGGTGGTAGTCAGGGTCAGGGGGCGGCAGGTGCGTGGACAGGTTAGTGTGGATAGAGAGCATCAGGCTCCTATGCACTATCGCTACTATGTAGATGGTGCTATCCTCCCTGGGCCGGGTCGCATGAGGCTGGGGTTTTGGTGGTCTATGATGGGTTGGGGAGGGTTTGTTTTGTGCAAGGTTTTCATTATGCAGGTTTAGAGGATCAATTTCTTGTGGAATTGGTGGCGTTTCGTGATGCAATTCAATAGTGCTCTTTGAAGGGTCTAGTTGAAGTGCAATTCTGCGGGGATGCGAAGGTCGCCATTGAGAAAGTTCGGAAGGGGGATGCTCGGGATATGAACAGTGGCGGATTCAGGGCTGGGCCAACCCAGGCCCCGGCCCAGCCCTCCTCCGGATCTAGAGTTAGTTTAGTGCTTATAAAAGTTTTAGATTTAGGTATTTGGCCCAGTGCTATTTAAAATTCTGTCTAGTTTTATTTGATAATAGGATTTTGTGTAACTAGGAAAATGGTTCAGATGAACATATCCAAACCATTACTCTAAATTTATACTAAATTTTCTATAGCCTCAATGATTTTATTTGAAAAATGACATGAAAACCTAAAAGTGTAAAGTTTCATTAAAATAAAATAAAATAACTCTAAACTAAAGCACACCCTTCCTTGTAAAATTCAAAAAAATTCCCAATCCCCCCAAAACAAAACAAGAACGAGGAGACGAGCAGACCCAAAATGGATTTCTCTGCCAACCGTCGAGTTGATTTTCTTTCCATTCTTTGTATTAATAAAATATTTACAAACTTGCTGAGTCATCATTTAGATTGCCTCAATTGAGTGGGACACTAGATTCTAACCGTTCTTTCTGGTGTTTTGATGAAGAAAATATTTACAAACTTGCTCAAGAGTTTAGCCTCGAAACTTTGAAGGCTGTGAGATGCATTCTTTGGAGAATGCACTACTCATGTGAGGAAGATGAAGTTTCTTCTTTTGCAAAATTATTAGAGAAACTGGAGGAAATATGGATGTACACATAATACAAATTGATTTGTCTAGTGTTGACATAGCCGTTTCAACAACTACCATGAAGACAATATTTTCAGCAATGGAACATGAACATTGATTTGTGCAACAAAATGAGTGATGAATTTCTCGTTGATTACTTAGCTATTTTCTTTGAAAAAGAGTATATTATCACTATGGATGGAGATTATATTATTGATGAATTTTCTAAATTAAAAGACCTTCTTGTACATTTGGCTTGTAATGAAAACTATATTTTTGTTTATGGTATCTAATATTCTATTCAAATACGGCCCAGTGCTCTCTTATGTCCTGGATCCGCCGCTGGATATGAAAGGTGGACGGATTCTTGAAGAAATCCGGAAACTGCGACATCATTAACTGCGCTTGGAGATGGCCTTTATTGGCAGGAGTAACAATCGGGTGTCGGGTGACCCATGAGGTGGCTAGGAAGACCCTTTCTTTGTTGCCTGCAGTTGTAGATACTTTTGATTTTAATCGTTGGTTTGCTTTTGGGTTGTAAATATTGCTAGTTTTTTGCCTTGGTAATACAAGTGATCTATTGGTAATAAAAAAAATTACGGGTTTGGTTTAGAGAAATTAATGTAGCGGAAATTTCTTGTCTTTTTTTGGAATGGGTTAGATCAAAAGTGTGGGTGTGTAATATATTGTAATAAAAGGGTTTTTATTTATTTTATAAAGATTGGGCTAGAATTCAAAAGCATCTTATGGTTCTTTTCCGTTGTTTATTCATCATTTTTGGATCAAACTACAGCTGATTCTAGTGACAAAAGGGAAAGATAGACCTAACATAGCATTCGTTTCAACGATTCACAATATTTTTTGCTACGTGCTCACAGATTGTGATGTGAGGCCAAAAGAACAAGAAGAGAAACAATAGCATAGGACTAGGCCTTCCCGTTGGTACTTAGATATGTTGGGCCTTAACTATTTGGGCTAACGAAGGATTGCTGGGCTTGTGGATTATGTACTATATATCGGCTCACGCCAAGTTAAACTCTAAGACGACTTTGATGATGGGCTTAGGCGTCTCGGCATAGGTAATTCGACTAATGACTTTACAATGCGGCGACCCTTGGATAAGATAATCTGGGCTAGCAAGCCCGACACGACATCAGCCAGTTTGTATGAATCGGCCCATGTGAATTTGGGCTGGTCTCCTCTCCACGTTCCCACTGCTGTCTTTGAAACATCCATGAAACCGTACCGGATATCGTATCGGAAAATTTAGCGGTATGATATTTTATGATAAAATCGTGGTTTAACCATAGTTCAACCGTTAGACCATTAAATACCTCCTACCAATTTAGGCTCTGATACTGGTATTTCGTGGTTGAACCGTCGGTACGGTACAGTTTTCTTGGACCATGCTTTGGCCTTTGTGTGATAATAATAATAATAATAATAATTATTATTATTATTATTATTATTATTATAGTGATACTTTTTTTGGTAAAACTTGAATGTTACGGCATCCCATCCAATGCACCTTTTTTTTCGTTGCGTGATTCTGAAACCACCATACAGAACAAATCCTACGTACGTAGACAAATAACAAAGTATTGATTCAGATACATGAATATGATTTATCGTGTTACTTTCATGTATTACATAATCACTGAGAAATACAGATTTGGATATATATGAATCCTTAGAAGAATCTATCGGGTATGTAAACGTATTAAGACCTATAAAAAAAAAATTACACAAAAGAAAAAAGTAAGCACATATCATTATTATTTATGAATCATACTCTATTTTTTCTCAAGGGATTAACAACTAGTGAAGATTTTTAAACAAATGGCAAATCCCTAGTGCACTGAGAATGTGTGTTGATGATACTTGATAATGATAATCGTGACTTTTTTCCGGTTTGTGTAGTTTATTTAGAAGGAATGAGAAGGGGATATTACAGCATATTCCGCAAATGTATAATGGGAATAGAATATGATAAAAAGAAGAGTAGTTGGATCGACTCAGTTCGTTGCAAAATAAAGTTGGAAGGCCTCCAGGCTGCAGCTGGCTGGCTTGGTCACGTTCCAGACGGAAAGAATACTATTCATATATTCAGTAAGTAGCTCCGAATAAATGGTACTAGTTTCCATTGCCCGCGCTCCGCGCTGGGACTTACGATAAATGCGTGAAATTCTCACATTCTATAATTGTCATAACAATATATTTTAGGGTTTGTGTGGTCCCCATCTAATGTTTCCACTTTATTTGTTTTAGTATCCTTATGGCCAGAGTTAAACTCTTGGCATGCATAACAAATCAGCACCAACTAAATATGGTAATGTTAGATTTGGGAAGAAAAAAATACATTGAATGTTAGCTACGAAACCCTTGTGTTGATTCAATCTCTCAACTCCTTATTTTGTTCTGGAAAAGGAAACATATAACAAAATCCAACAATTTTGACCATGAAATGGAAAGAACGTGCAGAACAGAACAACGAAATCACATAATTTACAATGGTCACTTTGATTTGAAATTTTGGGACTTTAAGTTGTAGGGAAGGGGCCACACCCCGTGAGCACGACAACATAGAGAGACCAATACAGTCAAAATCGTATTTTAAAACTTAAAAGCTTACGCTTTTACTTTTTTGAGTCACCAAAATGCTTCTACGTAATCGTGATTTTCCCTTACAAATGTAGTCAAAATCTACATTTTAAAACTTAAAAGCCTATGATTTTACATTAGAGGTTACCCAACCACTTTTAGGTAGAATCGCGCTTTTTGAATGCATTGAGACTCTTCAATTTGAACGTACATTCAAGTGTAATTTAGAATGAAGTCACACCATGAATTAATTCTTACATTTTCAATAGAGTTCGGGGAGAAGGCCGAACACCTTTTTTTTTCTTTCATGAGCACATATGAGAATTATAGAAGTATCCAAGCAATGTTCTAGCAAGGCAGTTATGAAGGTGCCAAATAATCGATTGTATAAAGTTGAGCTGGCCACACCATACCAAATTACAAAGAGTTTAACTGAAATTTAAAATGAGGAACGCAGTTAATTATCAGCAGCAGTCTATAAGCAGGTACAATCTCTGCCAAAACCAAACTATTACACAGGCCATACTATTAGTACCTGCTTTCTAACGACAGGATTTACATAACAAATAAGAATGTACTCATGCTAAGGGCGACGACCAATAAATATTTTAGGCATACAGATGCCTACCAAGAATGAACACCACAAATGAAAATTCTCATTAGACTGTGCAACATCAACGGCTATGCCTGTGGAGAGGAGAAGGAAAGGAAGGAAGTGTCGCAGAGAGCCTCCAAATTTTCAATCTACTGGCGCTGCAAAAGGTTGCTGAAACCATAAGAAAGGGTAGTAAAAGAGAAGTAAAAAGAGTGGATAGAGGAGATAGTTAGCAATATCTAAGACAAAAACTCAGCAGATACAAAGGAATTTCTGATTGTATGATCTCAGAAGCAACATACATGAAGGAAACTTAACTTATTTCAAGAGCTTACCATCATGGTTCTGGAAGCGGGCTTATTGCATAGAAATCATAGAGAAAGCAACTAAATCATGAAACCGCATATTTTGCAAAAGTAAACTGTGACCACACAGGCGAATGGATCTGCGATTAAATTTCCATAATTGACCACTTGAGCAGATAAATGACAACGAATATACCAACAAGAGAGGAACAATACCATTAAGCCGAATTGAAACCAAGTCCCCGATGACAACCTACTGTGGACACATTCCAACTCTTAAATTAAGTATGGAAATTATCTCTAAAGTACTGAATGGAAGGCATCATCAATATGTCAGCTTACCTGGAACTAAAAACGGCTTATATGATCTGAAACTTGGTTAACTCGGTAGCTCCAAACCCCAATTGGGAACCCAACGACTTAATTAAATTAATTCAAGCGCTTCATTGCCCAACAATGGCGCAACAAAAAACTCTCAAAGTTAGAGACACACAGAACATATATAACAACAGATGAATGGATTTGCATTGAGATCGGGAGCAGAGAATCGCATAGGAGATTTGAAGATTAGCATCAGGATAAAGGAGAGAAGAAGATCTGGAGCTGAAGGCCCACATCCATTATCAACTTCCGAAACATAGGGTCCACCTCAAAAGTCACGGATCATAAAGAGGAAATTGAGTGGAAACTAAAAAAAGTGGGAGATGGAGGAGCTACTGTGAGAGTCGGTCGTTGGTACTACTCTGTCGACTCTGCCCGTTGTGGTTCTCATCGCCGTTAGTTGTGGTTACTCACGATCACGAACGTATATCCACACCCTGAAACGAAAGAAGCAAAAGAGATGGAAGGAGAACAAATTAATGATCCGACACCAAAGAGAATGAATGTTGTACATATAAAGAAGGGAAGGACGGCCACTGCTGGGTTTCAACGCATTCATTTTCTTCGAAAACGAAGGCAGGCGCGCATTGCTCTCTTTGGCTGGCTATAGCAACTTCTTCACCTTGGCAGGATAAATCTGAACAAAAACCACAAAGCCCGGCATTGATTAAACCTGATCCCAAACTAACTTACACAAACCAGTCTAACAATCATGATAGGCATTTATGGCCAGCGAGCGTTACTCAGGTTCCTCTTTGAAAGGATGGAGGGGAGAGAGACCTGTGATTTGTGGAGACTCTTGCGGCAATCATAGTCGCCGGAGTGCGACAAGAAAGAGGAGAGAAGGAAAGGGTCCTCTGGTCGCACCGATGAGTTGAGAGAAGGGAAGAAGAGGAAGGGAGAGAGAGAAGAGAAAGAGAAAGAGGTTTATGTGGATTAATTTCCAGTTTTGCAGTAGCTACCCTCCAAGCAAACTGATAAGGCCAGATGAGTTGGGTGAAATGAGTGGATCACAATGAATGGAGAACGTGGCGTTTAATCCACCAAGCAAGAACGAAAAATATCCCTGCTCCTCTCTCTTTTTGTGAGCCACCCCCATCTCCTCAAGCTTTCTTCCCTCGGCAGGCTCTGCAATCCTCTAATTGAAGCCCCACTCTTAACCTTTTCTCACAAGTGTCAAGTCAAATCAGTAGAAAAAGAAGGTCGCCTCCGCGCAATCTCTGAAAGGGTAAGTAGTCGGTGAGGGACGCAGAACTCGAGGCGAAAACAATCCGCCGAGTGATCTACGCGCGTGAGGGACACATAGATGGCACCCGACCAGAAGGTAACTAACTTCAAAACTGAACTAAACGTTAGAAATCCCATTCCGATCGAAAGAGCCCCCACGTGCACCTACCCACACCAGAGCCCCATCCCAGTCGTAACAGTACATATGAGTCTATATGTGCAGTAAAATGTCTCTGCATGCACAGTAAATGGGTATTAGTAGGTTTTCTTTTTTCAATTACAAAGTTATTAATTAGCACATTTTTGTTATATATATATTTTTCGTACATGTTCCAAGTTCCACCACGAATTCAAAATTAGTGGGCGTGTATGGCCTAGCAATAGCTATTTGTGACTTGTGATCCACATACATAAGGGACCCTTCCCCTCCGAGATATTTTAGTTCACAGCGAAAAATAGTTTTGGCGAGAGTGTAAATCGGATATGAAATCAGTCATTATTTATGTCTGGTTTGGAAGTATTACACGGCTCGATTCCGTCAGCTAACTACTACGTGTCCGAAAACATTGAAATACTTTCGAGGTATTAGTAAAATTCAATGCAATAGCACGAGTTTTTGTCCATAAATAGCTCATTAGGTCTTGCAAATAAAGAGGGCCTCTCTCTCTCCTGCTTTTTTTTTTTTTTTTTGACCGGAGTATCGTGCTACTTTTAGTTTTCGATGGGAAGAACGGAAGAAGGCCAAACAAATTGATGAAATGAAAAGGTCTCATTTATGCACGTGCTTAATTTAGTTGCGGAGAGAACTAGGAAGTAGGAGGTTTGTAGTAGTAGTAGTTAACATATTAATCACGCGAGATGCATGCGGCTCTTATTCATTTCGGCAACTTCTTCCGGCCGGGCACGTCGTGGTAGCAAAATACCATTTTAATTGCTTTGCAAAATGACTAAATCGAATCATTCTTTTGTTTTGCGCTATAAGAATAACAACTAGCTTATTACCCGGCCCGTTGGCCGGATTACTGTATGTTACCCACTTGTGGAATGGGAGAGAAAGCAAGTGAGAGTGAAGGGATTGAGATTCCACTTGATTAGGACCGGCCCACTAATCCGATTCTTCCCGACCCGCCCCAACCTAAAGGGTCAGAAAGAGCCAATAAGAAAATACGAACGGAGAGAATTAGTAATATATCTTGACTCTTCAGAAGTGGGTCAAATAGGATAAAGGTTGGGTGAGGGCAATTTTTAGCGCTAAGCAGAGTTCTGGGTTGAATAACTTTACTTAGGCCTAGAAATTGGTGCTGATGCAGACTGCAGTTTTTATCATACCATCATCAATCATCATTGAATTAGTCCTGGGCATCCCTCCCCGTTGTCGGTCTGAATTTTAATGATGGCTTCATTCCTTACACCAGCCATATCAGCGAGTTGTCATCTCGAGCATGATTTGCCTATGTACAAATGATACAATTAGAGTATGAAACTGAATTCAAAGAAAAGGAAAAGAGAATTCTATCACATGCCAATAAATACACACATAATAGTTGAAGCTAAGTGAAAGTCATTACTCGCACATCAATTCTCAAAAATTACAGACTAAACAATGGCTAGAATGGCACTGAAACTACCAAGAATCATGGACGAAACAACTTGTCAAATTTAATAATCCTTATACTGAAACTACCTTCTAACTTGAAATAAGACATGATCACAGTTCATAGCACTCTTATCACTATGAATTGGTTGCAGCTCGTCCTTATCACTACCTCCCAAGCTCAATTCAAACAGAATAGACACAGTTATGTAAGATAACCATATCCTTACTGATCATAATTCCTTTCTTCACTCCATTTTTGTCTGAGAAAAGAGTTATCCCCCTCTCATGCATTTCCCTTTCCCCCTCTCTTCTCCCTCTTCTTCACAAACCGATCCCTAAACCAGAAACAACAACACAAAATAGCCTTCGCCTCTGCCATCTCCATCTACTGAACGCGTTGGTGGCAAGACAGGATTGCAGAAGCAAAATTTTCTAAAATCAAACTAAATTTTTTGAAGGACACTCAACCACGAAAAAAGAGTAAAGCAACAATGCTAATAGTTCAGATGGTTGGTTTTGATGTTATACGTTGCTTTTGTTATGGTCTCCAGTGTATCAACTGCAACAGAGATGTTTCCTCCAATCATCTTTAGTGCATGATTTAGAAGTAAGTCCTCTTGTTTGTGTCAAACAGAAACATTCATGGGTTCTTAACTCCCCTGTTAGTGTAAATGCATCAGCAGCAAAGAAGTTTGACAACACAGCAAGCACCCAGGCAAAATGATACAATGCAGTAGGTGATATGTGTCTCAAAGGTTTTGAGTTACTAAAGTTCATGTTAAAAATAAACATGAATTAAAATGGATTATTCTATTAAGCAAACATCCCCTCTAATCATACAAAGATCATATATCTAATTCACAAACAATTAAGCCATAAAAAATCATCACACATCCACCACCTTTGATTGCCTATATTTGGTTTTTCGCAAAGTTGTGGACTCTTAAGGGTAAAGTTCATGGGTAGTCTGTTTCATAACTCTAGAGAGCACAGTAAGCAGCCACCAACCAGACACAGTGCGGTAGGCGAATATGATTCTCAATTCACAATTTCTCACCACCGGAAGTAAGAACAGAACATAATAAGCGTAGCGTTCATGGGTGGTCTGTTTCATAGCACTACTACACAATTTGTTAAAAAAGAAAGAAAGGTATTTAGCATCACGGCGGAACAACTTTTACAGGCCAACAACGACAACATGCTGCAACCACCAGAATTGGTATCACAACTCATAGGGAAAGTCAAAAGATTTACTCTTAAATTAAGTAGTTACAACATCGAGCAATCGTCAAGCACATACACCATCACAAAAGTCACAGAACCTGATTCACAAAGCATTCAAACATTTGAGGACATTTCTGCAAAGATACAACTTATATGTCTTTTTTCCAAGCCATTACCATCAACATGCTAATAAATTTGCAATGCATAAAACAAATGGGCCAAAACTTGAAATTCAACCTGTTTGACCGACCCATGCCAAATTCTAATTATTCTTTACTTTTAAACTTTCTATTTGAAAATAAAAAAATAGTGAAGGAAAAAAGACGACTACAATTCGCCATTTGCACATACTTATTCGGGAATAAAACCATATAAATTAAAAAAGAACTGAAAATGTCGAGGATCTTTTTAATGTTTAAAATAACCAAATAGATTTTTATGTTTAGTTTTTTACTAACAAATACCAAAGGATTCCCTATAAAATACACTATAATTTGATCATTATGATGTCAAATAATTATAAAATATATATTTGAAATGATAAAAATTGGACTAATTGGGTTGGTCGAGGTTGAACCATTGAATAATTTTAAAATACATTATATTTTAGCCACTAAGATATAAAATAATAGCATAATATATATTATGCCAGAGAAAATAGCTTGTTTTAGAATGGCAAACCCATGATGTTCATTTGTTTTACTTGATGACCAAATCCCATGTAGGTCAGGCCCATTCAACTCTTTTAATTTATGGTTAGCGGTTAGCCCATTAGATACCATGCATTAGTCTATTGTTAAATTTTTTAATTTTAACAATAAAAAGGAGTATTATTTTTGCCTTTTCATATATATTTTATCACCACGGATAAATAAAAGGGTATAAAGAAAAAAATTGACACTCCTTGACTCGTTTAAATCCGCATGTGTACGGTAAGTTGGCCCGTTCCATAGAGGAAAGAAAAAAAATTGACACTCCCTATTTAACCCTTCCTACAAACGCTCATAGAACAGGGAATTTGAAATGGGGGAAGAGTTTTTTCCACCCTGCTATTATATGTTTTTAATTTAAAAGGATACAACAAATGTACTTAGTGTGATTGGTTATGATCCTTGCCTTTCTTTAAAATGGTCATGGTTCGAATCCCAGTACATACCTTTTAATGAATAAAAAAAAGTAATTGTGAAGACCAAAATGTCCTTCCTACTTTCACTCTCGTTGTAGGAAATTTGAAATGGGGCTCCCGTTTTTCCCTTCGGTGTATTATATTATGTGTAGATGGTACAAATTGGGCACGGACCAGCGACGGATCCAGAATACAGAAGAGCACTGGGCCGCATTTTATTAAAATATTAGAACCATAAAAAAAATATTATAGTTTTTTTTACAATATAAATTGTACACGACGGTATTTTAATTTAGCGAATGCATCAATAATGGAGTCCACATCCATACCAATTGTATACATTGTTTTAAATAAAATACTTTAGCAATCGGCTAGAAATTCATCCTTCATTTTGTTGCGAAATCAGTTTTCATATGTTTCATTGTTGAAAAAGTTCTCCTTCTAGTTGTTGTTGATACGAGCATTGTCAACACTAGACAAATCAATCGTGCATTGTGTGTCCATACCTACATCCACTAACTGCTTTAGTAAATTTTCAAGGGAATAAACCTCATATTTCTTATAGTCTTTTACGTTTTAGACTTTTAGAATTTTAGATTTCATTGTTTTTTTAGAAAAATAGTCTTTGGAGTTAGAATTTCTAGACTAAATTTATAGTAGTGATTTGAATACGTTAATCCGAATCATTTTTCTAGTTACACCCAATCTTATTATAAAATAACACTAAGCCGAATAACTAAAATCGAAAAATTTATAAACACTATACTAACTCCGAATCCAGGGGAGGGCTGGACCGGGGCCCGGGGTGGTCACCCCCTGGATCCGCCACTGGCACGGACATGTTGCTATCCACGACTAGCTCGTGATAGATCCGTTCGGGTCGGATAATTTATCTTGAGGTATAAGTTGGAACAAATCAAATTCCTATGAGTATGTATTTCAAAGGAAAGAGACTTGAGATGCTTTTGTATTAAGCGTTTGATAAGGAAAAAAAGAATGACCTAATAGTTAAAGTTAAACAAGCAAAGTGATCTAGTAGGACGGATCAGGTCAAGGTTATAACACTTAATTTATACTTTTTCTAGCATTATTGTTTGATTCTCCTGCTAAGAAATAAAAACGGTTGTACACCTTCAAATTCTAACTGATGATCAATCAGTAAAACATGAATTTTTTAGATCCACACACTTATCATGATTTCGTTTTGATCAATCTAGTTATGACTTATGATCCATTATAGCCTCAAAAGATCTAATATACATACATTATCGGACCTTTTGAATAACAGTCAAGTAGACCTATGAGCCAAGGAGTATGATATATATATATATATATATATATATATATATTTGCAATGATACCACCAAAACTCTAATATTCCACAAATGTATAGCCAAACAAAAAGTTGTACATAACATCTATATGTTATTTATCAATTATGTGATCTGAAAAACAATATGAATCTTGCCGTTGGAATTTATGAATTTATATGGTAAACGAAAAATGACAAGAATTAACGACTAGATACTAACAAGTAGCACGAGCAATAATCTGCCGAGTATTTAAAAGGAAAGCCGAATTCTCATAATCCCAACAACCAAATCCGTTCAAACAAAGCATTGTGCAGCTGTGCTTCGATCTGTCTGTCGCCAACAAAACTGAGATCTTGGTTGTTGCAAGGAAAAACAAAAGAAATTGGATTTCCAAATCCATTGAGGTAGAGGACGTTATCCAAACGGAGTTAAATGTTGTCTTCCTCTTTTTTTTTTTTTTTTAATAGTTAGATTGGAACCCAAGATGTGCGTCCATAACAAGGTCATAGAACTTATTAGGAGAATTTGAACGGCATTGAAAAATTGTATGAGATTGTGTTTCGGCATTAAATTTCGGAATGAGCATCGAGCATTTTGTAGGTGATGAACTTTCCTCGAATGGTTGGAATGAGATTTTAAAACGTTATTAATTATCTCTGAGTTGAGATCTTATTTCTATATTAATGATAGCTTTACCATGCATATACTTATGAGATCGTTTCACATACTTTTGACAACTGAAATCATCAAATACATTATCCATTTGAAATTTTTTTTTTTTTTTTGCGACTAATACCACTTTGCCGCGATTCAATCTCTTCAGAGCAACCAACATCCAAGAACCAAGACACACAAATTAACTTTTAGTAGTCCAAGCAAAACTCACTTTTTCCCCCTCAAGTAAAAAAAGATGGCAAACAAAGTTAGGGAGATGAAAACTTGGAATTGGGTTTGAACTTGTACGTCTCATCGGAGCACTCAATTGCAGAGTTGATCATCTTTGATTAACCTTTTTTAATTAAAGTGTCCTTGCTGACCAAACAAATCTGAATTAGTAAAAACTAAAAAAAAAATCATAAAATAATAAAAAGGGAGAGGACGAGCGAAGAATCCTTCAAACCCGCCCGCCACCAGACAGCAGGACTGACGATTCGCCCCCGTCCGTCCGTGACGGAACCGTACCACTTCACCGTAACTCTCAAATCTCAATTCAGCCGTCTCCTCGCCGTTACTTTCTCTTCCAAATTTACTTTGTTATTTAATTCTCCCGAACGGTGACACTTGTATTCTAGTGCTTTTCATTCTCACCACTATGACAAATGAGACTTGAAACGACAAAAAGAAAAAGGTATTGGAATTTGATTTTAGATAATTATCAAAAATTATGTTAAGAAATCGTAAATGGAAGAAATTGACGAAATACTAAGACCGAGAATCACAATACCGCCAAGATTAGCACACACAAAATTACCAATTTCGAGTCAGGATACCTAGAATAGGAATGACGAATTGTATTATAATCCTCATGAAAGAATATCCTTATTCTAAATGTCCTTAGAACAATAGCTAGATTGTGCAAAGTTATATGTGTCAGTGTCGCAAGCTAATTGGTCCAACAATTCACCTTCTCAAACGAAAAATTAACTCATAGCGGTATGAAGAGACTTGAACACATGCCTTCAACTATCAGATCAAATTCTGATACCGTGTCACAAAATAATTGATCTAATAACTCGACTTATTCAGAGAAAGTGGACCCTAACATCACAATAAATCGAATTGTCTGGAGACACTGTGCCGGAATCTTTTAACTCCAATACCGACTTCTTGTTTGACTTGTCGCCGGAGAAGCAAGAGCCGGGACCCGCGAACCCTCCCCCGGCACTTCACAAATCTTCATCTGTGCTCCGGCGCCGGTCCCACACCACTTGATACTCCACCATCTCCCATCTGTACATTACTTTCATCACACTTGTACATTGACAACAGAATAATGATAAATAAATAAAAAAACAATTACAAAACGGAAAATGGAAAATTCCCATCCCCACAAAAGCCGAAAAGACCAAAGAGGCCAAAAAGGAAACGCCACCGCATCCCTTTCATTCATTCTGTTCTTCTCTCCTTCACAGAAAAAAGGGGAAATTTTCACAAAAAGAAAAGGAAGAAGGTATTTTTTTTCATTAAATTATATAAAGGGGGAAAAAAATGTAGAGGAAAAGGAAATATCTTGAATGTGAATAATAATGTCTTCACCATGTTTTCATGCCTTTGTCCCCTCTTTACGGTAAAGCATTAATACCGCCAATTTCTCTTGTTTTTATACTTTTTATTCACTTTTCCTAATTGCAAATTAGAATAAGGGTGGAAAAGTGGAATGCTCCTCCATTGCTCTTGATATAATTAGAATTTAGAACCCAAAACCACATTGTTCTGCATAATCCATAATTCTGTAAAATACATATCAATACGAATGTCCCACAAATGTTATGTATAAGCTCGAAGAATAAATTATAGTCTGCCACATCAATAACATGTAAATCTAATTATCTAAATATATTTGATGTTTTGATGGAGTGGGAAATTCTGTAATAAAGTTAGTTCGGTAAAAGTAGGGTTGACAACCAGTATCTCAATCCGACGATAACATCTTGACAAATGACCACTTCATTATTGTAGCTTAGATGATAGTGATCGAATCGATTTGTTAGTTGAAACAACATTTCCTTAATCATCACTGCATAATTATTTTTGTTTAGATGAGATTAGTGAGATGCTCGATGGGACTAGTGGCGATGAGGCTGCACAACGCTTTTATTGAGAGTTGGTGACTCTCTGTGATGTTCGTAGGTGGTGCGTGCAGTTGGGTTTGCAAATAGGCTGTACTCGAGGTTGATGCAAAAAACAGTTGTTGACCAAGTGAATAATCAAAGTCGGAATGATGTGCTTGGTGATGCGGTATTTGAAGAGATACAAGGCTTGTATACACATATTCCTAGCTATCACAATCGATTTCTTCAATAATAGAATAATAGAGTGACCTTTTTTTTTTAAGATGATCTTTTATCCCATAACCAAAACAAGGGAAGCAGACAAGTTACATGTATGACGACAAGACTGAGATTTTATTTTGTTCCTTTCCGACTCAAGCGGAAGCATTTGCTCTTCTCCACGTTGTCATGCTTGCGGTTCAAGAGAACTACACTAGTATCAAATTTGATTGTCACGTTTCGACACAAGCTCTACTGAAAGTTTCAGATCTCTGGCCATGGCATTGCCGAACAACGTTGACTCGTATCATCCACGTCATTTTAATGTTGGCTCAAAATGTCATATCTTTATGATCTCCTCGTGTTGTCATGGATTAGTAGTGTACCTCACCATCTTGGTTCGGTTAACACAAGCTAACTATATTTTGAAAAAGAAAAACCCGTTGAGTCCTTTTTCAGTTGCCGTCTCAGTTCCTTTCGACGGTTCATTGCATGTGTCAATGGAATTAGGAGATACTCATGTATCATATAACACAAAACTTTTTTGGCCCAAAATTACGCATAATAATTATTTTTCTATATAAAATGACAATATTAGTTCCTTTAGCAAATTTGTAGGAAGGGCAAATTGAAATAAATAAAAAATCCCCAAATTTGTGTGTATTTGTTTACTCAGTGGTGGGATCTTCCAGGGTTCTACGGCAGGAGCCAATTTGACTTTTGGAGAGAAAGAAAGAGGAGAGGAGAAGAGGAGGAGGAAAAATGGCGAGGAAAAATCAAGCCTTTGCCTTGATTGCTAGGATATTACAGAATTTTCCTTCCTAATTTCCCCTCCTTTCACCCCTCTTTTAATGGCCTTGGTTTGAGTTTCTGGGTATTCCAGCGCAGATCGGATTCTTCAATTCCCTTCAACAATGGATTCCTCTTCCAATGTTTCTCTTGATTGCTGATAGCCCTTTTCAGCTCCCCTCTCCCTCTTTAATGGGTTGCAGGAAATTCACTCTCTTCTTAACTTTCCCCAACCACTTTTTCGAATCCAGTCCTTCGGCCGCCGCCGTGCAGACGGCGGAGTTGTAACGAATCGCCGACGTTTGAGAACAGAAAAGAAGAAGAAGGAGGAACCACGGAAGAGAAGGCAGAAGAAGAATCGGCGATGGAGGAAACGAATTCCTCCTGGCTACGGCGGACGAAATACTCCCACACGGTTTGCCATCGCTTCGAAACGTCGCAGCTGGCATCGTACCGTTTCGACGTCGAGCAAGAGCAGCAGCAGCGGCGGGGGACGAGGTCGTTTAATGGGTTAGCGTCTTCTGTGGAGAAATCGATTTCCGCTTTCGACCAGAAATTAGTTTCCAAGCCCAATCGGGATTCTAATCGGCGTGATTCCGTTTCTGGTGCTATTTCGATTTCTCCCCCTTCCCCTCTTTCCCCTCCGGCGTTAAATCGCCGCGTTTACTCCCAGATTCAGCGCAATCCGGTGATGAACAAGCAGAGATCTATGTCGCCGGTGCCTCAGACCTCCGTCCCGGATTCGTTCAAGGAAGCTAAGTCAGACAAGAAGCGGTATTCAACCCCTCACCCTAGGCGGAGGAAAGATCATCACGAGAGTAAAGGAATCATGGGGAAATTGTGGCATCACAACCACAAGCCGCACCAGCAATCTCACGAATCCAAGGCCGTCGAATCGAAATCGGTCGTCGAATTGAGCAAGAACGATAACAACAACAACGCGAGCCCAATTCGGCACCTGAATTCGGTAAAGGGGAAGCAATCGGCTTGGACGAAGTTCTTTGACCACGCCGGAGGGAGAGTCAACGCGGTGGAAGCTGCAGATGAATTCAGCGTCGACATGTCGAAGCTTTTCTTGGGTCTGAAATTTGCTCACGGAGCTCATAGCAGGTTGTACCATGGGTTGTACAACGATGAGCCTGTTGCGGTGAAGATGATCAGGGAACCAGATGATGACGAAAATGGAGCACTAGCTGTTCGATTGAAGAGCCAGTTCGATAGGGAGGTCTGCCTCTTGTCCAGGCTCCGCCATCCTAATGTGATTAGGGTAAGTACAGCTCCTGATCTTTATGCTTGAAATTGGTTGTCCTGAGTATCATGTAATACTGATTGTTTCGTTTTCTGCACTACACAGTTTGTGGCAGCTTGCAAGAAGCCTCCAGTCTACTGTGTTATAACCGAGTATCTACCTGAGGGATCGTTGAGAGCATACTTGCACAAGCTAGAGGAGAAGTCTCTGCCTATGGAGAAGATAATAGGTTTTGCATTGGACATTGCTCGAGGGATGGAGTACATTCACTCTCGTGGTGTAATCCATCGTGATCTAAAGCCGGAGAACATTCTGATCGACGAGGATTTCCATTTGAAGATTGCTGATTTCGGTATAGCTTGCGAGGAGGCTTACTGTGATATGTTGGTTGATGATCCGGGTACATATAGATGGATGGCGCCCGAGATGATCAAGAAGAAATCCTATGGTCGAAAGGTCGATGTGTACGGATTCGGGTTGATGCTCTGGGAAATGGTTGCTGGAACAATTCCATATGAGGAGATGAATCCCATTCAGGCTGCTTTTGCGGTGGTTAACAAGGTAATGATTTGGATTGCTATCATCCATTTCTCATATGCTTTCTTCTAGTGTCATATTGAATTGATGGTTTGTTTGATGGAAAGATTGAAACTTAATTTTCCGGGTAAGGTTGTTTATGGGAATGAGTTGACAAAAGGAGATGTTTGAGAAGCTTTTGTGGTGGTCATTAATGAAGCACAATTTTTATGGTCCCCTCCCAACTTTCCATAAGGGATAAGAATGGGAATGAAAGAATGCAGATTGACAGAAAAATAGTGTCTTTGATAGTTTGGGCAAAACCCCATAAGTTTGTCCCTCCCCTAATGTGGAATAAATTTCCTTTTGGTTTTTTTTCCAGAACTTGAGGCCGGTGATTTCTGCGGATTGCCCTCCGGCAATGAAAGCCTTGATTGAGCAATGCTGGAGCTTGCAGCCAGAGAAGAGGCCGGAGTTTTGGCAGATCGTGAGGGTGTTGGAGCAGTTCGAGACGTCGTTGGCTCGGGATGGGAATCTGAACTTGGTCTTGAACCCAAGTTGCCATGATCACAAGAAGGGGCTTCTCCACTTGATTCAAAAGCAAAAGCTTGGCCCTGTGCATCCTAATAGTTGCCCAACGCCCAAACCTAAGTTCATGTGAATGAATGAATCCCTCTCTCTTGTTTAAATGTCTCGGCTTGTGTTTTTTGGTAGTGGGCTTGGGTTACTTGTAATTAGAAAAACAAAGGAATGAAGAAGGAAACAGGAAATGACATGTTTTTGTCTCCTCTCTTCGACTCCATCTGTGCAATCCACATTGATATGGGAATTTGAATGAAATTTTTTGGTTTGCTTGTTGCCATATCTCCAAAGCTATACAATCTTTGCCTATCTTTTAGATTGTTTTGTCTCGTAGCAGAGCAACCCATAACACCAATATTGTCGTTTCCTATTAGATTTTGTGATTCCATCATACATGGAAGGATAGTTTGTTGGCCGAGACAAATCAATTGCAACCATATGACTATAATATACCAAACAAGAGAGTTTGTTTTGCTTCCTTGCAATTTTCTTCCTTCCCATGTTGGTTGGCTGATGTATTTTAGGATTGTTTGGGAATTGATTGTGGAATAGAGACTTGGGAAGTTTGCAGTTGTTATCTGTTTGTTGTGTCGCGGGTGAAGGTGAGCAAAGAATGCAAGGTGGATTCATCCGATGTTTACATGATTTTGGGTTGAGATGTCATTCTTTGTTGTCTATGACTATTGTGTGACCTTTTGCTTTAGGTTGATGAAAATAGCAATGAGGCTAAAGTACTTGAAGAGGAGAACATTGATTGCTTGTAGAAAAAGTTTGGTTTGGTATGTATGAAGAATGAAGCATTTCTCCACGGACAAAAAAGAAAATACTATTATTCCTAGATTGTTGAATTCCAAATGGTTAGGCTTGGGGTAATTTAGAATTTTTTGTGTGTTTCTCTTTCTGCTAAAAGAATTATGTGTTGACCCACATGTAAATTCCTATTATTCGCACACATAAAATGTCCTTAATGGATATATGATGAGATGATTTATTTACAACACAAAGGTATACAAAGTCAATCAAGCTCAATTTGATTTTTGTTTAGTTCTCTTATCTCATTACAAAAGAAGATTTCTTTTGTTATCTTGTACCTTTGTTTATGGAAATGAAATAAATATAGTACAAAATCACTGTATATTTTTCTTTGGTGTAATAAGATGCAACTTACACGCTATTAATTTTGTGCATTTTTAATGAAGTGATATTTTATTCATGTAAATGAAGATTTTTCGATAATATTATGATTGTAAAGCTACTAGGTCGCCAACTAGATTATGCGATTGTTGGCTCAATTTTTAGTGAAGTTCAAATGAGCAGTCATTGCTACGATGATTGCTTCTAAATCAATGTGTACATGGCGCATATGAAGGTGACTATAATAATACTACAATAGATACTAAACAAATGAAATACATACAACTATAAGTATACGACATAGGCACTGGAGCAACGATTAAAGTTGAAGGGGAGATAGAGAAAAGGGAAATGACCATTCTTTTCTCCTCGTGACATGAGCCACAAGGTATTAGTCATGTTTTCACCTTGGTATTTTGACTTTTATATTTTGTTGAGTCTTTAGGTTAAGCCGATGAGCGTTCCTAAGGCCGCGAGTTAAAGTCTCTCTCACTCTAACATATTTTTTTAATAACTAACATGAAATTTATTTCTTAAAAAACATTGGGCAGCAAAGCACAATTCGCTGAAAGTTTAGTAATTAAAAAGACAGGTGACTAGAAAACTGGATATTTGTTTCTGCCCATCTCCAGTCACTCTTGGTCATCTCATGAGCCACTTTATTCCAGCATCGACCCCAAAATCTCCAATCCACCATTCACATCTCCTTGTCCTTCTGCCTGGTTTCTTCATAAATCCTAGTTCTTTCCAACCTCGTAGCCTCCTGATGGTGAAGCTTATGAATCATTGTTTGGCAATTGGTCTCAATAATGAGAGGAGAGAAAGAATGTGTCTGCATGAGCCTCTTTCTCAAAATCATCGCGTGGGCTTTTGCTAACTTTGGTGTCCGATGAACATATTTTGAATCCCTTCTAATTGCAGCTTGTCTTTATTTTTTCCTAAAGGAAATTGAAATATTTGACCATGAATATAGAGTTCTTGGTACTCCTACTTCAAAATCTTTGTTTTGATATATGTTTAGTTTCCTTCAATATCTCATAACAAAACAGAAAAATAATTCCTTCCATATCTAACAATTTACTTACAAAGGTTCCATCACTTATTGTATAGGAGAAAAATTTGAAAGTCTAGCTACTGAGTGATTTTTCATGGAAATATTATGAGCCTTGTATTTGCTCATGCAATAGCATGCATCAATGTGCATCACAATGTGTATGATCATATGAACAAGATCATGCAATGTACCACTATGTAATGTATACATGATCCTATTTTTGTGTTCGGCCCATTTTCGGAGGATATCATCTTAACTAATTCAATATTATTATCATGAAAATTTTTTAATCTCATAACTTTTTTGTCATGCTGAGCCAGATTCGTATTATCAAGTATTCATAGACATCCATCCAAAATTCACTTTATATATTTTGCATCGCGCTGAACACTTTCCTTATGATATCTCGACCAATATATTCGATGTTTAGTTACCAACTAACTTGCCCTATTCCACATCAACCTCACATACTAATCCTTGTATTAATTTTTGTTTTCAGAGGCGTCCCTGGCTGGCTTTTCGTGGGCAGAGTGTTCATGGCCGCCACACGCTACAATAAGTTATCCATTAAAATCACAGGGTCAGGAACTGTTGATCATGAAGGGGCCATTCTATAATGCAGTTTTTTTAAGTTGAATTATTGAGGGAGGGGGGTTAAGAACTTGATTAATCTGTTAGTTAGTACTTAGTAAACGTTATCTTGTGGGATTAGGTGGGTTGATGATGGGAGTGTCATAAGAGAAATACTCCCATCACTTCGAAATTTCTGTCTTGAAAATGATGATTCAGTATGACATTTTAATTAGTTGGTGCAGATGCAATGAAACTAAAACGTCAGCTGATAGGAGAGAGGGGGGGGATTAGTGGCCCAAATTTGTTGATGTAAGATTTGTCTTCTTTGTCTGTTTGTAATTAGTAATGAGGAAGAAGAGGGTGTCTAGTTGTTTGGATTTTTTTTTTATTTTCAATCACAAAATAATGGTGTTTGTGAAATCGTATTGTACTGGACGGTAGAAAATGTTACGTTATGTTCGTATTAGTTTTGTTTGTTTTTTATCATGGTGTAAAATTGCTTTTAAAAAATTTAATATTTTATATCGCCTTTCGTTATATTTTAATTTTATTTTTGTTCTTACCAAATATACCAAATTAGAAATGGTAATTACAAACAGTCGTCTTGGGAGTAATTAATTAGAAACGGTAAGGAGATTAGAGAGGCCTAATGTGGTAAAATCGGCCTGCCATTTCACTCGGCTGGATCTGTAACTCCCACATCTGGGCTTCAAGCCCAAAATCTTTTCCAAGTTTATTGGGTTAGAGAACAGTGACGTTTATTTGTATTACGGCCCAGTACTGATCTGCAAACCAGGAAAAAAGCTTCTACTAGGGTTTCTCTCTAGCTCTCGAGTCTTCCATCCAGGCTTGTTCCAAAACCTCTTCACCTTTCTTCCGCCGGAAAAATCAATCCTCAGTGTTCACTACTCAGATCAGAAAACAATCAAACCATGGCTTTCGAAGTCGGCGCTGTCCCGTTCAATCCCGACGGCTGGGGTCCACCGGACGCCACCACGACCATCACCAACACCTCGTCTCTACCGCTCAACGTCCCCTTCGCTCCCTTCTCCCGCGCCGAGAAGCTAGGGCGAATCGCCGACTGGACCCGCAACAATCCGAACGCCGGTAGGCCCAACGCCGGGAAGAACGCGTCCGATTCGGTATTCGATTTCACAGCCGACGATTCCTTCCCCGCCGCAGGCGGAGCTGGGGACGAGGACTTCCGCCTCGTAGACGGGAAGCTTCCCACCCGTCCGAAATTCGGTCCCAAGTGGCGGTTCAACCAGCACCGGCCGCAGCTCCCCCAGCGCCGCGACGAGGAGGTCGAGGCGAAGAAGCGGGAGGCGGAGAAGGAGAGGGCGCGGCGCGACAGGCTGTACAACCTCAACCGGTCGAACCAGAACCAGCAGCGTCGTGAAGCGGCGGCGTTCAAATCGTCGGTGGATATTCAGCCCGAGTGGAACATGTTGGATCAGATCCCCTTCTCGACGTTCTCCAAGCTCTCGTTCGCCGCTCCAGAGCCGGAAGATCTGCTCCTCTGCGGCGGATTGGAGTTCTATGATCGGACCTACGATAGGGTCACGCCCAAGAGCGAGCGCCGGCTGGAGAGGTTCAAGAATCGCAACTTCTTCAAGGTTACCACCACCGATGATCCGGTGATTCGCAGGCTGGCAAATGAGGACAAGGCTACCGTATTTGCGACTGATAGTATTCTGGCCACTCTGATGTGTGCTCCAAGGTCAGTTTATTCATGGGATATTGTGGTTCAGCGAGTTGGGAACAAGCTGTTCTTTGACAAGCGCGATGGTTCCCAGCTCGATTTGCTTTCGGTGCACGAGACGTCGCAGGAGCCTTTGCCCGAGGCAAAGGATGATATCAACTCTGCTTATTCATTGAGTGTTGAAGCTGCTTACATTAACCAGAATTTCTCCCAGCAAGTTTTGATTAGGGATGGGAAGAAGGTTACTTTTGATGAACCAAACCCTTTTGCTAGTGAGGGAGAGGAAGTTGCCTCTGTCGGGTATAGGTATAGGAGGTGGAAGCTTGACAACGAAATGTACCTCGTTGCTCGATGTGAGGTGCAGAGCGTTGCTGAAGTTAACAACCAGAGGTCGTTCATGACTTTGAATGCGCTTAACGAGTTTGACCCCAAGTATTCTGGTCTTGACTGGAGGCAGAAGTTGGAGACTCAACGAGGTGCGGTTTTGGCTACCGAGCTAAAGAACAATGCTAACAAGTTGGCCAAGTGGACTGCGCAGGCGTTGTTGGGCAGCGCGGATATGATGAAATTGGGATATGTTTCTAGAGTTCATCCTAGGGATCATTTCAACCATGTGATTCTGGCTGTTGTTGGTTACAAGCCTAGAGACTTTGCTGCACAGATTAATCTGAACACTTCCAACATGTGGGGTATTGTGAAGAGCATCGTGGACTTGTGTATGAAGCTGAACGAGGGCAAGTACGTGTTGGTGAAAGATCCTTCTAAACCTCAAGTGAGAATATATGAGGTTCCTGTTGATGCTTTCGACAATGATTATGTGGAGGAGCCGTTGCCTGAGGATGAGCAGGCTCAGCCACCGGCTGAGGGTGTGGAGAACGGCGAGGCAAATGGTATTGCGAATGATGTGGAAGATAAAGCAGTTGAAGCTGCTCTAGCTTGAAGGTAATGTTCTTCCTTAGCTTTCTAACACTATGTCTTATTCGTGCTAGTTTTATGAGCCTATCTGCACTTATTAACATCCTCGCTACACACAATGAATTATACTTAGAGGGATATCTGAATCGTACAAGATCAACCAGTGTACTAAAAATGGTTATGCAACATAAAGGCCTGACCTTTTCTACTATCAGATCATGTTGGAACTAGATCTACCATTTTGCTTTCGAAGCCATTGATATTTGCTTGTTACATAGGGAAGTAGAACAGTCTTTCCTTGTCCAATTTGACGCATCAAATGAACTACGTAGATGTGGACTTTTCTGGTGATTGAATCTAGCTGCCACTCTGCTGTCATTCTCTTATGATTTGGCATTTGAGCTTTAGTTAAATCGAATTTGGATATTTACACGGGAATACTGTCTGTTGCTTCTTTGATAGGTTAGAGGTGGATGGCTCGATGATACCTGTGAACTGAACACCGATGATCCAGTTCCTGCAAAGCTTGTCGGCTGACAATCGAAGAGCAATCCTCTCAGGGACACATCTTTTTATATGTTTTGGGTTTTAGTTTAACGGTTGTAAGTTTTTTTTTTTTGTATCTGTTGAGTTTATTGGGCAGCACTTGTGTTTCTGATTGCACATTCATGTCCCAATTTTGCTAGAATGATTACTGTTTTAGTATACTCGACGGAAAATACAAACATATTGGGAATTTGAGAACAAGCTAGTTTTTATTTTATTTTTTATTTTAGGCAATGGCTGGCTCTTGTGTATTGGGCCTATGGGCCTCTTGTTACCTACATGTCTTTTAGTGGGCCATTTAATAGCCGTCTGGCTGGCTCTAGATTTCGGCTTACAATCTTATGGGCCCATTGACAAGTGTTGTGCCAGAGATTTTCACCATTCCAAAGTCGGTATTCTCCTGAAGGAAATATGTTGCTTGCTGGATGATTTACCGGATTACTCGCTTAGGTTCATTGGTCGTTCTAACAACTGGGAAGCTCATTCTGTGGCTCGTCATGTTCTGTTCATGTCGCCCCGTATGTTTAAGGGGTTCGACTTCGTTTCTTGGTTATGATGTATGTAAGGATCCTTTTGGATCTTTTTCAGATGCTGTATCTTTTTCATTCCCCGCTTCTGGGGTTTTGAATGGCAAAAAAAAAATCAGAAAAGGACTTAACAAGCCCGAATAATATAGCAAGTTCGATCACAATCGCAGACGATTAAGTGAATATCGGGGAAGGTGATGAGGTGGTGGCCGATGGTAATCCTCACTAGTAGGGCTGGCTATTTGGTCCCCGATTGTTTGGTTTTACCCGAAACCGGACCGTATAATTCGAATCGGGACTGGACTGAGACCGGATAGCAAACAATGCAATCTCATATTCGGCTTAGATTTGAGTTAAAACCCAGATAAAGACCGGATAAGAGACCCCCAACAAGTAAAATCAAGATAAAATTGGGACCGAACCGGATCAAGACCAGACTGTATCCAATCCAATCTTTGGTCCTTATATTCCCGAAAAGACCGGACTGGGACCGGATCAATTTGGTCCAATTTAACCGGACCGGACCGTATAGCCACCCCTACTCACTAAGAATGCGAATGGGCCGGGAATTGGCCGCGGTAGGTCGGGTAATTTATTATTGGTTGTGGGTCGACCCAATGAGTATGCAATTTATATGAAAAATATTAGAAATATTCGTTGATTTCATTATAAGACGAAGCAAACAAATCATATTATAATAAATGTAGTTAAATTATTGGAGAAATTGAGATTTTCACTAATTTACAACTTTATTATAGCTAAAAATATGATGTAATGAAATGAAAATCATGAGTAATTTGACTAAGATTACATTTAATTTAGGCAAAAACGGGGCGAGAATGGGGCGGGTCGATGAGAATACTCATGCCCGTCCCGACCCGCCTACGGACTCCCCACAAATCAGGACAAACAAGTCGGGTAAAATTGGTCTACCCGTCCCAAAACATGCTAAACAGATTAGGTAAAACGGTTCAGATCGAAATTGCCATCCCTAATCCTCACTCCTCCGGACAGGAGGCCTATTAGCTGGTTCCTTACTAGATAACCAAACCGGTTGGTTTCTTGGGCCGATGGGGGCTAGGAAGAGGGAGTGTGCACCATCTGTGAGCAAACAGACCAGAGTCCAACAAGATCTCTATGCATGATTTTCCAAAGTGCAATCAATGGGGACGCAGCTTTCAATATCAGGGGCAGCATTAATTTAACAGCTAATGAAAGTACGTGGTAGCTAAGCATACTTGAAGAACAACACGTAGTGTTTAAAGTGGAGATCAGTGGTCCGCTGCTGGATTCCTGCAATTTTCAGCTTCTTGTGTTAGGATAGGACCACTCTCTTCCTTATTTAGGGTCGCAGGCAGGCAGTACTGTTGTTTTCTATCAATTTATTGGGTTGGGAAATCGGGCTTTAGATGATACGCTCATTCGTTGGCACCAGCACACGAGCTTTCGGATTAGGGCAACAGAATTTAGAGCAGCAGAATCTTCTAGCAGCCAATATAGACGTGAGAACTGGTAGCACAAATTCGGTCTGCAAAAATGTTGTATCTGATTTCATTAGAGTTTACCTTTCACCCCCTCGATGATACAACCCTATAAGTTGATTGTTGCGACCGGAACTCGGTTTTATATTTCATAATTCGTTTTGTGTACGATGGATCCAAATTCTTGAAATCAACTTCAATTGCATTAGAGTTTACCTTTCACTCCTCCACGATACAACCCTAAAAGTTGATAGTTGCGTCACCGGAACTCGAGTTCGTACTTCATAATTCGTTTCATGTATATTGTTAGGTACATTGTACAAAAACACTATAATCGATACACACGAGAAAGATAGTTCATTTAATCTTACAAATTTACGATAAGATAAGAGAGATGCATAACCCGAAAATTACTTATATTGTTTAACCCTATGCTGCGAATGGTTTCAATTCAAAAATTGGCATATTCCTTTATGGTAAATCTGTGTGCAAATTGTTGAGCAGATTTTTAGGGCACATGCGTTGGAATGTAAATGGGAAGAATGGAGAGATTCGTCCATTGGACTGGATTTGATTACCTAAGCTCCCGCTGCAGCTCTTATCTGATCAAGTAATTAAGAAGTACTTTATTCTGATATTTTTACAAAGTTCAAGCTTGGGCAAGCTCTTGGCATTCAATCCATCTCATTAATTAATCTGCGGAGCCAATTGTTAATGTAGAGAATGCACTGAAACTCGAGCCTAATTTTTTTTCTTCTCATTCTGAATATACCACAAGTCATATTAATACTATAATACATCGTACAACACCGACATAATAATACAATACTATATTTAAAAGAGAAGAATTATCATTCAAAATGACTCGAACATATGATTTATCACACTTACGCCCACATTAACTTTATAAAACTTTCTTTCACACAATTACGTACTTACACGATATCTCATCGTATTCTAGTCGCACTGCGTCATCGTAACTCGTATCAGTATGAAAATTAACGGGAAAATGTTACTTTTTACCCACTGTGTCTAACGGTAACCCAGCAACAATAAAAAAAGGTTATTTCTCCCTATATCAACGCCTCTCTATCTATCTAGCTATAGCCTCTGCTTGGTTCCTGCGAGAGCAAAAGGGTGAAGAGATGTGTCCAAAAAAGTTTGAAATTTTTTGAAGCTTTAAAAATTAAAACCCTATGGGCCTATGTGTCCATATGTGTAATAAAGGTGGTAAAACAGTAAATATAATTTTTTGCCCATTTCCGTGAAAAAAGCCCTGAATCCAAAGGGTCCACGGCCCGTAAAAAGGTTTTGTTAAGCCAACTTTAAGCTAATTGGTCCAAATCATTACCCTACAATGCACATTTCATTGTCGTTTTAACAAAATGCAGTTTATTAAATAAGTCACCCAATAATAAGACAGTAAATATAATTTTCTAAAACTTGTAATTAACGGGTTCGGGAACCAAAGCTCCTCGGAAACTTCTACACAGAGGGCATTTACTGATTAACGTAATTAATCAATCAATTAATTAAAGTCTCCATGTGAGATTCTGAAGCATTTGTCCCGAACGAATTTCCACAGCTTCCTTAATTCGTCGGTGTTAACCTTCCTCATCATTTTGGCTCTAGCTCGATTTTTTTTAATCGACAATGAAGTAGTAAAAGGGAGATTAAATTGCGGGTCACTCCTCTATTGAAATTTGTAAGACCTTCAAAGAAATGATTCCAACCACTACACTAGTCTTCAATGTCTCTTCACATTTATACAACTATAAACAATTTAGCAAATGATGGATGGCACTTTTAAAAATGAATTGGATGGAATTTCATACAATCCATTAGTCTGTCGGAAATAGGAGTGTTCAAATTTACGGTGCGAGTCTTTTGAAATGTATAAAAAGAGACAAATTAAAGATTAAATCGATCACTCCTCATTGTGATATCGTTATTTCGAGGTCATGTACTTAGATTCTTCCTATATTTATTTGATTTACCCTAAAAGAGTGCTGATCGGGAGTAATCTCCAAATTTATGCATATATATGATCATTAACAATCGAGTAGATTGATTTGGCCAAATCTGAATTATTGATTAAACAAAAGGAATAACCCCAACTTCATAGAAAGTGGCATAAAGTAAAGTGCAATGATATCAAGCTAGTCTTTTGCTCTTTGCAATGTAAAATTGTGACACACTTACAAGGTTAAAAGAATGGTCTAGAATCGGCTTGATCTAAATCTGCATTGGATCCTAATTGTCCCAATTTGTCAGGGGCGGAGCCGAAATTTTAGTTTCGGGGGCCCGAGTTATTTTACGATAATATTGCAAAACAAGAAGAATAAATTTGTAACGAAAGTCAAGTATTGGAGTTTAAAAAAGTAAGTGATTTGTAACGTTATAAAATGGTTGAACCATAGATTTCATCATAAAATAAATTACCACTAGCTTTTTTTTTTCCTTCTCTTCTTCTATTAGTTGTTATCCTCAAAGTTCAAGCATAGAGTATGACAAACTATCTTTAGCCAATAATGGAATTGTCTCAATGTATCAAGAGTGGGGTTAAGTGAACTAATTACCATTCAACCCCACAATTTCAATACATTTTTGTAAAAAAATTTTCTTCTCCTTTTGCTATTAGTTAGAGTGACTAGTGTGAGTGACTATACTAAACCAAATGAAATTATCTATGATAAGTTGATAACCTAAAAATACAGCAAAAAGATTATAAAAAAAAATACAGCAAAAAAAGAAATCGCTAATTCCCATAAGTCTTAATATATAAATAGCTCCTCCCCTCCTTTCAGCTTTCCATCTCACTACCTTCATCACACTCATTTAGTCACTCTCTTTCTTTCTCCTTCCCCTTCACCAGCCACAACAATGGCGTCCGCCGGAGCTTCAGCACTTCTCCTAACACTCTCCTCACTCCTCATCCTCCTCTCCTCCGCCTATTCCGAACCCCTCTTCTCCTCCTCCTCCGCCGCCACCCCAGCCCACCCGCCGTCTCACCACCACCACCACCACGCCCACGCACCAGCACCTTCCCCCTACCCTCACCACCACCACCACCACACTCACGCGCCTACCACTTCTCCCACTGCCGCTCCCACTCACGCTCCATCCCACTCCCCACTCCACGCGCCGCCCACCCACTCCCCCGCCCCCGCCCCAGCAAAACACCACCACCACCACGCCCACGCTCCGTCGCAGGCCCCAACTCCACACCACTCGCTCCCTCCACACCACGCGCCGGTCTCACCTCCCGCCGCCGCTCCTTCCCCGGCCAATGCCCACCCGCCGCGCCACTTCCCCTTCGAGAGGCTCCTCGTCGCCGTCCAGGGCGTCGTCTACTGCAAGCCCTGCAACTACTCCGGCGTCGACACCCTCAACGGCGCCACTCCCGTCCTCGGTAAGCAAAAAAAAAAAAAAACTTCACTTACAGCCAAAATGTCAAGGCCGTGTTTGTTTCTCGACTAATCTAATTGCATGCAGCTTTTGATATCGAGAAAGGGGAGCATTGATATCGAGACAAACAAACGCTGCCCCTAAAAAGCAGGCTTTTACAGACTGCTTTACCATTCTCCAAAGAGAGGAATGAGAAATCAAATTTTCAAAATTGTTTTTTGTTTTTTTATGTTACAGGGGCTACAGTGAAGGTGACGTGTAACAACAGCCACGTGCCACAGGTCTTCAATGCCACGACGGACAAGAACGGCTACTTCAGGGTCAAAGCGCCGAAGACCGTGACCAACTACGGGGTCCACAAGTGCCACGGTGTCCTGGGCTCGACGCCGGACAAGGCCTGCTCCGTGAAGTCGAACCTCCACGGCGGATCCACCGGCGGGTACCTCCGTGTGGACAAGAAGTTCGTGGAGCTGAACCAGACCTACGTGCTCTTCACCGTTGGGCCCTTCGCCTTCGAGCCGCCCAAGTGCCACTAAAGCCCATGGAGAGCCCATTTAGAGTACTGGATCGGTCGATTAATTGCATGTAGTTGTGTCGGTTGGTTTGATTTGGGGAGTCGGTTGGTTGGTTTAATTATGTATCGGTTTGATTGGAGGTCTCTCTTTTTAAATGTTTTGTTTGTGGGCTACTACCGAGTAACTGTCTCTACTACCCTTTAATTAAAGCCGGATGCATTGGCTACCCTTTGTTCCATATCTCAGTGTGCATTGGGTTATTCTCGTACTATATTAACCTAATTTTGTCGGAGCGATCTCAACCGTTAGATAGATGCATGTAACAACGTTTATAGATAACGTTAATGTGTACGATTCGATGATTGAGCTCCTAAATCGCTTGATCCAACAGCGTTAGCTCATGGTGTGAAGCCGAGTCACCCTGATCTAGGTATTGACCTAATTTTGTCGAACGATCTCGGCTATTAGATAAATGCATGTAACAATGTTCACAGAAAAACGTTAATGTGTACGATCCGAGGATTGAGCGCCCAAAGTGTGCGATCCAACCATGGTGTGAAGCCTACTCGCCCTTATCTAGGTTTCTGGGTATCTTCAAAGTTTCAAACCACTAAAGTCATTGGTGATGATCGCCTAGGTTAATGCAGCAGGTGACCGTTTCAAATTTTTTTTTTTTTTTTTTACCGTTGGGGAGGGTGGTAAATTTGAGTTGTGGATGGGCGAGGGGAAACGTGAAGAAGGGGCAGAGGGCAGAGGAAATGGTAGTGATTGGGGGAACTCTGTTTGTGGTCTGGCTTGTGGCAGGCAACTGTATCTCTGAATGGCAATGGCATTTGCTGCTTTTTTACGCAAAGAAAGCCGAAGAGAGAGAAGAAGAGGGACAGGTCTTTTTTTTTATTTTTATTTTATTTACTGTCCTTCGCCCTCTCTTTTACTTTTTAACCTTTCTTTATTCAACATTCTTTTTTCTGTGTACGATGGAGTCATGGAGATGGGGACATGCACGAAGTGGGAAATTCATCTTTGGGAGGGAGTGATGTGATGATAAGTTGATTACCCTAAAATCAGCTTTGGGATTCGGCTGTTTGTTTGTAGGTAATTTACACCTTCATGAAGGCCAAATCTCACTAGGTCCTTTGGTCTGTTACACCTATTAAAAGATATTTCTTCAAGTTCGATCAATGTTGCTCAGTCCGATTTGGATAGGTTACTATATAAGCTGGTCATAGACACGTAACATCTACTTGATTGTGATTCAGCGAGAATACTACAATTTTTAAAACGCGTCATATTCATTATTATATATTGAAGATGTATTTTTATTAAGGCGAGTGAAATCATATTATATGATTTCTCTTGACAACAAGAATTTAACGGAGTGATTATAATTTACAATGTTAGGCTTCGAACCGAAAAATAAGCTTCCCCTCCCCTCCTTGTTGAGTCACCCAACAAAATCATTACTTACCCAGCCAAAATGGAGACTACCCTTTTTCGCTAATTAGTGCTTATACTCATGAAATCGTCATTTTTTCAGGGTTTATCTAATGTTTGTGGCGGGTCGGGTGCGGGGTAATGGGCCCATTTGTTGGGAGTGGGCCCATTGAGTGGAGTGGAGTGGGCCCATTGATTGGCAGATGATCACGGTGTGTTTCAGAGAACTTTGAAATTTCCGCCTTACGTGGAATATAAACGTTATTATGAGCCCGCATGCAGATTGCTGAAGCCATGGCATGTGCCCGGTGTAATTATTGCTATGGATGGATGGGCTTTTGCTCCACGTCGGTGATCTGAATACTGAATTTCTCCGGATGGATAGAATGCACCTCACGAGAACTATGATCCAATAGTCAAATACATACTAGGATTGATGTTCGAATGAGCATTGCATTCGGTCTGATTTGATCCGATTCAAATGTAAATCTCGTATTATTTTTCTTTAATATTTATAACAATGATGAAAATAAGGTCCGACCGAACCTCATTATATTCGGTTTGTTGTTACTGTTAGAGGATCAGGCCCACTTTTTCTCTTTTGTGTACAGCCCATTTATTGTACCCATGAAGCCCATGCAAGGGCAGCTCGTGTAACGTGGAGAGAGTGGCCCTAGGGTTTCGTTTTCCTTGCTGTATATAGAGAGAATGGTGGCTGTGAGTTATGTACAGAAAACCTAAACAATAAGATCAGTAGCTTGAAGAGTTTTCACTCTTCCGTGGATTAGTCCTGGATTCTCCAGGGATACCACGTAAACCCGGTGTCTAGTTCTTGTTTTCCTTTTCATTCTCGTTCAGTTCGTCAACATCAAATCCGGATAATCTATCATGGTATCAGAGCATACTTCGTCAATGGATTCTGATAGACCTTTGGTTCGGCTCACTTCCACGAACTTCGCTCTCTGGGAATTTCAATTTCGGGTCTTCGTTGAAGGACGCGGCCTCCTGAGCTTTCTCGATGGCACATGCCCTCGTCCACTACCTACTGCCGCGATTCAGGAGCAAGCGCAGTGGAACCAAAGTGACGCGCGCGTCCGTCACTGGTTGATGGGATCAGTTGATCCATCAACATGTCTGAGTCTAAGACTTTTTCCCACAGCCCACGAAATGTGGCAGCACCTGGCATCGACGTATTCAACTGTCAATGTAGCAAGGCAGTTTGAGATTCAGATGGCATTGGCTCGGCTGGAGCAAGGGGATCGCACGATCACTGAATACTATAACAATGCGACGGAATTGTGGACGGATTAGGACATTCTCACCGCCGCATTGCATCCCCAGCCTGTCTCCGCCGACGCGATCAAGGAGCGGCAGCAAACTCGCCTGTTCAACTTCCTCATGCGCCTTCGACCTGAGTTCGAGGCTGCGCGCTCCACCTTGCTGAACAGAGACGACTTGCGGTTTGAGGGATTGCTTTCCCATTTGGTTCGTGAAGAAATCAGGATTCGTACCCAGGCGAATATTGATGTTCGCCTTAGTGCTGGAGAAACCGTATTTGCTGTGGCTGGCCAGGAATCGGCATATTCGGTAAATCGTCCCTCATTCAATAACAAACCTATGTCGAATGATATTGAGTGCCATTTTTGTCATGAACGGGGACATCCTAAGAAGCATTGCCGGCAGTGGAATGTGTGTGTGTACTGTAAACGAGCTGGGCATATTATTCTTGAATGCCGAACTCGACAGCGGAACGAAGCTCGCGCTGCAGGGGGAGGACTTGATTCTTCCTCGAGGCCTGAACGTGCAGGTGGCGGGCCAGCTGGAAGGTTCTTCAATCCTCGCACGTCTCGTCCACCACCTGGAGACCGCACGGCACATGCAACCGCTTTGGCACCTGGAAATGGACAGCAAGATATCGGCAGCAGCAGTGGTGGTAGCGTCTCGGCCACTGATATTGAGAACATGGTAAATGCTGCTTTGCAAAGGTCATTACCCACAGCTATTAGTGCTGCCTTTGCTACACTGAATAACTCAGGTAATACTTCTCCCTGGCTACTCGATTCCGCATGTTTTAACCATATGACGAATGCATCGCGGATCTTGAGCAATGTTACACCTGTTAAAGACATGTCGTTGAGTGTAGCGAATGGTGGTAAATTGGAGGTTCAAGGAGTTGGGTTGATGCGTAAACAAAATATGACTTTGCCTAGTACTTTATACGTTCCTGGTTTAGTTCCAAATTTGGTGTCAGTTGGGCAACTTACTGAACAGGGTTGCTCTGTTTTGTTTGCACCGTCGGGATGTGTTATACAGGATTTGAAGACGGGGAGGCAGATCGGAAAAGGGAGTAAGCAGGGGAGAGTGTTTCACCTAGACGAGCTACGTGGGAGTTCAGTGTCGTCTTCAGCTTTTAGATCATGTGTCAGTAGTCCACCTTTGAATTCTTTGTCATTGTAAAAACCTATTTCTTGTGATTCGGCTGGGTCTTTGTCTTTTTCAACATTGTCGAATAATGCCTGGGATCTTTGGCACTCTAGACTAGGTCATCCTCATTCTGGTCGTCTTGAAATGATGTTCAGACAATCTTTGCTTGGTAAAAATCATGTTAATCCTTCTGCTTCTCATTCCTGTACTAGTTGTGTTGAAGCAAAAACGGTGAACATTTCTTATCCGTCTAGTACAACAGTAATCACTGATCCATTTCATATCATACATACCGATCTCTGGGGACCATCTCCTACCATTTCTCGTCGTGGCTATCGATACTTCGCTCTTTTCATTGATCATGCCACTCGTTTTACTTGGGTTTACTTCCTCCGTCTTAAATCAGAACTCAAATCTGTTGCTACTGATTTTTTGAAAATGATCCAAACCCAGTTTGATCGTCCTGTCAAAATTATCCGTTCTGATCCCGGTGGTGAATTTAGTTCTGCTCCGTTGTACGAAGTTTATCGGTCTCTTGGTGTTATGACTCAGCAATCTTGTCCCGGTATATCTCAGCAGAATGGTCTAGTAGAAAGAAAAAATCGTCATGTCATGGATTTAACTCGTGCCCTTCTGTTAGCGTCTCATGTTCCTAGTCGATTCTGGCCTGAAGCAGTTGCTACTGCAGTTCGTCTCATTAATTACCAAATTACTCCTGTGCTGCGGAATACAAGTCCCTTTTTTGCTATTTATTCCCGTCATCCTGACTATTCTCGTCTCTGTGTTTTTGGATGCCTGTGCTTTGTTCTTCTTCCAAAGCGCGAACGCACTAAACTCACTTCTAAGACTGCTCGGAGTGTCTTCGTGGGATATAGTGATATACACAAAGGGTACTTGTGTTATGATCCTGTTGTTCAACGTGTTAGAATTGCCGGTACTGTTGTCTTCTTTGAAAATTCCATGTTTTACTCTCCTGGGTCTTCACCATCGGATTTCCTTCCTGCCAATCTTCCTCCTCCCACCTTTGCTGATGACGTTGATGATGACTTTACCCCTGCTATGGATCCACCCGATCCTCCCTCTCCGAATCTGTCTCCCGCTACATCTGATGCTGCCTCTTCATCAACAGCTGCAACTCCTCCATCGCCTATTACTCTCGGCTCCAGTGCTCACTCCTCGGCCAGCTTACATACCACCCTCGACACCCGTGCTTCTTCTAGTGAACCGCATTCCTCTTCCCAACCTACTCAGCCAGCTCCACGCCGTTCAGAAAGAGTAACCAGAGGTGTTCCTCCACCCAAATTCGGTGACTACCTAGCATATGGGGTGGAGTCTATAGTGGTTCCTACTCGCTACCGTCAGGCCAAGGGCCATCCTTTGTGGGAAGCGGCTATGCGTCGAGAGCTCGAGGCACTTCATGCGAGTAATACGTGGACTCTTGTTCCTCGTCCGCCTTCTTCTACTTCAGTGGTTGGATGCCGTTGGGTTTACACGGTCAAAATGAAACCAAATGGTACGGTGGATCGATATAAAGCGCGGCTGGTCGCTCAGGGATATACACAGGAATACGGCATTGATTACAGTGAGACATTTGCACCGGTTGCTAAGATGGCTACAGTTCGTACTTTATTGTCGGGTGCTTCCCTTCGTCAGTGGCCCTTGTATCAGATGGACGTCAAGAACGCTTTTCTTCATGGTGACTTAGACGAGGTAATATACATGGAGCCACCTCCTGGCTATCCGCTTGCTTCTCCTGACCAGGTCTGCCGTCTTAATCGCTCCTTGTACGGTCTCAAACAAGCACCCCGTGCTTGGTTTGAGAAATTTCATACCACTATCTCCGACTTGGGTTTTCCGCAGAGTCGCAATGATCCATCTTTGTTCACTCGCACTACCGCAGCTGGGGTTGTTGCTCTTCTCTTGTACGTCGATGATATGGTGATCACGGGATCTGATCCTGAGGGTATTCAGCGACTTAAGGAGGGTCTCCATGCCTCCTTTAATCTCAAGGATCTCGGCGAGTTATCATATTTCTTAGGCTTGGAAGTTAATCGTGACTCCCGTGGGATTTTGCTCTGTCAGCATAAATATATCACCGATTTATTGGATGATCATCAGTTCACAGACTGTCGACCTGTTTCTACACCTATGGAGCTTAACCTTCACCTTGGTCGTGATTCCGGCACTTTATTATCAGACAGTAAGGCTTATAGGAGCATTGTTGGGAATCTCATTTATTTATCCGCCACCAGACCAGACATTTCCTATGTCGTCCAGGTTGTTAGTCAATTTATGGATGCTCCTCGTTCGGATCATCTAGCAGCGGTTCATCGTATTCTGCGGTATCTGCAGGGAACACAGGATGTCGGTATCTTCTTTCCCTCGACTGGTGAACCTAGTCTTCAGGCTTTCTCGGATTCTGACTTTGCTGGGTGTGTTGATACCAGGCGCTCTACCTCTGGCTGGTGTGTTCAGTTTGGTAAGTCTTTTATATCCTGGCGTTGTAAGAAGCAGGATAAGGTTTCTAAGTTGTCTACGGAAGCAGAGTATCGTTCCATGTCCGAGGTTTGTTCTGAACTCATTTGGCTTCAACGTCTCCTCCAGGATTTTGATGTGACGTGTTCTCTTCCTCTTAATCTCTTTGTGGACAATACTAGTGCTATCCGTATCGCGGTTAATCCTGTGCTTCATGATCGTACTAAGCATATCGAGATACATGTTCACTATGTTCGGGATTTGGTTAATGCTGGGATTGTTTCACTTCATCATATTCGGACAGAGGACCAGGTTGCTGATTTATTTACAAAGTCATTTACCACCAGTCGTCATTGGTATCTGTCAAGCAAATTGATGCTTACCGACCAGCATCAATTTGGGGGAGGCTGTTAGAGGATCAGGCCCACTTTTTCTCTAACAGTTACAACTCGATAGCAATCTTAATTTTGTTTCACAGGGCAAGTATGTTTTTGTCATTCTTAAGCACATAATGACGTGAAATCATAAATGTTTAGGGTTAACAGAGGGCTATAGTAGTATAGTTTGAAAAGAACATAAAGTCAATACCAGGGTTGGAACTGGGTTGGAACTAATTCCAAGCATGATTTCCTACACAGCCAGAAATAGTGATGGCAATGGGTTGGGTTGGGGCGGGTACCTCAATACCCATGCCCCGCTCACGCTAGTACGGGCCGGGGCGGGTAATACCCGCGCGGGAACGGGGCGGGGCGGGTAGACCCACTCTTACATGCTATTTGAGAAAAATACACGCACAATTTTACTTTTTATGATAAAACGAAGGGGAAAATACTTGATGAATGAATAATAGTGATAATATAATAAGTAATTGAGTCTATTTAGTTGAAAGATCAAATCTAAATAGTCGAATAAAAGTCAAAATAGGAGATATATAAATGGATGGGGTAAAAAATTGACATAGAACGGGGTAAGAATGAGGCGGGGCAGGGTGGGTCGGAAGTTGATACCCATGCCCCGCCCCACGCTAATGCGGGTCGGATAATACCCGCCCCATCGCGGGTCATATCGGGTATTACCCGGCGGGGCGGGTTCAAATTGCCATCCCTAACCAGAAAGAGTACAGTGAAACCGGGCCTTGGACGTTCTTCCCCTCTTTGTGCGAAGGGCATACGACTTGGGCTTCGTTTGTTGGACTTGGACCAACAAAAACCATCGTTTCCTATTTTACCAGCTTGAGATGGGCTTTTTCGAGGTTGTTGTGAATGTGCTACTACTGGGCCTGCTATCTCTCCCAACATATAATAATAGAAAAGGGCGGGTAGGGAAACACTGAAAATGAAGGTGGGGAAAAGGGTTCTGGAAAATGGTCCCAAAAGAAGAACACAATAGGCTCCTCAGAGTGGCAGATGGTGATGGTTTATTTACTCCTTTGTCTCACTGTTAGTACCTTCTTCCACTCTTCTCCTCCTCCATCAAAACCCTACATTTGTGAGCTTGTAAGAAAGCTCCAAAAATACCCAACCCAACACAAAAACAACAACACAAGCTGGGGAAAAAAATATCCCCACATCTGTCAGTGTCTTTTTTGGCATTGCATTGCATGTGTTAAAACAATCCCATGAAATTTCTTATCAAGTTTCGTGTGATCGATGATTCGAGTTAAGGAAGTGGGACGAGTGGGCATTGTGAGTTTTCAGAACAATTAAAAAAAAAATGAGAAGCTAGTTTACACATCAAATGTGCTTCTTTTTTTTAACTGTTCTGAAACAGTAAAAATATGCTTTGATTTGAATCGAGAATCCATTAACAAATAACAAGCTAGTTTTGTTGTTGCGTCATGACCAAACCCGATATGTTGATTAGTGATTACATCCATTTTCCGGAGCACAAAAAGTTAACTTATTTCCCCCAAGATTCATTTTGGGATATGATCGAGGCATCAAAAATTGTTAAACCAATTTTCTTGACTGGTATTTGAGGGAGTGTTACAAAAGTGGAGTCAAACCAAAAGCACATCTATAGCAAATTAGCAATACCAAACCAAAATGTAAGTGGTGCTTTGTCTATCCCATTTCCAAGCCCTTTTTTTAATTAATTAAAGAAAGCTAATCAATGGAGTAATTAATTAAGATTATCCCTTTTACATACTTTGCTTCCGATCCAATGAAGTCATGACTTCCTTATACTAGACGTGCCTTGAAGGGAACCCTCTTTTCCCAACAATATATGAATATAAATATTGACCGGTTTAGCAAGACTACGCCTAATATGGCGCAAGTTTCTCGACGACGATATGTGATGTTAGTGGAACTCTTTTGTTTATATGTGTGTGTGTGAGAAGATAGTTAGTTGGTTTTTGGACTTTGAAGATTAGGTTAATGACATTTGTTGTTAATATATGTATTCATTTCGGAAACTCGGTTTGATGTTGTTAGGAGAGATTCATAGATGAATTTGACATCGGTGATCACTTACTTTACTTTTCAAAATCAAAGTTAACGCATGAAATTGATATTTGTTCAAACCCATCGCAAAATTGAGGTCTGAATATCAGTAGATATGGAGGGTCGTAAAGGGTTTGAAAACAAGACTTATTACAGAGAACTATTTCATCTCAACAACTTGTGTTGTCCGGATCTTAAGCCTCAATCATATCATTATTGTCTAATAGCATCATGTCTATTGCTCCCCTCGTTTTAAAATTTTATACTAAATTTCTTTTTATTTTTTCTAGTGGACACGGGTGTCTATCTGTTAGATAATAATCATGACCCCGACATCACAAATTTTTTATTTCATACTTCAGTTCGATTGTAAATTTCAATGATTCTCGAATTCCGATTTTACATCACACATATCATGTGGGTCGTCAACAACGTGCTTACTGAAAGCGGACACTGCCATTACTAACACAACAAATCTGGATACAAATTTCTACCTACAAGAACCCTGCAAATTAGTTTACACAGTAACTTTTGATTGGTTTATTGGGAACGATTCACCTTCCTTAAAGTTTGAGAAGCTGGGGAAGATGAGAGGGCATTTAATGCAATCCCCACACCTGTATTATGAATGATTTCCAATCTTTGTTCTTTGGTGTTCAGTGATGGAAACTTGAAATGGATGGAAATGGGGAGCAGGCAAGCAAGGGTCAATTACGTGACAGTGAGTGTCCCTGAAAATTCCGAAAACGTGCTGCTCAGAGTTCACATCCATAGCTTTCTGGTTCATAAATGGAGTTTATAGGCAGCAGCTAAGAAATAATAAGCCATTGCCTAGCTGCCTTACTGTTATTTGGGTTCGGGTTCTGGGTCTGGTCTGTAACCGTTTTCTTTGCCAGAATGGATTAGGTTTAGATCCACATGGAGAAGTACTATAAATACTTCTCATACTCCTCTGTAATCTGTAATCTCCTTGATATAGTGAAACTGGCTCTCTCTCGCCCGTGGACGTAGCTAACACACATCGTGTTAGTGAACCACGTAAATCGTGTGTCGTGTTTTCGATTCTCGCTTTCGTATTTTTTCTTTGTCGATTCCTGCGATTTTCCGATCCGTAACAGCGCGTTTATAACAAAGTCGTTTATAAAACCGAAACCCATGTGGAGAACTCATGTAGTTAGTTTGTGATAGCAACTCGTTTGTTAGGCGGCCTTGGGTGTTTTCTTTGGTTTTCTATGTTACGTATTGTGCTTGTGTGGGTATTGGGCTTAGGGGATATTGTTGGGTTAATTAGTATTTAGACTTAGTTTTTGGGAGCTAAGTCTCCGTTTATGTGTTGGGATAGGAGAGGGCCGAGAGGCCTAGGGAAGTAGTAGGGGTCGGCTAGGGTTGATGGTTTAGGTATTAGGTTTAGTCGTCTATATATTGTAATCAAGGCATTAGTCGGAGAGGCAATCAAAGAATAAACCTAAAAGTCTTTCGACACTCTACGTCGTTCTCTCGCTTGTGAGTTACAAGCAAAACCCTAACCCGATAGCAACAGGTTGCTATCAGTTTGAACCGAGTACTCAAGTTTTGAATGCGATGTATTGATGCGAAGATTTAAGTACGGACTGAAATCAAGTTGGTGACGCTCGCGCGGCTCGTGACGCTTCAACAACATACAACATTAGAGAAGTGGGTGCATTTGGGAGGAAAAAGATGGTTAGCTTGTGTGGTCCTTTTGGCAGGGTTCAGCTTTTGAAATTACAGGGGCTGAGGGCTGCTGCTGCTACAGCAACTAGCTAGCCTGCTAATTTCCTTCTTTCGATTCTTGTTTGTATTCTCTGTTTTGAAGTTCTTTCTCTCGGCTATGGAAAATGGAAATGCAGGGGAATTGTATTCACCTCTCATTTTCACCCTTTTCCCCCGCTCAATATTGTAGTGTGTAATGTGTTGGCAAACTGGGGAAACAGAGGAAAGAAAGGAATCCCATTTATAGGTCTGACCTGACCCTGACTCGTCCACGTTCATTTGCCCACTCACTTCACTTGTTCTCGTAAAGGTAAAATTCTCCCCCACCTCCCAACTTTCACCAAAATTTGTTGCCAAGGTAATTTACAAATTACAAGTGAAGAATATGGTAAAATCAGTTACAAGTGCTTAGTGGGTAAGTGGGTAAAATTAAAAATAAGAAATTATTGGTATGTAATGGATTTGTTAAAACAATTGAACCATAATTAGGTCTGAAATGGAAGACTTGAGAAGTTCAGTTTGGGAGGGGGGTGATTGTCTGCAATTAAGATTTAAATTTTTAGTTTCGCAAAACTACTGTGTTTTTTTTCACGACAAGATACAACATGAATACGTGTCGAACAGTCGATAAAGTAAACCTTTTCTATTCTATTATCTTTCACGAATTGTAGAAACCTCGACAATTAGTTGTTAATTGTGACCCAATTAGCTGATCAAGTACTTTGAAATACTTTCTCGAGTGTTGCACCGAGTCGGTCGAAATACCCACGATTTTGGATTTGAAGCATCACCACTAATTCCAAGAAAACCCACCTTCCAAGCAGCTGACTTTCCTTGACTCTATAGTAAGTGTACTTGATTTGACAAACAAACAAAACATACAAACAAAAATCAGAAGGAACACACACATCCGCACATCATATGATCCCACAATTTACTTCTTCTTCTGCTTCTCTCTTTCACACTCATAAAAAATAAAATAAAAACATTATCATCATTCAATCAACTTTTTGTTCACTCTTTCCTGAAGTGGGCAAATGGGTAAACTTAATTTCATTTTGATCATAAATTATCCCTCGATTTATACGTGTCTTACTATCAAGTACAGTAATTTGTTTCCTTTGGTTTGATAATCAAGTAGTATATATACTTAAAGGATGAACACATAGGTTAATACTCTACCACTAATTGTACTTGTGCATAAAGATGGTGGGAAGGAAAAAGTGTGGAGTTTATTATCGGAGACCTAGGAAGCATCTAATGGCTAGAAATCCCATCCAACTTAAAAGAAGAAAATTGAATTGTTAATTGAGGGTGGATTAGGAACTAATCTTAATCATAATCTTAGCAATTAACATAGTCAAGACTTAGGACAGAAAGAGAGAGAGTGATAAGAAGGGGAAAAAGGGCAAGGGGTGGGTGTACTGCAAGTCAATGCTCTGAATATTGAACTCTTTTTTGACGATTTCTTTTTTTTGGGTTTTCTGCTTTGGCCCACACCGACTCTCTCTCCTTACAATTTTATTTCTTGAAAGGAAATTCCACAAACCGCCAATCCTTTCTCACCACTTGGGAGTTTGCTTAATGGGCCAATCCCCACTCTCAGTTCCTTAGCGAGTCCACTTTACTTTCCCACCACTTTTGCTTTTGCTCTGGATAAGCTAACATTTCGAGGCACGTCTCGCCCGTCGTCGAGGTTTTTTGTGATTCGAATTCATAGTGTTTTGGTGTTTAAAGATGACAGTAATTGGTTCCGATTTGAAATAGTGATTCAATTTTGTATAGTCGTGACGGAAGAAGCATAAGAAAATTTTGTGGAGACTAGCAAAAATGGTGTTAATTGTGAATTGGGAAAGAGAAACATTGAATATTTTACATTAATGTTTTAAACCAATACTATCTTATCCATTAGAAATTTGTTAGATTCTGTTTATTTTCATAATACCAATCACATTACTTTTAATAAAATGCACATAGACGACAATTGTTCCGACATTATCGGTCAAATAGGAAGCCCTTGTGTCCTAACATTTCAAGCAAGTTACTATGTTATGAGTTCAGTAAAAAAAATAAACACTCCAAACACTTCATTTCAACTTTTTTCGATATGTATACTCATTTAAATTTTACTTTTACATCATCCAATCTAATCGACCTGCTTATTCATCGGACAAAAAAAACATGAATTCTCTAAGTTAAAAAGTTTAACATATAAATTTTAAAAAGAAACAAGGTGCCATAATTTCAAAATCCAATTATTAGGAAAGAAGACGGCGTGCAGTAATATATTTACCCACATAAACAAATTCATAGTTATCCAAACAGGATTTTTATTCCATTTAATATCTTCCCAAAGCAAAAAGAATTCATTGGTAAGATAATAAAACTGGTCTTAATCATTTACTAAATAAAAAAGTAAAAAAATGAAAAATATTAATTCATAATTAGTATTTATCCAACTTTGTTAAATTAATAGCTAATTCATAAAGTAAACCCCCACCATCAGTCAAAATTGTTTACCTCTGCTAGGCGCTAGCTGGCCTCTTTACTACACTTCCCATTTACTGACTAACCCCCGTCCGTTACCGTTTTCTTTCCTTTCACTTTCCACCCTCCTCCGTTTCCCGTCCAGTTACGCGCGTGCTCACATAGCGCGTGACGGTTGAGAAAAACAGAGTGACAGAGGAGAGAGAAAGTCTAAAGTCCCTACATCAAAACATTTCTTACCAAACCGTAGAAAGAGAAAGAGAAGACTCCATTTCTTCTTCTTCTCCATCTCCTCCCTCCGTTTCTTTGCTCTTCCTTCTCATTAATAATCTCCTCTTCCCCTTCACCACTGTTTTCCTTTTCATGAGAAACAAACAACAAACCCACCCAGAAAGAAAAGAAATTCTGATTTTGTTTTTTCAGATTTGAGAATCAGGGTGGAAGCAAAAATGGAGAAATCCTCGCCGAGATTTCACCCAGACCACCGGAATTACGCCCAGTCGCCGCACTCCCTCCTTCCTTCTCCAAACAGCAGCAGCAGCAGTAGCAACAGCAGCAGCAGCCCTTCCTCCAACGGCCTCCACCAGCACAGAGCTGGGCCGGGGGCGGCTGCCCAGCCGCCGCCGACTCCTCCTCCGCCGCCGCAGCAGATGCCGTCTCCCCGGCCAAATCCAATAGCCAGATCCGAATCGGCTAACCCGTACCCGACGACCTTCGTCCAGGCCGACACCTCTTCTTTCAAGCAGGTCGTCCAAATGCTGACGGGATCTCCGAAATCGGCCGCCGTGGCGGCCTCCGGTGGCCCATCCCCGCCCAACCAACAACCCGACCACCACCACCACCACCACCAGGTGAAATCCCATTCCCACACCATCCCGCCGATCAAATCGATCCCCAAGAGGAACCAGCCCTCCGGGTTCAAGCTCTATGAGCGGCGGAACTCCCTGAAGAATCTGAAAATCAACCCGCTCAACCCGTTCCTCGCCCCGCCCGGAACCGGATTCTCGCCCCGGAAGCCCGAGATCCTTTCCCCTAGCATCCTCGACTTCCCGGCGCTCGTGCTCAGCCCCGTCACCCCCTTGATACCCGACCCGTTCGACCGATCCGGACTCGCCGGGAACTGCTACGCCAGCCCGATGAGCGCCGCGAATCACCACCACCACCACCATCACTATAATCACAACAGCAACGGCGGAGCGAATAATTCGGGGGGTGCCAGCGTGATGGAGGCCGACTCGGAGGAGAAGGCGATTAAGGAGAAGGGATTCTACTTGCACCCGTCACCGGCGACGACGCCGAGGGAGGCGGAGCCGCCGCGGCTGCTGCCGCTTTTCCCGGTGACGTCGCCCCGAGTCTCTTCTTCTACAGGTTCGGCTACCCTGGAATAATCAAAGGGGGCCAAAAAAATATATATATTTAAATATTCAGAATTTTTGCGCTTTTCTTTTTGGGAATTTTAATTTTTCTCCATTGCCCTCTCCCCCCTCCCGTTCTTGAGCTCTGTAAGATTTTTAAAAAGTATATGTTTGGTTGGGGACGATGATGATGATGATGAATTCTAGCAGGAAATGAGAAATGAGAGGATCTTTGCTTACAATTGTATAATTTTTGGGTATCGCTTCGTTATTTTCCCTTCTCTTAGTTCATTTTCCCGTCACTTCTCCTACTCCTAGTGCTACATACTGTTTGGTGAGGCAGCGAAGAATAGTCAAAATGTTGACTCTAGAAATCGAATTTCAGAATTTTCGTGTTATTTATTTATTTTTATCATTTGGGTGGTAAAATTTGGTGGGGGTGGTGAAATTAATTTTTACCATAATAAGTTTGCATTGCATGGGAGGAATCAGTGACTCTGTGGGGTTAATGACAATAAATGTGAAGTTTCTGCAAAGGACTGAAACGGGAAACGAGTTCCATTACTCTTGGGAGCGATGGATAGTAGTAAATTTGGGACAATTTAATAGGACCCAACTCATGGTAGATTAACAGTTTGGAGTTGGCAGTAAAAAAGTGAAAAACTATCACTCTCTTTTAGCTAGATTTTGCTGTAGAAAGTGTTGGTCCAAGAGTTCACTCATCTTAAAGTTTTAGACTTGGGATCAAAATTCACCTCTTTTTTTTTTTTATCGAGACCCCGATGTGTAGTGTTCTCTCGTTAAGTTATGAATGTTTGATAAACTCATAAAAGTTGGTGATTTGATCTCATAATTTGTTCTAATATGCTAGCTATTGTCGAGGTCGATTTTGATTTCTGTCATCTATCATTCGACCAAAAACAATTTATGAAAAAAAAATGGTAACCTTTTAATTGCTTTATCGTACTACTTGAATCAATGAATTTACCGAGTATTCATGGGATCCTGAGGTGAGGAATAATGAAATGGAAAGCTAGCTGTCAAAAACCAGAAAAGAAAGCAAAGGTGAGGTTGAATAGAGTATAAGAGAGAGAGATGAATTGGATAGGTGGGAAATGGGCAAGGAATCTAGCTTGACCTTGTTGCTGTCTGTTGTGTGTTTTCTTCTTTTTCTTCTTCTTCTTCTCTTGTGTTTGAGTGGACCAAGGAAGATGCCCATGGAAGAAGGGCAGCAAAACAATTTTCCTGCAAATTCTGTTTAAAAATTGTTAATTTAAGTACCAATTAGAATATTTTACTTCTATTGTATGGTTTCCTTTCCCACTACATTTTGATAATGATATTTATTGAGGGTGGGGGTGGGAGGAGGACTTAAGACAGACACAAATGTTGTTTTGGTCTTCAGCCTGATGATGATGATGGAGTTTGATGTTGGACTTTTTGGTGCTTACCCTCTTCTTATTTCATCATATTTTCTATTTATATTCATTTTTAGGCTCTTCTTAGACAAGTTTCGTTTTACCATTGAATGAGTTAGTCATATATGCATGATATGCTCTCGATTGTTCGATCTACTATTGAACTACTGAATTGTGATCGGATATACTAGTGTGTCGTAATTTTTTTTTGTTCTGTCACGTTTCAAGGGTATCACAACACATCGGTGATAAATTATTACCTTACAAGCGCCACAGACCGTCCAGTCAGGAATTGAAACTATTAGGAGGGACGGTCAAATTTTTGGTGAATGACATTACTATTGGGTTGGATTTATTGAGATTGGTGGGAGATGAGCAATAATTATTATTGATATTTGACGTAGAAAACGGCGTTTAATAATCACCTTCATAGGATCAAAAAATGCTCTCAACTGCTGTCACTGGAACCACGACGCCGGCGCCTGTCCTTTTGCCTTCGGATCGGCCGCCAGACCCACCTCAACACTTGGCGCTAGCCGCTTCAGTTTCTACACCAATCAACGTGGCTCCGGCCACGTCCTCATCTAACATGATTATTGACTCTGATCCTATTTCTCTGTCTCCGCAGGGCACAGCTAACGGGAATACGCAGGATCGATCGGAGCATGAGGCAACAGGGGCTCGCCAACAACGATTTTCCTATGCAGCAGCGGTCTCGGGAGAAATGCCTACGATACCTCTTCAGAATCAAGCGCGCCTATGGACGCCAGTGGGGGAACATGATTTGGTGCCCGGAAAATATAATGGCGAACCGGCCCTGACGATTTCAACGGACTTCAAGACCAAGATCTGTGCACCGTGGCAAAGAGCTCTGGTTGTTCGCCTTCTAGGGTTGCGGATCGGATTTACCAATCTCTGTAATCGACTCAAAGGGCTGTGGCGGCCGCAGGGGAACATGGAAGTGAAGGACCTTGATCACGATTGTTTCCTCGTTAAGCTGGATAATGAACAGGACTATTACCGCGCTCTCACAGATGGCCCTTGGGTTATCTACGATCACTACCTGGTGGTTCAACAATGGTCCCCCCGGTTCAAGGCATCGGACCCGCTTCCGAAGACGATGATAGTGTGGGTGCAACTTCCTGCTCTGAAAATCCATTTCTACCATAGAGAGATCCTGACCAGCCTGGGGAATCTTATTGGAAGAACAATCAAGCTTGACTACCACACTCTCACCCAACAGCGAGCTAAATTTGCTCAGCTAGCGGTCGAGGTCGACTTGACAAAACACCTGGTGCCCCGGATTTGGTTGGACGACGAGTGGCAGAAAGTGGAATACGAGAATTTACCAGAGGTGTGTTTCAAATGCGGGAAGATCGGACATGACCGGAGTCTTTGCCCGGATAATCAACCAGCGGCTACTCTGGCCTTGCCGGCGATTGGTGATTCTCTTGCCAACTTGACGAGCTCACCGGAGCGGGCCTCGGCAACGTCGCCGGCGGACGCCAACCCGGGATTTGGGCCATGGATGCTGGTGACTAGGAGAAGTCGGCGAAATCCCAGGGAAGCTCCTAGAAAAGGAAAGGTAGAGAGTGATACAGGGAAATCAAATAAGGAAGGTCTCCCCCAGAGTGGGAAAGGAGGAACGAATATAAAAGATCTACCCCAAGACTTGCCTTTACAGAAAAGGCTCAACGACCCTTACCATCGCCGGCAACCTCTCCTGAAAAGAAATCCACAAATGGTAAGAAAGGAAACGCGGAGATGAAACGTGGCAAAGAAAAGGCAGGAACGGATGCCTCTGGGAAAGGAAAGGGTCTTCTTGGGCCGGGGCCCAACGTTCAGAAAACCTCCAACCCCATTGGGCCGTCCAGCTCCTTCAATGGGGCTTCCTCTTCATCTATCGAAGCGGGCTCTCAGCCCAATTCGTCCCCAGGGCCAGAACCAACCGGTCTTGGATAGGCAGGCTGGGTAAAGGCGACGGCCACTCTCCCCCCACCACCCATTGTTCGCACAGTGACCGGTGAGAACTGCACCGTTTTGCAGATTATCCAGACCCCCCAGAAGCCGAACCACAATGGCAATCCCTCGGACAATCCCTCGCCGTCGGTGGCGACCAGAACCAAACGAAACAAGAGCAAAAAATCAACAAGCACGCCAGCAAAGTTTAACCACGCGAAGCCGCTGCAAATCTGGTCCCCCATGAAGGAAAGGAAGCCGAAGTCTAAGGCCAGAATTGCCTCACTCACCCTGCAGGAAATAAACGCGTGGACGACAGCTACGCAAGCAGTCACTGGAAACTCAGGGGGAAAGGTGGTTGTCTCTACAGGTGAAACCAATGCGCCCACAGACGGTGGAAGCAACGAATTCCAGACCTCGACCTGATGCTAGCTCGAATTTGGGCCCTTAGTCGTACCCCTCTGGTTGCTATGTCAATAATGTCTCTGTTAAAAATACTTTCGTGGAATGTTGGTGGCGCAGGTAGCAAAGCCTTTGTCCGCGCTCTGAAAATGACTATCAAAGATCATAGGCCGGACTTTGTAGTGTTGCTCGAACCCCAGATCAGCGGCGATTCAGCAAATACCGTCTGTGACAAGTTGGGGTTCCCCATCTCGATGCGCGTGGAAGCAGAAGGGAGGAAGGGTGGTGTCTGGGTTTTCTGGGATGCAGGGGTTTTCACTACTCACCTCGTCTCTGCTTGTAATCAGCACATCTCCCTGCGGGTTTCTCAGACCAATGGGCCGCAGTGGATTTTGACTGCAGTTTACGCTTCTCCACGGCCTAGTGAGCAGAAATTCCTTTGGAACAGCTTAATTGCTCAGAGTAAGTGCATTGACATCCCGTGGCTGATCACCGGTGATTTCAATGCCATTAGCTCACCGGACGAGAGGCATGGGCCACCGGTGAGGAATACTCTGAGACGGTGTGAGATTTTCAATGAATGGATGAACCTTGCAGAGCTTGTTGACCTCGGGTACTCGGGTCCAAAGTATACTTGGACGAGAGGCGACTGTCAGCAAACCTTCAAGGCCAGCCGTCTCGATCGGAGCATCTGCAACTTGAGGTGGAACACAGATTTCCCCAACACCTCGGTTCTACACCTTCTCCGACTCCAATCGGATCACAACCCGATACTCACGTCGGTGGTGCTGAATCAAGGGTCACAACCTATTCCTCGTCATTTAAAGTTTGAGGCGGCCTGGTTTACTAACGAGAACTTACAGAATGTGGTGGCAGAGTCATGGGAGCCTCTTGCCCCTTGGCAGGATGCCCTCTCCAAGCTTTCCAGTAAACTAGCCGAGTGGAATGTTAACACCTTTGAAAATATCAAGCTTAAGAAGAAGAGGCTAGTGGCTCGTTTGAAAGGAATCGAGGGTCGGCTAGCTTCAGGCTTTGCCCCAGGCTTGGCCAAACTTCACACTAAGCTAGAGGCTGAGCTGGATAAAGTCATGGAGCAGGAGGAGCTTATTTGGTTTCAACGGTGCAGGGATAAATGGGTCAAATTCGGGGAGCGGAACACGGCCTATTTCCACCAGCAAGTGAACATCAGGAGACGTTTTAACAAGATTGAGGCCCTGCAGGATGACAATGGAAACTGGGTGACAGACTCTCAAACTCTGGCTTCTCTTGTTTTTGATTTCTTTACTAACACGTTCTTGCAGGATGACTCCCCTTATGAAGACAGACTCCCCAAGAATGCGTTTCCTCGTTTATCCCAAGCTGATGTGGCGGCTATGTTCCGACCTTTCAACATCATGGACATCCACAAAGCCATCTTTGACATGAAACCGTTCCAGGCGCCCGGGCCAGATGGGTTCCATGCAGCCTTCTTCCAGCATTTTTGGAGTATGGTGGGGAAATCCCTTTCAGATATGGCCATCTCTTTCTTTTCGACAGGTTCCCTTCCAGAGGCAGTAACGGAGTCCACTCTGGTTCTAATCCCCAAAGTGGAAGCCCCTGAGAGAGTGAACCAGCTCAGGCCGATATCTCTCAATAATGTTTGCCTCAAGAGTATTACAAAGGCCATGACCTGCAGACTGAAGCCGATTATGAAGAAGCTGGTGTCTCCCAGACAGAGCAGTTTCATTCCAGGTCGTCAGACTACTGACAACATTATTGTTGTTCAGGAAGTTCTCCACTCCCTCCGGAAAAGAAGGGGCAAAAAAGGGGGCCTTGTTTTCAAAATTGACCTGGAAAAGGCGTATGACATGCTCAGATAGGATTTCCTTAGGGATACGCTTAAGGAGGTCGGGCTGCCGAGCACCTGGATTAGCTGCATCATGTACTGTGTGGAGCATAACAGGATGAGGATCAGGTGGAATGGCGAACTATCCCAAGCCTTCACCCCGTCGCGTGGAGTGAGACAGGGAGACCCCCTCTCGCCTTATCTCTTTGTTTTATGCATGGAGCGTTTATCTCACAGAATTGATCAGGCGGTTTCCAAAGGAAAGTGGAAGCCTGTTAAGCTCACTAGTACCGGGCCGCCCCTGACACATCTTTTCTTTGCAGATGATCTACTTCTGTTTGCAGAGGCAGAGAAGCGACAAATCCAGGTGGTGAAAGAGTGTCTTGCTGACTTCTGCTATAGTTCGGGCCAGAGGGTAAACTACAATAAGTCTATCCTCTTCGTGTCCCCGAACATAGCCAGGCGGAAAGCAGAACAATTGAGTGCGCAGGCAGGAATACCTCTGAAGGCTGCTTTGGGAAGATATCTCGGGATACAGGCTATCCAGGAACGAGTGAATAAAGGGAGATACCAGCCCTTACTGCTTCGAATTCAGAAAAAGATGGCGCCTTGGAAAGCCAAGCGACTTTCCTTTGCGGCCCGTCTCACTGTGGCTAAATCTATTACTGCATCCTTGCCTGTTTACACAATGAATACTGAACTAATCCCAAGCAGTGTTTGCAGGAACATCGACAAGATCACCAGAGACTTCATTTGGGGGGACGAGGAAGATCGGTCCAGGATGCATCTTGTGGCATGGGATAAGTTGACGATGGCAAAGGGACAAGGAGGCATCGGTCTCAGGCCGACGCGGCAGGCTAATCTGGCCATGCTAGCCAAGAGCGGTTGGTGGCTGATCCAGGAAAAAGAGAATCTGTGGTCTCAACTCTTGATTTCTAAATACGGAGGTCGGCGACAGGGTCTGGAGATCATCCAGAAATCTCAGGGAAGTTCCTTCACTTGGAGCAGCTTCTCGAAAGCTGCCGGCTTGCTCAGGCAAGGCTGTGCGTGGAATATTAAGAATGGGAAAGGTACTAAGTTTTGGTTGGATCCGTGGGTTTTGCAGGTTCCACTAAAAGAGAAGGCGATTGGTGCCATCCCGGAGGAGTTGGAGTCGGCAGCAGTAGCTGATCTTGTTCGAGACGATGGCAGCTGGTGCATTGAGTCTTTCCAGGACCTGCTTCCACCTGAGGTTTGTGGAAAGATTTTGAGTACAGCAGTCGACAAGCTTTCGAGAGAGGAAGACAAGCTATTCTGGTCAGCGACGGCGGATGGGCGATTCACCTGCAAGTCAGCCTATGACCTCATCACTGGTCAAAATCAGCAGCCTAGAGATAAGATTTGGGATACTATCTGGCGGCTTCCGGTTCCGGAGCGAGTTAGAAGCTTTGTTTGGTTGGTCATGCAGGGGAGGATAGTCACCAACTCGATGAGGTTTCATAGGAAGATTGCTCCCTCTCTGTCATGCCTGCGGTGTCCTGATAGGCCGGAGACCATAATTCACATTCTGAGGGATTGCGGCCCAGCTCTCTACTTCTGGTCAAGACAAGTGCCGCAACAGTATCAAGCGGATTTTTTTGGCAGAAATCAAGACTCTTGGCTTCGGGACAACCTTAACAATGATAGGGAGTCCCTCTCAGGTATTAACTGGCCGGCTTTTTTCAGCATGGCCATCTGGCTTCTTTGGAAGAACCGGTCGACAACGGCCTTTAAGGGAGTCGGGGCGGGGCTGTCAGCTCCCTCTCTGCTTCACTCCATTACAGCCAAGTGCAAATTGTGGAACGAGTCCTGGCATGCCCCGATCCCTTTTTCGAGTTCGAAGTATCAGCAGGTGGTGCGCGTATCTTCGGAGATCGGATGGAGCTGCCCTCCCTCTGGGTGGGTTCAGATTAACACTGACGGGGCCTCGAATGGCAATCCGGGGCCGGCTAGGGCTGGAGGACTCATCCGTGATCACCAGGGGCGCTGGATGGGAGGGTTCATGGCTAATATCGGTACGGCAACAGCAGGACTAGCTGAGCTTTGGGGTATTTATTATGGGTTAGAGATCGCTTGGAAGCTTGGGTTCCGAGTGGTCAGGATTGCTTCGGACTCTCAGTTAGCGATCCAGTTAATTCAGAATCGGATTGACCCTATCCATCCGTATGCTACTCTGCTGGGGCTGATTCGCAGGAAGTTGAGTCTGGATTGGTTGGTCTACCTGTCTCACACTTACCGGGAAGGGAATAGAGTCGCGGACTGGCTCTCGAAGCACAGTCTCGTCTGTCCCTACGGTATGCATGAGTTGGCAGATCCACCAGCAGGCATCGGCCAGATCCTTCAGGAAGACATTAGGGGCATCACCTTTGAGCGCCGAGTTGTGGCGAACTCCTCTATCTTCTCTTAACCTCTGTGCTCTCATTTCTTCTTCTTGGCTTCTAGCCTCCTTGCAATGAAAAAAAAATTATTATTGATATTTATTGTATTTTTCACTTGTGAGTTTTGCTATTTGGTCCCCCCTCCCGATTAGAAAATGGTTAAAAGACAGTGAGGGAAAGAGAGAAAGCAACAAGAAGAGTCAAGAGTTGGATGATTGCAAATTTCCAAAAAAAAAAAAAAATCTCTTTGATTTTCCATTTTTTCCTTCTTTAGGGATTGTTTGGGAGAAGAAACTGGAAAGTTATTTTCTTTATCTAGGGTTGAGCTCAGTGGGTAGTGTATGTGAGTGAGAGCTTTGATGATGAATGGTAGAATTTTGAGCCACAAAAAAAAGATCTTTTCCTCCTCTTCACTTCTTTTTTTTCTTTCTGCGTCCGTTTTTTGGGCCCAATTTGCATTCTTTCGGCGACCCACTTGTGTTTTTTTCTCTTCAACCACGACGGTGGCCGGTGGGCAACGCTTTAAAAATCACAATGCTAAAAGGTAAGAAAAGAAATTATTTTAAAGAGTAAAACATATGGACAATGACTTCACAAGTTGACTCAATACGATAATGACTTTTACTTTGTATTTACTTGCTTCAACCCGTTTCATTAATATATGGTAATATTGCATGTAACAATGTGTACGAGTTATTCATTAATAACTGGTATGGGTTAAAATTGTGCATCTCAATTTCTTCGTTCAATTTGTCTCCTTCTCCTACTTGTGCTATGTATCCAGCTCTGTCCCGATACTTGATCACAAATCTTTCCGTCGAATTTCTTACACTAGTACAACCATCATCTATTACATGTTTATACTAATTTCCTTGTTTTAAAGAATCATAAAATCGCAGGTATGCATCACAATTTCTTCAATCACAATTATAGACATACTACTTTACGTTACCCCCAATATGCGATCCAACATAAAATATATATATGCAAATACTGAATATATCCACCCCACTTCTTCATCATCTCTCGTACTCAATTGTAGGTTAAAAAAAATAATATAACATCGGAATTATTCTAAAGTCAATTCATATAATCTCATATCAATGGTTACCCACGATACCAAAAAGCAGCAAAAGTTAATTACCACAACAAGAATATCGAGTCGAATTTCTTTGTGTGTTCCTACGATACATCGTCGTATTTTGTCGAGTAGTGGAGAAATTCGAGAAGAAACCAAATGGATAGGGAGAAGTAGTTTGCAAATTGTTCGTTTCAAAGCAATCATGACTCCGTTTCATTTGGATCCCAACACCAGCAAGCAAGCAACAGCAACAACAGAGCATTTTACTATACTACTTTGATTTCAAGCCTCCTTTTTGACCATAACCCACTAGTTGGTTGCTCTTTGCTAGCTAGTAAATGGGAGCATGAGAAAGTGAAGTGAAAAAGTGGTAGTCGGGGAAACTGGGCTCTCGTGAAATCATCAACCCTTCAATTATAAAATTGTCCAAACAAACAAAAAAAAGCCATGAACTATTAATAAATAGATAAATACATAAAAAGACAAGCATTTTTTTAGGGCTAATTCAGAATAAAGAAAGAAAGCAAGAGAAGAGAAGAAGCACGGTAGTATAGTGTGAGATGATGGAATTTTATCGAAGGTGGGCAGGCTACGTTTGCTTTTGTTCATGTTGTTTTGTTTGGTTCCTCGAGAGAACAACGGTTACGACTTACGGCTGAAAAGCCTGTGGATGATGATGATTGATGAGATCGGCCTCCCATACGTTACTAGAGGGGAAAAAATGAGTTTCGTTCAGCATTACATGTTTGTTTCACGTTTACTTGTTGAGATTTGTGAATTTAGGTTGATAGACTGAAGTATAGACCAAGTTATAGTATTATGATATTATCGAAAGAAGACAAATGTAGGTAACTCGAGCCCTAACTTTTTACCAATTTTAAAAGTAGAATAAAATGGAGGGGGGCCTTATACCGCTTCTATGATAGCCCTTTCAATGATCGTTCAAATCGTGTGTCGTCTCTAACTCGTGTTACTAAATACTGCTTGTGTTTGATCGTTGAAATTAAGAATTCAAATTCGTACGAGAGCATAAGGTATGTATGGTTATATTACCGATAAAGCGACGTCGTCGAAGCATTCATGCTTTCATTCGAGATCTACTGTATTATTTTCATCTCATATTGATGATTTGTTCTACAACATCTCCTGCATTGACATGATACAAATTGATAACACGTTACTAATGGTGTTTGATTCCACAAAAGTTGATACATTTTCCTCAAAATTTCATGCTTAACTGTTGAGATTTAGGATTCGAATTAATCCGAAAAAAATATCGGAGAGATGGATACTCAAACGGGGATCATGGTCCACACATGACACAACCCCCGTTCTTTGAATCCAGATCCCAATCCAGGTTTTGGTGGTGGGTCTCTATAATTTTTGGATACAAAGTAATGGATCTAAATGAGGACTCCCATTTCTCATGTGCAGTGTTTTTCTTTGGTGTCTTTGGGGACAACCCCCAACCCTTTCTTCCTCACAACCTTATTTGGCTTTTCCTTACTTTATCTTCTCATATCCTACTTTTTAATAAAGAAAAAACACACAAAAAAGGGAAATAGAACCCCAAATATTTCATCATATAGTCAAAATGTTCTATTCCAATGGGATCTCATAACCAAGTAATTCACTCACTCAATTTGTGAATACTAAGGCCTATTGGGCAACCATTGAGAAAAAAATGGACTAATTGCTAATTTAGGTCATTGAACTTTGAAGATTAACTTAAACAAGGTAATGTACCTTCCTCGATTACCAAAGCATATCCCACTAAATTTTTCAATATTTTTCCAAATTTGATCATGCCTAATGTTCGTCGAAGACAATAACAACATCCTACTAAATGTGAGCATCTGTTTCATCCCAGCCAGTAAAGATCACGCTAACAGACTCGGGAACAATTTAGATGTGTTCTCTGATGAACTTGATACTTTGAATTTGACGGAGTGCAACCTGTCAAATTTGATGGAAATGGTTGGTTTGAGAAATATCATGAAATTTAGGGAGGGGCTCATTGTATGAGAAGTTTGGGGGGCCCAAATTAGCATTAATCCTTGGAATTTTTATAACAAATAGAAAGAAAGCAAAGGCACACGAGCTATCATTTTCAGGAGGAGAATTATGAGATTGAATGTTGTTGTATTCTTTCTCCACTAGCTAGCTTAGTGAGGAGTGATGAAACGAACCAAACAAATTGTTCTATTTTTTTCCTTCTAATTTTGATTTATGTTTGCTCTGATTCATTTCATTTTATTAAATAACAAAAGAAAGAAGCATAATTGTTATATATTTATAGACAAGTGTCTTTGATTTGTTTGATCCGTGAATTGTTCACCCTTTGTGGAGAACATTTTGGAGAAAGAAACAATATTAAAGCATGTTTTTTTTTTTGTTTATATTCCCACTACACAAAAGTATGAGGTTTTGCTCAAAAGAATTTCGACGAAGGTTATTCAATTTTGATTACTTTTTTAACAATCACTCTTAAGTCTATGTTGAGTACTTGGATAGAATCCGATGGCTTAGAATAACCCTAAAATTTATTCACAATCTACTCCAATAACTTTGAATGTGTAGCTTACGTTCGGTTACGTACTATAGTCACATGCATTATAAACCGCTCATCTAATTGATATTATTTCTCTAATTTCCAAACCAATTAAAGAGCCACACGCAATTGACTACAATAAACACAATTTGTAAGGATTTATCACGTCCATTAAAACCCGCTAGTACACATTAGTACCGAAACTAATCGAATGAGTTGAATAATCCAAAGATATCTCTTTCTGAGGCTTTCACTCAATCACATTTCAAGGGAAAATGAGTGTGAAAGACAGGAATTAAGGAAAAGAGAGAAAAAAAAAAACGACAAAATGGGAAGTGGAAGGAAGGAATCATGTGAGATTGAATGTATGGTTGGCAACTTACGATCGGTCCAACCTTAATTATTTACCAAAATACGCCTATCATGTGGAAAAAAAAATTATTTTTTCTATTCAGAATTAATAATATTATTATATATACTTGGAGTGTACACTATGGTTAGCAGTCGGCCGCAATGTTGGACTCAAAATTCAACTCTTCCCCTTCATTTTTGTATATAATTAATTATATGTTCCCAACTAATCATCATGTCACTAATTACGCAGTTTAGCCTGGTATTAAGACCTTGATCCACATAATGAATCAGTCGCCGTCGAGTATTTGACTATTTGTCTTTACTTCTTTCACGATGGTACTCTACAGTTTGATGGTGGAATGGTGGAAGGAGCTAATGATAGAGAGCTACCCGTCTCTACTTAAATCACATAATTAGACTGCTTGATTGCGATTTGTGATAAAAACCCCATTGCTAATTTCGTGCAAATTGTGGGTTGTCCGAGTTGACCATCCATTCCCCATTTGGTGTAATCTTTGTTAAAAAGAAAATTAGTAAATTACTCAATCCCAATACTCCTCTTGCACGTACTTCCCTTTTGAAAAAAAATGCAGTCATTGTGCTCATCAATTCAACATGGGTTGTTTAAAGTCAACTATGAAAACGGTAGATCACTAGACTAGTTGGGTAGCATTGATCAGGGTGTTTTGATTGAGGTTGTAGTCGATAGGTTATGCGGGTCGTGGACCGGGTTGATGTGGTCATTCGTGGATGTGATTGAGCGACGTACATCGTGTTACGTACTTGCATATCAATTTTGATTTCGAAATTTACGAGTCAAGGAGGTGAGTGGGTTATGGATCACTAATCTTGTCGTTTCTAGGTACAGTTGTGCCTCAATCAATTGGGTTATGGATCGACCTGATTTGTGGATGCTTGGTTTAATAGGCTAGAGGGTTGCATTTGGTTGTGAACTTTTTTGTATAGCTTGATTATTTGTGGGATGGGGGAGGTAGGTGGTTGGAGAGTTTATCTCGTCGTGATTAAACTTGTTCAATCATCAGTCGAATAGCGGGTCTGTCGAATTAATAGTTTTACGATCAATCAAGTTGCACAAATTAGGTATTATCTATACCAAATCTAATGTGGTGAATCATCGTCACAATGTTTTAACTTATCATTCCAAGAATTCCAACCCACAAAATATCAGTAGGTGAAACTTAAGATCAGTAGCTAAATATCATCTTAAAAGTACTCCTAACAACTCGTACTTATGGTAAGACAGTTTCCCATTAGATATGGCCGTCGTCCTCTATACTATCCTTATTACCCTACGTACGGCGGCTCTGCCCCCTTGTGTTCAGACGAATGACCTCACGGCGGCGGCGGCGGCGGCGAAACAATAATTAATGAAACAACAACGTTGGCGAAGAAATTCAAGGCCCTGTGCGGGCGTTGGACTGAGGACTGACAGCTCGGCGAAGACTTTTCGCGTCGATTAGACGGATGATTATCTCTTAACTAATGGGCTGGATTTATTAACTAAGCAAACGGTAGTTAAGAACGAGGAAGATTAACCCGATCGACGTGTAATTTGTTGTCGTTTCTCGTGTGAACTAACGCCATCGTCATCCTCTCCACTAATATGACACGTGCAGGGGATTTAATCAAAAGCATTGGAGTGGAGATAATCTGTTGTTTTTTGATGAAACAAGAACAGCTTGTTATTATGTTCTTCGTAAGAGTTGTCAAAGCTTTGGACTGGAAAAGAGTCACAATTTCACACCACGAATTCAGCTGTCTCTAGCTTAGCTTAGTACGCATGAGATATGGACGGCACTCCGTCGGCAGTGTGTGCGTTGAATGTGTCAGTAACGGTTGGATGTCCCTAGACGGCGAAACTAAGGTCAGAAAGTGACGAAAATATTCACCGGAAGAAGAAGGTAAAGCTTAAAATGGCGTTTACTGTTTAGTTATTAAGAGTTGACCAATACACGATCTAAATGCATCCCGACGAAGTTGACATTCAAGATTTAGTTTGATTTGGTTTTGATTGTACGTAAAAAAAAAGGTTGGGTTACATTGAGATCGATTTCATGTTTGATTTTCTTCATTACATAAAATTAGAAGAAGAGCGACTCAAAATCGTATTTTAAAATTACAATTACTCTAACGTCCCGATCGCAATATTATCCGGCCCGACTTTTCTACGTACAATCAAAACTAAATCAAACTCAATCTCGAATATTAAATTCGTTGGGATGCATTTAGATCATGTATTGGCCCACTCTTAATCAGCAAAGGGGGAATGCTAACTAAACATTAAAGAAGTTTGAAAATGAAGGATTATTTAGAGATGTAACAGTAAGAAACGAGCAAATCAAAACATGGTATTGCCGAAGAAGATCAATCGCAAAACATTTTGTAATTTGGAACCTAACTCCCTCGTATAGCCCGGGAAAAGAGTTGCTGTTTTCCCTAGCAAAGAATTCTGGAAATGGGCCTTGATCTATTTTGAAAATGGACTTCCACTTAAGGGCTCGGGCCCGTTGGCACCTGTGCTGTCAGCTAATTTCTTACATTTATGAAAGCATCAGCGGAAAATTCCTCATGGGCTCATATAAGAACGCTGTTGTTAGGGCCCGATCCATTTGGAAGCCCAAGGAGGAGAATGATGCGGATAATCAAAACATGCAAACGAGTTAATCGGGCAGATTGCAGAGATTAGTGGTTTTACACACATTAAGGAGCCGTAATTGGCCGAAGAAATCCACCGTCCTCTATAAATTGGAGTCCCCCCCGTTTGGCGCTCAAATCATTTGGACGGTTTCCTTTGAAAGTCAAAATGCAGTCGTCGTCCCCAACAGTGAGCAAAAGAGAGCTGCTCTTCCCGCAAATTCGAAAACAACAGTCTCCGGCAATTGACATGAGGACGACGCTAGGGTCTCCGAGCACGAGGAGCTTCGATCATCTGAAGCCGCCGTCGGGATCCGGCAAGAATTTCTCGTTCTCGTCGCCGCGGCCAGCTTCCGATAACCAGATGTCCTTGGGGAACTTCACGAATCCGAAGTCCGCTGCAGGTATCGAAGAATGGATTCCGATGATCTGTTTGTGCGTGATTTTTGTCCGGACATCCTCGTCGCCTGATTCTAGCTGTTTCTTCGTCTGGTTGCAGAGAAGTTAGTGAAGGAGCAAGTGCCGGTGAAAATGGAGCTGGAAACGGCGGTAAGTGCTGAATTCCCCTCTCTAGTGTCTTGTTAGTCTTTCTCTCTCGCCGATAGAGGAGGTTGTAGTAGAACGAACTCAGATCCGTTTCCTTTTTCGGCTGATTAGAACAATAAGCTTAAGAAGTCGATCGAGAATGTCCGTTCGCTGGAGGAAAAGTTGCAGAACGCGTTTAATGAGAATCTAAAGCTGAAATTGAAGCAGAACGAGAATGAGAAGCTGTGGGAAGGATTAGAGTCTAAGTTTGCTTCAACGAAATTGTTCTGTGATCAACACTCTGCAAGTTTACGCCAATTATCTGGACAGGTTGAGCTTGGTGAGTGAGATTTCTACAATTTAGGTTACAGATTTCACCGGTTCTTTTTTCTGCTGTTTCTCTGAAGAGCGAATTGCTTTTTATTGGCAGCTGAAAAGGACACGGAGTTCTTTCAGGGCAAATTATCAGCAAACTCGAATGCTATTGACAAGTTGAGCCTACAACTCAATGATCTGTTTCTGAAATTGTCATCCACTGAGGGAACTCTTGCAACACGTGAGCATTTCATAGGACTCTTGGTGCCTTTGGGCTTGTTTTTCAGCATTGTTGTTTACATTTGTGAGTTATTGATGCAGGAGAGAAGGAGTTGGCAGATCTTAGAACTGAAAAGGAGGAAGTGAGTAAAGTTTTTGTAGGGGAGAAGGGGAGACTTACTAAGCTGATCGAGGATCAAGGTAACTTACTTCTCAAATTGTGGTTGCCGATGAAACCTCTCATGATTTGAACCCATGGTGTACTGACTTTGAAAGCAGCATAAATAGTTCATATCTTACTTGTAGATCATATGCAAGACAACTGCTGTGCAAAGAAATTATTATCATATCTATAGTTGTCCCAGTTCATTTAGGCTATGGTCCTGGAATGTAGTTTTCGTTTCTTGTTGGTTAGGGAAATGAACTAGCCCATTAATTTGGTTTCCTATCACTCTGAGACACCATAATCAGCTGGGATTGTAGATGGTCCATTCACTAGTTGGGAAAACAATGATAACAAACAGGGCAATTATGAAAGGATACCTGCTGGCCCCACTAATTTGCTGATGTCCTGACTGATACTTTAATCCCATGGTAGCTGGGTTATGTAAATGATAAAAGAGAATCATTAGTATTAATCAGCAGTTTAACTCACAGCTTCATGCTTCCAGGCTACGGTGAAAATTCTGGTTCAATGATTACTCTTATCTTTAACTATTGTGATGCTGCTAGCTGCTGGCTTTTTATCCTGATTCCGTTATTTTGACTCTGTAAAATGGTCAGCTTGCGTTTTTGAATGTTATGCATGTCTTGGTCTCTGGAAAAAGGTGTTCGAAAGAACAAAACTATGATAGGATGAATAGAAGCAAATAGCAGACAACAGTGTAGTTGACATTTTTTATATGTATCTTGAGTATGCAAAACTATGTAGAAATGATATCACTTAAAGCATGGCAGGTGTAAGCTTTCTGTCTCTAGTTGTCATGATAACTGAAAAATGAGAAATGACTCTGCATTTCTTCTCTAGTCGTCGGTATTTTCATTTCTATCGATGACATTGTGAACTGCTCACACTAAAGTATAGGCATTGAAACCCCAGATTACCACATTGGTGTGGACCTATCATGCGACTCAGTTTCTAATTTTTCTTCTTCCTGCAGATGGCATGCTGAAGCAGTTTGAAGCGTCCCTGACAGCAAAAGGATTGGACTTGGAGTGCCTGAACTCTAAACTGGAAAGCATGCACCTTGAACTGAAGTTGAAGGAAGATGAGATAAACAATTCTTCCATTGCGGTCCAGAATTTGGGGGAAGAAAAGAGTGACCTCCAACTGAGCAATGAGAAATTGGCTAATGAATTGGCTACAGCACTTCAGGAGATTATGAAGTTAGAGAACTTTGTTAATGTGCTGACCGCTCAGTTAGTTGAACTGGACGAGCAAAGTTTGAGTTTCACTGACAACTTCAATCGTCTGAGCTCACTCTATGATGCTTCCATTGAGTTGGCTCAACGAGAGAGTGCCCTTGTTTCCAAGCATGCTCAAAAGCAGTACAATATGCTCCACAACAAATTCTTGGAAACAACATCTGAAATGGAGGCACTGCAACTGACAAATACGGAGCTGAACTCTAAGATCCCCGAGCTCGAGAAAGCACTAGAGTCTCTCAGGGAAAAGCTTGCTGAGGAGCAATGGTCTGCAGTTGAAAAAATTAACAAGCTGGAGTCTGAGGCTGAAACACTACTCTTAAAGAAGGATGAAGCCGTGATGCTGGTTTCAAAATTAGAGGAGAAAACTAAAGCTCTATCAGAAAGCTCAAGGTCATCTGAGAATGAAACGGTACACTGAGTTTATATTGTTTCTATTTAATGTACTTTGATTTGATATTTGATTATTCCAAACACTCAGTCATGTTTTGTGCAAGTCCTAATGCGTGTTCATTCCATATTTCAGAAAGAACTACTGCTGAAAATGGCTAAGTTGGAAGAGGAAAACAGAGGCACCATAGAACAATTACAGGGGGAAATACAAAAGAAGTTGGATGAAATTGATAATCTGAAGAAGGAAGCTCAGGAACATGACCAAGAAACGGATTATTTGACGCAGAAAGTTGATGAACTTCTGAATGTTGTACAAGAAAAGGAAGAACTTATTCTGCAAGTTAAAGAGAGGGAGAAGAATTTGGAAGATAAAATCAACGAGGTTGGTGAAAGACAAATAAAAGCTGAAGAAAGAGTGAACAGTATACTAATATTCCGAGTTCTGCTAATAATTCAGTCCTGTCTATATTTTTGTGCAGAATCAAGCCTCATTGACTGCAGCTGATGGCAGACTGGCAGAAGTAAAGAAACAATATGAAATGATGCTTGAGAGTAAACAACTGGAGTTGTCTAGACATCTGAATGAAATTTCTCTTAGAAATGATCAGGTGAAGAAATCTTTCATTTACTGTCTAGTCTGTCAGGATCTCAATGATTTTGGGCTTTGATATGTCAAGTTCATGTTCACAATTGCCACTACCGCAGGCAATTACTGAAATCCGGAGGAAGTACGACGAAGAGAAGCTGGAAATCATTAACACGGAAAAGGAGAAGGTCTGAATGTTCATCTGGTCTTAGAGTATGCTTGCTGAGCAATTGTAACTCAAGCCTGACAGGGTTGGATTTTTCAGGTGAATAAACAACTACAGGACATGGAAAGAAACTGCGAACTGAAACTTTCCGAACAGAAGGAGGAATCAAAGCAGCAACTTGTGCGTATTCAAGAAGAGCATGCTGCAATGGTAAGCACTGGAAGGGATCTGAGTGGAATTCTGGTGTTCATGATGAATCAGATTATCTGTTAATAATTACTTAATATGACCAAGACAGCCATTAGAATAATCTCCCCTTGCTTGATTTTCGAGCATAACTATTAGAAATGAGTTTTAATGCTGTTGGAGGGAAAAGTTATGTGCATAGAAGTTGTCTCTAAACCATTATCTAGGTTATAACGTATGTTTAGCTATATCTTGATTGTATTCCTCCATAGCTGCATAGTTGTTTCTATGTGAAGTGGTCCTGGGACACATGATTTTGGATTCTGTGTTTCATATTGCTTTCATCTTTAAGTTTTTGTCATATTAGTTGATTTCTACTAGAATAATTAGATATAGTTCATCGTTGTTGCTCATAGTCATTATTTCTCAATGATTTTTAATGCCTGCTTCGTTTTTCAGATTTTACAAATCAAGCAGGATAATGACAACAAGGAAACTAGTCTTAAAGCTCGCCACAGTGAGGAGCTGAAGCGTGCCGAATCTGAAGCTAAGCATGCAGAAACAGAGGTATCCATGACATGATTAGCATCAACTTCCGTCGATTAATAATTGCAACTTACGCAATTGGTAATATATTATGCAGAAAATAGCGTCGCTAAGAAGTGAGCACGAGGCTCAAATGAAAACTCTGAGAAGCCAGTATGAAGATGTGGGAAGGAAGCTACAGGACGAGTTGGATCTCCAAAGGGACAAGGTTCTTTCTTACACATGCATTAAGAGTGTTCTTTCGGAAAACATTTCTTCAGACTTTTAAGAAAAGGAAATGCTGTGGAAATTTCAGGAAGACAAGCAGAGGGCTTTGCTGGAGATGCAGTTGAAAGTGATGAGCAACAATAGAGGAGCTGATCAAGAAGTGAACTCTAACAAGGTACCCACCCTTATTCCAAAGAATAGCTCCTTCTCCTTGTTCCCTAGCAAATGCGCTTCGAGCTGGTGTTTAAGTAGAGATATATTACTCTTGGTCACATAATTAAAGCTCTTGTTTAGTGTAAGTTCAAACACAGGATTTGGGGCAGCCATACTCATGCCATTCATTACAGAAGACATGCATTACTCTTGTTTAAGTTTGTTCTACATTCATAATGGAATTAAGAACATGATGATCAATTCACAGGAACACTCCGTTTCATCAGTCCAGATGTTAGACCACCGAAAGATCAGAAAAAGTCCAAGATCACTGGCAAGGCCGGAGAGTGCTAAGAGAGGAAAGGCAATGGGTATCCCCATGCATACCAAGAAGGTCTGTTAACCTTTCTAACATTGGTGTGAATTTACTATTCCTAGCCTTTTTCCTTCTTCCATTATCCTTGCAGAGATATCTCAATGCTGTCAAGTTAACTATATTATCTGCCGTGTCTCCTTTCAAAGTCTTGTGTGTTACGGACAGTTTACTCACTCAACTTTCTTGAACTGCAGGTCTCCCGCCCGGAGTATGAGTTTGAGACTGCCGATGGTGCAACAATTGCAAAGCGCAGAAAGACAAAAACTACAGCCGTGCTCGAGGTTAGTGACTGACCATTGAGCAAGACAAGCTGTTCCCCGTTTGAATGTTTGTAGAGCATTCCTATTTTATATCATGATGCTGGATTTCTTTCTTTTTCCGTGTTTTAATTAGGGTCCTGTGAAGCATAGTAAGAGGGGCACCCCCAAGGCTGTTATTACTCCTAGAACTGCACTCAAGGTAAAACAAAACCGTCATTTTCTTGGTGAGATCTGGAAAATGTTGTTCATTGTTATGCATAAACACTATCTGTTTCTTTCCCAACTATCTGGCTGCCATATCCTTGCCTTCCGAGGAAGCCATTTTTTGCCTACTGTACTTGAATTGTCTGAATCAGCCATATTATTCTGCACTTCTATAAATACAACTAGCATATTACCTCTGTGCCCATGGATTTGCTGGCTTCTGCTTTCTTATACAGCGAATCAAGGGCTCTGCTGCTACCCAGCCGCATCGTCCTTCGAACATAGGAGATCTGTTTTCCGAAGGATCACTGAATCCATATGCAGACGATGATCCCTACGCTTTTGTTTAGATGCCTTCTTTTCTCTGGCCAATCATCGACTGTTGCACACTGTTTTGTTTTGTCAGGTAACATTACCACTTACCATATACACCACTCTTCATCTGTCATTTCCTCTCCCGATCTTCTGCATTCTTACAGTGCCTTTCCGTATCCAATCTGATAACCAATTGTTGCTCGTATGTCGCGATTGTGCTTGCTTGCTTGCAGCTAATAGTAGACCACCCGAGAGAGGTTGAACTTGAACTCTAACTAAGCGGTGAGAACTTACCATTGTGTTTCATATAGGGGACCCTTACAAGCATTTTGTTGCAACGTGCACATAGGAACCTTACAAGCATTGTGTTCCTTACACCATTGCTAGTCTGCTTGGTGTAGCTTTCAGCAGTTCATCCGTAGACCGTAAATAAACAGACTGTTGTGCTTCTGCTATAGTGCTATTGCTATCGTAAATGACTGTACATAGTGTTGCTTGTAATTTTGTATTGTCTTACTCTTTACATGCACGACTCAGACGAAAAACAGAAGGGACGTTTCAATACAATTTTTCTTTTGTCTATAATACAAAAATATTCCATCTTGTTCTTTTGGATACAGAAAGTAGCATGAATGGGCTATAGCCTATAGCCCAAAGCTATTATGGTTCTTATGGCCCACCCTAAAAGCCCAAAGTTAGGCAATGACGGTAGTATGACCTAATATATATAACTGTTTCGGGCTTCGGCGATTGCATTCATGCAACAGAGTGAGAACTGAGAAGAAAACCCGGGCGACTGTAACCCCTTCGAGTGGCCGCCGGGACCAATCGCCGATAAACGTTACTACGAGTTTCGCAGGCAGGCAGGAGGATTTCCCCACCGGAGAATGTTATTATGGATCTTTATACCACTCATTCAAAAGTGTTCACACGCCAACTAGGTGGTAAGCTGCAGGATCTGGATCAACTGGCACGGTATATTGTGCATCCGACTCTATCTTTGTTTTGATTCCGGCTTTATCCGATTAATAGAGATTTCTTCTCTTTCGGTAATTCTGATCTTGTTGGTGGAGGAAATATGTTCAGTTTCAAGAAATGGGAATGCGTTAGCCCAATAATTCTCTGTTGAAGTAAAGAAAGCACCGGATCTCGTACTGAGAAGGAGGAGTAGTAGAAGCTAATTTCAGTATCTAAGTGCCAGTCACGGAAAATGCGATCACAACCCGATCGGAAAGCCACTTGCTCGATCACGTCATCTGTGGTGCGGGCCATATTCTTCTTCTCGATCGGAAAGCCGCATCGACGCCACCGTCCTGATTACCGTCTCCTCAACCTGGCTACTCGTCAGATCCGACTCCTTCCCGACCCGATCCCTGGCCTCGTCAGATCCGATCACAAACTGATGATATATTGTTTCTTTTTTGAATCGTTGAGACATATTGTAAATTTGTTTGATTTCCTTAGGTCGGTCACTTTTATTTGTGTGGTTTCTGCTACATCCTTCCTTTAATTTGGTATAACAAACAGTATATATATAGCCCAAATCTGGCATTGTAGTCCATGCCTAACATTTTTCCTGTGATCCGACGATAGACAAATAGTTCCATTTTGAGAATGTACAACTTGAGGTGCGATTTAGATTCAGTCATGAGAAAGACATGCAGGGCACATGAAGGAAGAACTTCTCCACTAAATGCTAAAACATTTCATCTAGTTATATATATCCAACATGAAAGCAGTGATGAAGTGATCATACGATCGATCAAGCTGCTAGTTAATTCACGATCAGTATTTGCAATGTAATTAAAGTCGTCAATTGAACTCTTGATCCACGTCGGTCGTAATTAACTAACATCCATTTCCCAGTCAAGACCAAAGTATACTCACTCATCCAACTCACTTTGGGAGATTTCAATCCCATCAGCAGCAGAGGAGAAATAGTCACAATGATGATCACCAACTTAATTACCACCATTGATCCGGTAATAATATGAATATGTATGACTAATCAACACTCCCTCGTTACTTAATTCATCATTATTCATTAACCTCTCTTCCCCAATGATTCTAATGGGTGTACCTGAAGCAACGGGTGGCTTCGGTGCAACCACGGGTGTAAGGATTAGCCCGAATACGATAGCTACAGTCGTAGTAGGAATTGCGCTTCCACCCACAGGGTATGCTGTTTGCCCTCAGCGCTTGGTAGCTAATGTACCTATCTCTCTGCTGCAGCTTCCTTGCAGTCTTCTTCTTGATGGAAGTAGTACTGCAGTGGGGATCGACATTCTTCCTCCACCTAGCCACTCTGTCGCAGCTCGACCAAGGATCATCAGCACGAAGATGAATCATGGTCGATGATGATGATGATGGTTCGGGGACGAAGGATGCATCCCGGGTTGTGGCTAAGACGACGAGGATGAACATGATGATGATGAGCAGCAAGTGGTGATGATGGGAAGCCATTTGTGGGTTTGTGAATTTGATGAGGAGGATGAAAGTTATTGAGTCGCTTATGAGTGACTTATATATATAGGTATTAATATATTGTATGAGTTGGTTCAATTGGATGAAAAAAAAAAAACAAAAATGGGGTCACCATAGTTTTGGTGACTAACAAGTCAGTGACGGCATTGGCGTAGCCAGAGATATAATTTAGTGGGGTCCAAACATAACCAAATACGAAGTTTGACTAGATAGTAAAATCATTGTCTCGGAAAGAGGGGGTCTGTGGTTCTAAATTTACTAACCCCACCTTAAAAATTCACCATTCTTAATGTATATTCATTTTCCAAGTGGGGTCCATGGACCCCACAACCCTTAACCTAGCTCCGCCAATGAGTGACGGAACTTTGGTTTTTGACGAATTTTTCGCGAATTGTGGAATATATTAAATGTAATGGTCATTCAGTCAATATTTTCATCTATTTTTTTTTTGTTTTGTTTAGATTGGAGTGAACTCGCTACCGAATATTGATTGTACAAATAAGTCATCAGATAAATGTTCTGATTAGCTGTGACATGTGTGGAGGAAAAGGATCCGATTAGTGTGATTTTCCCCCAGTGATGTTGGTTGTAATTGTGTATGTATTGAATGCTGACATTGAGAATGTTGAGGCAAAGTTGATGCATCTTTGTTGGGTGGCATGTGACTTGTCTTTGTGCGGAGTGGAATAAAGGGTTTGATTTCAAGAACCGATGGCATGATATAGCTAGAAATGGATCAAAACCCATTCATTTGCTGGTTTTGATGAGTTTTGTTATGAGTGGTGAAGGGGGAGTGAAATGGGATGGAGGGTAACATGCAACTATGTTTATTCCCCTTCCTTATTTTTCAACTTTATGTAGAAAACGCGGTTTGTGTATGAAAATGTTGTTTTCTTCGTAATTTTTTGGTAAATACAATGTATTAGCCATAACTATTATGAAGCGGGGAATTATAGTCACAACTATGAAAATTTAAATTATTAGCCATAATTATTGTTGTGGGTCAAGATATGACTAACTGTCTGTTACTGTTATTGAATTTTTGACGAAGAAGGCCACGTCATCGGCCACGGCAGCGCCCACGTCAGAATGCTTTTAATTTATAACTTTAAAACATAAAAGTTTAGTCAGTATTACTAACGAAATTGTGAACAGATAGTTAACGTTTGGTTAATAATTTAAATTTCCATAGTTGTGGCTATAATTCCCCGCTTCATAATAGTTGTGGCTAATATATTGTATTTACCCTAATTTTTTTTACATGTTTAGGCCAATTCTTTTGAATGCTATTAGTCACTGATCTTTAGGCTATCCATCACAGGTCTTGATAGACTATTGGGAATGCTATTTGTCACCTATTCAGCTATCCATCACAGATTTTAGCATATTTTTTTAAAATGTTATGGTCCACAAATTTTGAAGGCTATGTATCACAGATTTTGACCAATTTTTTTCATGTTAATTTTCACCAATTTTGAAGGCTTAACACAGATTTTTACCAATTTTTGTGAATGCTATTTTTAACATATTTTGAAGGCTATCCATCACTGATTTTTTCTGATTTTTTTGAATGCTACTATTAACCAATTGAATGCTACCCATCACATATTTACTTTCACGATTTGGAAGACTTGGGGTTTAGGGCGGTACCTAGATCCGCTATCAGTGCTGCCCATAGAGTGGCGCGTAAAGCACTGCTTTTGTCTTGTGTAGAGCTAGACTCTTTTGATTTTTTGGGGTGGCTTCTTTAGAATATGCTAGGGGTCTTGAGTAGAATTGTAAGTTTAACTATTTTATTCCACGATTTGGAAGACTATTCATCACAAATTTTGACAAATTATTTTGTATTACTTTTGAGAGCTATCCATCATAAATTTTGCTCTATTCTTGTGTAGCCTTTCAGCCGTTTACCCGTAAACAAACAGACAGTTGTGCTTCTTCTGTAGTGCTTATTGGTTATTCCTATCGTAAATGACCCGAGGAAAAAATCATACAAATATTCCATCTTATTATTTTGGACACAGAAAGTAGCGTGAATGAGCTACAGCCCAAATCTATATCGTTCCTATGGCCCATACTCTCCCCTATCGTCTTATGAAACGGGCTTTAGCCCAAAGTTAAGACTATGACGGTAGTATGACCTATATATACATATCAATTATCATTTCTTTTTCCATGAAACAGAGAGAAACGAAAACCCTTTCGAGTTTGCCGCCTGGACCAATCGACCTGACTACATCTTTGTTCTTGCAACATGAGCTCCGCCGGCGGGCAGGAGGATTCCATCGTCAGCCGCCGAATCGATGAGCTCCACCAGGTACCCAATTTCTCCAACGAAGTAGTACTAGAATCTGGTCCTTATCTTCCTTCCGATGCTGTGATGGGCATTCTGTCCAAGCTACCCGCGAAAACCCTATTCCGTTTCAAATCCGTTTGCACGAACTGGGACGCCATGGTTCCGTCCGATCCACACCTCGTATCTATGCACCTCAGAAACTACACCAGGACCTCCCTCTTGTGCACCTACCGTGATTTAATTAACGGCGGCGGTGGTGAAGTCCCGAAATCGGTCTTGCTCCACCCCGACGACACCGTCGACGATTCTCCAAGACTGGTCGATTGGGACGACCAATTGCTCGATGAAGCCATCTGTGGCGCAGGCAATGGTCTGTTTCTTCTCGGAAACCCATATCGACACCATAATCCCAATTACCGCCTTTTGAACCTGGCGACTGGTCAGATCCGACTTCTTCCCAACCCTAGCCCTGGCCTCATGGAACGACGATCCGATTTCCCTGACCACTGTGGAGTCGGGCTCGATTCAGCCGCCGATGATGTCAAAGTCGTCGTGATTCGCTGCGGTGCTCGTTCTCACCGCGACCCTCCAACTACAGTTTTCGTGTATACGTCGCGGAGCAACCGTTGGAGAAAGTTGGCAGCAGGAAGCCACTCCTGTGGAGTAGTGGGAACATACATCCCGCCGTTCGATTGTCATCTTCACTCCAGCGGGTTCTTCTACTGGCTCTTTTCGAACGGCTGGAAATCTGGTAACAGTTATGTGATGGCATTTGATATGAGCAACGACATTCTCCACAGGATAGAGGACTGTCCCCTCTCTGGGCTCGGTAGCCTCGGCGGCACCTGTCGTGGTGGTGGTGATTCGGTGGTTTTGATTCCGTTGTACATGGATTCGGCTGATGACATGTGGTTGCTGAGTAGGGATGATGGGGGTGGGGCGTGGTGCTGGATCAAGCGACATTCAACTGGAGGACGACATTTCCCTACTACGCTCGTTGTCCATGGATTGTGGAAAGATGATCGGATTATGACCGACCTCGATGACCAGCTCGTGCTGTATGATACCGTCGCTCACAAATACAGAGTTCTGATGGACCATCTGCCGAAGCGATTACATGTTTACAGAGAAAGATTGAGCCTGTCGATCACAAAATGATCGCTGAGACATGTATTTGTCTCATCGAACTAGCTATAGTGCGTGTATCTATAACTTTTTTGTGTCTGTGGCTAGCTAGTGCAGATTGCATCGCATACATGAAGAAAAAAAAATTCTTCTTGCTACAACTCAATGATCTGTTTCTGAAATTGTCATCCACTGAGGGAACTCTTGCAAAGCTTGAGCATTTCATGGGGCTCTTGGTGTCTTTGGGCTTGTTTTTTCAGCATTGTTTCTTACATTTGTGAGTTATTGATGCAGGAGAGAAGGAGTTGGCTGATCTTAGAACTGAAAGGGAGGTAGTGAGTAAAGTTTTTGTAGAGGAGAAGGTGAGACTTACTAAGCTGATTGAGGATCAATGTAACTTACTTCTAAAACTGTGGTTGCAGATAAAACCTCTCATGAATTGAACCCATCTATGGTGTGTATAATTGACTTCACTTAAAGCATGGCAGGTGTAAGCTCTCTGTCTCAAGTTGTCATGATTACTGAAAAATGAGAAATGACTCTGCATGTCTTCTCTACTAGTTGGTATTTTCATTTCTATCGACGATATTGTGAACTGCTCGCACTAAAGTATATGCATTGAAACCCCAGATTACCATATCGGTGTGGACCTATCATCCGACTCGGTTTCTATTTTCATTTTTTTCTTCAGCAGATGCCGTGCTGAAGCAGTTTGAAGCGTCCCCGGCAGCAAAAGGATTGGACTTGGAGTGCCTGAACTCTAAACTGGAAAGCATGCACACCTTGAACTGAAGCTAAAGGATGTAACTTTTGTGTCTGTGACTAACTAGTGCAGATTGCATCACATGGGAGATGCGAGGATTCGTGAAAAATTTCTTCTCCATGCAACATTTCATCTTAGCCACACTTGACGTGAAATCAATTTAATTATACAAGTAAGTTTCATTCTAGAATAGGCATTCAATCTGTAACGTAATATAAGATCGATAATTTAACTCTCGATGCACATGGTAATTACATTAATTACATCCCACTTCACAACAAAGAGTGAGCTCACACACACATCCATCCAAGCACAATTATCATTAGAGATTAATAACCCCCATAAGTAGAGGAAATAATTACATCCCCAATTCCATTATTACGACCATAATTCCATATATCATCCTTTTATTCAACTTCCATCTTTGCTCGTTACTGATCAGCCATTGTTCATCAACCACGGCCACGGGTGTAAGGGTTAACCTTCTTGCGGTACCGACAGTCGTAGTAGGAATTGCCCTTCCACCCACAGGGTATGTTTTTTATCCTCAGGTCTTTGTATCTAAGCTTCATGTCTCCCAGTCCATGTTGTATCTTCCTCGCCTTCTTGATGTTGTCGCTCGGAGAAGTAGTACTGCAGCCATGATCGTCGACATGATCCTTCTTGTGGTGGGAATCGTCGGCTTTCACGCAGCGTGTAACGTTGTTTGCCCTCAGTGCTTCGCGGCTGATGTACCTGTCTCTCTGCTGCCGTGGCTTCCTTGTCGTCTCAGTGACGTTGTTGTTGTGGATGACCGGAGAAGTGCAGCGAGGATCGACATGATGGTGATGAACTGTACTTGTCGACGACGATGATTCGTGGTCGGCGGCTGCCATTGTTGCGGCTAAGACGACGAGAATGGAGACGATGAGGAGGCGGCACTGGTTGTGGGAAGCCATCACGGTTTGGGGTTGGGTTTGTGAATGTGATTTATCAAGGGTGGAGTTTCTGAGTAGCTGATAACGTGAATATATAGGAGTTGGTGGGTATTGTGTAGTCGCGGTTGGGTCAATTAGGCTGAAAGGTCACTAGATTTTGGGTTACTAACAATTGGGTCATTGATTCTTCTAGTGGTGCTAAATTTGAACCCAATTTCATATATGTACAAATAGTCATAGTAATTACATTTATTTCCATTTGATTTGGTCCGGACTAGTATGTCGATTCGCTTAAAACTTTATTGATATAAAGGCAATCAGATAAACGTTCTAATTGGCTATCACATCTAGGGAGAAATGAATCGAATGATTCGAATTGGTTAAAGCAATGTGAGCTAGAATTTGGTCGAGTAACGAGTTTGCTTTAAATAGGGTACATGTCACAATGGGTCGTCCATATTAGTTTATCAGGTCTGAAAATGCCATTTTCTTCATATTAATTTGATTGAGCGCTAACTAGTGATGGAGATGGTCATATGGATAATATAATTTTGTTATGATAGTATCCCAAAATTCACTACCAGATTTGTCAGCGTGTGTTTGGCCAATGATTATGGGGCCAAATTTTGAAGTCCAGAGATGTTGGTTTTAAATTTTAATTAATACTCGTAACATATAACCGTCCGTCTCTCCCCGGTTAGGTTAACACCCGTAGAAATAATTTCACTATCAAATTTATTAAAATGGGCAAAATTTGATGACCAATTTGTTATTGATTTCAACATTTAGTGACCATTAGCATAATTAGCCCGATATGATTCTGTGTAATGAATGTCACAAAGGAAATGTTGAGGCAAAGTTGGGACATCTTTTTTGGATGGCATTTGAATTGTCTTTGTTAGGTATGGAAGAAACAGAGGCTTTGATTTCGAGAATCGTGGGATGTTATTAGCCTATAGCTTGAATTGGATGAAACCCCATTCATTTTGCTATTTTGCTGGTTTTGATACGTTCTATGACGAGAGTGGGTGAAGGAGGGCAACGATAGAATGGATGGTAACATGCAACCAACAAATGCTTTTAATCCCTTTATTTCGTGCTTAGGCAGAAAACGAGAAGGCAATGCCTTTTCCCCTTCTTTGCGGTTTTGTACTATAAGTATATATGGAAGTTAATTCTAGCAATTCAAGTTGTTAGAAGAAGTCGATGGTATGTATTCGTAATGTGTATATATGTACTAATTAGATGTTGATATCAAAGATTACCAAGATTTGTGTAATGAGTTGATTGATCTTAATAATTTGCACCGTTGAGAGATATTGCATAATAAATCTTAAGCAATTTCCTTACATGCTCCATTAAATAATAGCCAACTTGTTTGACTTAAATTTTGTATAAACCTGTAAATCGCTTGATGTTCAGATAAAATATCAAGAGTATGCTCATCTCAATAATTTGTGTTGTTGAGAGAAAATAAAATTTAAAACTTCTATTATCCAATTACAGTGGTATACAAAAAAAAATATTATACGACAAGAACTTATCAGCTATCCAAATAAAAACAAAATTCTTATCCACAAGACCACAACTATATATAGAATAAATTTTATTTCATATAGCGAATCAACTAGCTAGATGAATGGAATTAGAGAGGAAACACAATCGATCCAAAAAAATTCACCACAAGATGCATAAGAGTTAGAGTTATTCGAAGTTATGAGATTAGCGCTTATGGGATTAACGATTACATATATTGCAATAAATCCAGAGGACTATATTGACGAGTTAATTTACAAACAAACACCATTTCTGTGTCACCCTTTGGTCCCTTCCTTTTTCCTTCCATTACATTTCCATCCTCTCTCCCTCAAGTACTAACCCTCTCTTGCACTTTATCGACCCCTCAATTACCAATATAACACGAATTAGTAAACATTGTACGCACGATCGGATCATCCCACACGATTGCTCATTCAATGAGTGTATCTGAAGCAACGAGTTGCAGCAGTGCAACCCCTACGATAAGGATTGACCCTCTTGTGCGCATCACAATCGTAGTAGGAGTTTCCACGCCAACCGCATGGGATACTGTTCGCCCTGAGTGCTTGGTAGGTAATGTACCTTTGCCTCCCCGGCCCCATCTGCCGCAACAACCTGGTTTGGCTCGGGGAATCCATATCCATCATGAAGTCCGCATCCACTTCGAAGCAATGACCATCCATCCCTTCACATGTGGCCAACGACATTCCTGTATCGTTGGAGGATATCAGACCACCTGACGGTGAGGGCGATATCGATTCGGCTGCTATCATGGCGACGGCCAGGACAAGGAGGATCATCCATACATTTCTGGTGTTCATGATGTTAGAGGTGGAAAAGAGAGGAAGGGAGAAGGGTGTCTAGGTAGGCCCTTGACCCTTCCTGATCCACAAAGAGGGAGAGGGGGGAATGAGTTTGATGAAAGGAGAAAAGGAAGAGACATTGTGGGAATGTGGACATTGTGGATTATATAAGAAGTTATTTTTGGGGATTGAACGTTAGAGATTTGTTTTCTGTGTGGTTGCTAATTTAGGTTTTTTTGTGTTTCGATAGTTGATTAGTTACCATTGGATTGCCGCTTGTCATGCTCAACCATTGGGTTATGTTCAAGTTTCAATTTGGTTTAATTTTCCGTTGAAGAGTATAGGCTACGTGGAGATCCAAATATGGATGATGATTGGTAAAGTTGTCAAATTGGGTTGTAATCGGTTTAGCAGGTAGTATGATCCAATCATACAACAATTAGTTTTAACAAATTATATAAGAAAGCGAGAAACTTTTAACATCATGCGCTCATCCAGAAACATTCAAATCAAAACAGAGCGTAAGCCTGAAATCATCATGCGCTCACCCAAGATCTCCGCAACGTTGAGAGTGATAGCGATCCCTCCACGTAAGCCGCCGGACGCGTGTCATCATCCTAGCTAGGGTGGAGACAAGGCTAAAATCTTCCAATCTGGAAAAAATCCCTGATAAGATCCATGAAGCCGGCCCACCACAGAAAAAAAAAAGAACGAATTCAACGTCAAGCAATAACTGGACATGGGCTCCGGTGATCACCAAAGGCCCACATAATAACACACCTGTCGTTCGCTTGACTTATTGATCCATCCAACTCCGGCCTTTCCATTAGTGGCTGATTAACGGTCCACTAACCTCACACGTACAAGTTACAATTACTACTACTACTATGGATGTGACAACGCCAACTATGGCTTGTCCAGCAGAGGGCTGAGTTTTTAAAATTTGATTATAATGATGCTTATAGTTATTGTTTTATGGCAAGGGTCAGGATTAAACTCATGTTCTAGAATTATTAGAATTATGCAGGGTTGTCCCACCGGTTAACCGAACCGAAACTATTAAAAATAAAAATCGACAAAATTTTTCCCAAAATCAAAACCTCTGCACCCTTTGTAATAGTTTCGGTTAGAGCAAGATTCGAGTTTGATTTTGATTTATTATCGGTTTTTTAATTAAAACGTACATATATATTGTTTCAAGACAAAAAAAAATCAAAACCGATAAAATTATTATTGGTATGGTCGGACGATTGTACAAAATCATAGCAAACCCCGTAACTATTTGTAAAAAAAAAAAACAAGTAAGTGAAATTCCTTCTAAACAATAAAATATGTTGATATGGGATAGAAAACTCTCAAATACGATTCTAACTTCTAAGGAAAGGAATTTATTCGCCTATTCTAGAACACCGAAAAACCAAACCCAATTCCCCAACCCTAGCTATTAGCTATATGTGAGAATTGTATATGTTATAATGAAACACAATAATTGAGTAGTTAGAGTTGGATAATATTGGTTGAAGTAGGTCCATTACGGATCCCCACATTTCAACATTTTATTAATATATGTTGTTGCTATGTACAATAAACCTAATTAGTTAAGCACATAAACATTTGTTGCTAATTAGTCAATAGTTTACCATGTGACTTCTTCTCTTCTTCCCAACCACCCACATCAATCCACTCCCCACACATGTCACCCCCTTAAACCCTTACAATTAATCAAAACATCTACTTCAAAATTATATTTGACCCTCTTTATATTATTAATCATTTGGATCAAACCAATCTTTGATAAGCTCCATTATACAATTTGGGTTTTCATTTTTCAGAAGGTATGAACATGGAGTAGACCGAACCAAAATCGAAAGGGTAAAGATGAGAATAACTAGAGTCAGAATTTATCAGTTTTCGGTTACATTTTAATGTTGATAGTAGTGGCTAGTGGTAGGAAATAAGGCATCTCAATCAAAGTGCAAAAGAACCTACCAATGCCTTACTAATGCAAATGTGATTATTATTCCCCACCCCTCTTAGTCAAATATCAACTTGCACTAAAATGGCTTTGGTTGTTGCCAAATCAAGTGTTGGAGAAAAGCCAAATGAAAAGAATAGGAATTTAGCTTAGCTTGGATTACAAGGGATCCTGCATCATTTAATAACGTTTAATCCCATAGATTAATTGTGGCGACAATGATTACCCTTTACCCATATTCTAATATAGTAATTTATTCCTTCTTATGCGTGAATTGTGTTCAAGAAAGGCACCATGTCTCTTTTGCTTTTAATTAAGATTACATAATAATTCTCATGAAGAAGATGACATATTAATGATATAGATATAATTAGCGTGCACATAATACATTTGTAACAATCTTTTATGGGTGTCTCAACGAATGAGAAAATGATTATGTATGCACTTTGAAACTAGGATGACCAGATTCAAAGTTAGATACCATGACTTCTCGCCGCGCCGACTTCATTATACGAGTTTTGTCTTCGCTAAATCACTTGCTTGCACTAGAAACAACCATGTATGTTAGAGATTCATATGATAATTTGTCTTTTTTTTTCATTAAAAATATATCTTGTTCAATTGAATGTCATTATCACTTCTTATCGACATAACAATCAAATAGCATAGTTGTCAAGTATCAAATAAAATGAGGTTTTCGTCTGAATTGAATTTAGATTCTCGATATCGTCTCTCCATTTTCTTTTTTTTTTCTTTAAATATCTAGTTTTGATGAGTTTTCAACAAATGATCTCTACATTAACAAGACAACATTAAATTCGTATAACAAAATTTTTACTAATAGTATGCAACTATGGATTTGTAAAAACCAAAAGAAATACTAGTACGAATCAATTGGTCTCTTTCTTTCCCCGCTGTCTATCAATGGAGAAAGAAAGGCCAAGAAATATCATAAAGCCCAAATTACAAAAGGCAAGAAATTGATAGTGCAGCGAAACGAGTCTCTCATAAATCATAATCATAACCAGCCACCTTATTGTGATGGTATGTCTTGTCCGTTTCACAGCTTTCATTTTGAGTACTCGCCCGTGCTTACACACAGATTTGCTTCTTCCAATCCCCGCGCCCCTCTTTCTCGTCCTTCTTCATACCTTCTTGTCCATTTCCGTTTGGCCTCAACAACTCCCAATTCCTGCTTTCCCTCCCTCCATGGTGCTTCCCACTTGCTAACCCTCTGCTTCAGCTCAGCTGCTTCTTGAAGGTACCCACTTTTCTACTCTGTTCCAGTTTTCATGCATGGGTTTTGGTTTTCCTTGTCGATTCCGAATTCCTTCCATGGCTTCGTTTTTCTTGTTTATTGGGGGGAATTTTGTGGTGGGTTCTCTGATTTTCCCCTGCTCTTGTCTCAAATGGGCTCTCTTCTTCTCCTCTGTAGCTCTCTCATATCTGTCTGTCCTGTAGAGTTGATAACAGTTGAATTGTGGGGTTTTGTTTTTGTTGGGGCTATGGACCATTTTACTCTTTTTTTTCTGTAGTTAATTGGTGGTTGCTTTCCATGTCATTATTCAACTGATAGCAGATCGGTGTAAGCTCAAACGTGCCAATCATGGAGTCCTCTAACTCTAAGAATCATCATGTGGAAAAATCGCCTCTTCTCAAAGAGGTGAAAATGAATTTCATTTCTTTACTTCACCTGTTGTTTTCAGCAATTTGCTTATGATCTTTATCGTTTCTCAAAATTTGGTTGGTTAATTTTCGTCTTAAGGTTGCTGATTTGGAGACACAGTTTCTGGGGATGATCCACTCATCCAAGGTTTTATGGCATTCTGAGGTTCAACTCCAGTATAAAAAAATATGTTCTTGTTATGAGAAGCTTCTTGTTCTTGGTGATCACAAGCTGGAAGAGCTTCAAGATGTTGAGTACTCTCTATGGAAGCTCCACTACCGCCTTATTGACGAGTTTCGCAAGAGATTGAGACGAATTCCTGATAATGGAGAACCTACTGCTGAATCAGTTGACGGGTTCAAGTCATTTCTATCGGTAGCAAGTTTATATTACCAGAATTTGATTCTTAACCTTAGGAAAAACTATGGCCTCCAGGAGAGCTTTACTTTAGGTAGTAGAAATGGTGGAATGCAGGACAAGAAGCTTCAGTTTTTGTGGCATCGGTTTCTAGTTTGTCTAGGGGATCTTGCTAGATACAAAGAACAGCAATGTGAGAAATCGGGTCAACCAAACTGGTCCGTTCCAGCTAGCCAATACTTGCAAGCTACATTGGTTTGGCCTTTCAATGGCAACCCTCACAATCAGGTACTTGATAAAAGTGATTTTTTTTTCTTGGTTGTTCAACATATGATATATGTATAACTTGAACTAAACCGATTGGTTTTTCCTGGTTCCTATAGTTGGCAGTGTTGGCTACATATGTTGGAGATGAGTTCCTAGCTTTGTACCATTGCATAAGGAGCTTAGCTGTTAAAGAACCTTTCCCTGATGCATGGAATAACCTTCTCTTACTATGTGAAGAAGTAAGAGCCATAGATTTCCTTCATCATTCATGGTTGATATTCCTTCCAAGAGAATGCCTGCTTATTGGCGCCTGCTCTATTTGTTCATTTGCAGAACAGGTCATCTCCATTAGCTTCCATTTCTAGTGATGCAGATTTTGATTTCTTGAAACAAGCATCTAGTGGCCAAATGACATCAGATTGCAAAGTCATGAAAGAACAAGAGGAGGAATCCAGTAATGGAGCGAATTTGTGGGTTCTTATTATTAGAGTCATAAGCTTCTTCCTTATCGATTCCAGGTACTTATTGATTGGAATATTCCTACAAATTGGTGTTTCCTAATCAATCTGCATACAGTCAAATTTCTAAATCCATGTGTACATATTTCTGAGGTAGTTTGGAGGAGTTTCCTAGTACTTTTGCATCTACCATCAAGGAGCTGGAAACATTACTCTCATTAGATGATACTAAGCTGAAAGCTACCATGGAATCCTATCACTATATGGATTCAACTAGAACGGAACCTTTCCGAACACTTCAAGTCGTGTGCATACTCATCTTTGTGATTGAGCATCTCAAAAACAGAAAGGAAGAAGTTAAGGAGTCAATGCAATGGGCATTGACTTCTGCATTCATGATAATGGGACGCCTCGTGGACAGATGCTCGAAGGCCACGCCTTCATCCTCGTGCACCCTGTCACCAGCTGTACTCATTTTTATCGAGTGGTTAGAAACCACCTTTGGGGACGTTGAAAAATATGGCTCGGATGATAGGACCACTGTGACCATAGCCATATCTTACTTCTTCAGCTCTTTGCACGAGCTACTGAAGAAGCTGGATGCTGAAAAGAATGAAGGTGATGAGTGTGAATTCAATCGTCCTCTGTGGGAAGACCAAGAGTTGAGAGGGTTTGCGCCTATAGCTCCTTCTTGTGCTGCATTAGATTTTTTCTCAACTCATCATCAAGGCCCGGCAGACAGTTTTGAGAGTGGGAAACGAATCCGTGCTTGTAGAATAATCAATGCTGCCAAGAAGATTTCTGAGAGATCTAATGGTGACCAGAACTGGTTCACCTATGACTCTTGTAGACAGACAATTGATGCAGAAGAAGGTATAGCATCAGTTGCTAGCACAGACAATGGCACAGCTGTGACGGATGAGAAATCAAGTAACCATAGGGCAAATGGGAAATCTGCGGCTGGCTTTTTAGATGAGGAAGAAGTCATTCTTTTCAAGCCTCTCACTAGACATAACTCTGAACCTATATACAAGAGCTCGGGCGACAGTTTCGAAGATCCCATGTCGCCTTCAGGGGAAGCTGGGAACCAGGTAGTAGCTGCTGATGAGTGTTTGAGACGTGCAACTTCCCTACTGATGGCACAAAATCAGGCTCAAGGTGATAACAACAACAATGGGTTTTCTTTCCATTCAGACCTCACTAGTTTCAGGCGAAACAACAACAACAACTTCCAGCAGCCTATGAATGACACACTTACCAGCATGTTCTCAGAGCCTTCTATCTCCCCTTCATTCGGCTCCACCATCGCAGCAGGTCCTCCCTCACTCAATGCTTGGGTCTCACCTTCCTCGTTCAGCCACGAGAAAGCAAGAGGGAAAACTGTCAAGCAAACTTTAGCACCCATTGAAGAAGCAGTTGCAGCATCTTCATCATTGCGCGAGCTCTCTCTCAGTGAACCAGAGGAAAATACTGCCACCATCTCAGGCCATTCGCCTTACTCATCTCCACTTCCTTCAGCACCATTTCTGCCTGATGATGATGATGGTGCCACCTGGCTTAGAAATGGTAACATTCCAATACTGCCACCGCCTCATTTCTCGGATCATCAGCAAACATCAGCTGGCTTCTCGAATTGGAATGGTCCTCCTCAGGATTACACTTACTATCCTCCTGGATTCACATACCCACCACCACAACAACAGCGTAGAATGACTTCTGCCGAGTGGCTGAGGCAATACAGGGAGAACAACCCTAGGGCCAATGATCATATGTGGCAGCCCCCGAGTTATGCTAGTCACGTTAGTCCTGACCAGCAATGGGGGATTCCACCGCCATTGGTTTATGACCACCCGCCATTGATGATGCAGATGGGGTTCCCTCAAGTTCATGGTTACTTACCAAGCAGGCAGGGGTTGTATGGGGAGAGTCCTTCGTTGTATGAGCCGGAGCCAGAGCCACTGTTGCAGTATCTTAAGGAGAAAGAGTGGCTGATCCACCATTAAGATTCAAACTTTAGAGGACCCTCGTTCATGGGTAGCTAGAGCTAAATACTTCACCTGAATTCGAGTAAATTTGTGTCAATGAGATCTTAGTTGTTAGTTGGTAAATGAAAGATTATGTGCGTACGTATTCATGCATGTATCTATGTATACCAGTATATGTTATGAAGGAAGAGGTTCAGAAAACTGAAGAACGTAGAAGTAGTAGAAGAATGTCTTCTTTCCGTTCATGTTGGGACATGCCTTCTTGAGCCATGCGACTAGGGATGGCAACAAAACCCAAACCCACGGGTATCCACCCGACTCAAGCCGGTCAACGCGGGTAAAACCCGTGTTGACGGGTTTTGGGCCGGGTTTGGGTTTAAACCCACTACACTATTCACCGGGTTGAAGTTTGGGTTTAGGTAAACCCGCACCATGGGTACCCGCCCACACATATAATTACTTTCCCGGTATATTTAATATTCTAAATAATATATCTTCTTTAAACAACTAATATTATTTATGTTTGTGGAGACATACATAATTTGATCTTTCTAATTATTTAGAATGAAGTTGATATTATGGAGTGGAGAGTGAAGAAACTTATTTGACGAGGAAGAAAATTTCAATTAATCTTGTTGTTTATAGATGTTTATCTTTAATTTTGAACAATTTGTGTTGATCATTTACGATTTGCTTGTATGTTCTAGATTGGTATTTTTTGTATGAATAATTTGTATGAGAAAATTGATGTTAAACTTTTATTTTGAAAGAAATTTGTTATTGTAAATTTTTTACCACAAAAACCCACGGGTACCCATGAACCCGCGAATACCCAGCGGGTTGGGTTGGGTTTGAGTTTTTCAAACCCAACGGGTTTTACCCCGAATTTTTTTGACGGATAAACCCATAGGTTTGGGTTTGACAAAACCCGCCCCAACCCGACCCATTGCCATCCCTACTACATGTGACTGTCATTTCATTCCGTTCATTGAGATAGTGAGTAAATTTATTTAACTCAATAAAAAAGTTAAATTTATGGTTCAAGAAGAGTTGGGCCTGCCCTGAGGCCTGAAGTGTGAAGCCCAAACCTTCCCTTCATCAGTCATCGCCCAAAATTTATGATCTTTCTGTCCTGTGTTTCCCCAATCTCTCGTCGTCTTCTTCTTCTTCTTCCCGTTTATATCGGAAGATTGAGATCGCAGATCTAGCTGTATCCCACTAATGGAGAACCGGAAATCGGGCGTATCGCCGGCGGAGGCAGTCTTACTGGGCGCTCTCGCTCCTGGAGTTAACGTAAGTATCGCCTTTTTGTTTTCTCTCTGACTTCTTTACCTAGCAGGAAAACTCCATAATTGAATCAGCTGAGGTCTGTGTTTATATTGGGAGTGTTTGAAATTTTACAGGCGCCTACATGGAACACCCTGAAATCGGCGTTCGTCTTACTGGGTGCTTGTCTCGCTGTGATGCTCGGCCTAGCTTTCTCATCGAGCGACTTGGCTTTGGTGCTTCACGTTGGGTTCCTCGTTCTAATCACGGCTACGCTCTTCTTTCTTCTCAGCTGGTAAAGTAATCCCTTCGAATTGGAGAATTCTGCTTTTTTGTTAGTTAGTTGGTTTTAAGTTTGAATCTGCTTAGTTGAACTATTGATTAGGCTGTGGGAATAATGAACTAGGGCTTGCTAGTTCGTTTGATTTCCAAGTTATTGATTGGTGATCGCTTTCCCATGGAAACTAGGCATGTTTGGAGTATTCATTTCCAGTAATTTGCCCAAGATATGTTCTAGCAGCAAGTTGAGGCTTTTCTCTTGATTGCATCAACTCGTTACCATCTAATCGTGGGATGATTCGGGCATCTCAACTGAATTCGTAAGGCTAATCAGAGCAGTAGAATACAGAATCTCGATCAATTCAATTTAGCGAGCATAGTGGATCGATCTTGAATTGTTCCCGTCTTTTTTTTGTTCTTGGAAGTGAATCACTAAGTAAGCAGCATATTGATTTTATTCTACCTTTGGTTTTGTAAGCTTTATGCATGGTTCCTGAGAAGATGCAGTGTTCTTGGTTTTCCCCCCTTATCTTCAGGTTTCTCTCTCAGACTGGTCTGGTCTCTATCGAACACCAAATGCAAGATTTGGACCTTGTGCCAAAGGATCGAAAAGACGAGTAAAGCAAAGCACATGAAAGTTTAACGTCTTATGGTGACCAGACCGTTCTCAGTCAGAATGAACGCTTGTCCTCCGTGTTCCATTTTGATTGAATTGGAAGAGACGGTTACAACTATCCATTGCTACTTAAATTGACGCGGAAAGAACATAGAAGAAAAGATGAAGCGAACCGGCATTGGCTCCCCAGGCGAGGTGGAGTTGCATCATCGTGCCGTCAAGTCACTCTCCCCTTTTCTTGCTCTCCTTATTGTCGTGCTTTCTTTTCTTGGCCTTGAGGAAGCAGAAACATGAACAGCAGGGGAAATTGAACAGGAGCTTCATCTCTTTTCCCACGTTCTGGTGGCTGGCTGGCTGGCTCTGAATGTTTTGAGGAGGGAAAAGCCGTTAAAGTGTGTGTTTTTATAGACCTGGTTCTGCATTGTGTGTACATTTAGTCTTTCGTGACCAGGTTTTCTGGGATGCTATGTTGAGATTCCTTTCACTTGTACAGATAGATAGATGGGTGGATGCCCAACTGGTGCAATTCTTTGCTTCTGATTGAGGATAACTGAACACAAGGTTGAATTAATCACGTTTTTGTGGTAGCTTCCTCCTGGGAAATGATTTCTATGCCCGTTTGGGCTAAGCATAGGCTAGGATTAACACATGGATTATATAATTTGTTTGAAAGTATGCAGGAAATGGTAACACGAGGATGAGTCAGTATGCTTGAAATGGTAAGTGGTAACACGAGGATGGACTCGGTAACATTGTAGCCATGGTTTTTGGTAGGGCTAGCAATTTGGTCCAGAACTATTTGGTTTTACCCGAAATAGGACCGTATAACCCGGACCGGGATCGGATTGGGACCGGATAGCAAACAATCCAATTTCATATTCGGGCTTAAATTTGAGGTAAAAACCCCGGATAAAAACCGGATAAGAGACCCCAACACTCAAATCCCCACAAGCTCAATCTAAAATCAAAATCAAATTGGGACCGGACCGGGTCAAGACCGGACCGGATCAAAACCGGAGTGTATTCCAATCCAATCTTTGATCCTTATATTCCCGAAAAGACCGAACTGGGACCAGATCAATTTGGTCCAATTTAACCGGACCGGACCGTATAGCCACCTCTAATTTTTGGTACTGTATCATTCTGACGGTCGAACCACAAAAACCACATAATGTCAGCAAGGTTGGTATACTAGTGATGGATCTAGGAAATTTATATAGGGATATCCCCTAAAAAGATAGAAAAATTAGAAAATTATTAAAATATTCTTAAATAAGAAAATATTATTCTAGTATAAATTATAACAAAAAATCATCATGTTGTGAAAAGGTTGTAAATACACTCATTGCCTATTAGATTTTGAAACTTGTTTTTCATCTATTAAAATGGTGGGGAAGGGTAGCTCGTAAACAGATTGCGGTTAATTGGTAGGTAAAATTCATATTATTTGTGAAAATGAGAATATGTATATTTTTAGTACAACAAATAATCTGTTGTAGTCTAAATGAGAATATGTTTATTGATAACAATAGTGCAACAGATTCATATGACATAAACTACCCCTAACTTTTTTTCTCACAATCAAACTACTACCCAAAGATCAATAATCGTTTTCGCAAATTTTAGGGGTGTCCAAGCAGGGATTCACCCCTGATTAATATGTCACAAATATATAGAAAAAATTTATAATGCCCGATACAATGTAGTGACATGGTCTATTCGCAATATATTATATGGTACTATACCTGTATAATATCGCTTGAAGTCTTGAACCTCTGATATACCACTAAATGTCATTTCAATGACTTGGTTTGTACAATCTCATATAACATTTCATAAACCAAAGGTCCCCGTTAGAGGTCATTTATGTAATGTGAATTTCGTTGGGAACAAGATAGTACGCGGATAATATGAATCAAACACTTTGTCAGTCACCGATGATAGATAGATAGATAGCTACGTTATCAACAAGAGAATATAGTAAAAATTGGAAATTTAGATTGTGAGTTGTAAAATAATTAAAGAAATGCAAAACTATTACCTCTAATTTTTAGAAGGAACTTAATTAAAAAAATAGTGATGTCATAAATGTTTGACTTGCAAGAAGAACCTCTCTCTTCCTCACTCTATATATTATTTCTCAACTCATAAGAGTGAGAAATCTATTTGATTTAGGACTAGAGATTTGATTTAGGCCGCCAAACTATTTTCACATCATAGTCCATGAAATAGTTTGCTTTCGACAATCATAATCTTCTCCCAATTCACCATTGCTAAGGCCTAGAACAAGGTTCTTTTTTCTATCTTCCTTTCATGTTACTTGATTTTCTTTGCTCATTTTCCAATCTTTGTTAAAAATCGAGGTATTAGATTCTAGGTTTGTCTTAGCCGCTTCTCCATAATATTGTGGTAAATTTTATATGATTTAGCTTGACTTGATTTAAATACTCGTTAACTATCTCACCTATGCGGCCAAGATGATGAGGGCAGTGGTAGGGCGATTGGGGAGGCTATTTTCTCTACTCAACTCACGAAATCATGTAAAATAACATGTAAATTTTAATAAATTGGAAAAATATAGTAGTTAATAAGGCGTTAGCCCCCCCTCCCCCCTCCTCTCCGCTAGTTCGAATTCTATGTGCGTTAAGTTTTAAACACCCCTCGAATTTCTGGCTCCGCCACTAAATAAGGGATACACTAGTTAATTTAGTTTTGAAATATGTACTCTCGATGGAAATTACCGACCCATATACAAGGGATGCACTAGTTAATTCATTTAACATCATGTGAGGCTTGTTAGAGACTAGTTCTAAATATAACACTAGTGAAATATACGGTTTCGATTTGGTTCAATCTTTGTTACAGAATCAGGAAACAGTTTTAAATATGAAAATTCAAATTTAAAGAGAATTTTATTCAGTTCGGTCGGCTCAGTGTGAATAGATTCATTGCACACCCATACGTGATAATGCCAATGTGGCCAATTTCAAAATCATCATAATCAGACATGTCTTTATGTATCAGCGACATAAGGATAACAATTACATTAACTCGTACGATATAATGAAAATAGGCAACTAAAGGACGCGCCATAAAATCATTAAAGAAATAGCAAAATAATTAGCCTCAATTTTGGCAGAAACGCATTTTTTTGTGGCTTAAAAAAGAAAAAGAGACGTTATAAATATTTGATTATCAGGAAAAAAGGAATATTTTTTTTCTTCCATCTCTTTCTTCCTCCTCCTCCCTCCTTCCTTGTCATGTTGGCTCGTCTTTATATAATTCTGCGCTACTATCAAGAATCAAAAACTTATTTCAACTAGCGAAATACTTTTTCGAGTGCTCTGCTTTCACCTCAGTTTAACATTCATTGCCTCCAAGGAGAGATACCTAGTCCAAGTCGAGAACTTGCTTCTAGATCTCAATTCTTGTAACTCTGACCCTTTACTTTCGACACTCTAAATTCCCTTTCCGACTCCACCACTCCCGAAGCCCACAAAAGAGGTTCTTTTTCTAAACTCTCTCTTCTTATCCGTTAATGTATGTTCATTTGGCGGCGCTTTTCTTAAACCATTTTGGTGTGGATTTGGTGGCAAATTTTGACTTAATCCACTTCCCCATTTCGTTAGATTGTAAAACTGTTGCAAATCGTCCGTAATAGATTTGTCTAATTACATGTCTAATACTCTTTAACTATCTCATTCCGTTGCATTTGAACTCTGATATGAACATGTTGGTTTTTACGACAATACGATGGATAAAAGGAGGCGTAAAGATCAATGTTGGCTAGTTTCCAGTTGGGGGAAAACCTAACCATACATAACAAGCCACAAGATTGGGCTTTTCTTAGGTCCACCACTTGAAGTTCAGCCCATGACCCAATTAATTTTTGGTGGGGCCTAGTCTGTGGATGAGTTGGACATTTTTATCCGAATTTTGATCCTATAAATTGAGCTAAGTTTTATTACACTCTAAATGACCATGTTAGATAAGCTCAATTTAGTAGTACTCAATAATTATTCGATACACTAAATTATGTGGATAATGACAATTAGATAAGGATAATGCTTTCACAACTGAGACTTTTCCTAGCATCTATGATTATGCACTTCATACATCTCTTTTTCTATATCATTTTCTCGTCGTCTGACTATCTATCAGACGATATCAGTATAAACTATTTATATGTCGTGTGGATTGTCGAGAACTTTCAAATTCTATTAAACTATGTGGAGATCTGATTTTCTTAACAGGTTTGATTTCTAACTCTTTTATATCATTCTGATTTCATTTATCGCTTTTTCTTATCAAGTATTGAATTAGTTTTTCTTTGAGAATAATTACTTGTCTAGATGAATCATCCCAACTTTACACCCATACTTATGGATTCAACCCGCCAACCAATACTTAAAATGTGAATTTACAGCCATATTTTTATTCATTTTCTTGAAAGTTCGCCCACAATTACCGTACCGCCAACTGTCAAAACAAAAAAAAAGATAAAAATCATTTTCACCAGCAAAAACACAGAGGGTATAAAGCAAACACAGACGCCTTACATGGCAGCCAAGCACGCTTCCCCAGCGCGGCTCCCCGGCCGCTCTCCTCCGCCAGCGTGGCACCGTCCGTTTCCAGAAATCCACAATCACTTTCTGCACCTCTATATATTGAATAGAATCTGTTCTTGTTTGTTTTGCTCGTCGCCATTTTCATCATTGTTCCTCTGTTTTCTCTGCATGCGCACAGCTTAGTTCAGATTTTCTTCACGCGTTCGTTCTCAGCTCGAGCGTCTTCCGTTTTTTCCTGATGAACTAATCGATTTAGGATTGAGATTGCAGAGAGTGAGAGAAGAAGGATTTGCGACGATTCGGAGGAGGTAACGAGAAGCGCGGAGGCGATCGATGGCAGAGAATTGGTGGGATGCACAGAAGATGTTAGCTCATTTGCCTCACTGAACTATTTCAGCTAGCTTTTCCCCCCAAGTTCAATCTCGATGAATATCATTGACTGTGTTTTTCTTCTTCTGTGTTGATGAATTTGGTGGCGCAGGTTCGATATGTACTTGCTGGATTACATGGTGAAACGAAATATGCACGAGACCGCAGCGCATTTCAGAGCCGAAAGCAACGTTCCACAAGCGGAAGTCGGTACGTATTATTTGCCAACATGTAACTTCGAGCGAGTGTCCGTTTCTTTTCTGCTGCCGATTCTTCTGAATTAGTAAACAACTCGCTCTTGCTGTAGTCGATTCAGCTGATGAGTGTCGAGTAATTCATCCTAATCATTGAGCTCTCGAATCGCCCAAGAACACTGCAGAATTGATGTTATGCTATTGTCTTATACCTTGCTTATTGCCTAGTTTAATCTAGTAGGGGTGATGTTGGTTTGAGGATGCAGATCATGGTTTTAATTTTCCTTTTAAGCAAGATGGAAATGGAAATGCGAATGTTAATCACATAAAGACATGCATGATTAGTAGGAGCTAGCCACTATCCATGTACGTACATTCACTATAAACTCGAGGTGTTAATTGCTTAATTATAGTTTAATTCAATGTGGGTCCCGCACTTAATGGACCCTTAATTAGCTACATAATCTGAATCTACGAGCCGCTTACATAGTTAAAATACGGGTCGTTTGGATGCAGTACATTGATAAGGTAATTTGGTCGAAATAACTCAGAATGAGGTATTTCAATCAAAATAACTCATTTGGCAAAAATAAAGTAGAATGTGGTATTTTGTCCATGAGTCAATTGAAATAACTCATTGTGAGTTATTTGAAAAACCTACCCACCCCCTAGTTATTTCAAATACATCATCTCCCAACTTCTTTTTCCACTTCATCTCTTCTTTAAGTGGTGAAATACTACAATATTTGAATGTTTTATCCAAACAAGACAATTACACCAATTACCACATTTCAAAATGAAATACCACATGAAATGCTACATAGCAAAATAATACATCATTTGAATTCGAAATACCATAGAACCAAAATGATGCATCCAAACGACCCGATAGTCTAAAGTCTTCTACCTATATTCCTCTAGTTATTTATTTTCACTAACCGCAAATGCCAAATGTCTTAACAAACAAACGAAGTCACGTTAAATGGCTGCCACCATGTTCTATGCACAATTCTCCCTGTTGGGTTGCTGAACTTTGGATTGTAGAGATGGAAAATTACTTTTGGGTCATCGTTGTTATATAACATAAAGTTTCTTGTCCCCCATTTTCTCTGTTTTGAAGTTATTGATACGAAGGAGGGGTTTTTGCTCGAATGGTGGACAATGTTACATGATATGATGTCCTCTAGGGAGCGTATGAGTAGAGAGGCCCCGCCACCGCCAATGTTCAATCTAGCGGTGATCATTCTGAAATACCCTTTTACATTTAACTATGATACAGAAACTAATGAACAAATGATGCACAACATGGTGTTAAGAGAGCTTTGTTCTTTTGTTTAGACCCATCAGCCAATGACACAAGAAGAAGTGCGGAGATTGCGGCTAGCTCAGACAGCATTCGCTATGAATCAACAGATGCTGCGGCCACCCATGACGATGCAGTTACCTAGTGGTGGTGGAACCAGCTTAATCAGTGGTATGCCTGCTGCAGCAGGGCAAATGCCAATTAGGACTGGTTACCCTCTGGAGTATGGAAAGATGTTCAATGAACATCGACAGTTTAATAATTCCATGCGGCCTCCTGTTGGAAACATGCTCTCCTATCATCCACAAAGTGCTGATATCCAGCCTCAACTGAATCTGCCCACATTACAGGCTACTGCTGCTGCACCCAGCTCAGCTTCTCAGAGGTATATTTGCTTTGAATAGAGACCTGATCAAGCTTGCTAACCAAGATTTTAATTAACTCCTTATGCTTGATTACATTGTTGATGTATAATGCAGCAACCTGCAGAAAGGACCAGTTCAGAACCCGATTCTGCGTCAATCAATTGCAGTATGGAACATCATCCATTAATGAGTCAGTTCTCTGGTAATAGTGGGCAACTTTCAGTGTTAGCTAATTTGAGTCGTTTGGTAATTTTCCAGAACAATGGGCAAGGGATAAAAACTGGCAGCAGTAGTAACACGGTGGACAATGGCAGTAATGGAGAAGCATCTTTTGGTAGAGGTGGCCCTGAATTTGTAGCTTCTTCTGATGAAGGTATGATATGAGTACGCTTTAAAGCTGATGTCTGTGTCTAGAATTACATGCAAACAACTTGATGTTAACATCTGGATAACTCTTAAGGGACGATTCCAATGCCGCCAGAAGGATGGTTGATGAACTTTCTGATGGACGCCCAAAAGTTTCAGCCTGGTTTCCTTTCAGATAAGGGGCAGCAAGATCAACAGAAGTCACCTGGTCAACGTCCACCACTTGCAGAAGGAACTATTGCTACTAGGCCCGGGAACTCTGCGGACACCAACATGAGAGATTCGAAGGACTCCAATTTAGAAGGGAATGAAACGGTAAGCCCATAGCAGAAGAGAGTACTAAAATCCATTTTATTTTCAGATTGGGAATGAAATTGTGTTTGTAAGTATGACAATTGTCTAAACACTAAGTGATTTATGATGAACTAAGATGACTGAGAAAAACGGAGAAGCTGAGAAACCAGATCAAGATGATGAGATAATGCAGCAAGCAACAGAGATGGAGGTAATGGTTTTTCATTTTAAAATGAAGTTTAAACGCCAGTTTCTTTCCTAACGTTGGTACAGATTATGCAAACTATTGTATTAAATTTATTTCCCATCTATAATTGGAAACATCCACGATTGTACAGGATCCTGGGGAACCAGATGTTAAAAGACCTGAATATCATTTCATCCAATCCTTCTTGTTTGCTGATGGTGATGAAGAAAGTATTCGATTGATTGAAGGCCGCGATGAAGGTAAGCCTCGTTGAGTTTACAAAACAAACACTGGTTTCTTGGTTTCCAAGACTGTTCGTGTGTATAAGTCAGGCATTTGTTCTTCTTCATCAGCGCAATATCCTCAAGCAACCTACCAAGCAATACAATCAGTTAACAGGCTGAACATGGGCAAAAACAAGATGCTGTGTTGCCATTTCTCATCGAACGGGAAGCTGTTAGTCACCTCTGGACACGAGAAGAAGGTGAATATATATATTCTCATTCATCTATGGAAGTTTCTTTCAGACCCCTTTATGTTCCATACTTGCATTGTTTTGGCAGGTCTGGATTTGGAACACAGAAAATTATCGTTACACCAGGAATTCAGGTGGGCATTCAAACCTCGTCACAGACATTCGTTTCCAGCCAAGTACGACTGTGTTTGCCACATCATCCTTCGATAAGACTGTCCAAATATGGGATGCAGAAAAAGTAATACATCTCCCCCTTCCCAATCTAGCTTACTTCTCTTCCAAGTGTTCTTTCTAATGCCTTCTTGTCCACTGCAGCCAAGTAGGTCACTCTTCAAGCTCAAAGGGCATAGCGAGCAGGTACTTTCACTAGATTTCCACCCAAGACAAATCGATCGTCTTTGTTCAAGTGACCGCAATGGCGAGATCCGATTGTGGAATGTGAACCAGGATTGTCTTCTAAAAGTCTCCAAGGTCTAGCCCCAACTCTTCTAAACACATTATACCTGTCCTTAAAATGCTCAACTTGGATAACTTGTCTCTCAAGCAAGACTCAATCTGTGCTTTCGAACATTGCACTTGTAGGGAGCTACTGCTCAGGTCAGATTCCAGCCCCAATCAGGAAAGTTACTAGCCCTCGCTTCTGGAAATACTGTCTCCATAGTTGACTCCGAGACGTACGCTGTCCAATTCACCTTGAAGGTAAAAAAAAAATCCTGAATTGTCCATCTTTTTACTCCTAACCAATTTTCCTTACCACGGTTAAAAAGACTCTTGCTTCATTTGTACCGGAATGAATGCAGGACCATGTGAACGACGTTCGTTCCATCTGCTGGGATTCCACCGGAAAGTACATTGCTTCTGTGAGTGAAGAGAGCGCCCGAATTTGGTCGCTGGCCGCCGGCGGGAAGTGCATACACAAGCTGATGTCTCATGGTAGAAACTTCCACTCCTGCACGTTTCATCCTCACCTCTCGCAAGCCCTGTTGGTTGGTGGTTACAAGGTAAAAAATGTAAAACACAACTCTTTTTTACCCCACAGAGTGGACTTTCACCAAGTGGTTGACTTTTGGTTTTTTGCCTGGATGATGCCCACAGAACCTTGTGTTCTGGAGTGCGAATCAGAAGTGGTCGACTGAAGCTCACAAAGGGATCATCGCTGCAATGGCGAGTTCTCCTGCGGCTGGATTGATAGCATCTGCAAGCCATGACGGATTCGTCAAGCTCTGGAGATGAGGACTAATTTTTGAACAAAATGATTTTGTCACCTGAACTTGGGAGTTCTTTACAGTTCATACAGACTACAGAAACAGGCAGTTCTATAGAGACACATTTTCTGACCAATCTATAGAGTTGTGCAGCAACAGGCAGTCTTTTTCTTTGTTCTGAATATTTCTGGATTCTTGTTGAACATTTCTCTGTCGGTGTTTCCTAAACTGGGTTACATCTGAACGAAGCTTACCTTGTTCTGAATATTTCTGGATTCTTGTTGAATAATTCACTGTTAAGTGTTAACAGTTTGTCCAGTATTGGGACTATTGAGAAAAAATCATAATATAGAGACGTATCTGTTGGCTCTGTTACAAGGACTAGAAACACCAATATCTAACTCTTCTTTTTTCTCTTGGAGCAAGAGAAGGAAATGAAATGGTGCTTTTTTCAGTAGAGATTTTCAGCCGCCCAAAGTACAAAAACACATGGAAATCAAATGTTCTCTCTGCACAAAAATCCAAATGATACAAATGAAATTACAGTCTGGTCTTCATTTCCACAGCTCCTCCATTGGAATACCACGCTCACGAGCAACGTCCCTGAACTGTCTCATTTTCTGCACTGCAACGACAGTGGCTCTAGCGTTGTTGAGGGCATTGTTACTTCCAAGCTGCTTTCCCAATGCATTCTCCACACCAGCCATTTCGAGCACGATTCTGACAGCACCTCCTGCGATGACTCCAGTACCGGGAGAGGCCGGCCTTAGCATCACATTTGCTGCTCCGTACTTCCCATCGGATCTGAATGTTAAGCATATAATGGTGAGTTTTGAGACTGTCTATAGAGAAGGAAGTCCACAAAAGATCAGACAAGTACTGTTATTTCAAAACAAATACAGAGCATAGCCATAGACAGATGATATGATAGACAATCTACACCCAGTAGCAGTAACAGCTTAATCTCCATAAGATATATAGTTTTTAACCATTGATCTTTAATTATAAGATCATCAGAACTCATTGTAGGGCAACTCTCCATATCATTAACACCGGCAAGGCTCTACACAGGATCAATTGTATCACATTGGACATCGAAACTCAATATTGAGACAAGAACAGAAGCACTAAACTCGTACCAATAAATCACTTGTCCACATTTGCATTTCCTTCATCAGCATTTGCCATTGTGTTAGCTTATATGACAGACACTGTACTCCTATCGAAGGCTCTCAAATCCGCAGCATAACTGGAAAGACCAATCATGGCGTAATGGGACGACTTTGATGCTCACAATGTCACAATACTAAGTTCAATGTCCAATCTTTATACTATGGTCTACTTCTACAACCAAATGGGTATTCTTTATGAATTCTGAATCCCTTATGGGGCCAATTCAAGCTCCTACTGAAACCCACAAACACCACATACCATTGCAGCTTAAAGACAGTAACTTCAGAGCAAAACCTTATGAACCTTCAAAAAAAAGTTTACCTGTGAGGGAAAGTGGAGTATTTGGTCAAAGGCACAGTGATGATGTTCCTCCTGGCGTTAATGGCGGATTTCTGCACAGCGCCAATCACTTCCTTAGCCTTCCCAACGCCAACCCCAACTTGCCCTTGCTTATCCCCAACCACCACAATGGCCCTGAAGTGCAATTGCTTCCCTCCCTTCACCACTTTTGTCACTCTCCTCACCTGAATCACTCTCTCCTCAAACCCGTCTCTAATCTTATCCTTCTTCACCTTCCCAAACGCCGTCATCTTCTTCGCCTTCGAATCCATCACGTAAATGTCCTTTCCCAGATAGCTCTCCCCGCTGTACGCAGGCCCGTAGAGCTCCTCGTACGCGGCGGCGATTTCATCCTCGGTCTCCGGCGGGCCCTCGTCAAAGTACGGCGGCGCGATGAACCCTTCCGGCGGGGTTGGCGGGTCGAACACGATTTCCTCCTCGGATTCGAATTCGTCGTCGAAGAAGGAAGTGTCGATTTCGCCGGGATTGGACCGGGGAACGGTAATCGTCGCTGTGGCGGTGGAGGAGAGGGAGAGGCGGGATAAGGAAGAGAGGAAGAGCTTACTGCTGGCGGGCTTGTTTAGGAGGAAGAAACGGGGAGTTGGATTGTGGAGTGAGATAGAGGAGGATGAGGAGGATAGTGTTAGCGTCGTTGCCGCCATTGTTGCGGATCGAGCGAGCTTAGAATGGGAGGAAGGGAGAAGAAATGGTTATCGGGAAATTTTGGGTTTTGGATAAAAGGGGATTGCGAACGAACGGGAAAGGATTGAACAGCAAACTGATAATTCGGGTTATGGGCTTGGGGCGACTGATGGGTCGTGACATGGGCTTATGGGTCTGTAAATCCAAAGCTGAATGGGCTAAAAGCCTGCTATTATCCTTTCGGGATGCTAAGGACAATTTTTATTTTTTGAAAGGAAATGCTTTGGACAACTTGAATTACGAGTTGGTAGGACTTTTCTTGCACTTTCTTTCTGTTTGTAGACTTGTAGTTATCAATCGTTTGCACAATTCATTTGGATGAGTTATTCGACATATGATTTCTCGATCAAATTATTATGTATTTGCACAATGTATTGTTTGATAAAACGAAACACAAACATTTCCTATCCATTCCATTATCACGAGTTCATCGGTGTACTTTGAAGTACATTGCTAACATTTGTTTCTTAATACTCAGTCACCCAACACCTTACTGAGATTGTACTTTGAAGAAATTAACACACCATAGATACAATTACATTCTTTTCTTTCTATTTTTTTGTTGTTGTTGTTTTATAAAACTTCACTATATTTGCCTTTGGTATGCATTTTGTGGTGTGTAGTTGTTGTAGTTGAATTCAGATGCCTGAGCATTTGAAGCATAAACTACTTCCATAAGGCTGCGTACTTCTTCTTCTTCCTTTTGTTCTTTGTGATTGAGGTCTTCGATAAGTACCGCTAATGATACATCATCATCATCATCTCCAGCCGGATAGGACTCGAAATAGTTCTTGTAACTGTTGTCTGTTGTAGTTTCTAATGGCTCGGCTTTTCCTGATTTTGATGCCTTCTGAATTGTGTAATACTGAGAACATAGAAGTCATACAAGTATAATATATCCCCAAACGATAAAATTTCAATATATTTTTCAAATGAGTTCGACATCTCAACTTTCTAAAACTATTTTTTCATGTTACATTTGATTATGCGTCTAGTTGTTAATACAAAAAAAAAACTTGAGAAGTCTCCCAACCACTTATTCAAATTTCTTTTTCTTATAAAAGGAAAGTGAATGAAAGAGTTTAATTGCATAAAAAAAAACTTGAGAAGTCTCCCACCCACTTATTCAAATTTCTTTTTCTTATAAAAGGAAAGTGAATGAAAGAGTTTAATTGCATACCAAAAAAAACTTGAGAAGTCTCCCACCCACTTATTCAAATTTCTTTTTTCTTATAAAAGGAAAGTGAATGAAAGAGTTTAATTGCATAACCAAAAAGAAGTTTGTAACTAATCAAATAATTCTCTTCTGGTTTTATATGGCATCTTAATCAATTACTTGTCTTGATAATTATGATGAAAGAGAAATATTTTTTGTGGGTGTCTTAACTAGGGAGAGGAAAAAGACGATTTTGCATCACAATCTTTAAAATCGGGATCTCCGAATTCAGAAACTGACATTACAATTCACAACCACTCAATCAAACTTGCATTGTCAAGAGAGAACCAAGTATAGGGGTGGGTTACTCACCAGGTTGTTGTTTTCATCTTCATACAAGAAGAGAGAATCTCCACTCTCCATCCCATTTTGCTTCACAAATTCTCCTGCAAATTTGTGAAAAATACAACAACAAAAAAAAAGAATAATTTTCTTTGTTGGGCGAACACTACAACAATTTTCTCACAAAGAGAAATATTTTAGCAAAAATTTAATTGGGAAGTTACCCGTGTGCTCGAGGACGTACATTCTGCTTTTGTTATTAATCCAAAACCTAGTATGTTTTGCAACAACAAGGTATTCTTGTTAGCAAAAGAAAACACAAAAATTTGCAATTTGGATCATAAAAAGAGCAAGGAATAGACAAATATGATACTTGAATTTCAGAACCCATTCTTGTTGTGTGTAGAGGTGTCTAATCACAAGTTGAATCCCTTCTTTGTCTATGAGGAAAGGTAGGTTTTCTTCGGTCTCCTTCTACAAAAACCACATGATAACACTTTGAAACAATAGCAATTATGCCAAACCGATCTATCATCTTCCACAAGAATATATTAACCGGAGTACGGACGATGAATCATCAACCATTTAAAGAAAACGGTATAACGAACAAAGACAAAATAGCGAAAATCAACATCGAATCGAAGCTCCTAACCTCAAATATTGTACTGATTACCCGTACGATAAAAAAAAATCATGGCCAAACCCTACTAACTATGTAATCATATTCACTAGAACAATCGACTTCTTGCAATTTCTGGAAAAAAACGACAATTACTCTGTAACCAGATGGATTCTCTCTTTCTCTTTTCCTTCTTGGTCTAGAGGTTGACAGAAATCAGCTAAACAACCCAAAAAGAAACCAAATTCACAAAACAACAAAAAACAATCAATTCTGGTGAACAGAAAACCCTAATTACCTTTGGGAGAACAATCCTCCCAAGAGAACCCACATCACTGTTCTTCAGATCCTTCTTCAACAACACCCTCAGCCTCTGCAACCAAACACAAGACAAAGAAACAAAAATTACATCAGGGGACCAAAATAATATGACCCAAATAAGGGATTTGAACCCCATTTCAAAGAAATGAACCAAAGACACTGACTTTACTGTTTGGGGTGTAGAAATCAAACCAACACTTGCTGCCATCATCGGGCTTGTTTTTTATCTCCACAGTCACACCTCCACCAGAAGAAGAAGAAGAGGAAGAAGAAAGCTTAGCCAAAATGGTTCTCTGGCGAGCTAGCTTCCTCTTACTCCTCGCAAGCCTGGTCCTGAATGCATATTCAAGAACCCTTCTCTCTTGCTTCTGTGACCAGTAAAATTGACTCACTGAGTCATCAGGTGGTGGGAGGTAACTCGGTGGCAGAGCCTGAGGCAGGGGATCGAGCTGGGGATCTTGAGTAGGCAAAACAGAGGAAAGGTCCTGGTTCTCCATTGGAACAGAGCAGGTGAAGAAGAAGAACAGTAGTGACTGCCAGCTTTAAGTGAGAGAGGTTTGGGGTGCCGCATTGTGGAGGAAGGGGGTTGAGGGTTCTTAAGAAGGTAAAAAAATTAAAGATGGTGGCAGGGGAAATCAGCCAAGTGTTAAAAAGGAGGTCATTGGAAGGAAGGAAAGAAACTGAAGGTGGTGAGTTATGCTTGACCAATGGTGGGGAGAAGAGAGTGTTGCCAAATGGCTGAAAAGGAGTAAGGTTTTTGTGTTTTCTCGCAACGGCTCTGAATAAGTTGAGGAGGCAGCAGAGAAGCCCCAACAGCTTTGGTTCGATGAACATGGAAGATAAAGATGGAGATGAAGAAGAGGGGTGGGTTTAATTTTGGCGCCATATTTGGTTTGAATGCAACTATTCTTGATCATGGTAGGATTTCTTCTAATTGTGGTGTTTTTTTGCTTCTGATTGATAGACATGTATCAAGAGATAGATCTGAGATACAAGAATTTAATCCTCAATTCGGCCTAAGAAAAGGAAAATGTTTTTTTTTTTTTTGTGTGTGTCATTGTATGAGCAATTCAATCAGCGGTTGTTAAACGTACATGGTCTCAGAGGAAAGAACCCTAACAACGTGATGAATGATGAACTGATGTGGTTGCTGGATGAGGATCAGATCATCATCTTCCGCAACTACCCGATAAAAGTTCTAATCGTTGTAAAATAAAAAATTATGGTATCCAATGCTATCAAGAGTTCTGGAAGCAGAGAATTTGCGTGGTTACTGGTTATCATGATGCCGACTCAATACGAGGAGAACATATACATATGTCACCCTGACCACCAACCGAAATGCACATTACAGAGACCATCGAGCAACAACATCATGATGTTTTTTTCCCCTCGATGGCCTTATACAACGCAAATTTGGAGAAAGAAAAGTACAAAACTAGCTTTTCGAATGACGGTTGGCCAAACATTCCTCCGTCGTAACTACCTATCTGAAGATTTGGAGCGTTACTCTGCTTGATTGGGAAATTATTAATGAAAACTAACTTTTAGAATAACTGTAGACCAAAATTCCTCCGCCAACTACGTGTCAGGATTCGAAGATTCCGAGCGTTACAGTGTTTGACTGGAAAAACTTTTATTATGGAATACTAGCTACCAAAAAACTGTTAGCAAAAATATCCTCCGTCCCGCCCACCTATTGGGATTCGAAGTTTTGGCGCGTTATTATGTTTGGTTTGAAAACTTTTTGTATTGTCCTTAAGATCTTGTTCAATTCAAACATAATTAATGGTTGGATTGCTAAATATAAGAATTTAATCCTCAGTTCGGCCTGAGAAAAGGAAAATGTTTTTTTTGTGTGTACCATTGTATGAGCAATTCAATCAGCGGTTGTTAAAGGTCTTAGAAGAAAGAACCTTAAGAATGTGATGAATGATGAAATAATATGGTTGCTGGATGATGACCTGAGCATCCTCTTCCGCAACTACCTGACAAAAGTTTTAATCGTTGTAAAAAACTAAAGTATCCAATGCTACCAAAAGTTGTGGAAGCAGAGAATTTTCGAGGTCATCATGATGTCGCGACTCAATACGAGAACATATCCATATGTCGCCCTTACCACCAACCAAAATGCACTTTACAGAGACCATTGAGCAACAACATCATGATGTTTATTTTTTTTCCTCGGTGGCCTAATACAACACAAATTTGGAGAAAGAAAAGTACGAAACTAGCTTTTAGAATAACGGTTGGCCAAACATTCCTTCGTCGTAACTACCAATCCGGTTTCGAAGATTCGGGGAGTTACTCTATTTGATTGAAAAATTATTAAAGAAAACCAACTTTTAGAATGACCACTGACCAAAAATTCCTCCACCAAGTACATGTCAGGATTAGAAGTTTCCGAGCGTTAAAGTGTTTGACTGGAAAAACTTTTATTATTGAATACTAGCTACCAAAAAACCGTTAGCAAAAATATCCCTCGTCCCGCCCACCTATTGGGATTCGAAATTTTGGCGCGTTATTATTTTTGGTTGGAAAACTTTTAGTATTGTCCTTAAGGTTGCCTATTATTAAATCAAACGTAATAATTTAATTACATATTAAAATATTTTTGTATTACTTACATAGAAGATATTCGAAACTGAATAACTTAATATATTCGTTTTCAATATACAAGTCGTTAATCCAAACCATTACCCATAACATGAATAAAGAAATTTTATCAGAACTTTCTCAATTCACTCATCCTCATTTGTGATATCATGTATGAGAATGTTCAATACTTCCATTACCAAGTTTTACCCTCCAAATTTCATTCTCTATCTAGAAAACGCCATTGTTCAATTTTTACTCAATTACTTTTGCTCCATACATTTAAGAACATGGCATGGAATGGATTCTTCCGAATCTTGGATTCTTCTTTTCCTCCCTCAGACTTCTCTCAACATCTCAGCACCACTATGTTCTTATCTTCTCTCTTTTTTCGCCCATCGTTATCTTCACAATTCAGTTATTGCCAACTCATCCATGTTCTTTTGAATAGAAAAAGACAACCATGGAGAGTTCAATTTTTAGTACCAAACAAAACTTTGAGTTAATTACAAGACCAAGAGTAAGAAGTCAATTTGTGGGGGTCTCACTAGTTTGTTGCTTACAGCCTTTCTATAGTAGGGAGAAAAAAGTAACTCCATCATCTCCATTTCAACTCGAATTAGCTCAGATTTGTTTGAAGCAGGCATTACCCGAGTCATAATAACATTGGATATGACTTTCCTCTTATACTTCTATTACGTGTCACCTCATTCTGCATTCATCTTATCCTGATCATTTACTTTTATCTTTTGTTGCATTTTTTTCCGAAATCATTTTTCTCCCTTCATGAAACTCTGAACAACTGCAAAGGTTTCATCTTCATTTGATCAAACACAATGATAAGATTTGTCATCTCTCGTTTTTACTCTATATTCTCGCAGAATTAGCTTTTACATCATTTCTTCTTTTCAAATGACTTATAAAACGCAAGTCAATCTCTTGATCGTGCATTTCTTACGGTTTTACGTGTACTAACCAATCTAACCCATCCTTCAGTAAGGCGCCCCCACTCTCAATGAAGAAGTCTCGATGTGGCTTCATAAAAAAAGAACCCCTTGAGTTATCCACTCGTCTCATCGCTATAACTTAATTAGGCTTACAATAGGCCCATTTTAATCTTATAAGCCCACATAATCAAAACAGTAAACAACGCACCAGACTTGCAGAAAAAGAGGCCCCAAACTTAAAAGCCCATTATTATGCTTTTCTCAATTACTCTTTAAACAACGGCGGTCAACTTCATTTCACTCTTATCAACAAACTCGGGAGCTAGCAAAGTGACACACACGAGTGTTGACCACCTCACCACCGCCACCGACGCAAGCCTCCCACCACGTGTCACCTTCGTCTCCACGTGTCGACGCCACAAGCTGCCACCGTCTGGTTCGTCTCCCTCCATATATCCCGCATGAAAAACCGATCCATTCATTCCAAAGTAAACAAAAGCCCTAGAAAAGAAACCCGAGAAAGCAGCAAGCTAGCAAGCAATACAACAACGTACCAGAAAGGAGAGTTTTTTTTTTTTGTTTTTTGTTTCACACTCTTCCAAACTTTACTACCATGGCTGCCTTATCATCGATGATGACGAGAAGCGTGGCGTTCTGCCGCCTCTCGAGAGCCTTCCCGAGAAACCAACCGTTGGTGGCGAATTCCAGCCTCTTCTTCCGCCGCACGTGGAAATTCTCCCGCATCTCCTTCTCCTCCGCCACCTCCAAATCCAATAACTACAACCAGGTATATACTTGGATCTTTACCGTCGTAACAGTTTTTTACTTAATACGAGAAGTTTTACATTCAATAAATGAAATTTCGTGTGATACATCACTTAAGAATATAGGCGATACTTTTATTTTTTCGGACGATAGGGCTGGAACGCGGCCGACCATGACAAAAACCGTGACAATGTCACCGACAAGGCACGAGACAAGGCGGAGGACCTGACGGGGAAGGCGAAGGACCGGGCCGAGGAAGTGAAGGACTACGCCCGCGAAACGAAGGAGAGCGCCAAGGAGGCAGCCCGTGCGGCCTCCGAGAGGGCGAAGGAAGGGGCGTACAAGGGGGCGGAGGCGGCCGACAGCACGAAGGAGAGGGCGAAGGATTACGCTTACGACGCCAAGGAGAAGGCGAAGGAAGGCGGGGAGAAGGCGAAAGGGGTGGCGGAGAGCGTGACGGAGAAGGCGAAGGAGACGGTGAAAGGGGCGTGGGAGGCGGCCAAGGACACGACGGTCAAGATCAAGGAGACGGTGGTCGGGAAAGACGACGACGATGACGATATGACGAGCAGCGGGACGAGTAGTGAGGATGATGATGATGATGGTGGCGAGAAAGGGTGGCAGACGGTGGATGCTGACGTGGCGGAGCTGAGGCGGCGTGCCGACGGTGAGGGGAGGAGGAAGGACTTCTGATGATGTTGGGTTTTGAAGTTGTGGTTCTGGCTAGGGTTTTGGATGGAGTTGGGTGGAGCGTGGTTCAATAATATCTGGAGTGGTTGGGTAATTAGTTGGCTGGCCCGTGGAGCAAGCCAGGGATGGGGAATTCTGTTCTTATTTTATGAAATTTTCAATGAAGCAGTGTTTGTGAAACTCTGTATTTTGAATTTCTTTTGGCAAATACATAACCAAGTAGGGCTTCGAAGTGCAGTCGAGAAAATGTAACATTCTAAATCAATGGTAAAGAGTTTTTTATCGAGCATTCAGCACTTCACCACTGTACTTAGTGATTGAGATTGAGGGTTTAAGGTTGTCTCGACCGTCGTTAATATATAGTGTTTGGTTGTTGGATTGCGTTATAAATAATCGATTGAGTTGTTGCATGGAATATGTTTTGTGGATGTTGATATGGAATTGATATCGTGTACATTCAATAACAATATTTTATAATGTCATGTTTTGTGGATGTTGATATGGAATTGCTATCGTGTGCATCCGATAACAATATTTTATAATGTCATATTGCAAACGATAACAATCGGCGAAAAATGCTATCCGAATTAGGCTAGAATCCTAAATTCGATATTCAACTATATGGTGGGCTAGCTATTGGGCCAACTAGACCACAGACGAAAATATATTTGATATACAAGCATTTCATAATTTCACGTACATGTACGAAGATAACCTAATCTAGCTAGTGTGTAAAAAGTTTAGCTTGGTTTAATCCACTGATTGGCTTGGTTTTGTGTATCTACACATCCATTTAAAGAGATTCTCCAAAGGGAGTGCATTAAAACCAAATTTGGAGGCCTCTCCGCAGCTCACGGAAGGCTATGAAAGTATTTTTCCCTTTTTTGTGGTGAAAACCTTTCTTTTTTTAATAACTATTGCTACTATGTATTTATTGGGTTGGGCTCTTATTGGACGTTGCGTCAGATTTAACCTATTCGCATAGTAAGGGAAAGTTGGTAATTTTGGTGGGCATAAAATACTCAATTAATTTATTAACAACAAATTTGGACCATAGTTGTTAGTTTCAACCGATGGAAGCAATGAAACTAGCGTGAACACCACCGATGTGACCGGCATGACCAATTTATGATTTTTAAACAAATAACATTGTTTTAGTGAATTTAATTAATAAAAAATTAATATGTCATTTATTTTATGAGTTTAGAATTTTAATGTTGATGTTATTTGTTGAATTCAAATATAAACGTTTAGATATTAACGTTAACTGTTATATTTAAATATGAGCATTTGTAATTTCATTTGGAATGTAAACATCAAGATGAATTATAAATAAATTATTCAAATATGATTTCATATGTGATGAAATTCATTTCATGTTAATGGTTTTTCACATTTCTACATATTTTGTTAACCGACATGGACCAACACAAACTGGTTGTACCACCGGTCGAACCATTTCACTTGCTAAACTTGCACACTGGTAGAAACCGGTTTGACAACCTTGACTCCAACTAAAAAAGGAAATTCCTTTTTAATTAACATGTTATGTATGAGCTTATTTACTATACTGTATTGGAGTTTGCACATTCCATTTGAATTTGTGTCATAGCGTAAAAATTATAAGTTTAGTTTGTATCATAAAGCAATTTGTACGAAAAATATATATGTGCAAATTGTGCCATAACGTTAAAGATACACTTTCATATTTGTATCGTAAATTTTTTTATGGTACGTAATAAAATATGTTTTGCTTCGGATAGTTACTATGGTCATTTACACTGTTATTGAAATTCATCCGACCAACGGGCGGGCTCTGAATCTAGTAATTAGCAAAACAAGTTAGGGAAAGGTAAGGTCCAAATTTCACGTTCCCCGTCTTGAATTATTTGCTCAGAATTGGGCCGCCCAAGGTTGAATTATTGTAGCAAGAGCCTGCAAAGCCCAGTTGTGTAGCAAAGCCCAGTTGTGTCTATGATAAAAGTTGTAGTCCTTAAAAGTTATGCGAAATAAAAAAAAAAATTCATGTTTTTTGGATTTTGGAGCACAAAGTTATGGTTGTCTAAAGTTTGACGAAATCGGAAAAAAGCTCGTTCGGGGTAGCAAACGACATTTTTTGGGATGAAGGCGGGACCTAACCACCTTTGGCTTGCAAGATCTCAAAAAGTTATGCGGAATCAAAATTTTTTTTGCGACGATTGGATACCCGAACACAAAGATACGTCCGTGTGAAGTTTCCACCTAGGTTAGGATTTTTCAAAAAAAAAAAAAATGCAGATCGCACCCTTGGGGTGCGATCTGCAACCAAATTGCACTCTGGGGGTGCGATCTGCAACCAAATCGCATGGTGGGGGTGCGGTTTTCATCGAAAAACGCGCCCCTGGGTGGCGGTTTTCGCCTAAACCGCACTGGTAGGGAGCGGTTTTTGCAAAAGGGTGCTATTTTTGGAATTTTTCGGAGTTGGGTGCTATTTTTGGAATTTTTTTTTAAACAGTGCTATTTCTGGAAAAATCCCTGGGGTTTGGTATGGCGGTCCAAATGCAAAAAAAAAAAAAGGCCCACGAATGATTTTTCACCCTATTTGACCCTTCAGAAGCAGAATTTTAACATGGAGAAACAAATGTGGTGCCTGGTTAGGAAAGTGTGATAGGTGGAGTATGAATCAGATTTGGTGATACATGTGCGAAATTATTTTTGTGCATTAACTTGGTGCTACTCATGCATACGAATCGGGACGAATCGAACCAAACAAGATATTATACGCCTCTGGGGAGTGTATGTTATCAAAGTAACGTGGCAAACGACTCAATCGAAGAATCGATTGAGCTAGGTCGACATTCATGCTATCTATGGTTGATGGGCGTGAAGGAGCAAAGGAAAGTGAAAAGAAGGCGCCAAAAATGTGAGAGAGGAAGTGGACAAAGAGAGAAGAATGAATGTAAAGAAAATGGCGTTATTGGGGGAGCAGTTGCAACCCCCTTAACGGATATTGTCGTCACCTTCGCTTTGGCCTACTGGCTGGTTATGGTAGTGGTCTCTTCTCCCATTCTTTCAGTTTTTCGCGTGCCGCCTGCCTGCCTGCCTCGTCAAATCAAAACCCTAAATCCACATATCTATGCAACTTCGTTAATTCCATTCCCTTTTCTTTCTTTCTTTCTTGAGCATATGATTATAGTTAGACCACCAAGTACCATGGACCTTCATCTTTCTTTGATCTTTCTTTTTGACCCCTACTTGTCATATCAGAATCATTGTGTTGTGGAGTTTGTTGTTCTTCAATATTAAGAATTGGTTGTAATTGACATACGAAAATGTGAAAATATGTATGTGTTTACATTTAAAAATTAATTTTGTACCACATTGATTAATATTAAACACCCGAGTTTTCCTCGTCAAAAAATATTATGGGTCTGGGTATAAATCATGACTGTCGATATACATATAATTATAATATCAACCGACATGTAGATATTCATGTATGTGTAGAACCATTACAAATGATAACAAATGCATGTCATGGGTAGCTTAGTATTGTGTTTTAACTTTAAAGTAGTATTCTCGTATATATGATCCATTGATTTTTCGATTGTAATTGACAACAGACTCAGTGATTTCGAAACTCATAGAGATAATTGGAGACTTCAAGTTAGGTTGAAATTAACCTACGTGAGCTTCAGTAATAGTGGATTTTTTGGGTTCATTTCAAGGGTATGACAGTCATTTACTTGGAGAGAATGAACAAGACCTAAAAAAGGATTCTCCAAATGGCATGAGACTGAGAGCCTGGAAACTACAAGGGAAAGAAAAGAAAGAAAAATGGAAGCCAACACCACCACAACCTAACATAAAGTTCCTTCATACACATAACTCGAGAAAACAAACTTAAACTTAAAAGTAATACCACCCCTCCCGATTCCCGGCCGCCGTCGACTTCGACACACAACTCCCCGCCGGTTCAGTAAGTACAAATATGCGCCTTTTGGTCTCCTCCTCTACTTCATCTCGATTTTCAGAATAATCAAGAGCTACCTCTCTTTGATCATGGAGTTGAAGAATTCCCAAGCTGCTCAACGAACCCACCATTAATATGTGGGATTCTCTCAATAATGCTCTCTCTCCCTGCCTGTCTCTCACTAGTGCTTCCACTTAATTACAATTTAATTCCCTGATTTCCCTTCCATATTCCTTCCCCCACAGTCATTAATTACACACATATTAATAAACTACTCCACCTGAAAAAACCAAATCCCACTGGATTTTTGTTTGCCATCCATTAGTAACACTCCTCCTCTGCTCTTCCCCTGCTCTCCAGATTGCAGCAGCGTTCAAGCAGAATCAGATTCTCCCCTTCCCCTATAAGCCCAAACCCACCTCAGGAATTCCATTTCCAGTATTGGGTCAAGCTCCAAACTCGTTCCCATCGTAAAGTTCTCACCTTTTTTTTCGATCGCCATGGAAGGGGAGACGAAACAGGGGAGTCAAGATCGGAGTCAACAACAACCGCAGCCGCCGGCGCAGAAGTGTCCCCGCTGCGAATCGGTGAACACCAAGTTCTGCTACTACAACAACTACAGCCTCTCCCAGCCTCGCTACTTCTGCAAGGCGTGCAGAAGGTACTGGACGCAAGGCGGGACCCTGCGCAACGTCCCCGTCGGCGGCGGCTGCCGGAAAGGGAAAAGGGCGAAAACCAGCTCATCCGCGTCGTCGTCGTCCTCGTCGGCGTCCCAATCGCCGACCACTACGTCATCGGCCGGTCATCAGTTTCTGGGTTCTTCCAATTTATCGCTTCCTTCCCAGTACATGATTAGCCCTCCCCTGCCTCCGGCTGCGGGATTGGGATCGTACTATCCGGGAGGAGCAGCCGGGTTTCTGAACCCGATCCAGTCGCTCAACCCGAATCTGGCTGGGCCGGCCCAGGCGCTATTGGGCTCGGCGTCGTCGGGATCGAATTTGGGCCTGATGCAGGGGTTCGGCGGGGGTGCTTTTGCCGCGGGGGCGAACCAGTTTTTCGGGGGCGGGAATAATCCACGTCAGGAGGAGAATTTGATGATGGGGTTTCCGAATTCGGTGAGTCAGCATCAGATGCCGAGCTGGCAGCGGGCGGGGGAGGAGGAGTATGACGTAAGCGCGGGGGGTTCAGTTCCCGATACGGCGTTGTGGAGCATAAGTACGAGTACCACCGTGGATGCGGCGGGTAAGGGCGGGGAAAAGGCGGCTGGTGGCGGGGCTGGAGGAGGGTCCGGCGGGAGTGTTTCTCTGAATCGGCAGCAGGATCTTGATCGGCGGTGGAATCATGGTGGTGGTGGTGGTGGCGGGCAGCTTCCGGGATATGGGCCTTCGTGAAAAAAGTAGGGTTTATTCTTTCTGCTTCTTTTTTTCTTTTGTTTTTTATTTATTGGTTTTTGGTTCAGCTTTTTATTGCACCTTTTTTTACCTAGTCAAAAGAAAGGAGTGGTTGTTCTTGGGGTATAGAGCGGGATATATGTGGAGATAATATTAATTTGTGTAGAAATGTGGAATGATTGGGTAAAATTTTTGGGGATGAATATGATTTAATTTGTGCCTTGGGAGTTTAGTTAATTATTGATCATGAATTATCTATATGTATATGATTTTCGTAGTGAAATTTTTGCGATTGTGGTTTGACATTAGCTATAGATAGATAATGTTTTTGATAAGTTTACTTGTAAAATTTATTGCAGTTGCAATTCATCATGATGGTTAATCTCCTAAGTATTAGGATCAAATCGAGGCGTCGTAGTTGTTTGATTTGCTTAAGCTTCATTTGTGAATTGAAAGTTAAGCAATGTGTTATGAATTCTCGTTTTTTTTTTTCTTCAATATTTTGTGTTTCGTTTTGGAATGAGCAAACAAAGAGTTGTATCATCGCATATGGTGGAATAGGTAAAGGATGCATGACGCAAAAATTTAGAGCTAGTGGAGGGATGATGTGCTTTCCATGGCCAAAAGGTTATTCTTGTGCATATGGGTGACTTGATCATTTACATGCCACATAAAATATAAGAAAGGAGAATGCAGTTGGGTCAGTGAGTGGTAGAGATCACCAATTACCAATTCAAGCACTTCAAGTGATCATTTTGATAGCATTTATGTTTATTTAATTTGTTCATTCACATTCACATACTTTTTGCAATAAAGTAGTCAAGTGAACTGATGATAGAAGTTAAGAAAGGATCTTTTGTGAAATCTTGAATGCATGGTTCTTAATTAGGATAATTTGAAGTCAAGTCAGTCAAGCCAGCTAACTTTTTTAAAAAATTTGTTTTTTTTGTTGTTGGCAAATTTGAGATTGAGAAGTTGTTACAAGAATGAAATCTTGAACAACTTTTAAGTGGTAACATAAACATTAACTTGTCGTGTGTTTGTTGAGTAGCGTGTTTGTTAAGTACCGAATATGAAATACTGACAACTGTCAATGACTGACAAATAATCATAATTTTGCATGTCATATCACCTCTCAACTGAACGGTGTGTATGTGAATATATGCACCTCTAAATGTTCAATTCATCACTTAATTATCCACGTAAAAATTAAAGAAAATTCGCTGAAAACAAATCTATAAAACCATTATTTATCATGAGCTTTTTCCAGAAACAAACCACAAACTTATAAAAATAATCAAACCAATTTTCTACCAGACAATAAAACAAATTAATGTGGGATTTGTAGAAGGAAGGTAGTAGTAGGCTAGGCAGTAGTAGCAAGTAGCAACAACCAATGCACCACTACTAACCATAACCATACTGCATTAACTAAACAATTAAAACCCAATTAGAGCAAATCTCACATACCAAGATGGATTGCTAGCTACTATACAGAAGATACACAAGCCATTAATAATTTGTCCTTAATGAATTTGATTAGTTTAGTTAGTGGGGGAGGGATGGAAAAGATTGCATCGGCAAATGGCAGGAATGTTTGGTGATGGCTGGTGAACAACACCCAAGCCCGGCGTAATTGGAAGCTGCTGGCCGGGGAATTTTTCTTTTGCTGGATTTGTGGGTTCCAGCAAAACCAAAATCCAATCTTTCTTTTTTTGTGGGGCGTCGCCCAAAACCAAAGCTAATCCAGCCATGCTCTCACTACATATCTCTGTCTCTGTCCCATTCGAATATGTACTGATAAAAACCAGTGCAGAGATTGGTGCAGCTAGGGTTTAGCATGAACGACCGGCCTCGAAACATAATCAGATCGAGAGAATCTTGCACAAGGCAAAGGCGAAAAAGAATATCGTTTACACGTTCAAACTCCATTTACACACAGGAGAATATTCAAGGGGGGGGGGGGGGGGGGGGGGGGGGGGAGAAAGTGGACGTGCAAATATGCGCGCAGATCGAATATTTATATCGCCATTTGCTTTATGACTTATTCTCGAAACGTGAGGATTATTAAGAATCGTTGGTTAACCGAATCTCATGTTTGAGTCTAGCTTTGACAAATATGGGCGGTTGGAGCTAAGCTAGGGCAAGCACACGAGCTTGCTTCCCGATTTTGATCGGCTGGCGAATATCTTTCTTTTTTTGGGGTGAGAGTGGGTGTGATGAGTGGGGTGGTGACTGGTGAGATCGCGAAAAATCTTCAGACTGTCACACTAAGGAATATTTAAATAGTTAGTGGGGGAAAGAAAAAGAAACCGTGGTCTCTATGTGCGTGTATCTTTCCTATTGGCAAACCCAGGCGCCAGCTTCAAATTCTTTCCTCTTGTCTAGTTGTTGTTTAGGGGTGGTGACAAACTGACAATGACAATTTTGCATGGAAGAACAATCCAGTAACTGGCTTGAAAACAACACACTTTGCCGGTACTAGTAGTATTTGTAAAGGGAAAGATTAAGATCTTGTTGTGATGAACTCTTTTAAACAATTTCAATTATCGAATTCACGACACTATTGAGTGTTGATTAATTATAGCTTCCTGATTAAATCGAATGCTGAATCAAGTCGATGAACAAACTTTGGTCGATGAAAAAACGTGTGTTCGATTATACGACCGGAGGACGACGCTCAAGTGGGTCAGCCACGTGGGTCGTTGATATAGTATGTTTTTCGAATTCGATCAAGAAAAATTGTTTTGATGGTCACAGACAGACTTGTAACACAAGATACATCCGAATTCTGTTAGAGTACTACACGATTACACATTTTCCCCCTTTTGTCTTGGCAATGCACAAAATTAGCCTAACCAAGTTTGTATTAGAAGTTATGATTAGAAAGTTAAATCGACTTAACACGGGGGCCAATTTCTTTTCCTATAAACAAAGCATGCAAACATGCACGATTGGTGGGTCACATTTTGCAAGTTGTAGCCAAAACGTCCCATCGCCCTCCCCCTCTTAAAAAAGTCTCATGACCTCCATTCCACCACGACCATCCATCATTTTGGTCAGTGCGGCACTACTGTTCCTAATTGGAAGGCTTTCAAGGCACAAATTTAGGGTTCAATTCCATGGATTCCACCCTTATTCGGCAATGTTCTGCCATTCGACCATGTCTCACTATTAGGGCAAATGATGTTATACCCCTTTTATCACGGGCTTGTTTACGTTAGAATGAAGATTTGATTAGGCACATTGGTGAGCAACCATTCGTCCATGTGTTGGACTCTCTTGGCATATATCCTCTCACACGACTTGAGCTACTATGCAGCCAATCCAATCTATTGATTGGTCGAGAAACTTGAAATGGAAGAGAACAATCATATAGTAATTTTAGTGCATCTTAAAATGGAACAGAACGATCATAGATATGCATATATATACTAATAAGATCAGTGCATCGTGCACCCATTTTAATCATCTTCTTGTCAGTATGTTATATATCTTTCTGTTGCCAATCACATTTACGAATGTAACCACGATTAACAACGATCAGGCTATATATCGAACACGGAGTAAGTAAAAAATGGTACTATTGGCACCCGTATTAAAGGTACAGATTCAATCCAGGCGAACCGAAGTCACTTTCAGAACCATACTTCCTACAGCTAAGACGTGTCCAGTCCACTGGGAAAGGCGCAACACAAACGATCCATACCATGAATGTTTGGAATCACATATTATGCAAGGAGATATTGCTTTTGCTCATTCGAATTGAAGGCTTATATAAAATCGATCTATTTCCCGCATCATATCCATAGTTAGCACATTCGTCCTACTTTCTTTACCTTGGTTTTTTTTTCCATCTTCCTTTAATTTCAAGAACAATTTCAAGAACAACTTAATTTCAAGAACAATTTAATGGGGATAATGACTGAAGAGCGATCGAGCAACATAGAAATGGATTAGATCGAGTACTTGGGTGTCAAGTCTCTAGCTAGCTAGTGCCTTCTATTATTGGGGTTTTGACTATCAAACTAGAGCCACAAAGAGCCAGGTGGACCTAAAACGCACATAGGAAAACGACATATGAGAGGAGGTAGTAATGGAGTAGTTGCTTGGAAGTGAAGGGTTGACCGAAATGATCATGGCGATCGAGAGAGTACATAAAACGACATGATGAGACCAAGAACAAGAAAGCCCATCACACTACGATTTCATTCATCTCTCCATCAATGAATTCTTGGCTTGCTCGCCATGATGACGTGGAGTGGACAGGACGTGGACGTGTCGAAGTACGTGTCATCACCAGGGTAATAATAATAATCAAACAGAATGATGATTCGGATAATGTAGATGTACACATCGGCGCCAGCTGCTTTGCTATAGTAGCTGCTCATGTTGTAATAATGGTGTTACATTGGGCCGTACCATGATTTCTTATTGCCATAGATGTCGACTTCTACTTGGTCCGTGGAAAAACAGGGAATCATGAATCATGATTTGGTTGGGAGGGTAGTTGTATACATGTGAATGATTATTTCATGTGTGGTGTTGTTATTTGGTAGAGGATGATTTCAGGGTTGATGCACTAGATAAAGAAGTTGTATTTTGTATTAGTTAGGTTGGGCTTGGTGCATTGGGTAGATTAACTCTTGTCTTCTTACGAGTTTGATTATATGCTTATATCGTTGTATCTGAATTCTGATGATGTACGAATTCCAGTCGTTGGTGGAGTCTTCTGTGCCTTGTAGGGTCTTTTATGCACTATAATGAGTGATTGATGGTATAAAATGGTTAACATATACTACTCATTGCATGTGACGATATGTATATGGGTATGTACAGTAAAATAAAAATGGGTCTAAGCGTTTTTTTCCCGGAACGAAGATGTTCTCGTCCAACTCTTCATATGCTTTCGAGGAGATAGTATTTGACAACATGCTACAATTCTTGCGTTCTGATAAGCGTTTGATCGATATAGAACGCTATAATCATGTAGTTTATAATTATTATTTATATTATTTACCATCACAAAATTCATCAAGAGATTGCGGGAGTACATACCATCCAACATGGTGTAACTTGTCTCCCCTCACATCAAGTATAAAATTCTAATCGTCGTCCACCATGGTCAACGGCAGAATTAGCGTAATGCCGTGGGTTTAATTAATTAAACTGTCGCTCTCAGTTTCCTTTTTGTGCTATCGTTATGATTATGTTGGGAGACAAACGTTACGAGGTCAGATAATCAAGTCCTAAGTTAACGCGTATTTGATTTAATTAATGAGGTTGATTAGGGTTTCCCCCCTTCTCGCTGTGGGTGGAGCAGTTCAGGCGGCAGCCCTTTTTAAATTACTGAAGAGCAAATATGAGATTCGTGATTATTGCATAATCGCCTTCATTTTATTGTCAGAATGATTTATGAGATGAGTCGACTCCTTAGTTCCGATATGATGCGTATGTTTGTCCCGATTTTTAGAAGTGTTTTTCGGCTTCAAAAGCTGAAGCAGGGCCAAACACCTTTAAAAGTTCGGTTTTTGAAAAGCCAAAAAGCGCTTTTGTATAACATAAAAGCAGAAGCTCTGATTTGGAACTTCTGCGAAAAATTGATTTGAAAATACAAGATTATCCTTACCATATTTTAATTTTATTTAAGAAATATAATTTTCCTTCATCTCTATCATTTTAAAAATAAAATAAATTATAAAATTATATTATTTAATATAAAAGAAATCTAACAAGATCCATTTTGACTACTTTTTACCGTTTAGAATTTTTATTCATATTTTATACTATAAGTACTTTATAGTCATTTTACACAACCTCTCATATTAAAAAGTACTTCTAATAGTTTTACAGCCAAACACTCAACTGCTTTTTGTGAAAAGCACTTATCTAAAAGTTCCAGCCAAAGCTACTTCTACAAAAGCTACTGCAGGGCCAAACTAAGCTATCAATGTAGGAAGTTGTAGGATTTGTTTGTTAGAGAGAGTGACATAAACTTCATAATAATTCATTTCCTTTCAATAATTTGCTATAACAGGAGTTATTTGGATCAACTAGTTTTTTTTAGGGAGGATCAACTAGTTATTAACATGGTATTAGAGCTAGGTCGACCAAGTGGTCATGTGTTGAATCTCCATGACCCTAAATATTAACAGTTCATCGGAGGAAAATGTATGGTGGCCTTGCGCAAACTTCAATCTCGTGATTTGGCTTTAGTTGAAGAGAGCGTGTCGTCGGAGAGTGATGTAAGATTCATACTCATATAATAACCCAAATACAAATATGAAAATTATCTAACTTATATGATTCTGACAAGGAATATAACTCTATCAAATTATATAACAATACTTATAGTATAACATAAATAAATACCAACAATTAGAAAACCAAAACAAAAAACTAACACAAAGAAAAAGGAAAAAAAATATAACTATGATATTAATAACTCCTACTAATCTCAAACTTCGCGTAGATGTCGAAAGAAACCACACCCCACATAATCGATGTTGGTGATGAATTGGATGTAACGAGATCTCTTGCTAAAACTGCCTTCTCATACTTGTCCTCCAAAGATGCTCCAGAAATTGACTATCTCGAAAACATATCAAAGATTTTCCGAACAACATTGCTGAACCAAAGAACATAACGAAACCATAGAACCATGTACACTCGAGAAGGTTATGGTCAACGTCCGCATCTTCGCGAAAGTGACCAGGATGCTTGAGGCGATGACAAAAGGGACGCTGATTAAAGGACCATTGCTGCAGCTCTTCTGGACTAAAGCTAGAGCAGGGGAGCATCGCTGGAACTGACACACACAGCTCAATCAAGGGGGTTGTCCTGCTCACCGAGGGAGCAATAAGCTACGCAGGTTTTATAATTTTGCAGGCGATAACGATCAAGACCTATCTGGATGAGCTGTCCCTAACTGCGTTGATCTTCCTAATCAATACTGTAGGAGGGGCTGTAGTTTCCCTCGTCATGGAAAGAGGCAACCCTCACGCGTGGGATGTGGATTGGGACACCAAACTCTTCACGACAATCTACAACGTAAGTTGGTATATCGGTGATCTTGTTAGAAACATACCTAAATTATAGAAATAGCGTTATTAGTTTTCGGTAGGGATTCGGGGCCGAGTGATGCCGGAATGAGATAGTGTGCATACATCCTTGGGGGTCTGATTTTTTAGACCCTCTGTAGAGGCCATTGATTCAGACTGCATATGACGACTTATATTAAGATAAAGGGTTTTTTACATAATAAATAGAGATTGTTGGCATAATAATTTGCAACTCCTGGTAACATTATCACTACAATGTTTGTTGTATCAGTGTAATGGTATTAGCGTACGCATAATTTATCAGTCAATTGTAGTTATATCAGTGTAGTGGTGTCGATTTACTTTTTTCTAATGCAGTGGTACTTTTTTTAGGTGGTCAGAGGGAGTCTGCTGTAGAAAATATGGTCTAAAGGAGTATTACAGGTGGCTTGCCTAGTCAGGTAAGGTTACATTCTTCTCTTCTAACGAACCATGATCGTTTATAAGCTGCTTTGTCACATTTAACGAGGGAGATTGGCTTAATAATTACTCTTCATTTAAACTCGATCTTATACAGGCTCGAGAAGGTTAGGACCAACGTTCGCACCCTTGCCAAAGTTACGGGAACGATTGTGACGTTCGGAGGAGCGATTATCATGACCTTGGTCAAAGGTCCTATCCTGCAAGTGTTCTGGTCCAAAGGCAGGGCCGGCGGTCAGCAGGGGAGCACCCCTGCCACCGACACGCACAGCTCCATAAAGGGAGCTGCCCTGCTTGCCGGCGGAGCAGTAAGCTACGCCGGATTCATCATTCTGCAAGCAATTGTCATGAACCAGTTGCTCCCAATAACTCGAGTTGTTGGGAGAGGTTCAATCGTGGATCATATACCACAACACTAACACGCCCCCTCAAACGAAAGCCACTCACAAGGGCTTGAAGTTTGCACAGGTCTGAAGACAAGAATACCATGTGCTTAACAAATGGGGGTCACCGGGAATCGAACACAAGACCTCTCGGTCACAGAAGGCTCTGATACCATGTCATGAACCAGTTGCTCCCAATAACTTGAGTTGTTGGGAGAGGTTCAATCGTGGATCATATACCACAACACTAACAACAATGACACTAAAAAAGTATCCGGCGGAGCTTTCGATGACTGCTTTGATATGCTTAATCGGCAAGGTAGGTGGTGCTGCACTCGCCCTGTTCGTAGAAAGAGGGGACCCATCTGCGTGGGAATTCGATTGGGACGCCAAGCTATTGGCTGCGATCTACAGTGTAAGTGGATCGGGTGAATCTCTCTTGATTAGAAATGGGTTTGAATTTCCGAGACACCTAAATTAACCGTTGAATTGGAAATGTGATTGCTTGCTTTGCAGGGGGTGGTATGTTCTGGGTTGGGTTACTACATTCAGGGCATGGTTATGCGAGTGAGAGGTCCTGTTTTCGTCACCGCTTTCAGCCCTCTTTGCCTGGTGGCTGTGGATGTGATGAGCTCGATCATATTCGGTGAGCAATGATTTCTAGGAAGGTAAGATTCCGATTCCCACCATTTCAAAGTAATAGAGCTTGATCCTGATTGTTTTGGAGGATAGACATATCTTGACTCTGTTTTTTTTTTCATGGTTCGAACAACAGGGTAGTTGGAGCTGTGACCATAGTAGCAGGGCTATATCTTGTGGTTTGGGGCAAAAGCAAGGATAATGACATTGAAATCGCCAATTTTAAGCAGGAAGAACTACAATTGAACAATATTCTGACAGTGAAGGATATACTGTCTCCTGAAGATAAAACAGACGGTTGATGAGAATAACAGAGGAAGAAGGATAAGAATACTAGTAATTTCCCGCTAATTTTAGCACTTTTATAAATAGTGAGGAGGTAGAGGTTGGTTGTGAACTTGATCTTGGGTGGTCCTTTATCATTAGAGTTGTACTTTATGTTAATGAAGCCAGAAATAAATGTTTGACTTGTACTCGTTCTCTGTTTCTCATTTTGTTCCCGAGCATAAACACAAACTTTAAATAACCTATTTCATTACTTAGCCACATAAACCCTGACTCATTATGCAGAATTCATCCAAAACCACCTCATCAAATCCAAGCAACAAATGCCACCATCCAAGGTTCTCAACCCTGAATCGTTTAGCATTTTCCTTACCATGAGTTGTTGTAACGTCAAGTACAAAGTTATCACAAAAATCATGACTTCTAGGCTTCAAATCTGGTTACCATTTATCATCCCAAAACTGCAATCAGCTTTCACTGGGCCACCAAATTCAGGATAATATCATTATTGTTCAAGAAGTCTTTAATCATTTCAAAAAGCACAAGACCGGGAAGAGGAAAGTTATGATGCTTAAGTTGGATATGAGGAAAGCTTTGGATCTGGTAGAATGAGATTGTTTAATTAGTCTTCTCAGGGCGTATGATTTTGACTCTACTTGGTGTGGTTGGGTCCGTTCTTGTATCTCTACTTTTAAATTCAGGGTTCTTTTCAATGGCTCTCCTTATGAGGAGTTCGTCTCCTCAAGGGACATTCGGCAGGGAGAACCACTTTCCTCGCTTCTGTTCATTCTCATGACGAATGCCATCTCTTTTCTCATTGAAAAGTCCTGCAACAATCATCATATTAAAGGTTTGAAACTTAACAATAGATGTCCCCGTCTTACCCATTGCCTCTTTGTGGATGATACAGTCATCTTTGGAGAAGCTTCTCCGGAGGAGGCGTCTTGGGGCAGATCTAAGAAGGATACTTTTAAGTTCCTTATTGATTGTATGGGAGCCAAGGGAGAAAATTGGCAAAGTATGCTTCTGTCTCCAGGAGGAAAGGAAGTACTTCTTAAATCTATTTTCCAAGCTATCCCCACCTACTTGATGTGTATTTTCATGTTCCCCCGGGCGTCCACCAACAAGATCGATAGTATGCTTAAAAGATTCTTCTGGTCAGGATCCACATCAAAGAAGACTATCCACGACGGGCTGGCAATGTTTTGTATGCTCCGAAAGAAGAAGATGGGTTGGGTTTTCTACCGTTTCAATTCGTCAACCTGGCTCTCCTGGCTAAGCATGCATGGAGGACCATCTCCTCTCCGAACTCCCTTTGGGTGAGACTTTTGAAAGGTCTTTACTTCCCTCAGAGTAACTTTCGAGAGGCTCGTAAAGGTGGTCGTGCTTCTTGGATCTGGGCGAGTATTTGTGATGTATGGAAACGGATGGATTCTGAATTGGCGAAAGTGATTGGTAATGGAAAGTCTACCCGCATCAAGGAAGCTAATAGAGGGCGGCGTGAGGGGCTTACCTGTAACCGGAAGGCTGGATTAAGATGAACGTTGATGCCGTGATCTTCCATGATACAGGAGAGAAAGAAGACGATGGACGCCGGAGCTTGCGGAGTTAAAAGCGATTGAATTTGGCATCCAACAGGTGGAGATGCATGGCCTAACCTTCGTTGTGGTGGAAACTGACTGCCAAAACGCATTCCTCACGTTGCAGAAGCCGGAGGAGACAAGATTGGAAGTTGGCCCTTTGGTCAGGGAGCTAAAAGAAGAGGCCAATAGAGTGGACTCTATCAGGTGGAACTTTGCTAAAAGAGATTGCAATAGAGCGGCCCACATTCTGGTCCATGCAAATTGTAATTGGGATGCCCAAGAACAATGGGCTTCCAACCCACCTTTCTTCCTCCTTTCTGTTTTAGAAAATGAGCCCCGCGAGGCCTGAATAAAATGCAGATTTCCCTATAAAAAAATATATAGTACATCTAACCTAGAATTCCCCCGAAAGACGAACCTACACAGTATGTCTAGCGATAGTTAACTAAAATTTCCCTCCAAACCCAGAATTAGGAGATTGATCAGACCGTGGTTAAGGCTTCGTGGACTCTAATTGATGACATTGACACATTAACAAACCCAAGCTATATGCATAGGGACCATCATTAGTTCATTAATCACCAAGAAAATTAAGGATTGGATTCTGATCCCATCCAGTCTTCTTCCAAAGGATTTCGAATTAAAGGCCCCTCCTATCTAATTATGAAGTGTTTGGACAAAGAAGTACCATGCACGCCACTACAGTCCAAATATGCTATGGACCTGTGTTTTAGTGGGGAGGACAGCCAACAATGAGGTACAAAACCTTAACGATTACATTTTCCAGGTGTAAGGCATATGAAGCAAAAGAACAAAGTACCACGTTAGATCATTGTCATCCTTAGTTTCATGCAAAAGGAAATGAAAGAGATCGATATATACCAAGTTCTTTCCTTTTGGTCTTCAAAAAAAAAAAATTTTGAAGTTATTTGATGAATTTTAGCATAGTAATTTTGGATTTTTTTTACATGCTGACCAAGGTGCCTAAGCAGAGAGGTGTAGAGGAAAGTTCATCCTGGTTACTACTACTAGATCAAACTTCTTGTTTGCAGCAATGTGTCTAGATTGTTGATTAACTACATGAACAAAGAAAGATTATATTGTTGGGATGTTCCAACTCATGAAGCATAGTTTTTGGGTCAAAGAAAAGAGTTACAAACCAACTAATTAATGCATGGAAATGTGGGTCTTGGAATTGATCCCAAAAAAAGGAACACCAACACCTCCCTTAATTGGAATAAGACCAAAATTAAGCAACAAATTAACCAAAGTGATGAGTTCTTGTAAATTAACCACAAAGATGGGGAAATAGACCAACCAGCATTCAACTAAATTAACCAATCCCCCCTCCCAACATGACATTGTCAAATATGATCTCCCTCTTTAATCTCTCTATACCACCACAATTATACCCCCCATCCCAAAATCTCTTGATCTTTCCCCCAATCAAAAACCAAGAAATCACCAAAAATGTGGAAAACAAAGAAAATTAATTAAACCCCCCTCTCAAATCCCCTTCCATTGAGGATTTACATATACCCACCCACCCAAAACCCCAAACTAAAAGAACCCAAAAACAGAAATTGTTCATGCATACATATTTACACACATCTAGCTAGCTAGGGATTGTAAACACAGTTGCACAAATAAAAATTGATTTGTCTTTTTTCCCCTAACCTTATAGTACTGGATATTCTCTTCTCTTCACTTCACTTCTTCTTAGCGCCAGCTTGACGACGAGATTGAAAGAGGATCCGAGCTTCCCTTTCTCAGCCCAATCTATATAAAACCAACTCCTTCTCTTTTCAGCTGATCAATCTCTCTGATCCAATCTCCTTCTCATCGTCCCTTTTACCCCACAAATCCCCAATAACCTTAACATTCGAAAAACCCTAACCGAAGTTCCCCGAAAATGCTCTTGTTAGTCACCAACATGAATTGGTGAGCTCATGAATTTGCCAGATATTCATCAACCGTGCTGGTATGAAATCTTGACGCGCGCATGGTCGCCGCCGTTAAAAAAAAACACAGGACCTAAAAAAACGAATAGGAAAAAGAAAAAAGAAAAAAAAAAAAAGAGAGGGAGAGACGAAAATGAAGGGTTTAGGGCTAGATCAAGGAAGTAACGGAAGGCCCAATATTTCCCGGATCGTGCCACATCGCGTTCCAGTAGTAAGCCGACTGAGGATCCGACCCGATTTGCTCCACCGCCGCCGCCTGCTGCCCGCCGGCGTTGTTGTTGTTATTATTATTATTACCATTACCATTCGCGAAGCCGCTAAAATTCCAACCTTGCTGCTCGTCTTTCACCCCGCTGCTCATTTGCAAGCCGTCGAACGCCGCCGCGGCCTGGAAGTGGTCGGCGGAGCTCGACTCCTCCTGCCTCTTCACGACGCCGTTCGACGACGACGAAGAGAGCCTGTTGTTGAGCGTGGATGCCAGCAGGGTCGCCATCGTCGGAGAAAGAATCGCGCCTCCGCCGCTGCCGAAAAATGTACTCGCCGCCGACGGGTAGCTGAAGCCGCCGTTGGACGGTGCGAAGGAAGCCAGCTGATCGTACGACGGCGGCGGCGGCGGCGGCGGCGGAGGAGGAGGGTTGCTCTGCTGCTGCTTCCCGTAGAACAGGGGACTATTCATCTGGTTGATGATTTGGAACTGGTTAGGGTTTTCCCCCGCCGCCGCCGCGGAGGTTGAGGAGGAATTCGGGTTGGTGGAGGGGCGCTTGAGGAGGCGCTTGTGGCTCTTCCGGCAGCCGCCGCCGACGGGGACGTTGCGGAGGGTGCCGCCTCGGGTCCAGTAGCGCTTGCAGGCTTTGCAGAAGTGGCGGGGTTGGGACAGGCTGTAATTGTTGTAGTAGCAGAACTTGGTGTTCGCCGAATCGCACCGCGGGCACCGCAACGCCTCCGCCGCCGCCGCCGTCGCCGCCGCAGCCTGGTTGTGGTGGTGGTCTTGCTTGTTTTCCATTAGCGGCGATTTGTTGTTCTCATGAACCTGCTGCATAGAGGGTAAGAGAGGATGGAAATGAGAAACGCGGAGGAAGAAGAAGAAGGGAGAGAGAGAGGGAGAGAGAGAGAGATTCGGTTTCCAAGAGGAAGAGAACAAAAGGAAATGGGAGACCAAATGGGGCGGGGGATGTAAGTTGTAGAATTGTAGGAATGGTGTGTGGGTGATTTGGAGAGTAATAATTGAAGTGTAGGGAATGAAAGTGAAAGTTAGGAATGAAGTTTTTTAATTTAGAGAAATTTGTTTATGAAAAAAAGGAGAAAACTTGTGGCCATTCGTTAGTAGTTGAGGAGGGAGATGATCGATGATGACTACTCGAGCCGCGGTCTTCTTCATGTATGATTTTTCCTTCATCGAGACGTAACGGGTGCGATCTTATTCGTGTTCCGGTCGTCGTAGTAGAGCAGAACGTGAGATCGATATGTCTGCTCATAATTTAGACCACGTTCGACGTGATTTGTTTCGGGTTTCATTTCCTTTTCTGGTCTATTTTATCTGGTGTCGTTTATTCAAAGTGAACCTATTTGCAACTGGGATAAGTGAGAGTCTTCGGTGTCTTGGGATGACGATTAAGATTTGATTCGGGTATGATTCGTTGTGAGATAAGAGCAAGACATATGATTTCCGTTATTTAAGTTATCTAGTTCACTTTCGATCTGTTTTGTTTTGTTTTCATTTAATTTTATGTGAAACAATTTAGTTAAAATGTACATAGTTTGATTGATATCTTATAAATTACCTATCGTAACTCATACAAAGAATCAAATGATCTCATCAAAATCCATACTCGACATCAAGTATATATATAGATACCGATATACTCTGTCTCATTTGACTGTATTCCATTGTCTTTCCTACCTCCTCCTCCAATTAGTTCACCCACATTTTGGTTGTGTTTTTGTGTTGTTGTTAGCTAGGGTTTGGAGTGGGGAATAATGGTGGGAAATGGGAGTAAAAGGACAAAAGAGGACAGTAGCGGTTGGTTGGATTGGTGGGTGGATGGAATGTAGTGGGCGGACCGTTTGTGTTAATTAAGTAGAGAGAGAGAGAGAGAGAGAGAGAGAGAGGAGAATGTGGTGATGGAATAAATTTATTAGCTAGGGTTAAGATAACAGGGAACGGAGAATTTATGTCGAAGGGTTCAATTTTAATATTAGACTGTGGTCATAATTTCACGTGATGCGGGGCAAATTGCCAACTTTATTAATCGATAGCCATCACTTCAAAAAAATAACACAAAGCCAATATGTTCAGTCCTTCTAGGTCAAGGGACAAGGACCACCTTTCATATATATGCAATTCAATAGGGAGCCCGAGACAACGCTAGTAGTGAAGTTGTTTTCGTCACTTCTAGAGAATATTTGATCTAATCTATGGTATTATAAAGAACAACGATCGAGCATAAAACGACGTACAAAAATTGAATATAGTGTACCCCAGTACGTATTACCAACAGTATTGCTAGATGAACGTGTTCAGAAAATTTTAACACATGGTACTATCAGAACCATTGATTGAGAGATCTCATGTTCGGATCGTCATGTAATATTTATCAGTAAGCACAAAGGTACCTGAACTTGTACAAACTTCAAATCTATTAAGTAATTTTTTGGTTCTCGTGCACTTGAATATGTAAAACTACTATGTAGTCACTCTTTCCCTTAGCCATATTAACCTAAATTGCTGAGACCATTTGTCTAGCATGTGATAGGAGATGGACCATATAAAGCTGAGAAAAGTAAAGTAACGGTAGCAGAAGAAGAACAGAAGACACACACCAACATGACAGAGATGAATCTTTGAGAGGTTCAAGAAAGTAAAGAGCGACATTGGGGACAGGTTTTCAAACAACATTGGACATCAAAGGGTACAGTGAACAGATTCCCAGCATCAAGTTTTCAAACATTCTCTTCCTGTTTCGTGGAGAGAGAGAGAGAGAGAGAGAGAGAGAGAGAGAGAGGGCATAGTATAGTATAGTATAGTATAGTAGTAGCCACAGAGGGAATCCCTATACACACAGCAAATCCCACTTGCGAAATCCAATCCAGTGAGTCGATCCAATGGTGCATGTATACTATCAAACCCACTTTGCAAATTGTTTTAAGGAAAGAGCTGGTGATGAGAGATGAAGATGATGAGAGAGAAGTGGACGGTGTATTTGATATAGAGGGATCATTAGGGGCCGTTGGATATAGAACGAGGGAGTAGTGGTGGGAAAGCTTTAACAGCCCAGCAAAGACTTGGAGGCAAGGATCAGATCAGAGGAAATGAAACGAAGAAAGGAGAGGATGTGAACATTCCAAGAAGAAAACGACAACTCACTAGGCCCTGGTTCTGTCTTTCTGGCTAAGTGGGTGGGTGGGTTGGAAGCTAAGCTTTGAGATACATATATAAATGGAAGATAATAATAATATATGTGACATATAAAATGGATACTGTTGGATCGAGCTATGTGATCTCAGCAGTTAGATCGATAATAATATCAGGTAAAAAAAAGTATTATTGCAGTCGATTTAAAGCTCAAGATTGGTTAGATAATTGATGAAACACAGTCTCAACCAGTATTTTTTCCCCCCACATACGGTTTTTAATTTCGAATAAACATGATTGAGTTTTGGTTGTCGTATATGATTATAATCCAATTGACACTTCCGAACACGGCAATCAAATAAAATTTTGTTTACAGACATGAGATAGTGCATGCGTACCCTAATTAACTATGTTTATATCGAACTCGATTTGAGCTCTTAGCTCGGACTAATGATGATGAGATAAGTATGTCGCCCGCATCTCTGTTAAGTGTTGCATGTTTTGAATTCTTGATGGTTTGTTTTGATCGTTTACTTGATTCGTATATTTTTTAATGCTATATCTTGACGAGTTTAGGGTTTGTTTCATATGGCACGTTAGTCTTTTTTTTTTTAGGTAAAAATAAATTTATCTTAATCACCAAAATAAACCATAAATTCATTTATGCAGGAATGTAAACTAGTTTGTATTGATATTCAATATTTTAGGTTTTCTTCATGAAAGAATGTGAAGTCTTTTGTTTACCCTATCCAATGGTAAACCAATGTTAAAACTTAAAAGCGGGGAAAAGGCAGAAAAAAGCATTAGTTATGGAGGGAATAACCCAACGGATTTTGTAGTCTTTTTAGGGATCTTCGAGTCTTCGACCCATCCCCCATCATTATTCCTTGCCCTAATTTGAAGTCCTGATTACACCTTATTCCTATCTAATTGTTTTTTTATTATAAATAACTGATTAACTCTTATTGCTTACTAATTGCTTTTTTTTTTACCCACTTGAGATCTTGTTGGTACATTAAAAGCAGCGCCCCTTCGTCGTGGCCGATGTTTCCCCCAGATTCAATGTCATCGTGTTGGAATAATTGTCCCTCAAGGTTGAACCAAATTAACTTAAATCATTAAAACACCTTAATTAACATTGCTTTGGTCAAGGCCTTAAATCGTTTCTACTCGATAATCCGAATTATCACTAGAATGTTAATTATGAATTTTACACCGCTTTCTTAGAAACGAGTTAAGCAATTAACGAAAAAAAATGTTATTAGTCACGATATCAACGAGTGATTTCGGCGATGATAACGACAATGACGATAAGAAAAAAGGACCACTAAACAGTAATCTCGCCCGCAGTACACGTTAACAAGATGCAAAATGGGAGAATCCATTTGCACGATTTAATTTGGTCAATACGTTACCACAAATTGTGGTGGCGGATAGACGGCGACGTGCAGCTAAGCTAGCAGAGTGAGTGAGTGGAGTTGTGGGGCTCAGGGTCCTACAATATTTTGACACAAACCCCTCTCTTCCTTAGGTCATGCCCACAAAGCCACACAACAAGAGGAAAACGATAACTACGATATCAGAAGTAACGATAATGGCAATTTGTTCAATTTGGGATTGGCAATCCCACTACACGAGCTTTTGCCCGACTCAACATTGATAGGAACCCTACAAGCACGTTAGCCCGGCCATCTCTGCAACCCATGGCCCATGGGAACACAAAAAAAGGCAATGGCAAATTGGGAGGGAAAGAGAGGAGGGACCATATCCGCCGTTAACATATAGAACCACAATAAGCCAAAGCCAACAACGGAGGAAGTTATATCATGAGATGGGTTTGTGAAGAGTGTTCATGTACTAATGTAATGATAGTGTGGACCGGAACATGTATATATGATGGGAGCGCGGACGAGGTGCGAAATCGTAACATGCATAATTCGGTCAAAGATCCTGTTACCTTATACCACATCCTAACATATTGTACTTGTACTGTATCGTACTAGTATCATACCGTACAATAGTTTACCACGATCATCATATTGTGCCAGTTATATTAAAAGAGGTTATGCACCAAAAACTCAAGCTGTATATAAGTTACAAAGAGACTCCGTGAACTCTAAACTCAAGTAATTAACGACTCAAGTTGAACTGAAAAATGTAATCCAATCGAATCCATTGTATTACGGTACATAATGATTCAGCAAGCAATGTCGTCGATCGAACACAATTTTTTTTTGTTATGTTTACTGTACGTTGTCGCAGCTATCGTATCGTTTTCATTATTCAGGTCTATCGTGCGAGATAATTTGGTATTAGTCTATACACATAAAATACATAGAGCACACTTGGGTCGAAATATTGTTTTCAATTTCGAAAATGAAACTGAAGACATACTTTTGAAATTTAAGAGGTCCTGACTTCCGAACTGTAACTATCAGCTAGCCGGCTGCTCATACATACATACAAAAAATTCCATGCATGGACAAATGGAGATCTCTTGTTCTCGTCTCCAACCCAATTTTGGAACCATTCTTTCGTTCTTTCTTTTCCCACTTCCATTATATGCCGACAACAACAAGCAGCTACTTCTGCAGCGTGCTATAGTCCCCGCACGGTCACGTCATTCTACCGCCATGGGGATAGCTAGATAGATCGAGAGGGGGAAACTTGCATGCATGGGCCTGCTTTCTGGGCCGCTGCTGCAGAACTATATGTGGCGTCTGTCTGTTTCCTTTTGTTGTTGTTGTTGTTGTTGATATGATGTTGATCGATGGTGGCGCCATAGTGAGCTTAGCTGATGGCAGAAACATGGCGAGGCGGACAAGGCAAATCTGGAACACTATATACGATTTTCCTTACGTTAAACTAGCTAGCTGATCCGCCTCGCCATGTTTCTGCCATCAGCTAAGCTCACTATGGCGCCACCATCGAATCAACATCATATCAACAACAACAATATATATAAATATATATATATATACGAGGCAGGTATATCTTAGGTTGTTATTACCGAGCTGCTGCAAATCGGGAAATCGTAGGAATCGACAACACACGATTTATGTGGTTCACTAACACAATGTGTGCTAGCAAGTCCACGGGCAGGAGAGCCAGTTTCACTATATCGAGGAGATTACAGATTACAGAGGAGTATGGAAAGTATTTATAGTACTTTTTCTAGATTTAACCCCGATTATTCCAGTTGTAGCGGCTGATAGTCCGATTCAAGTAACATCAATATAGTTGTTGTATACACATACATACGCAAAAACTTTATGGTATTACTAGAGGTGGCAAATGGATTGGATTGGTGGATTGGTGGATCCATGGATCAAATGGATTGGATCTAATAGATTGGTGGATTCATGGATTGGATCAAGTGGATTGGTGGATTATCCATGAATCCAAATGACATCCTCAACCAAGGACCAATATGTAAAATGTAAAAAGTTTAGGTACTAAATGTCATAATGAAAAATTTTAGGTACCAAAACGTAATTTTCCATTGATATTTTTCGTATAAAAATTAAATTTTAGGTACCAAAATGTAAAAAAAAATAAAAATTATAGGTACTAAACCGTAATTTGCCAATGATCCATGGATCCAATCCATGAATCCACCAATCCAATTGGATTTGGATAAAATGGATTGGATTTAAATGGATTGGATTAGGTGGATATTTTTAATGGATTGATGGATTGGATTGAAATTGCCACCTCTAGGTATTACACATACATACGCAAATCAACATAAACGAATATTTGGTCACTAAAGGTATCAGTGACCAATTTTGATGGTTACGAACTTGGTTTTACCTTTCGGAGTTGAAGGACAAGGTGATAGTTGCCTACCAGTTGAGATAAATTTGACGGACATCTCTTCTTAATTAGTGGGTTGATTTGGCTAAGTTGGAATTAATCCTTGCACTAATCTAAGTAGTTAAAAAGGAAGACTTCAAAAGACGGGCTAGGGTCTGTCCCATATGGCTGATGACTCTGCATGGTAACATGGGCCAACAAAGTGATCTATAGTAGTGGAGGTAAGTAGTGGCTGGAGGAGATGGAGACATTGCAATGCAATTTTCACTTGATGGACATTGCCACATTGGTCAAACCTTGGAATGAGAACTTAATTAACTAAAGAAAGAGATAGAAAGGAAGGGAAAGGGGCATGCAGCCAAGCACCTAGAATGTGCATGGGGAAATTCCAGTTAGGTTCCTTTTGGATTCTTTACCAATTCCATTCCATACCAACCATTTTTCTGTTTGTTAATTCATCCTTCTTTATGTGGTAACACAATTGCATGTTGGCTTGGGTTAGTTAACACTCATGTTTACTTAACCGTATGGTGCAAGCATTTCGATCGGAAAAACTTCTCGTTAAAGTTCAGGCCGATATAACATTTTACTGATATGAATTAGGCAGCGGCGAATCTAGGGGGGCCGCTTCCGGGCCACGGCCCAGCCCTCCCCGAATCCAAAACTCGTATAGTACTTGTAAATTTCCGATTCTGGATATATATTTCAATGTTTATAGGGTTACGGCTCAACCCTCTCCACCGCTTTTTAAATGCGGCCCGCTTTTTAAATGCGGCCCAGTGCTCTAACCTGTTCTGCATTCGCCGCTGAAAATATGTGAAATATATATAATTAAATTACAACCTAATTATAAAATAGACTACCACTAATTTATCTAGTAGAAATGCTATGCGTGGGGCCTATAGGAATGTTTGTGTGGAAGAGAGAATTTCCTTTGTAGGGTTATTTATCCTTTAGATTGCCCTACCAAATGAAAATTTTAAGTTAGATAGAGAAGGAAGGAATGAAGTAAGGGGGCAAGCGTCCAAATGGAAGGACCCAAACGTTGGTGTGCTGACTACCGCGTGGAAATTTTGATGTACTACACAGCCAACCAAATATCAATCCAGATTCGTCTTTGCAGCTATCTCCTTACAGACAACCAGTTTCATCCACTCTTTTTGGATTTTCCACGTTTACTTACTGTAGTCTAATTTAATTTCATTTCATGAGATGAGACGTGGCTGTTAGTGTTGTGGTATATGATCCACGATTGAACCTCTCTCAACAACTCGAGTTATTGGGATCAACTGGTTCTTAACATGGTATCAGAGCTTTCTGTGACCGAGAGGTCTTGTGTTCGATTCCCGGTGACCCCCATTTGTTAAGCACATGGTATTCTTGTCTTCAGACCTGTGCAAACTTCAAGCCCTTGTGAGTGGCTTTCGTTTGAGGGGGCGATACGAAACAGACGAGAGTTAACGTAGTGTGTAATGCGTTTGAGTTAGTATGTAGCCGGGTTTGTTAGTTAATGTGATTATGAACATGAACAATTGAGAAAAATGATCTATCAACTTTGTTATAGTAATGTAAAATCTTGAGTCAATTGGACTATATGTTTAATATTATAGATACAATCATGCATCTTAAACTTTTTTTATATTAATTTAGTTCTAGGCATATTGTGAAACCAACCGAGCAAAAAAGCATTAAGCGGCACCAATGGAAGACATTTGATTTAGCTATATATTTTAGCCTATAATGATTGCGTTAGTTTAATCATGTTGATGAGGCATTATTAAGAGATTCGTAGAAATCCATAATATCGTTCCAGAAAGAACCCACCATGAATGATACCCGGGAGAGCAGAGAATTAATCAATAAAATATTGTGCTTACGTTATCTAAAAACTCATTTTCATTGTAATTAACATTCGTTGTTGTGCAGTTGTCGTCCACAGCCCGATTAAATTAATAACACAAACAAAATGATGATGACCGGCATTTGAATTAATTAATTAATTTTTGGGTGGAAGTGTGTTGTAAGGTCTTATTCATTCTTCCTAACTACTTAACTTGTAATTTAGTGCTCCTTAATCACTCGATTTTAATCTAATCTTATACAAGAATGTCCTGCCTCGCAACTAATCCGATTTAATTGCGATTATAAATCCAGTCTGTGAAGAAGGTCTTGTCTCCCATAGGTATGGAATCTTTGTCCAACCATGTCCATGTGGCAGTGCTTTTTTTTTTTTTTTTTTTGACAAGTCTGTTTAATTTGCCGTCGTGTATAAATCCAGCCCGTCATAAGTTTTAAGCGCGGATCCGCAAGCTCAATGAGAGCCGGCCCAAGCAAACAGAAGTGGGTTTCTATGTATTGGGCTTAGGGAGTCCAACCGGCAGCTGATTAGGCCCGCAATTACTGTAAACGCTTATGATGAGTATTTGGCCCACTAGATTAGAGGTATCGGTGGTCCGCAAATTATGCTGTGGCCCATTTTCGTTTGGGATGTTTTCATGGAGGCCAGTAGAATTGGGCTGAATAAACCTATTTTTTTCCCCTGTTCTTTTGATAATCAAAAGTCAAAACCTAGGTTAGTTGGAGAATAGTTATGCTGCTCGGATCAGTTTTTTAGTGGCTTGTGCGGGGTTGACCACTTGCGTTAATATACGAGGATAAATAATCTATAACAATTTTACGAATCAAATTCAAATAATTGAGCAGCTTGTTATTGGTATGCGTAAATTACTAAATTTTAACTTTATAGGTTGATTTTTGTTTGAGAGAACGCACAAAGTAAATCATATGAATAATTCATTTCGAAGACCTCGGTCAAGTGGTTGAATTATTGAGATGCATTGATTCTATACTATGTGGTGTCATGGGAAGCTATGTTTTTCACTGTGTTGGAGAAAGGGTACAGCAGACATTGAGTGAGCCCTATAAGTTTGGTACTATGAAAGAACCAAAGGGCAAAATCCAATAGAAGCTTTAGGGTACGTACGTGCATAATAATACCCCAACGGGACCTTAAATAAGTGATGGACAAATGAAAAGAGGATCCCCTCTACAAGTTTTTATGATCAATAATCAAAATATCAGAGAGATACCGTAACAACCGGCTTACTCCTAGAATATATTGTACTCAAACGATTTGTTGTTGGGTGTATATTTGTTGTACCTGAAAATCATAATTGTTTATTGCTATTTTTACTACTTAGCGAATAGAGCATTTAGATTTATCCATTAGAGGTTATGATATAATATTATTACGGGTAAATATATTATTACCCAAAACCGGTTTAATTCATGGTCTAGACAGAGATGTCCCACTAGAAGTACTCGGAATATCGTCTATATATATATCAGTATTGATGAATTTGTATTGATGAATTTGGAGTTCCGCTACTATGCTCATAAATATCAGTATTGATGAATTTGTATTCAAGATTTCTATAGAAAAAGAAAAGAACTTTCCAAACATGTCAATTAGAGTTTATAGATGATATTTATCAAAAGAGAAATGTGTATTCCCTAGAAACTGACATATGTAGTTAGTGCATTTTACAAAAAAAGAGAAAAACCAGCATTGATCCTAACATATATATGCAGATACTCATATGATGATAAGAGAACAACAAAAGGGTAAACCCACAAAAGCGATGGTTGCCCACTTGGCTGCAAAACGGTTGGCCGCGTCAAAAAATATAAGGCCTGCAATTGTGCAATTGCAATCTCTATAGAATAATAGGTCACAATCGACGACAAAGAAATTGACTGATGATGATACCAAAAATTTGTGCATGTCAGCCATTAGACACTAAACCCTAATGTCTATTCGCTGATGGAATATGGATTCTACCTATCATAATAGGATTGATGGCAACGAAACTAAATGGTAATGATATAAGATTGATTAATTCTCGTGTATTCCATTCAAACTATATCGATATTCTTCCACTTTATGGGAGTCTTCGATTGAGAGTTTTCACATATTCAAAACCTAATAAGTCCCTGTATTATTATGAATTAACTTACCTACAAGTGATGTTGGATATGTACAACTTTTGAGTTTACGAGTTGAGTTTCATACGAGATCGCAGTACTATTTATGATCTGGTCAAAGTAATCAGAGTAGATAAGATAAAAAATGATAAAAAGCGATAAATGGAGGTCTGGAAGAGATGGAAACCAGATTCAAACGGAGCCGGACATGCAAACGAATAAAGATGATGGGCTCATACGGTACCCTAATGATAGATATGTACAAATTTTAAGCTTATTACGAGCTTACTTTCATTTGAGATCGCGACAACATCTGATGCTATAAACCAAACGAGTCTCATTAACTCGAGTTGTTGGGACAGGTACATATACGATACTTAACCACTTTTCGACATTCCAATTTCCACATGTTCAAAGTAATTTGGGGGAAGAAAAGGAAGAGAGAGAAGTGGAGGAGGGAGAGTGGAACTAGATTCGAAGGGAGCTAGACATGCAAATGGATAGAGAGGGTCGGCTCGAACCCTATCATTGGCGTCTCACAAGTGGTAAATTGATATATATTGGTGACAGACAGCCAAACATCATTTTAGTGCTTTCTTTTTTGTTGTTTTGGCATTTTGTCGCTCTCTTTTCTTTCACCAAAATGCATAGGAATTGTCCTTCCTTCTTCAGGACCCCCACCTCCCAGTGAAAATGACTCTTCCCTGCTATGAAGCCCCGTGGGAAGAAAAAAAAAAAGCCAGTGATGATGAATAGCATTCCAGGTGTGGAGAGCGATGGAGCACTTCATAGCCCATTTATTTGCATTTATATGTGGGAATGATAATATGCATCACGTCCTGAATTCAAATGTTTGGAGTAAAAAATCATCATCATGATAAAATGCATATTCAGGATAACTAATTACTAATCCAGTTAAGACTTCAGCGGATTCCTACCTGAATGTAAATTCACCGTCCAAATAGGAAAGTGGATTAATTTGGTCGTATTATCATATCATGTTGTATGCTTCTTAGATAGAACACAAAGTGTGTCAAGAACCAGTGGATCCCAATAACTCGAGTTGTTGGGAGAGGTTCAATCGTGGATCATATACCACAACACTAACACACGCGTCCCCTCAAACGAAAACCACTCACAAGGGCGCTTGAAGTTTTGCACGGGTGCTGAAGACTAAGAATACCACGTGCTTAACAAATGGGGGGTCACCGGGAATCGAACACAAGACCTCTCGGTCACAGAAGGCTGTGGTACCATGTCGAGAACCAGTTGCTCTCAATAACTCGAGTCGTTGAGAGAGATTCAATCGTGGATCATACATATCAGCAGTAATACCACAACACTGACATACGCCCCGCCTCAAACGAAAGTCATTCATAAGGACGTGAAATTTGCACATGTCTGAAGATAAGAATACCATGTGCTTAACAAATGTGCCCTACGAAAGGCTACAACTACTACGTACGTACCGAGTCCCCCATGTACGTATTAAACTACGTACACTCACTTCATTAGTATTAAGAAAAAAACAACAACAATACACCATATCTCCTTTTGTCTTTTCTTTTTCACTCCATCTATCTAGCTAATAGTTATAGCTCCTTTCGTCTGTGGTCCTTCCCTCGATGCACTATTTAGCAGCCAAGCCTCTCCCTCCCCACGCGTCTCATTTTTTTGTTTCTTCCATATAGCCCTTTTGGCCTTTTGCTCTGTGTCCTCTTTTTCACCCTTTATGGCGAGGGCACTGGAGGCTGCCGGGAAGAGGAGCCTGAAAGAGATAGAGGACGAAGACGACGACGACCTGTCGGCGGCGGCCGACGAAGCACAGCTCCTGGGTCAGTTCGGGGTCGACGTTGTGGTGGACAAGAAGATGAAGAAGGGCAAGAAAGTTGGAGCCGCGAGTAGTTCCTCCGCCGCCGCCGGCGGCGGAGGAGGAGGTGGGTCATTAATGTCGCCGGCGGTTAGCTGCCAGGCGGAGAACTGCAGCTCCGACATGGCCGGGGCGAGGAGGTATCACCGGAGGCATAAGGTGTGCGAGGTCCACGCTAGGGCTCCCGTCGTGCTTGTTGCTGGAACCCATCAGCGCTTCTGCCAGCAATGCAGCAGGTTATAATTCATTCATTTTTTTGTTTTGTTAAGTAAAATCTATTTTTATTTTATTTGTTTATATTGGTACATCGTACTGGACCACGCATATTTACTTTGCTTTTTTTTTTTTTTTTTTTGTCGTGAGCGATTCAAACACAAAACCTCGACAGCAAAATTGTTGGTCCAGAGTTGTTGGCTATGATTTTGGGTGTGGTTATGCCTTGGAGGGTTATTCATTATGTGAGAAAATGTTGTTCAAGAAAGGTAAGGAATGATAGATTATGAAGATTAAGTGATTAACTATGTACTACCCAAAAATCAATAGCTACTAGCTAGTATTACATTAATATATGTAGCTATGTCACTAGCTAGCTATGAACAACTACTATAACACATTTTAACACCCCAAAACATTTGATTAGTGATCATAAAGACGAGGAAATATCCATTAAGTTGTCTTCAAATGTTTGGAATTAATAATCAATATGAAGAAGAAGAAGAAGAAAAAAAAAACATTCTGACATTTTGAATTTTTCCCCTCGAGAAAGTTGGGTTAGGGAGAGAGGATTTTTCTGGAATGGGGATAACTTGACACTAACTCAAGTGGCAAACTATGAACTATGGCATTAAAATAAGTAGGGAATTTTTCTTCTTCTTTGTTTCCTTCACCAAAATTATGAGGAAAAAAAATTATAAAAGGTACTAAATTCACCGGAAGAAGATTTCATATTTGAATCTAATGGTTTTATGTTCGAATCTAGTGATCTCTGTTTAGTTTATATCTTCCATTAGAGTTAGAATTTGAATATATTACTGTATTGCCTAATAGGTAAACTAGATGCCATCTTTCACTAGTAATTACCCCCTGTCCTTTCTTTCCAAACCATGTGAATTATTAGTTCAAAGACAATGAAACCAACAAGAACTGAGGAAAATCGTACAGTACCAACGTAGGACGAATTGTACATGTTTGTGTGTTACAGAAATTATATGCATGAAGTTGGGCCGAGTACTCCCAACAGCAGCAGTACCAGACATTTTGGCTGTTTCCCCTGTTGTTACCACAGTTACTTTCCTGTCTTTCACTGTTCATTTTTTCACTTGTGATCCTAGCAACTTGAGGATCATGATGATTGAAGATTTGAAGTGAAGCTTCTGGTAAATCTGGTGCAGGTTCCACGAGTTGTCGGAGTTCGACGACACCAAAAAGAGCTGCAGGAGGCGTCTGGCCGGCCACAACGAACGCCGCCGGAAAAGCTCGACTGAAGGGTACAATTGAGCTCAATCCCCAGTTCCCACCACCACCACCACCACCATCTATGCATTAGTATGCCCTACCTAATCTGCCTGAAATTGGCCAGTAATAAGTTGCTCTCTCTCTTCTGTCAAGTCACCTACAATCCTTAGTCCCTAATCTGCATTTGGGAATTTGTATCTAATAATGTATGCAAGCTTGTTTTCACAATGTAATTAGTGGCATTCCAATGCCTTATTCCAAACCCAGACGACTGTTTTGCAGTTAGAATCTGGGAACTGAGTGATATCTATCTCCTGTACCTTTTCCTGCAAAATACTGAAGCCGAAAGACCATAAATAATGCACTAGTTTAGGCAATTAAGTGGCGAAGAGCAGAACTTGCAGGCTTAAAGAATGCAGCATGTAGTTAATCAATGGGTCTAAGAACCCCGCTGCTGAAAAATGGTACAGAAGTTTTGTCCAGAATCAGTGGTTTTAAACTGCTACTCAATGCAATCAGGGATCATGTTCAAATGCTGGTACTTGATACAATCAGGGATCGTCTTCGAATGCTAGTTCAGTCTAAGTCAGAGTCGTTTAATATTTGGTCGTCGATTGTCTTCTTAGTCGCGATTGATCCCCAACATCTTCATGGCTAGCTCCCAGGTGACTATTGCAGCAGCATTGGCAGGGAATGCTCTCACAATTGTGGGGCCCAAACCTGTGTAGCATCCTTTCACCCCATTGCTCCTGTAGATCTGCATTAAAGAGAGAGAGAGATACACTTAGTAGGTCATGCTGATAAAAAATTAATTGTTACTGCATCACAAGTTTTCCAAACGGATAGGTGGGCATGGCATCTTACTGCATTCAAGACTTTGAATGGATTCCTCGTTGAGTTGTTGTCTGGTGAAGTTTGGATGATGGTTTTCGCCACATCAAGTGGCAGCACAACAGACCAGAACTGCGAAATTTGAAGTGAATCAACCATACTAGACAGGTCCTTGGAATTTGAGAGAAATGCAGAGGTTCAAAGTGCATACCGCTACACCACCAAGTCCTCCGGTTACGATTCCAATCCCCATGTCCATCACATTGCTGCGATTGGAAGAATCGCCCTTCAGGTGTCTGTGCATGTAATAACGGACATACTCATAGACACTGAAAAATACAGCATTTCCAACAGCTTCTCTCATTAATGTAGTCAGACCCCCACGAAATATACCCGTAACCTACAAGAGATTCTCTGTGTCATGCCAGCTGAACATTACAAACAAAGTTGCCAATGCAGAGCATATATTTTTAACTTACTCCATCTTTTTTCACTGTTTCAATTGCACAATCTAGAGGACTACTGTATCTGCTGAGCTTTGGAACCAAGGAGTCTGCCCCTTGAACTTGCATCCTACACTGGAGAATTTTGATTTCAGTCCTAGCTCAGAGCAATAGCAGGTAACGAGTTCAACAACAGAGAAAAGTGGGTACAAGCAACCTGCCTTGACTAGCTCGGATGGACATAATATGAAACTGATAATTGATCCACCGTAAGCTGCAGAGGGGATTATTACTCGAGGCTGAGGTTTATCGGTTTGCACTCCTTTCTTCACAAGTAATCAAATCAAAGCATCAAGACACAATCATAATCTCGACCGAATAAAATAAACATTCAAGATCAATGCTGCATTTCATACGGACCTGCAGGGACTGCTTTGTCCGTGAATAAATGCCGAAAAGAAGTGAACTTTCAACTGCTACCCCTACAAAAGATGAAGTCGCTCCTCTATACAGTCCTTTAACCTGTTGAAAAGATCACTAATCAAGGATCTTTCAATCAAAAGGAAGGATTCTGATCCAGAAGTTATAGGCACAGGTATGATAAGGTACTCCAATCAAAGCACAGGCATAGAAGAGAATAAGACTAAATCAAATGGCAGAACTTGAAAAGTAAAATATACAGAACATATTGAATCAACATTGTGGCTCACAAGAGAATGCAAGAAGAGATACATACTCCTTCCGTCTGTAATATCCTAGCCGAACAATCCCAACCATTCCTGTACTTTATCCCGTGAGTTTCAGTGTTGTGCTTCTGCAGCTTCACCTAATAAAAGATAAACCACAGCGGAAAGAAAAGACTTCCAACATCAGATAGCAAGGGAAACCCAGCAATCAACCCCACCTAAAGACCCACAGAACAACTGGAACTACGCAAAAGATAGAAAATTGAAAAACATTCATCAAACGTTTATATACAAAAAAATGCCCGCCAAATGCTTGTGAAAATGACAGACAAATAAAGGCTACTCAAAACAGAGTTCTGACATTAACCCAGAGGAATTCCCAGAAACTGGCGTACCTTGACCGTGTCGAAGGGATGGCCGATCATTACGGTGGCGACGCCGGCGAGCAAACCAGCTACGTATTCCTTGTAAGCGGAATTACTCTGCTCCGTCGCCATTATTCCAACCTTCCAACAACAAAATTGACCGCCGCTCTGCTTTGTGTACTCGTCTCCAGTAAACCCTTAAACCCTCTCAATTAGGTAGTGGGCATAGTCACCACTCACCTTCTGCGACTGAAATTTCTTGGGGATGAATCGATCCGATCACAGAAATGAAGAGCTTGATTTTGATTATTAAAAGGGAAGAAACGCAGATGAGACAAAATGATAATGTTTTCTGAAGAAGTGGGTCTGTCTGAGTGGGAAGCTTTGAGTCTTTAGCTGGTCTTTGTTTGTGATTTTCCGTTCAGTCGTTAACCTTTCGGCTTCCCTAATAGCTTTTCCAGTTTTTCTCTATACTTTAGTCTATAGCCTTCCCTCCAATAAAAAGCCACCTAAATTTAAGTCCAATACCCGTTTTGATATTCTATTATAATCAATTTACATACGAGTCCCTAACTAGTAACTAGTAAACTATGCGTCTGTCTATACTTCGTTTAGACTGGGAAATGTGATGACAAAGATGGTGCCACTGTTTGGTTGGTCATACATCAGTACAATGGACAGTATCATTGCCAATCGATACATTCATCTAATCGTGCCAACGAAATACAACATCGTGTTATTGAAAACGTCGATTCGTTTCAGATTGCTATCGGTATATGTTCATAGCTTGCTGGGAAGATGGATGGACTCATTTGTACTGCTGCTGCTACCAACCTTACCAAGCTGAGTAGCAGCTACTGGCCTTCTCAAAACCTCGTCCCTTTCCGCTAGGAACTTAGCGAACTTAGAGCCCTTCCCGGACTTCTTTAGTGAATCCTGAATATTGTTCAGGGGCAGGGGAAGACTCGGCAGCAGCTCTGGTTTAGGCATCGGGGAGATTGGGGGCAACAACGACCATACTGAAGAAAGGTCGTCGTTCGGTTGGTCCAGCTGCTTCAGAAGCATAATGTCCTGCATATCTGGAGTAAGAAGGAAGTGAGCGGCTTGTTAGGAGAGTTGATCCGAGTGTTCCCTTTCATCTCCGATGTTGATCCGACACCAATGCTCAAGGTATCGAGGGAGATAGATGAGGTGACAAACCTTTGGAGAACTCGAAAATTGGAGCCAGGGCTGCACAAGGAATGCTGAAGTTGAGATGTGGTATAACTGTGCCTCTGCCATGCCTTGTGTTGCTGTGTCCAAAAATGACATCAGAAAACCAAAATACTCAGCCGAAGTGAAGAGAAACTAATAGAGAACTAAAACTGCTGACATGCAAAGAATACCATTCTCCTTCTAGATGAGATTGGTTGCTAATTCATTCAGATATTCCTACTGTCTTGTGTATAAGCAAACGTTTCTCGCAAGTATACTATGAATAAATGTCATCCTTTAATAGTCCGAATTTCCTACAGCTGAGTGCTGACTTATAAAAAGCGGGAAACAAGTTTTTCACCATTTTACATCACTATCAAAGGAAGTCCCACTGTGCAAAACCTCGATGATCATGAGAAGCTGAGAAAACCTCCCAGTGTGATTTATGTACCTTGTAACAAGTCCAATCATTTGGCCTTCTGAGTTAACGACAGCACCACCGCTGCCACCAGGGTGTACAGCAGCTGTGGTTTCAAGCATTGCTGGAATCTGTGAATCCTTTCCATGAGATCGATCGTAAGAAGTTGCCTTTGATCTCACTATTTTTGCTACAACTCCGGAGCAAACAGAGGGAGAAAACCCTGCAAAATAGTAGAAAAAGAAAAACTATAACTCTTGAAATTGGTCCATGCAACATAAACATTAAATTCACGAGTATAGAAAAGAACACAAGAAGCAGACTTGCAGATTAGTGCTGGACTAGATCCCATTAAGAGTAGTGGCAACCCATAAAATGCACTCCATGGAGGAGTATACCAATTAGACCAATAATGTTTCAGGCATTGTATAAGAGAAGGAAAGACAACTTTTAACCAAGACATGAGAGGAAGCAAAGATCTGTACCACATTTCGGGCCAAATAAAGCATGCCCAATCACATATGCCTTCGATCCCAAAGCTGGGCACGAAAGATCCACACTGATTGGGCTGATATGAGCTGGAACATTTTCAAGCTGCAATAGGGCAACATCCAAGGGGCCCCTACTTATATATACTACTTTAGCGGAGCACCAAATCAATGGATCAACATGGTCTAAGCGAACACGTATAGTTTGATGCTCTTTGAAGGAAAAATTCGATCCACGTGAAGGATCCACTAAAGCTTCTTGTGTATTCAGAAACCCCCTATTATTCTTCTGGTAGACATCTTCTCTAGACAGATGACAAGGAATAATCTCCGATCCGATCTCATTTCCACCACCACTAACGGTAGTTCTTCCAAACCTCCAAGGCTCCAACAAGTGTGCATTTGTGAGTACTAAGCCTTGCTCATTAAGCAGCACTCCTGATGCCCATACACCTTCGCCCATGGTGACGAGACAAATAGAAGGCATCGCCTTCTCTACAGGCACCAGTGAAGGTACAGCTGAGTCATGATTGTGTACTACCCCTACAGCATTCAAGTTTCCCTTATTAATATGAACCTCTTTATCTGCTGCTGCATTTTCAGGCTCCTTCAGCAGCAAGTCAATGCAAGCACTTGCAATGGCTTCCCACGGAATCACCAGCTGTTTACCCAAGGCTAGATTTGTGGGATCCAGTAACAAACCAGAATTCAAAGAAATGTAGCACAAAAATGACATCCTGTCAAGTTACCTGAATTTCTGCACCAGTACTCTTTTGCCTCAATGGACTAATCAAGATTCCAATAAAACGTCCATACTTATCAAAAGCTGGACCACCTTCAGTACCTGGAATATTAAGTTGAAACTGGGGTGAGGATTGAGTACCAGGGTATGATATGAACAGTAAAAGAGTCATTAGAGATAATCACCAGGAAGACAGCGGATGTCAGCCATTAGCAATGATGTCTTAGGTGATCTGGGTGGATGATAATAATTGGCAATGGATCCCACTGAAATGCTGCGTCAAGTATCACAAGACAACTCAGACCAAATAAGAGTTGACAAAAGTGACAGATACTTCTTCTTTTTAACCGTCTGACAAAAGATAGTAGAGATCCTACAGCATGCAGCAGTGCATTTGAGGGGAGAACAGCCAGCCACCCTTTTACTCAATTGAAATTAGGTGCTTCAAACTGCATATCATTGCTATACTTGTGAAGTTTAAGCACAAATTATGACCCTCAGACCAAAGAAGTAGAAACAACAGAAATTCCACAATTAAACAAGAACAACACTCTAGTCCTCAATTTTCCCTAGCAGCCATGACAGCAAAACAAATTCAAATATCAAAGCTTGGTCCCAATAGGATATGGAGCTTATCACGTCAATTTAACTCCCACTACTGAATATGGTAACAATAAACGATAGCAAAGAAAGCAAAACAGACCTGTTAAAGAAATGCAATGGTGACATGATACCAAAGGGGGAACCCATGGCTAAGAGGAAGTCTCCCCTTTTAGTCAATGCTGCTACAGGGACACGAGGAAGATTCTGAAGAAAATGTGTACAGCAGATATTAATTGCCTGAAGTTGTACTACAAAAACTGAATTTGTATCCAAAGATATTTCATCACCAGGGGACTTATTTACCTTCAGCAGGGGGATCCCCAGAACAGCAAGTCTAGTAATCGACCTACTCATATTGGTAGGACTCCTATATTCCTTGGTTTCCGAATGACTTTCAAGCATAGATGAATTAGGAGACTTCCCATAGGGCTTAGGACCGCTATCCTGAGATGCAAGGGACCAACCAGTCTCCCAACCATGGTGTGGTGAGCCTGAAGAAGCTTCAATGAGCGATTGGAGGGCCATGGAAGAAGCTGGAACATCAACCTTTATAATAAACCATTCAGCAACTGTAGAGCATCCCCATTCATGTAACAAAACTTAAGTAAAGAATATACGCCCATAACGGATAGAAAGAACTCTCAATTCAACTGTAGCAGCAACAATCTACTTCCCAATAAAATGGCCTACAAGATTAAGTACTTACCAATCTCAAAAGCTCTGCACAAATCCAACGAGAATCTCCATCTTCAACCGCATCGACACGTTCTTCCAACTCCAACATAAACTGAGGATTACTAGCAATGTATCAATCTCATTATCCAATTCATATAAAAAACTCTTAAAGCAGCAGCTCAATCTCACACACCTCTAACATAACATCGATTTTAGCTTCAGGAATCAGATCAGGTAAGCCCTGTTCAATACACCGAGCACCATCCAAAAGAAGATGTTAGAAACAACTAATTCTGCTAACATAGAACCTAATACAATCACGTATCTCTGCAAATCACAGTAACTTCAACCTGAGAAGTAGTTTGCCTATGGTGCGCCGCCACAAAAGCCTCGATAACAGAAGCGACCGTGAGGAGCAGAGCTCCGCCCCGCCTATCGGCGCCCGGCAGAATCCGGCTGGCCGCGTCAGCATCAAAAAAGGCCTCCGGCAACAGCACAGCCGAAGCCGAAAGCGTAGTTATACCAGAACTACATATTCCAAGGAAATGAATGACAATCAATGAAAACAGGAGGAGCGAGAAACCGAATATGCAAACAAGCAGAAACTACTTCTTGAAGCCTTAACAGCTCACCTGTAGTGGTGAAAAGCCTGATTTCGCAGCTTCCGCCCATGAGGATCCTAAAGAAGATTCAAGAACCAAGGAAACGGCATGAATTGAAGGAATTACAGTACATCTTCATCGGAAAACTGTCACAAAGAGGAAGGAAGAAGCAACAGCGCGCTTACAGGTCCAGAGACTCTGACCATAGCGGCCAACCTCCCCCCGGAATCCACAATTTCCGGCAAGTTCATGACTGCGGGAAGCTGAAAACGAAACTGATCAACAGGGAAGAGTTCAAGGCAACTCGTATTGGCGATGATATCCAGAAGCGGATGCAGGGGATGACTTTCAGTAACTGAAGACGAATTTCGAGGCAAAGACGTCAGCGCAGAACGACGCCGCACAGCCTCGACAGCTTGCACTCGACAGAATTGCGACGGTCGCCGGAGAAATTAAGCAGGACCTAAATCAGAGACGCCGATCTGCAGAGAACCTGCCGGCGGCCGCATCGATCATTTGGAGAAGACCACGCGTCCCCCGCAGTGTCAAAAATCAGACGGAGAAACATTTCTCCGGACTCGCGCGCTACCGCTGCCAAGCGAAGACGACCCCGAATTCATTTCGATCGAAGTCGGGGGTAAACGGGTAGACAATGGTAAGACGACACGTTAATTGTGAGAGAGCTATTGAGCGGCTCTGAAAGCCCATGGTATATCAGAATTGGAAGGCCCACGGAACCTTTACAGGCTTATTCCTTTAGGCCATATATGGTTAAACGGTTCGATGTCCAGGCCCACGAAAGGCTTATCACAAAATAGTGAAAGCCCAAGCGAACAAAAACAATTGAGGACCCAAAACCCAATACTATATTCCAGTTCCACCCACCAACCTTGATGAAAACTTTTACCCACTTAAGTTAGCTAATGATTAATTAACTCAACCCAACCCATCATTATGAGTACCATCTAGTGTATGTATGAATTGGGGGTGGGATGGTATGCTAACCCCATACCTCGTTAGCACTTGCTAACCCCAAAAACGCTATACACGTATTCATACAAACACTACACATGTATTATTAAAAACAACTACTACCAATATATTGCACCTTAATATTGACGAAACTACATAGTATGACCAGAAACACTACCATGACTGCACATCAAACTACTGCAGATCCTACATATTAACAACACAGGCGATCAATAAAAAATGACTACCAAAAACTTCCATACAAAAACACAACCACGACTATTAGGACGGTGCTAACCCCTATAGGATTAGCACCGTAGCTTGTCCCTGTAATTATCTCCACCAAAACCCATCGTTATGGTACCCACAGGTTCGGCTTTCCAAGGCAGGTTGGACTTATTCGAGTTCGTCGGGTCACATGCTGAGTGTTGACTCACGTCGCTGGCTATTTGGTCCGGACTGTTTGGTTTTACCTAAAACCGAACTGTATAACTCGGATCTGGATCGGACTGAAACCGGATAGCAAACAATCCAATCTCATATTCGGGCTTAAATTTGAGGTAAAAAAACTCGGATAAAGACCGGATAAGAGACCCCCAACACCTAAAATCAAGATCAATTTGGGACCGGACCGGATCAACACCCAACTGTATCCAATCCAATCTTTGATCCTTATATTCCAGAAAAGACCGGACTGGAACCGGATCAATTTGGTCCAATTTAACCGGATCGGACTGTATAGTTACCCCTATATACGTGTCCCTTATCCAAATCACACCATCCACCTCATCATCATGTACGTTGTCGTATTAGTGGATAGATCATCTATTACTCTCATAGAGATAAGAGACATGACCGTAAAACTGAATCCTCCTCTACTCCCATCACTTTGATGAACAGTATGTACCTCAGACCAGTGCCTGAAACTGGATGAACTTTGACAAATACGACTGGGACAAAGCGTACAGGACAGAAATCGGCAAAAGCTTCATTATAGTAATATTAATAGTACGTCGTAGCTAGTAGTAGTAGTAGTACAACATAGTGACTGGTCATGGAACAAAGCATATCAAAGAAAACCATAAAAAAAAGCTCGAAAGTCTTTCTTCCCCGATCGACGGGGAAGAAGAATACAGAGACGAGAAACGGCGGGTAATAAAACGGCAACACCACCTCCCACAAAACGGCTTTATTTATATACTTCACGGACGGGCTCTCTCAGTTAATAACGTTTTTCATCATTTGTATATATATTAATTATAGTAATCTTGCCACGACGACGATCGACGACACGTCAATATTCCTCCCTCCATCATCTACCGATGCTTGCTCCTCGTGTCCCCGCTGTAAAGCCTGCCCACCATCACCAGAACGACACAGTTTCATTAATATAGATTCGGATTTGCCGGAAATGTAGTCAACATCGTGATTCTATACGTAGAAACATTTTCGTGATGTAAGTTTTCGAACTTTAAAGTGTTTGAGTACCATTGTAGGTGAAATGCGTGTTTTTTCTGCGTAGACGTGTTCGGATACAAAAGATTTTTAAAACGCAATTTTGATATGAGTCTTATGTGATCGTTGGACGTACCAGTCGTAGACGGTGGGAGAGTTGGGCTGGGACGGGCGGTCGTAGAGCTCATGAGCGCCGATGGACCTGGTGGCGAGGTTGCTCCCGGGATTGAAAACGCTCCTCCACACGTTCTCCTTGGGGACGGATCCCGGCGTGCCGGGCGTCCCTGGAGTCACCGGCGTCGAGGGGCTCGCCGGCATCGACAGCGACTTCCCGAACTTGGTAGTGCTCACCCCTTCCCCCTCTACAACCGCAACAACAGTACATATATGAACCCACACAAACCTAAAACAGCAAGTTTATAAGGTGTGATCAAGGAAATTTAGTAGTGGTTTGATTCTTTTACCGACGTTGAGGGGCTTGGTGCCGATCCTCCTGAGCCGGCCCAGGCCGCGATCGGGCTGAGGCCCGGCCAGGACGTCGTCCCACATGTTATCCAGCAGAACCATGGCTTCGTTTCTTTCTTCTTCTTGTTCTTTCTTCTTCTTCTTTTTTTAGTGTGGTGGCGAAGTGGGTTCTTTTGGGGTGAAATATATAGAGGCTGTTGAGGAGCTAAAATATCTAGACTAGACAGGTTTGTCTATTTACAGTGGGGTGAAAAAATGGGAGATGTGGTGAAACTTGAAAGAGAAGAGGATGGATAAGGATGAAAGGACGTGGGGGAAGGCGACTGAGTAGGAGATGGGACCCGCGGGAAAAATATCTTCTTTCTTTTTTACGAACTAGGGTTTGGTGGTTTGCGTGACAAGTGTAGCGAGTTTGCCTGATTATGTGAGTCCGTTTGTCCTATTCTCTGGACAAATCTGGGGTCTCCACCTCGATTCATTAAAGTGTTGGAGGGAATGGTAGTGATTGTATGCGGGAGGATCTATCGTAGAGCTAGAATCGTAGGCACGATCGTGTCGTACACGTGCTTTCTTCAGTTCTCTTGATCCGTTGATCGATTAATTGCATGCAATGCAATGGGGGATCGGTTAGCTTGACTACCCCTAAAGGGGTAGTGATTTTTGACACCCCCTTTATGATTGGTCAATTCTATTTCCAATCATTGGCAAGTATTAATTAAACTGGTTTTTTATTTTTTTTAATCTTGTAATTTGGGGTCTCTCACCACATTGGAAAAGAGAAAGAATCTGGGGAAAAACGAAATCACCCCCATTAATTACATAATTAATTTCTCTCACTGGTACATTAATTACACATACCACTCTACTGGTACACGTACCACTCCACTGGTACACGTACCAGTGGAGTGGTACGTGTACTAGTGGAGTGGTACGTGTACCAGTGGAGTGGTATTTGTATCATTGAAGTGGTACTGCATTGTTGCTCCGTTATTGTTTATCATTGTTATGAAAAATATCATTGCACTGGTATTGTTCTCACTCTAACCTACCTTGTGGATTGCTCGCACCAGTGGAGTGGTACGTGTACCAGTGGAGTGGTACGTGTACCAGTAGAGTGGTACGTGTAATTAATGTACCAGTGAGAGAAATTAATTATGTAATTAATGGGGGTGATTTCGTTTTTTCCCAGATTCTTTCTCTTTTCCAATGTGGTGAGAGACCCCAAATTACAAGATTAAAAAAAATAAAAAATCAGTTTAATTAATACTTGCCAATGATTGGAAATAAAATTGGCCAATCATAAAGGGGGTGTCAAAAATCACTACCCCTTTAGGGGTTAGCATAGTATCCTACCCCCATGCAATGGCGTTTCGCAAAAATTGAAATTTGATCGAATACTCGGGCTGATTCCGTGGACATATTTGGATGGGTTCATCGGCTATAGAGGAGTTGGGCCTTGCTGGAAAAGCCCATAAAAGGGAACATAAATAACAGACAGCACCAAAGTGGCAAAGTCGGCCCACAACCAATTCATCATCCAAACACACTTCCAAAGCAAAATCAATACATTTCGTTGTCTGTCTAGCTTCGCAGAAACACCTTGTTTTTGCAAACAATTTCGACCACACCTGCTCGACGCGCGACATGTTCTTACCGTCTTGTGCTGGTATTACCATCCTGCATTCCCTGATTCTGAACTCGCGTACTATCTCGAATCTCTCTCAAGACGTCCATCATGTTTCCACTCGTGTTCCACACGAGTATTGACCGCTGTCCTGACAGCATTGGCCGGCAGGCAGTGGTAACTAGGTACCTGACCCTCCTCATCGGAACTAACGTTACTCCGTAGCGCGTAAGATTATTGTTGTCACACTTGTTGAATCACATGGCTTCCAACATTCAGAACCTGCAGCTGAGACCAAACACAAAGTACAAACTCTGTTAAGGAGAAGTAACCACACAGCAAGTTCCAAGCAACACCCCCAATATCCCTTTAAAAAAACCTCACAATCAACATTGTCATCGCGCCCATTGTGCAACACCACAGCACAACCTTATTTGCAACAAATCAAAAAGTTCAAAAGGAAGAGGGGGAAAAAAAACAGGAATTCAACCTTAAATTTAGCTTGAATTTCCAGTGTAAAATATTTGAAGCGTCAATTTTGTTTGAACAAGTCTGTTCATTGATTTTCTGGACATGAAGAGCGACCACCGAGCGCCGGTCGTGGAATTGTTTCTTCTTCCGCATTGCCAGGCTCATAGGGATATTCACCGTCGCATTTTACGAGGTAGATTCTAATATTATTCTACTGACCAATAACGACTTCGGGTAAAATATATATAATATAAAGGAGATTCCAATGGACACCATTGTTGTACCTTTGACAGCATAATCCGCCCAGCAAATGCGCGAACGAACGAGTAATCCCCTGCCCCTGGTATCGTCACAGCCACCAGCAGACAAAAGCTCTGCTCCAAAGCTTCGAATTGCCGATGATCCCAACCACGCCTGTCGTCTTGTCTTCTTCCTTGAGAAACAAGGGACGGTCATGCACATAATCAGACAACAAGACCGAGTTTTGCTCTTCATTAAACAATCCGGGAAGAAATGCTAGCCAGCCTATAGAACAACAGACAGCACACGCACCGGGAAACGGAAAGCTTCACCTTCTTCACCTATATATATGTGTGCGTGAAAAGGCTCGAGGATGCAGTCTTGTGACAGGAAAAAAACAATGGCCCCACTCAGGCGGAACAAGGTAGCTCTGGATGCTGCGGCAGATTCGGAGTCGAGGAAGTCTCTATCCTTTGCTGGCCTGCTGTCGATTCAAGACCAGCAACCTGGAAATCAAGATTGTCAAATGAATAAGAAGACGACGAAGAAGAAGCAGCTTGATGAAGAGTTTGAGTTCAGCACCGTGGGAGAGCCAGCTGGTGGCGGCCGTAATCCGAGCAACGTGCCTGTGTCCATCTCAGCTGGGACAGCGACCCAGAAGCCTGCTGCCGTCGACATTGTTCTGATTTGCAGTGACAAGAAACCACCACCTCAGAAGAGCAATACCAATGAAAGGAAAGTGGGGGAAAAGAACAAGAAGAAGAGGTCATCGGGCCGGAGTGTGTTCCGGTCCTTCCTCTCCCCGTGCCAGGATTGCCGCACACAGAACTCCGTCGTCCAAGTTGCAGTAAGATGAGGACACAGTTTTCCTGCACTCTTTTCTTCCAACTCAGCATGGATGTTCGTATTAACTTAGAGCCCTATACATACAGGGATTATATTTTATAGATACGATGAGCATATAAGAAAGAAGTATAACAAGCTTTTGAGCTTGGCCTTTTACTATTTAGCTTGGGATGAAGCATGCTTGACAGTAACATTTGCATCTGTGAAAACTATAGACACTACTGGTTTCCCTTCTCCTATTTGTTTCAAATCTTCATGTTTGAAGTGAGCAATAGAAATAGGTCTATGCACAGAGAAAGGAAATTATTTCACTGCCTAGCTCTTATCAGCCAAAACCAAATTCCTAGGAAATTCATGAACTAGCACACTGATTGCATACTGAAGATTCTACAATGATTCCACATAGCAAGCAAACGAACTACGACAGGCATTTGATGAGATTAAAATGTAAAGAACTCTATTATCAAGTAAGCCAGGAATGATATTGCTTAAAGAGATTAAGCAGATCCTGTATAAGAACTCAGTATCTGAAACTATATACACATCTACAAACAATTATGGCAAAGAAATAAACCTACAAGCAAACTGTTCAAACGAAACCAAAAACAAAGTAACCAAAGAAAAGTTAACCTGCAATCTTGTACTTCCAGTAAGCGAGCTCGAAACTGTTCAGGAAGCTTTTGAAATTCCCCAGCAAACTGAATACTAGCAAATTTATGCAATTCCATTACATAGCGGGATATGCCCATGTTAATCCATAAATATGTAAACAAATTTGGTTTCCATCTTTCTTTCTCCGTAGTTCATAGCATTCCTTTTAGAGTTTCAGATTCAAAATGGCAGACAATCTTTACAGACTGCTGCTGTATTTCGAAACCAGAAATGCAATAAAACATCTCACAAACCGAAGTTATAGACAGGATTCGAGGAGACTTCGATGGACCTCTGAACCTAGGTAAAGCCAGAAGCGATACTGCACAACATTTGAAAATGGTTCAAAACAAAGACCCCCGGATTTGAAAGTACTCCCTCCCTTGAACAAAATGAAACAATTTGTATGATCTGCAGTACATCGCAAAACAAATTGTAAATCGTAAACTCTGTCGAGCTCTAGTTATGCAGAAGCAAAAGGGTAGAGGTCAAAGATGGTTGCTCAAACAATAAACACACTCTTCAGCTGGATTTCAAGAAGAAACTAATTTGTTTACAGAAGCAACACTTTTGAGCAAACCTGGATTTTTAAATTTCACTAGATTCGTATCAACATGAGTGTGCACTGCAATAAGTAGGCCTGAAAGCACAGTTAATTTCAATTTTCACTGTCCCAAGAACTGGAAACTGAGATTTCATTGTCCCGGAAAAAGCCTTCACATCCTACTGATGTATTTCAACACTAGATCTCTGGGAACTGTACATTCGGAAGAGTCCCACTCCGACTACCATCATCTCAAGATTTTCCATACCTAGAAGAATATCCCTGCAAAACGAAACATATAACATTAAATGCTAAGCACAGGCAAATGCACATAAAAATGCATAAATTTTCCTCCTAGAACCCGCCTTTCCCCAAAACAGAAAGCTCACCTCCACAAGTTTTGCAATCTTTGTGCGTGAAAAATGAAGATAATGTTTAATTGACTCCGAAGTAGTTGGCATTTGATGGGATTGCATGGTACTGAGAACCTTCTCAACTGACTTTCTAACTATAGTGTTGTGTGCATCCTTACTTAGATGGCCTTCGCGCCATATTGGTTTCAGTAATTCTTTAACATAATCAATAAGAGCAGCGCGGAAGTGTCTTGGGGATTTTGATTCTTTCTGCACTTCCTGATCCATCTTTCCCCCATCATCCAAGTTATCCGCCGTAAAGTTATTTCTGCATCTCGACCCATCACTTCCAGGCTTTTCATCAACATCTAACTGATTACTAACAGATGCAATTTCTTCTTTCGGCATAGTGCCACTATGATCATCAGCCAAACCAACATCAATATCCATCACTTCTCCTCCACTTTTGTTGAAGATATCTTTTTCAGGTGGACCGCCATTATTAGCTGACGAACTCCCATGGAACCTGCTATCAAAAGGTACAGAACTCTTGTCGCCATTTGGGAAGGAAGCACCATTTGTTGGTTGACGTGAAGCTTTCTGGGAAGAGATCCTGTTGCTAATAAAAGAGAATTTAAAAGATTTGTCTACCCCACTATGCACTACATTGCTATCACGTAAGGGATCATATTGCCTTCCTGGGGATGACACGACAGGCATTATGATGAAAGATGGCTGGAAAGGCACAGATGGTTCCCAGTCATCACATGAAACCTTTAGTTTATGTTCTGCAAAATAGTGTCCACACATAAAATTCTTAGACAGTCATCTTTCCATATAAGAGGAAGTCCGGGGTTTCATAAAGTGAGATTTGAGACTTACCACTACTGGGAGGAGTAGTACCAACACAATCATCGTCCATGCAGACACTCCTTTTACGTGTCGAATTGTCTAAATTGTTCACTAAGAAACCTGAATTCTTGCTGTGGTAGGTTCTTGACTTCGCAGCTGAGCCACTTGAAGTGCATCTATTTAGCAAGGAATCATTAAGCAAAAAGGAACTTCCTCCATTAAGTGGAAATACATGGCTTCGATGGTCATTAGGAGGCCAGCCACCAGTCAGATTTCCTGCTCCAACATCCTTAATGGCAGCAGAAAACACAGGAGCATCTTTTGATGCAGGGAACTGACGGGAATTGAGGGTGATGCCGCCAGGTATATCCTCTAACAAGATAGATGAGGAGGATATCAGTTTTCCTCCCATTTGGCTATCGAAAGAAAAACGCGAAGTGATGGCATCTTTTCCGGTTAAACAATATGCTGGTTCTTTGAGATCATGCAACCTTGGCCTAATGTTTGTGGATCCTGTTACAGAAGAAGTTGAACATTAGATGCAATGAGAAAGGATTACTCTTCACCAGCAATACCAATTAGGGACGTCCTATTATACCTTCATTAATCCGGTCCCCACTTGAACTTGCCACAGCTGCATCTCCCTCGGCCTGTTTTTCGCCAGAATTACTAGTTTTGTTCTTTACATGAAGAAATCTACATGAGCTCCCTTTTATGCACCACCCTTTGGCGAAGAAGTCACATATGATTGCTTGGCGTTTGTTCAAATTGTTCAACTCTGGAGATGGTGATACACTTCGATTCCTGGATCTGGAAAGACTGATGTTACTGTTAGTAAGAAGGGAAGCTCAGTAACACTGGAAAAAATAGGAGGCTTTTGAGGGTGCATCAGGCATACTGGTGCAAACATCATAACATCTAATTCTATAAGAGAATGCTAGAATCAACATACCTCAAAACTGGCTGTTGGATCCCATTGTCTGACGGCAATGGGGTATGCTTTACTTGTTCTGCAATCACATCAACATCATCCTTCGCCCCTAGAAAATTCGGCAAACCTCTAATACTTGAGTCCTCAGAAGGCTTAGTTGCCATGACTTCATCCTTACATACCTCGTTCCTATCACCAGAAGCATTTGAACCCTTTTCATCTTCGATGTTCTTAGAGTGCCCATTGTTCATGCCCGAATTGTCACCTTGCAGTGCCAGTGGTGCATGTGAACAACCAGAAAATGTGAAATGACTCGCAGTATCTTCCACATGGCAAGGAGATGGGGCCACATTTGCAGAACCTTGAGGTTTCAGTTGTGATTCCATCTCTTTGGCCTTCATATCTTGACTGAAAGCTACATGAAAGAATAACTAGATCAAGCAAAGAAATAGAGCCAACATCTAACTCAAAATAGATCTGAAATAAGATATCTCCTAAAAGATAACCATTGCCCAAGACTTCGCACTAAAAAATCATCTGATGTCCAACCAGACACATGAGTAGCTAGCAAATCAACTTCTTTCCACACCCTCGAGTGCAATGCAGTTCGTCTACTATGCACGAACTAATAGTTGGATCAGAAAACAAGCATGCATGTTATAGGCTAATCTGAAATCACAAGGAAGATAGAAAATCCATTCCACATTCCTAAGCCTATTCACAACATGTCAACCACATAACAACGATGACTACCCACAATGATACATCCTGCAGCTTTCCTTACCCTCAACCAACTATATCGGGTAACTTTCAGCAGAACAAGTAGTGAGAGTGTGAGTGAGAGACATATAAGAATTAAACTAGGCATCTACAGCTGAAACTGATAGGAACATTTACTACCGAGCTCGTGAATTCCCCTGAATTTTGTAACGTTCATAATTCATGACAAAACACAAGATGTTACCATTCCTTCTCCCACCACCACCCCCTCCGTTTCTTGCAGCCTGAAGTTACTTCCCTTTTCCGGAATCAAGGTCTATGGCTTCGCAACAAGGAGAAGCAAAACAACTCTTCCCCGACAAATGCAGTTCAGAAGCCAATATTGAAATATAAAACCCAGCAATCAGGCAACGGATGACGACTGGAAGCAGCGTAATTAACCTACAATTCAGATTGGAAAACAATCACCATTTCAGTTACTATTCAGTTGATATCTAACCTTGCACTTCATCAATGGCTTCCACAGAGGAATCTAAATCCATATCTACTTCCTCTTGTTCTTCGCCTTGCACAACTTGCACTTCGCCTTCTGCAACTCCTTCTACCACCTCTTGTTCTTCGCCTTCCGCAACTACTTCTGCCACCTCTATATCTTCGCCTCCCGCAACTTGTTCTTCGCATTCCGAAACTCCTTCTACCACATCTTCTTCTTCCTCCTCCTCTGCCACTTCTTCCACCTCTTCTTCTTCCTCCTCCTCTTCTTCCTCTTCTATCTCTTCTACCGCTTCTTCCTCCTCTACTTCCTCTTCTATCTCCTCATACTCTTCTTCTTCTCCGGGATCGCTTCCGCATTCTTCAGCACCACTCGCCTCTTCCTCCGCTTCTTCCTCTGCTTCTTCTTCTACTTCCTCCTCTTCCTCTTCTTCTTCCGCGCGGGAGACGCCGTCATCAGAATCGGAATCGGGTAGGTCGGAGGCAATTGACGTCGATGGCGCCATTGGAGGGGAATCAAAGAAGTACGAGAAATCACACGCTAATCTCCGGTCAGCAACCAGTCCAGTGGAGTGCGAGGGAATTGCGTGACGATTAGAGAAGGAGAAAGTTCTTTTGCTTGTGCTCCGAGGAAGAGGTGTTTCGTAATCTCTGTGAATTTGGGTGCTGGTAGCGGGACCCTTTTTATACGTTTGACCCCTTTGCAGTTCAATTATCGGCAGTTTTTTTTCCAACTGAACTGAATGCTGTCCGTTTGGGCTCTGAGCATGGATCTCTTCTGTCGTAACTGGACTGGGCTGAACGTCAAGTTGAATGACTAGTCTCGGCTCCCAACTCCCAAGTATGGCCCAATTCAGCCACAACTTATTTGCCATTCAAATACTAGTGACCGGCCCGCCTAGCCAGGTAAAATAGAATACGATAAGATAAGATATACGGTGCGAATGTAATTAAAATCATAATCTTCGGAAGTTTAATAACCTTTCATCTTATGGTGCTAAAAATCCACTCTCAAATCATTCGAACTGGCTAGGAGAGGCTAAAGACTTGCCGATTATTATATTTCTCAAATTTATTACAAAATTTACATGTAACTTTATATGATTGTAATAATTGAAGAGACTATACCCCCCTACCATCAACGCACTGCATACCATATCACTTTGCGAGGAAGACGCATTGGGTGATTTCGCCCCCAAGTCTTATAATAACTTGCCAAAACCAATTAATCGACGAGGATGGATTTCCATATTATCACATGATTTCGTTGCGTCCATATGTGTCACACTATGACACACTAAAATTGCGAGTGACTGTTGTGGACTAGACTAGCTCATCCTGTGCACATATGAGAATGTAGTGAACCCATTATCGTATCTTCATCGAGAATAAAGAAGCGTGCGATCAAGGGATAGACGGAATCACACACAAAAACAACTTCAATCCACATAATTACCACTTTTCATCATCGGGGTTGCATCTCGGGTTATACTTATACTCATGTCATGTGTGTTGGTTGCAAATTGCAATCAGGAACTTGTGCATAATTTGATTATAAATTACGGTAAACTAATAAGTTAACTTAAGCCACCTTATTATATTTTCCATCAAAGTGGCCCAATTTCATCAATCCATCTCACACTTCTATGCTATAGCTTAGTCCATGCTTTGCGCTAGCCCGTCGATTGCGCCACAATTAATTGCCGTGCCTTTTTTTTATAAAGGCTTTTGACGATTCCCCAAGTCAAACGCAACCCCACTAAAATAAATCCCTCAGGCTTGACCTTGCCGGTTACCACCATCCCCAGTGAGAAAACAAGAACTGGAAAGAAGATACCAAATTATATTGTTTGATTTGATTTCGTACCATATTAAATCAAATCAATATAATTTCGATTGATTCTCATTTCGTTATAATATATATCATGGTAAATTAATAGCAGTTCGATTGCAGTGTTTATAACACCATCTGCGGAAACGTGTTCACAATGTACGTGATCCGTCGATTATGTGTATCATGACCTAAACTCCACAAGTAGTAGCACGGAATGGGATTAGGTTCTAACCTTTATAGGGGTTAGCACCGTGATAACTAGCAAAAAACGCTACTAAAAATAACGAAATTACTACGGATTATTATAAAATCAATACAACATCTAAGCTAAATCACTACTAATTCAAACTAGTAGTAGTTTTTCCCTTGGTTAGGACGGTGCTAACTATTGTACAATTAGCACCGTAGCCGTTCCCATAGTAGCACCCTTAATAGAGTATAACAACTAGCAAGAAGTCGAGAACCTTGAGAAGAAGAAGAAGAAGAAGAAGAGTAGGTAAATTGCTATATATGAATGCGAATTCTGCCAACCCTTACCAAGATGCGCAAAAATACGTTACTCCAAATAGCACAAATCCCTTCCAATAAACAAAACTATAAAAAAAAAAAACAATTTGCTCGGAATGTCGCTACCACTCGTCACGATTTCCCCACCGCACCACCAAAGTTCCGGGGCAAATGAGTCATTAACATGACCATGACGTAGGCACTCGGATCATCTCCACCGTAGGATGACAGATTTTACGCACTGAAATCCCGCATGTGCCCCCAATCGTTGTCACGAGTCAACCAGCACTTACAAATAAAAAAAGGAAAGATGAAATTTTAATTAATTAAAAAAAAAATCAGAAAAAGTAGTTTTAGCTGCAACCACGTCCAGTCCAGACCAGAGACAGCATTTCCCTCACTCTCTCATCACTACTACTTTCCCTCTTTGTCTCTCTCTCTCTCTCTCTAGAGGGAAAGTGGAGGAAGAAGAAGAAGAAGTGTCGCTGAAGAATTTGAAGGCGGGGAAAAGGATGCGGAAGCTGTAGTTTCGTTCCAGGGGCTTAAAAAAAGTTTTTTTAGCAAGATTTGAAGATGAGAATGCCGAGATTCCTTCCATGGCTTCTGCTGCTGCTGCTGCTCTTCTGCTTAGCCATCTCTACTTGCTTCGCCAGACAAGGTGATTTTTTCCTCCTACCTTTTTAATTTGTACTTCTGATCGGAGCTTGAAAGCTGAATTCTCAATTAGGGATTTCCCCCCCGGAGAGTTGGAAATTAGCTGCAGTGCCTTTTTACGGCCCTACGTACGAACTGTGTCCTGCTTCTTCTTCTGCTCCTTCTCTTGCATCTTCATTCGTTGAGCCGCAATTGCGACTTGCGTTTGATTTCTGTTGGTGGGTGATTGGAGAAGTAAGGTTTTCTTGCTGGAGTGTGAAAAGTTGGATGAAATAAGCTATTTCAACGTTGAATCCTGTTGTAGGTTTGAGATTTGAGTTCAATGTAGCTGGATGAAACAACCCATATTCGATCTGTTCGTAAGTGATGGCAATTTAGGGAGACAATGAGTGACTGAGTTGAATTGGTTTTGACTTTACAAGGAAATTTCTGGCTCAGTGAAATACTGAAATGATAGCTAAGCTAATCTTTACGAACACATTATTGAAATGGAAAATTTTGATAGATGAATGATAGGGAGGGTAAGGTTTGCTGTTATGTTCCAAAGGGTATCCTAAAGTAGTTGTCTTGATCTTTAAATTGTCCTGATCAGACAATTCGAGCAACGGGAAATAACACAAACTAATCTCTTCTTCTTCCACAGGGCCTTGGGTAATGCGAATAAGCTGCGGATCACGAGTCAACGTCAACACCGCACCAACCAACACTCGATGGAACAAAGATTTTGCATACACAGGAGGAATCCCAGCCAACGCTACAAAATATCCAAGCTTCCTCACTCCGCGACTCCCCACACTCCGCTACTTCCCTCTATCCTCTGGCGGCCCCAACAACTGCTACAACATCAGGCGGGTCCCGAAAGGCCACTACACAGTTCGGGTCTTCTTCGGCTTGATCGAGGAACCCGACTTCAACACTGAGCCCTTGTTCGACATCTCGGTGCAAGGCACACAGGTTTACTCGCTGCAGGCGGGGTGGAGTACCAACGATGATCAGTCATTCGTGGAAGCGCAAGTGTTTCTCCTCGATCACACGGCATCCATTTGCTTCCACAGCACTGGTCATGGCGATCCGGCAATCACCTCGATCGAGATTCTCCAGATTGATAATCAAGCTTACCGTTATGGCCCGGCATGGGGGCAAGGGACTATACTTAGAACTGCCACCAGGTTGAGCTGTGGTAATGGGAAGCCAAAATTTGATGTGGATTACAGTGGAGATCACTGGGGTGGGGATAGGTTTTGGGGTCCAATTACGTCTTTGGGTTCAAGCTCTGATCAACCTAGGTCTACAGAAGCTGGGATCAAGCATGCTACAAATGCGCCCAACTTTTATCCAGAAGCTCTCTACCAGACTGCTATTGTGAGCACAGATGCTCAGCCGGATTTGGCTTACACTATGGACGTGGAGCCGAATAGAAACTACTCGATTTGGCTGCATTTTGCCGAGATTGATGCTACCGTGACTGATGTGGGGAAGAGGGTGTTTGATATATTGGTTAATAGCGATGTGCAGTTCCAGGACGTTGATATTATTAAAATGAGTGGAGGTCGATATACTGCGCTGGTTCTTAACACGACGGTTCTTGTTAATGGGAGGACCTTGACGATAACTCTGCATCCTAAAGAAGGGCAGTACGCTATTATCAGTGCCATTGAGATCTTTGAAGTTGTTATAGCTGAGACCAAAACTCTTTCCCAGGAAGGTATGTTTTGGAAACCATTATAAAACTTAATTTTGCTTTGTTTTCCTAATGCAGAATGCTTAACTTCTTCTCTGTGTTTTTTAGTGGCTGCTCTACAAAAGTTGAAGACGGCATTGGCACTTCCTCCTCGATTCGGGTGGAATGGTGATCCATGTGTTCCTCAGCAACATCCTTGGAATGGAGCAGACTGCCAATTTGACAGGACTAATTTCAGATGGTTCATTGATGGGCTGTAAGTGTATATCCTATAAAAATCCAGTATATCAGATTCATTGGCTAATGTTAAGAGGGTTGACCTTTCAAATATTTGACCATATTTTATATGATTATGTCCATGTTCAGTGGACTTGACAATCAAGGTTTGAGGGGGTCGTTGCCAAATGACATAATCAAATTGCAAAGCTTACAGAGCATGTGAGTGCAATACTTTCTTGAATCGTTTCTACTTCATTTTAGAAAATTAAACCATGATCTCTAAATCATTTTTTCGTTGACTTTTCAAACTGTAGAAACTTGAGTGGTAACAGCATCCACGGGGCTATTCCATCGTCAATAGGAAAACTAACCAAGTTGGAAGCATTGTAAGTTATTCTTTTTCTTGTTCCTTCTTTCTATCTTCACAAATTAGATAACTCTATTGGTTGGAACTGACTGCTTATAGTTGATATGGCAGAGACCTATCTTACAATTCCTTTAACGGGTCAATTCCTGAAAGTGTTGGGCAGTTGACATCATTGCGCAGACTGTAAGATTTCTTATCAAATGTCTCCCCTCTTGTATTTTATGCCTTGAAGACGTGACAACTCACTTCCAGCTGTTGTTTTGCTGAAGGAATCTCAATGGCAACCATCTATCAGGAAGAGTCCCTGCTGAACTTGGAGGAATGCTTTTGCACGGAGCTACCTTCAAGTATGTACTTAGTAGCACTGATATGAAATGTTTTTTGATTTTTTTTTATAATACTGATATGAAATGTTATGAAAATGTGAAAGTAGTGTAATGGTTTTTCTGGATCTAGGCTATTAATGGGAAGGCCATGATATCATATTGAGCATAAGGAGATCAAAAGTTATTGTTGATAATGGCCACTGGATGGTTTATAGAATTAGAAATAATTTGAGTCCCACAATTAAATGAGAAAAACAATTTCTACAGAAAATAATTGCCTCACATGAAAGTGGTTCATGATTGCACTCGCGTTTAACATGCGGACCTCGTGTTTGCAGTTTTACTGATAATGCTGGCCTTTGTGGTATACCTGGACTGCGAACATGCGGACCTCGCCTTACTGCTGGTGCCAAAATCGGCATAGCATTTGCTGCATCTGTGGCATGCCTTCTTGTGGTTGTCTGCGCAACTTGCTGGTGGAAAAGACGGCAGAACATTCTCCGAGCTCAGCAGATCGCAGGTACATGTTTCATACTCCGACGACAGAATCAGAACGAAAAAATTTTCACCCATACAACTCTGAAATTTCCATTTTGAACTTGGCCCCTTTCTGTTTTGTCTGCAGCAAGAGGTGCTCCATATGCCAAAGCAAGAACCCACCTCTCCCATGACATTCAACTGACAAGGCATTACAATAATCAGAACCACCACTCCCGAACGGCTGCTGAGAACGGACCTAGCTTGCTATCGTGATTAACCCGCAAGCTCGACCCATGTCGTACTTCTTCGACTCGTCCTTCCTTCACGAGGGCTCCCCAGAATGCCTACAGGTTGAATTCGGAAAGCTGAGTGATGAGTCTGCAACTCGTAATCGCTGATAAGCGAATGAGTAGATCCACCTCGTTGGCAGCAACTGTATATTAAATTCTTTACTCAATCTACAAGGCAATGTGACATTGCAGTGTGTTAGAAAGGAGAAGGAAAAGGGCACCTGTTTGCAATATAGATTAGAATACTATCTTTGGTTCCTTTTTTTTCTTATGGGGTTCATGGGGCAGTCTTGATTTGTATAAACAATAACCTCTAGGTGGTATCACAGTATTCCCCAGTTGGACTGTAGAACTTACAACTCAGAAAGTCACAAAGTATAATTTTATTTCAGTTTTGTATGCACACTAGATTTTTCAAAATTTGTAGTTTTTGCCTGAAGAAATGTATCATCAGCAATGTAGAAGAAGCCACATAACATAATGGTCCTATTTTTCGTGGGAGTAGTAAGTATATAGTGTACAGTGCTGTAATGTGGTGGGCCCTAATGGATTTCTGTTACAGGCCCATAATGGTAGCCCGGACTACTCAGTACTGGACTTGAGTCATCACCCTACTGTCGCAAGATTATGGATATGATGAAGGAAGAAAACAACCCAAAACAAGGGTTAATACCTTATTTTGGCTTGAACTATGAGCATATAATTAATTTTGACTCGTGGTTTCAGAAATTAACATCTTTACCTCAACTATATAACATATAGACTCAATTACCCTGACACCTAGTTTGACCGTCAATTTGGATGGTCACACCATTGACCGTTAGTCAACACGCCATGTCATTGCCTCGTCAACCTAAAAATTATAAAAAAATTGATATTCAAACTATTTTTTATTTTTTTATTATTTATAATCAAATTAACAAAAAATAATTTATAAGAAGCATAAAATAAATTTATTTTTTATTTTTTGTGTAATTTGAAAATGATAAATTTTATATATTAACCAAAAAGTATCAAACTATGGTATATATTTAACTTTACACAAAAATAAAATATATAATTTATATCATATTTTTAAAATTTATAAAATTTAATTTGATAATTTTTGGTTAATTTATAAAATTTATTGATAGGGTATCAACATAACTAAGGAGTTAATACCATGGCTAATGACATGGAGAAGAAAAGAAGACAAGAGGAAAAAGACAAGGCTGGGAGACAAGAGACAAGGCCAGGCACCTGACATCAGCAAGGACAAGGGGCAGGGGGACACCCTCTCCCAAAAGGACTATGAACAGTGTCAGAGGGTCTGAGGCGCCCGACCAGAGCATTTATGGCTTGGCAGGCGCCCAGACCACTACCTAACCCTCAAATGTGTATAAATAGGAGTTCTCCTCATAAATGGCAATCTATCTACTCTTACTACTACTTCTCTCTACTTTCTCTCTCTATATACTTCTTCTCTTTTCTTGCTTCTGACGAGGCGGGGCGCCTACCCCTTCAAGGTCATGGATGACACCCCAAACCCCTTGGACCCGAGTGACGCCGAGTCGCCCGGGCTCAAACAATTGGCGCCCACCGTGGGGCCAAGCACGACTTTGAAAGACGCTTCCAACTCAAAGAAGGGAGAAGAAAGGAGTCTGGTACCAACAAAGACCCCCCTCAAGCAAGTGGTTGGTCGCGAGGCGATCAACCCCCAACCGCTCACCATCCAAGGTTTAGAAGTGCCCGACGACGACGACCCATCAGGAGACGGAGAAGGCGCCGAGCGCCTAGAGGAGCAACTAGCGGAGCTTCGGAAAAAGCAAGCGCTTCAAATGGCAAACATGCAAGGCCAGCTAGACCAAGTCATGACCGCGTTAACGGCACTAACAAGGTCAACGACCAGGCGCCTCCGAACCCCCAAGAAGCCGTAGAGGAGAGGAGGCGCCTCCGAGGGAAGATGCAGGAGGTTGAGGCGGCACCCACGAACTCCCCCACGGGAGGGTGTGGGCGCCTTACCAAATGAAGACGCAATGGAAGCTGACACCGACATCTACATGGAGAAGTACGCTCGGCTTAACTACGGCACCTCGGAAGACAGGAGTGCCCAAATCATTAAACAACCGTTATCAAAGGGGGTACTCGAAACACCAATCCCATCAAACTTCGCGAGCATCGGCCTACCCTCATACGACCGAAAATCTGACCCAGAAGATCACCTAAGTACGTTCTGCCGCAAAATGCAACTCCTCAATGCGTCCGACGCTGCCTTGTGCAAGGCATTCCCCTCAACCTTCACCGGAGGATGTAGTAGTTGGTACTCCTCACTTCCAGAGGGCATCATTCAGAGCTTTTCTCAATTTGCTTTGTTATTTACAACAAAGTACGCAAGCCAAAAGAAGCAAACGCTAATGGTTCGTGCGCTTGTCAATCTTAAGCAAAGGAAGGGGGAGAGCCTCAGGCACTTCATGGGGCGATGGTGGGAAGTCGCGGCCGACGTCAAAGACTTAACCCCTCCACTCATGCGCACCAATCTAATGGATGCAAGTACCAACGAAGAACTAAGGCGCTCCCTAGCCAAATGAGAGATACGACAAGTAGCTGAATTAGAAGAAAAGATTCAAAAGGCAATCCTCATGGAGGAGGCGCTAGGGGCAAAGGAGGAGGAGCAAGGAAGTGGGTCCAGGCACCCAGCTCAAAATGGGAGGGGCGAGGCGCCTAGAACCAGAAGGCGGAGTCCAGATCGGCGAGATGATGCCCGACGTCCCAATGTCTGGGTAAGAAGAGACGTTCTTGCAAATTCACAAGAGCCTCGCCGAGACCGAACCAACCGCGAGAATGCAAACCAACCTCGGGGGCAAGCAGATATGTACTGCGAGTATCACAACTCTCGCACCCATAACACCGTTGACTGCCACTACTTCAAAAAAGCACTTAAGATAATCTCTGATCGGGGGGGAGTAAGAGAAATGTTCCAGAAAGCAGAACAAGGAAATCGGTCCCCGCGGGAGTGCAGTCGCTCTCCAGCCGCAAGACCACCAGTACAGGAGCGCCTAGGTCCTAATCCAAACGTCAAAGAGATAAGAACCATCGCAGGAGGGGAGCCCAACCGAAAGAAGAAGCGCAAGGGGCAAGCAAGTGACACATGGTGTATGAAGATCGCAAAGCAAGAGGGTCCCGACTTGTCATTTACGTCACAAGACTATCCCCCGGAGGGCCCGTCTGAAAATCCCCTTGTCATCAATATACAGGTGGAAGGGTACAAGGTGTTCGGAGTACTGGTAGATAGTGGGAGCTCCGCTGACATACTGTTCTATTCCTGCTGACGCCAAATGCAAGCACCTCCTGAGGTCATGAAAGCCTCAGAAGCCCAACTTGTCGGCTTTTCTGGAGCAAAGGTGAAGGTACTAGGGACTGCGCGCTTAAGAGTCAAGGTAGGAGACGAGGAACCAAGTGCCACGCACCCGGTGGACTTCCACATTGCCGATTGCCCGTCCGCATATAATTCCATCCTAGGGAGGCCCTTCCTAGCTCGGTTCGGAGCTGTAGCGTCAACCTGCCATCAGGCCATGAAATTCCAAACGCCCCAGGGAATGGGGATAGCCAGGGGAGATGCGAAGGCAGCAAAAGCGTGCTATGCGGCGACCATTCACAAGCCAAAAATACACACGATCGATGCTAGACCGACGGAAGTACCGCGCCCTGGAGCAGTTGATTCATAGATAGAACTACCATTAGACCCTGACGATCCGAGCCGGGTTGTCCGACTCTCCGCCCATCTACCAGAGCACATGCGTCTCCCAATGGTCAACCTGTTAAGGGAGTATGCTGATCTGTTTGCTTGGAGCCCCGAAGACATGCCAGGTGTCTCTAGGGATCTTATGGAACACAAGCTCTCTGTCAAACCAGAGAGCGTACCAGTACAACAAAAAAGGAGGGGAGCATCGTTGGCAAGGAGGGTGGCCATGATGGAAGAGGTACAGAAGCTGCTTAAGGCAGGTTTTATTAGAGAAGTACAATACCCGAAATGGTTGGCAAACACAGTATTGGTTAAGAAGCACAATGGGACATGGCGAATGTGCATCGACTTCACCTCGCTAAACAAAGCATGCCCGAAGGACCCATATCCACTGCCGAGGATTGACCAGCTAGTCGATTCCACCTCAAATCATGAGATGTTAAGCTTTCTTGACATGTTTTCAGGATACCACCAGATCCCTCTCAGCGAAGAGGATCAAGAAAAAACAGTTTTCATGACCCCCGTACGGGAACTATTGCTATATAGTGATGTCATTCGGCTTAAAGAACGCAGGTGCTACCTATCAGAGAATGGTGGACAAAGTCTTTGTGGGCAGATATGACGAAATGTGGAGGCATATGTGGATGATGTGTTAATCAAAAGTAAGAAAGAGGGTGACCACCTGAGCGACTTAAAGGAGACGTTTGAGAACCTAAGGCGTCACAATCTGAAGCTTAACCCCCTCAAGTGCGTGTTCGGGGCAGGTGCGGGTCAATTCTTAGGCTTCATGATCACTCGCCGCGGTATTGAGGCTAATCCGAAACAGATAAAGGCAATTGCCGAACTCAAGTCGCCAAGGACAGTAAAGAAAGTTCAGGGATTGGCAGGTAAACTCGCCGTGCTCAATAGATTCATTCCAAGGTCGGCGGATAGGTGCGCCCCCTCTTCAATTCTCTAAAGAAAAAATCCAAGTTCAAATGGACGGAAGCATGTGAGAAAGCATTCGAGGAAATGAAAACTTTGCTGGTGAACCCCCTATCCTTGTGGCTCCACAGGAGGGAGAGCGTTTGTTCCTTTACATAGCCATATCAGACGTAGCTATCAGTGCGGTGCTCGTTAGGCGTCACTCTGAAACTCTTGCAGACCAGCCAGTGTACTACATCAGCAAAACGCTCCTACCAACTGAAAGGAGGTACCCAGTCATCGAGAAGGCAGCCCTGGCATTGGTAACTGCCGCCCAAAAGCTGAGACCTTATTTTCAAGGACACACGGTCACCGTATTGACCAACCTACCAATGAAAAGAATTCTACATAGTACGAGTGCTTCAGGACGCTTAACTAAGTGGGCAGTTGAGCTAAGTGAGTTTGACATACAATACGCTCCTCGCCCTTCCATCAAAGCTCAAATCCTGGTAGACTTCGTAGCAGAAGGTACGATCGAGCCCACAGGAACCGATGAAGGGAGATGGAAGCTGTTTGTTGATGGAGCGGCAAGTAAGACAGGTGCAGGCGCTGGCATAGTCTTAGAAACGTCGGGTGGTGTCACACACGAAGTAGCTTTGCGATTCTCGGCACTCAAGACCAACAACGCGGCTGAATACGAAGCACTAATCAACGGCATGCGCATTGCGGAGGAGTTAGGAGCGAGGCGCCTAGACGTTTTTTCTGACTCCGCATTGGTGGTTCGACAGGTGTTGGGAGAATTCGAAGTCAAGGAAGATTGTTTGCTGCGCTATGTGGAGGAGGCAAAGAAGAGAGCACAGGTTTTCGAGGATTGGAAACAATCCCATATATCATGAGGAGATAACGCGCATGCGGATGCGCTTTCCAAGCTGGCTACCGCTGTTGACTTTGAGGAGGAGCGACATGTAATTGTCGAGAAGGAAAGCCCAAGCACCCCAGGAATGGGGGTGAATAGCGTTAATGTCGGTCAGGAAGAGCAGGATTGGAGGGTGCCAATCGTTGAATACCTCATGAATGATACCCTTCCAATAGATCCGAAAGAAGCCACAGGAGTAAGAAAAAGAGCGGCGCGTTGCACCATTATCGGCTCAGAGCTGCACCGACGGTCGTACGAAGGAGTATACCTTAGGTGCCTGGGAAAGGCTGAAGCAAAGTGGGCTCTCCGTGAGATTCACGAGGGCGTGTGTGGTAGACATGGGGGGCCGAGAAGCTTGGAAAGAACGCTTAAATTGCAAGGCTACTACTGGCCAACCATGAGAAATGATGCAAAGCAACTCGTTATGGCATGCCATGCATGCCAAACCCATGCCAAAGAACACCACCTCCCAGCTACTGCAATGCAAGGAAACGTTAGTCCCTGGCCCTTTACCCAATGGGGAATGGACCTAGTAGGACCTTTCCCCAAAGCTTCGGGAAAAAGGAAATATCTTATCGTGGCAGTAGACTACTTCACGAAGTGGATCGAGGCTGAGCCATTGGCCACTATCACGGCGAAACAAGTCGAGAGATTCGTCTTCAACAACATACTTGCACGATTCGGCATTCTCAATTCCATCGTCACTGATCATGGCAAGCAATTTGACTGCACATCCTTCGCAGACTTTTGTCAAGAATACAATATCCAGCTCAAGCTCTCATCCGTGGCATACCCAGAAGCGAATGGACAGGCGGAAGCAGCAAACAAAACCATACTTCAAGGACTCAAGAAGCGTCTCCAAGAGCATAAAGGAAATTGGGTAGAGGAACTCCCCCATGTACTTTGGGCGCTACGCACCACTCCAAAAAGCTTTACGGGTGAAACTCCATTCGCCCTAACTTTTGGTGCGGAAGCGGTGACTCCCACGGAAGTCGCGTTGCCCACCCTGCGTGTTCAATACTTCAATGAAGGGAACAATGTCAGCATGGCTCATGAACTAGACATGCTAGATGAGAGAAGGGTAGGAGCACTTCGGAAGCTGGTAGAGGACAAGGAGCAACTGGCAAAATACTATAATTCAAAACTGAAGCCTCACCACATCGAAGAGGGAGACCTTGTATTGAGAAAGGTATTTAGACCTAACCCCAATCATGGAAAGTTGGCTGCTAAATGGGAGGGACCTTTCGTCGTAAGGGAAGTGATAGGACCAAGCACTTTCAAGCTCGCCACCATGGAAGCAGAACGTGTCCGCAAAACCTGGAACGCAAGGCATCTGAGAAAGTACGTGTGCGAGCAAGAGGCACAAGAGGAGTAATCGGAAGATTAACATTTTGTAGGGAGGAGGAGCGCTCTCAAAGAGGCGTAGCCCGAAGACACCCTAAGGAAGACTCAAGTGTTGTTTTCTTTTTGCTTTACTTCAAGGGTAGACATTTTTTGTAGGGAAGAGGGACGCCTTCAAAGGGGTGTAACCCAAAGACACCCTAATAGAGTCCCTTTCGTTCGGTTTTAATTTGTAATATTCGGAATTTTCGGGTAAGGGGACACATCCTGGCAGTACCCCAGATAATCCCCTATCTGGCTAAAGGAATGGAGATTCACTATTCAGCAAAGCAAATTTTTTCCTGTCTCAGCAGGTAGAGTCTCCGCCAACTCGGTTCCTCCGTCAAGGAGAAGCCCAAACGTATCACCTCCTTTTCAGGAGTACACGTAAGAAAAATCAGGCTTGGCTCAAGATAGTCACCTTAGCAGAACCCTTCTCCCGCAGACCGTCGGAGGAGCCCCAATGCTTACACTTGGTTTTCATCCAAGTATCGAGCGCTCGTTGTACGAGTCCCCATGAGAGGCGATAAAATTGATATCCCTCGCAAAAATTCCTACCTCGGCAGAAGGGGTCACCCAAACCCGCTTCCTCCGTCGAGGAGAAGCCTAGACGCGTTACTTCTTTTTCAAGAATACGCATGGGAGACCTAAAACTTGCTTCCTTCGTCGAGAAGAAGCCTAGACACGTTACTTCTTTTTCAAGAATGCGTGAGACCTAAAACTTGCTTCCTCCGTCGAGGAGAAGCCTAGACGCGTTACTTCTTTCTCAAGAATACGCGTGAGACCTAAAATTTGCTTCCTTCGTCGAGAAGAAGCCTAGGCGCGTTACTTCTTTTTCAAGAATATGTGAGACCTAAAACTTGCTTCCTCCGTCGAGAAGAAGCCTAGACACGTTACTTCTTTTTCAAGAATACGTGTGAAGAGACCTAAAGCTGGCTCCCTCCGTCGAGGAGAAGCCTAGACGCGTCACTTCTTCTTAAAGAATATACGGCGAAACTAAAACAACATTCACAACAGGTCCAAGAAAACGGAGAACTTGCCGATAACATTCTTAAAAATAACAACCCAAAAGCTAAACCTCCACAGACATACAAGAGAGAAATGAGCAGAAGACACATGAAATTGACAGAGTCCAAACAAACAAGGAAAAGAAAAACATCCCAACTCTACTAGTCCGACTTGCTCGAGGGATTGTCGGACGAGCTAGAGTCACCATCGGTACCACCATCCGAGGCGCCACCCTGACCATCGACGGCAACCGCGTCCCCACCACCTTCCCCGGCACCAGCATTGGCATCGACGGCAGCCTCGCCGTTGTCACCCACTTCCTCTTCCCCAATCCTCTCGACGTCAACCTCCACGTCGTCGGCAGAAGAATCACCCTCATCCAGGGGGTACGGGTCCGAGTCGGAAGGCTCGTTATCCGTACCAAGAGAGAGGAAGTAATCATCCATAGCCTGCCAGACCTCCGGAGTATCCCACTTCATGCCAGGATTATCGGTGCAGACCTTCTTACGAATGCCGATGAAAGCCCTCTTCTTCACTCCAAGCAGAAGGTTCTGCTGCCACTCACGAAACTCTGCTGATGACAAGTGGGCGTCCACGGCGTCTTCACGCTCCTTGATCAACCTCTTCTGGAATTCCTCCTGAAAGAAAGGGTTTACGCGCTTAGCTCGTATGAAGGGTGACGGCAAGAAAGGCCAACAAGAGAACTTACCTTCTCCAAGGCCCCAATTCGCTTCGCCTGGAATGCCAGCTCCTTCTCCTTCTCTTCACGAGCAGAAACACTCTCAGCAGCCAAGGCGTCCGAAAGCTGCCGCTTCACCGACGCCAACTCATCCTCCAGACGAGAGTTAACGCCTTGGAGAGTGATCTTGTCAGTCTTCAACTGGAAGCCAACAAAAAGTTCTTATGGGCGCGGTCTCGATTCTCCGCACTCTTGTCAGAAAGCGTAACCACATCAAGCATCGCCTAAGCAAGAAACAACAACGATTAGTAACGAAGCATGATCTACTAATAGTAAAGTGTGAAAGTGCATACCTGGAACAAATGCTGGCACGCCGAGCCTGCAGGAGAGGTGCCCTCGTCGAGGGGGAGCTTCAGGAAATTCTTCAACTCCACAGCCGAAGTAAAGGCGCTTGGAGCATTGAGGGCAGCAGAAGGAGAGATTGGAACAGGCTCCTTCGGCTTTACGGCACGTCGCGAGCGAGGAGGCGCTAATATCTCATCAATGCCCCCAAGGCTTGGTTTGTTCTTCTTCTTCGGAACCGCAGCAGGAGAGTCAGCCGAGGCATGGTGCTTGCCTAATGTCTTCTCTGGAAGAGGGTCGCGTGACCCCAAGGAAGGAAACAATCGAGGAGACGCCTCCTCGATGTCGGCAGACGTCTTGCCAGAAGAATGGGGAGTTCGCTCGGCAGGGGTGCTAGGCGCCTTCTGTGCCCTGACTCCAGAGGCGCCGGGAGTCTTCTTCGCCATCTTCGCTAGGCTCGAGTAGTCGAAATCTGCAAAAAAAGGAGTTATGCAAATACCATAAGTTGGGAGATAGAATAAAATCATTCGAAAGAAATATACCATGGTCGTAAAGTTCTCCCAAGGCGCGCGCTCTCTCCCCCTTTCTCCCAAAATCCACGGGAGGTGCACGAAGAATGTGGTGCTTCTGTTCCCGCTCAGGCTTCCCAAGGGAAAAATCCTTGGCCCACGTTTCTTCCGAACCCTCACCCCATAGAGTCGAGAGAGGCGCCGAAGTCGGTGCATGCCAAGTACCAGGAGTCGGTCTAATAAAGAAGTAAGAGCAATACCATTTGCTAGGGAGCTTGGGCGATCCCTTGCAAACCCGTCCCTGGTATTTACTATCACGCTTCACGGCCGACCAACCATGCTTACCCCGCTCCAAGGCGTATATGCTACGGAAGATAGAGAATGAAGGGACGTAGCCTAGGCGCTTGCAGATAAGCCTGAAGGCGCAGGTGTGAAAGATAAGCGAATGAGACAGAAAGCTAAGGGGACACCCAACCATCTCCAAAATACCCGATAAGATGGGATCCAATGGGAACTTCAAGCCACACTTCAGATACTCCGAGTAAATCGCAAACCAACCCTCGGGGCAACTCCCGATGCGAGCACCACGATTCGGAAGCGCATACCCCCAGTCTGTAGGGTAACCTAGACCGCGGATATAAGACACAACGCGATGCAATTGGATACTGGGTCGCTTGTCAGGACCTAGTAGGCGCGCCGAGGAAGGAGGCGCCTCACCACCCCACATCCCCCGCCATGGCAAAATAGTGTAGCCTGAATCGATAATCGTCCGAAAATAAGACGTGCCAGGGTCGGGATCCGCACTTGACGAATCATCCTCAGTAAGCGCCTCCAGACGGGTATATGATTGATCATCCTCGATGTCACTAGCAATCTCGGCGAGTCTCCATTTGGATCGTCTATACACTGTTTGATCCACTAAGATTCCCAAACAGCAAGTATATGATATTAAAGTTAACAAAATAGAGAGAGCATAGCTTACCCATCTTCCTAACTTTGCTTGAGGAAGCCTTCTCCTTTCCTTTCTTAGAGGCAGGGGCGCCACCCACAGACGCAGAAGGTTGAGAATTGTTGGAAGCCATAAGGGAGTGATGAGCAGCAAAGTGAATCTTGGAGGAGAAGCGTGTACAGCGCCTAAGCCGGTAAAGCGCGGGTAAAAAACCGTTGTCGCCTCCCGTGACTGTGTTTTGATAGGCGGCTTCGACGCCTTGAAATCAACCTGCAAGCAAACAAAGAGCAAAGCGCGAGTAAGCGGGGCGGCGCTTTTTGAAATAAAACATGAACAAAGCAAAAATATAGCAATCAAAGAAGCCGACCCCTTCCTTTTTGCTAGGCGCCTACAAAGAGGAAGGTGCCCATGAATTGGAGTAATGTTGGGGAAACATGGGCCAAGCATCAAAACAAAACTTAAAAGGCGCCGAGACTCGAAGACGCAACAAAACAAGCAACAAACTCAAGGCGCCTGTGAACGAAACAGAAATTCCCAAAATTTTTCAAAGGCGCTGACCCCTGTGATCAACAAACCAAAAATCCCAAAGCACCTATGCAGGGAAGAGAGGCGCCTGCCTCGAAACTGCAAAACCAAGAATTGAAAAGCACCGAGAGAAAAAATCTACGACAAACCAAACAGCGAACAAGGCGCCTACGATAGGATTCAGGGCGCATGCATCAAAATTATAAAACAACAAGCAAAGGCGCCTACGAAGGGATCTACGGCGTCGCCATCAAAAACAAGATCTTGATCGAAATTACAAAACAAGCAAAGGCGCCTGCGAAGGGATCTAAGGCGTCACCATCAAAAACAAAAAAAGGCGCCGAGCGAAAGAGAGGCGCCACTACCATTTGTACAAACTAAAAATCTAAAAATCTACAAGGCGCCAATAAAAGGGAAAGAGGCGCCGACCAAACAAGCAAAAAACAGTCGTGGAGAGGAGGCGCTTACCTTCGCAGAGCAGAGGCGCCGACCAGGAGCGGAGAAGAGGCGCTGAGCTAGAGGGGAGGCGCCGAGAGAAAGAGGGAGGAGGCGCCGAGGGGAGTGATTTCGCAGCAAAGGAAGGAGAAAAAAAAAAAGAGAGAGGGGGCGGCCGAATGAAGGAGGAGAGAGGGGAATAGTGACAGGGAAGTTTAAATAGGGAGTGGGGGAGTAGGCGCGTGTTTCCCAATACAGGCTATTTGTAAAAGCCCAACCCATCCACTCCCCTCTCAAACTTGCCTATCCTAAACATGGTGGTGGGTTTGGCCCACTGCCACCACAAGTAGTCTGTTGGGGGTAGCGCCTTCACACCCTCCCCTAAAATTTTTTCAAAACTCTTACGATCTTAGGGGCATTATTCTTGTGAATTTGTATTTTTTATTCGTTTTTCTTTTAGAATTCTTTTTTGATTTCTATTTCGTATTGATATTTTCTTCATTCTTCTCTATTCTTATTCTTATTTTTATTTTTTATTTTTATTTTATTTTTTAGACCTTTTTTAGAACATACTTGTTTGCCGATGCCACACTACTTGTGACATCGCCAAAAGGGGCAATTGATAGGGTATCAACATAACTAAGGAGTTAATACCATGGCTAATGACATGGAGAAGAAAAGAAGACAAGAGGAAAAAGACAAGGCTGGGAGACAAGAGACAAGGCCAGGCACCTGACATCAGCAAGGACAAGGGGCAGGGGGACACCCTCTGCCAAAAGGACTATGAACAGTGTCAGAAGGTCTGAGGCGCCCGACCAGAGCATTTATGGCTTGGCAGGCGCCCAGACCACTACCTAACCCTCAAATGTGTATAAATAAGAGTTCTCTCCTCATAAATGGCAATCTATCTACTCTTACTACTACTTCTCTCTACTTTCTCTCTCTATATACTTCTTCTCTTTTCTTGCTTCTGACGAGGCGGGGCGCCTACCCCTTCAAGGTCATGGCTGACACCCCAAACCCCTTGGACCCGAGTGACGCCCAGTCGCCCGGGCTCAAACATTTATCATTTTCAAATATCCCAAAAAATAAATATATATTTTATTTATATTTTAAATTCTATTTTTTGGTTAATTTGAAAATGATAAATAATAGAAATTAGGAAAATATTTTGATTTTGATTTTTTAAATAATTTTTAGATTGACGAGGCAATGACATGACGTGTTGACTAACGGTCAACGAGTTTTACCATCCAAATTTACAGTCAAACCATGTGTCGAGCCAATTGAGTCTTATATACTGTATAGTTGAAACCAGAATGTTAATTACTGAAATCACGAGTTAAAGTTGATTATATTTATAGTTCGGGCCTATTAACCAAAAACAAACCCACCAGATTATGGATCGTGGATTAACGAGGAGCTAGAAAATTTCAAAATTACTGGTCTTCGAACATGATTTGTAATATAAGCACATCCCTTGTCAAAAAAAAAAAACATGATTTGTCAAAACGAAGGAAATCAGTCTGTAGATTGTACTGCCGGCAGACGGCCCACACGTGTTACTGACGTAATATTTACAGCACGCTCTCTCTTTCTTGCACAGGGAAATTCGATTTTATTGAAAATAGGCAGCGGTGAAAAAAAGAAAAAAAACAAGACATCACGTGAAGTGCGGTGGCCGGGGGGAGCGGTCAGTCAGTTTGGCAGCGAGTCTTCAGTCATCACATCTCCACCGCACCACCGAATCATTTCCTCCTTTTTTCTTTTTTTAACCTTCACTCTCTCTCTCTCTTCATATTTTTACTGCGCAGGGGAAAAAGAAATTCAGAAATTGTTATTTTGTTTGTTAGGCCCAAAAACTGAGTCAAACACGCCATCCCTCTCTTCCCTCCAGTCCAAAGCTCAATCTTTTCTGGGTTAATAATAGTAAATTGGGTTAATAATAGTAAATTGGGTTTTTTATTATTATTATTTTGGTCGTGGTGGGCTGGGCCTGGGCCTGGGTTTGCTTTACTTGCGGAGTCGGTCCTGTCTCCTGCAACTGAGACACCAGAGCCCTATGTACCCTCCACGTGGGGACACTCTCTCTCTCCGTCCACTCCCGGCCTGACACGCAACCCCTTAACTGGAGCCATCTATGTACATACAAAAGTTGTTACTGTGAAACTCAGCCAAGTTAGATTACTTCTTGCTTCGATCAAACTTAAAGCGATGAGGAGGACGACGACGATGATGTATGATAAATACACTCCTACAATTCGTCACTATAATACGAAATCTTCGTCGATTCGTTATGGTTGTATTAGTCTCGTATGGTTTTCAGCACAACGTACTATAATCTTCGAAAAGACTCTAATGGGTTTTGGTTAATCAAAAATCTTCTCTAATCAAGAGCAATTATGAATTTTAATATATGCTAAATTTTCTTACGAATATTGGTAGCGAGTAGCGACAGTGTCATAATGGAGGGAGTAAAAGCTAGTTCCTGCCTGACATGGACGAACAATTTCGGGTACTTATAGCAACTCTGCCAATTTTCCCCATTTTCCCACACTATCTTTCTTACTTCCCATTTTTTTATTTTTTTTCACTGCCCATTGTCCAATATATAGTTGTTTTTCTATTTTTTATATATTGTGGCGCAAGAAAACAAAAGAGGCAGGCGCCGCTGGGGCAGCGCAGCCGTACGACAGTGGTGAGGAGATAGGGCTGACGCCATCATCATCATCATCACAAAGGGAGCGGAGCTGAGAGAGAGGAGAAAACTGGTCTGGTCACATGACCAGCGCAACACCTTCCCAGCCCGCTATCTCTTGTCTAATCAGGCGGCTGCTGCTATTACCCTTTTCTCGAAAACAATTAACCGGTCGAACCCAGTGTGACCAAACCGTAAGAATTACGTAGATGATACAGTACCATACGGTCTGGATGTGTCACAAAATTGTATACTATTTATTCGATCTTATATATAGTTTGTGTAATTTTTTTTAAGTTAGTGTACAAGTTTAATTTGATTCACACTTGTGAAAAAAAATCGGACCGAATCATATGTTTTAGCGATGCAATCAACCTCCAATCATGCACTTGTTACTGCTATACACGAACCTACCTTTCCACTCGAGTATGTTTATAAGAAAATCATAATTTAGATAGTTGATAATTTTGGCACAACAATTTAGTTTTTATTTTCATGGTTATCTACACCGTCAATAGACATTTCATCGATCGACTATATTGTACTTTGATATTTCTTAACCCAACTTCAATGTGAAGGGGGATACTCATTTTTCACTAGTTGGGCCTTTAGCCGAAATAATCAACTCAACTTGAACCAAGCCGTGTCAAATTAGAGACGATCCGAGTTGATTGCCATTGAATTCATGACCGAATCGAACCGGACAACCTCGATTAGCTATGGGCCAAGAGAGGAAATGTGGAAGAAGAAGATGAAGAAGAAGAAAAAAACATGCATAAAAAACGGAAAATTAAATTTTAAAACACATTTTCTATTGAGCTAAACCAATGGAGTCTCTCTCTCTCTCTCGCATTCGAATCTGTATATAAAAAAGGCAAAGCAGCAAACCCAAACCCAAGTCCCTGGTCGTGCCGTCCAGCCGACGATTACGGGTGTCTCAGTGTGGGACCCATCCGTCCCTTCTTCTTCTTCTTCTTTTATACCCTCTTTTCTTCCTCGTTCCATTCCTCTGTTTTTTTTTTATCACCGCTCCCTCCAATGGCTTCCTCCACCGCCAGATCATCGGAAGGCCACTACCGAGGCGTCAGGAAGCGGCCGTGGGGCCGCTACGCCGCCGAAATCCGCGACCCTTGGAAGAAAACCCGCGTCTGGCTCGGCACCTTCGACACCCCTGAGGAAGCCGCCCTCGCCTACGACGGCGCCGCCCGCTCCCTCCGCGGAAACAAGGCCAAGACCAACTTCCCTCCTTCCCCGGCCGCCTGCTCCTCCCCAATCGCCGCTGCCGACGTCGCCCTCCCTTCCACCGGCTTGTCGCTGGATCTCAACTCCCCCACCTCCGGCAACAACCCCCACCGCCATTTCCTCCACCACCACCGCTGGACGGCCGCCGCCGTCGGCGGCCCGCGTTTCTCCCTCGGCGAGTTCCTCCAGACCGGCGTCCTGAAAGAGATCACCGCCGAAAATCCCGTCACCGTCGCATCCGCAGCTCCCTCTGGCGGCGTCGCTGCCGCTCCGCCGCCGTTTTTGGGAATCGTGAGGCGCGGGCTGCCTATTGATTTGAACGAGCCTCCGCCGCTGTGGTTGTAAAAAAAATTAGCTCGGTGGGTCGGGGTAACTAATTAATGTAACGTTTTTTTTTTTTTTTTTACTGAGAGAGGCTTTATGATCCAACTGTTGTTTAGGCTTTTTTGACTGTCCGCTTTTACCTTTTTTAACCTTAGTGCCCTCCCTTTCCGTCTCTCTCTGTTTATTAGGTTTGTTACCTTTCGGTGTATATGATTAATTATGAGGTTATTTAAGCTTTCAGTTTCAGTACGTGATTATCCGCCGTCGTTTCAGCCTTTCAGGGGTTTCTTTTGTTATTTCGCACCGTCTATTTGGCGCCGCCCCATTGATTCCCAGACAGGGAGAGTATGCCGAAAGTTCGGCAGTCACGCGCTCGACACGTGAGGGTCGGCGATGAGAGAAAATCGTCCTTTTTTTTTCTTTTTTTGTTTAAGTAGTAATAATGATGGCAAAGGCAAACGTGTGGGTTTAGCATTGTTCGGTTCGGCTCGCTATCTGGTGAAGGCTGCCAGCGGAAGTGTACGATTTTTTTTTTTTTTTAATTGGAAAGCAGCCAATCGTTGTGGAAGTGATCTGCTTCTCACTCGCTGCTCGGCGCGTGTATCTTTGGTTTTTTGTCGAGTGGAGTGGACTAAACTGCCCTTCGTCATTTTTTTTTTCCAAAAGATATCAAAGTAATTAATTATTTTCTATGTTATTCGTTTTAATCGCTCCTGAGAGTCTCGTCGTTATATATACGCTTTTAAGTTTTAATTATGATTGGCTTGCGCCGGCCAAATCAACGGCTTTGCACCTACCTTCACAGTCCCAATTGATTAAAAAACACTAAATTAAAACAGTTTTACCTAAGCGCACAATTAGGTTAATTAACTGCCTTGTTCTTTATCTATCTATTCTTTTTATAAAAACGAAGCTCCAAGTTGACTTATTTAACGTCCAACAACAACACTAAGGGCACACAAATTATTCTAATTATTATCATATGGACAATGTGCTTTTGGCCATATATATTAGCGCTACGCACTCCCTTACATTCGTTCTTAAGTTTATGTCGCACCTTCTTCTTTATCGAATTAAAGATTGCTTTTCTTTAATTATGGTGAGCCTAGATACCTTTTATGATATCTTTGCTCCTACTATCCCAATATGTAGACATGTTTCGTATGAATGAGAATTTTCTTATTTGGAATTCTTCTCATATTTTAGTAGAATGTTCGTCAGTTACTGTCAATAACATTCTTCGACGAAAATTCTCGATGGACAATGTTAATTATAGCAACATAGGTTGCTTTCTTTTGTACTCGTACTGATGTATCAAAGATCGATGCACATTCACCATTTTGTAGAAAAGTCAACACACACTCTCACTTGATCTCCTGTCGTCCCACCTGAGGAACACCATCTTTAGATCCAAGCTTATCAATGAAACCTCGACGATCACCACACGAGGGATTGTTTCACAAAAGATCACAGCCTCGAAAAGATAATTGTGTCGGAACCCGCCCAATTCTCCATCTTCTCCAAACTTAAGTGGACAAAGATAAGAAACCCCCCACATTGATGGCTAACACTAAATTTGCACCTAGTAAATGATCATCGTCACATGTTTGTAAGCCAAACTCACAACATCCCTTGTTCCTATATCCTTAAACCCTTCATTTCCCTTTACATTCTTCCAATCTCTATGTTCCTACCTTGTTGAATAATTAAAGTATCGCAGTACTTCAAATCATGAATGATCCCGACTTTTAATTAATTCCCCTCTCGAGTTGCATTTCATCGCCACAAAATTTGACATCGTATTTGTAGGTAGGGTTCTTGCTATATATATATAACTCCATCCAAGTGGCCACCTTTTTAAGTAATTAAAACCGCCCATTATCATTGCTTGCAAAGAAGGATATGTTTGTATAACCATACTTTATATGGCGTACGTATGTAAATGATTCGCTTGAATGATTCATTTGGTTGTTTACTCTTAAAATTATTGAAAGACGACGGCGGCGGCGTTGCCGGATCGGAACGGAGGGAGTGTAAGCAATCAACTGATTAAGCAGAAAGAGGAATAGACAACTAGAGATATAACTAATTAAATCATGCTGGTTCCCTTTTAGCTATTCAATTTGTTACGACTTATTTGTTTTGTTATGGTAGGCGATTTTGGGATGGCGATTGTGCTATTTGTCAAACTTGGAGTCGGAGAGGACAGTGTATAAAACGGGCGTTCATATTCATATAAGTCGTGTATATGTTTGGATTTATGTACCCTGTTTTCAAGTAATGATAAGACAACAAACGTGTACGTTCCAGGTTTCTGTTGACCTTAACAATGGAGAGTGGGTCTGCTTTGGAAGATCAGTCGAATCTGCTAGGATGGATTCTGGAAGAGGAGAAATTGTAGAAGGGAGTCGTGGGGACTGAATTTAGATGTTAGGGTTGAAATATTGTGTTGCTACTTGCTACACAGTGATCATCACGTCTACTTGTCTCAATACCACTGGACAAGTGGTCGGTCATGTGTTCGAGTCTCCACGGTCCCTAATATTAACAAATGGTGGATCTGTGCTAACTTCAAGCCTGTGAGTTTGATTTCCATTTGATGGTGTGAACGTGTAAGAGAGTTGTATAAGATCCATAATAACATTCTCCCAGCAACTCAAACTATGGAGACCGTCTGCTTGATGACAATATGCATTCCTTCCTCTACATTGCCAACTATGCAACAATCCCGGCTTTTGTTCTGCTTCAGCGGACTCTTACGTGTTGAATCGTCCCAAATTTGTCCATTCATAGGCGAAACCTTATCAGGACAACAAAGATGGGACCAACAAAGAATGTTGATGAACTCTTTGACACGCGAGTTAGCTTCGATTCTGTATACGACTGTATACGATGCATTTGCGATAGATCGAAAACAATATGTATGCTACTTGTAGCCGTCAGTCATCCAATTCACTAATTGCTAAGAATGAGAAAAAAAAATTATGTTACGTTCCATAGATAATTACGGGAAGCAGATCAATTGTTAAGACCCCAGTCCTTAATTATGCCTCAAGGCATAACGATGTTCTTCCACATCTGAAAATGGATGACCTTTTCCCTCACAGGAGGAAAGCATCATGGGAAAAGGAAAGGAGCAAAAAGGCCCAAGTCTCCCACTCTCCAGGCCCAGCAATTGAGTCACCGTATATTAATAGGAAAAAGAGGAATTAATAAATAGCCCAAGAATTTGGAAAAAAAAGGAGAGGCTGCTGAGAAATCCCTGCAGCCGAGGGTAAAAACGGGACAACGACAGTCTTGAAAAAGAAAATACACACCGAAACCACACACAGTTAGACAGCGAAAGCAAGCAAGCAAGAAGAAGAACAACACGCAAAGGGCCGAGACTGTGACTGGCAAACCTTTTAAATTAATATACAGAAATGAAAAGGATTTGCCCACTCAGATCAGAGGAGGAAAAAACGTCAGCAAAGTCGAGTAAGTGGTAGGGATGGAATTGGGTCGAGTTTTGTCAAATCCAAACTCAAACCTATGAGTTTATTTGGAAAAAAATATACTCGGAGTAAAACCCATTGGGTTTGAAAAACTCCAACTCAACCCAACCCAACTCGCTGGGTATCCGCGGGTTAATGGGTACCCACGGGTTTTTGTCGTAAAAATTTACAGTAACAAGTTCCTATCAAAATTAAAGTCAAATATCAATCTCTCAATACAAGTTATCCATATATAAAACACCATTCTGGAATATTCAAGCAAATCACAAATTAACTATACAAATTGTTCAACATCAATCTAGAAAACTCAAGAAAATTGAAGCAAATCACAAATTATCCATAAATAACATGATTAATTGAAGGTTTCTTCCTTTCAATTAAGTTTTTCACTCTCCACTCGATAACATCAACTTCATTCTACATAACTAGAAAGAATATTAAATATGCCGAAAAAATTAATTATATGGGTGTAGGCGGTACCCATGGGTCGGGTTTATCTAAACCCAAACTCAACCCAACCCGATGAATAGTGAACGAGTATAAATCCAAACCCGGCCCAAAACCCGTCAACACGGATTTTACCCGCGTTGACCGGGTTGGGTGGGATGGGTACCCGTGGGTTCGGGTTTTGTTGTCATCCTATCCTAGTGAGTGGAAAGCAAGGAGTGATAATGAAGCAAGGTTGTCAAACCGGTTTATACCGTTGTGCCGGTTTAGCAAGTGGAATGGTATGACCGATGGTATAACCAGTTTGTGCTGGTTCATGCCGGTTAAAAAAAATGTGAAAACAGTTAATATCTAATGTATTCAATCATATATAAAACATATTTGTGGACAATTTAGTTACAATCCAACAAATATCAACTTTTAGCTATTACATTCATAAGATGAATAATAAATTAATTTTTTATTCATTAAGTTCATTAAAATAATGTCATTTTACTTAGAATGCGTAAGTCGATCATACCAGTCATATCGGTGGTGTCATGCCGGTTTCATGACCGGCACTAGTTGAATCAGATTCAACCGGGTGGCATGTCACGAGCATGACAACCATGTAATGAAGCTGTCGCGGCACCACCTGCCCACACAAATTTAATATATTAGTTAATTAATATACCTATGTATGTCCTGCCGGCCGGTGAAGTGGCTCGGCGGCTGCAGCCGGATTTGACTGCGGCAAGCGGCGGTCCAATTAGGGTTTCAATGGAATCTGTCAAAAGGAACTAAGGAAGAAAAAGGGCAGTGCTTTTGAGTGGGGGTATTCTGACTGTTGGCTACTTTTTATGTTTGTTGGCTAGTGCTCTTGTACCGGAACCCCGTGTATTTTGTCGGCGAACGGCGGCGGCGCTTCCACGTCTCTCTCTCTCTCCCACGGTAGGTCGTCAGTATCATGCGGCGGTGAGTCTGGTCTTTGGACTCTCTCGGCCATAATTGTTAGCAGAAGCCTTGTGCTTATCCGTTTCCTTAGTGGAATTACCAGCAGTGGGAGTTCGGTTACCGGTTATCGGTTAACCTGGTAATTTAACCGATTGGTTAAATTGACAACCGGTAATCAAAGTAATCGAGCTTCGGTCGGTTATTGGAGGCTGGACTAAATGGTTTTTATCTTAAAAGTGGTTCGGTTAACCGATAACTGAGATAACCAAAGTCTATTTTACGCGGTTTTTGATAGGGAGAGTGATTATTTTGATTAACCGATAACTGACCGATCGGTTACCGGTTATAACCAAAATAACCGAACTGCCACCCCTAGAATTAACCAATTTTTCAGTCTTTTATTACCATTTGCTTAATGGGATTCAAGCCCAATTACAAACTATAAAATTGAAAACTTCTAATTCTGAAATATAAAAACAAGGTTGTTAAACTACTACCGATCGATCGATGAGATCCAACCAAATTGTACTCTTAAATGAATTTCAGAAATTCAGCGAATCGATCGTTAAAGAGAGGAAAGAAGGAAGAGGGAATGTGTGAGGGGGGAGAGGAATGGTGGGTGGATTAGGATTTAGGAGGTTGTATAAGATTCTTTTCATAGAATGTGAGCATATAATAAATCTTTATATCAGGTAAATTTTTGTTATTCGGTAAGAAATTCAAACAGAATTAACCTCTATTAAACTTCAAACCACTTCATCAACCGACTTAATGACTTAAATCGGGTTAACAACTCTACATAGAACCATCAATTCAAGAGCCAAGCCGAGCCATCGCCGGTGGGAAAGCTCCGCCGGGCCGGCTCAGCCGAAGCCGACACCCCAGCCGCCCCCGTCATTTCAAAACTCACCTCCAATTTAAGACACAAAACGACCGATTTGACCGCCTCCCCACCGCTCCCCCCATTTTCCTTCCGGTGGTCCCCAAAATAATCCAGATTCCGCTTGGAGATAGAGAGAGAAAGAGATGGCGACTTTAATTTCGTGTCTGTCACGTGGCAGCGCCGCACGGTTGCCGGACATTAAATTTACACCATAACCGCCGGGGCCCTCTCTCCTCCAGATCCATCGCGGCGGTGTTTGTCTCCAACCACCGCTTTACCTTTCTGATAAAATTTAAAAAAACTTGCTGTCAGGGAAACGGGATGGGCATGTGGGTTTCACGCTGTCAATCCCGTACGTACAGGGGAAAACTCCTCTGTCGGCACCGCCGCAACCACCGTCGGCGGAGGCCCCCTTCACGGCGTTGCTCTTTTACCTTGTCGTTTTCCTGAGTGAATTATCTTTCTACACCTGTCCTTTCTTCTTTTTTGGCTGTTTTAATTATTTTATGATTTTACCGCCAATCTCTTTGATGGCTTTCCCGCGTCCGCGTGTGTTTGATAATGGCGGGCAGGGGCAGCGTTATAATTACGACGACTCGGTCGTGCCGTTATTATTTTAATTATTGAATTGAGTAAAGTGGGATTTGGTTGTTTGCTTTTGTTTTTTTTAAGAATAATATTTAATAATAATCAGGCCCAACATTCAATTAGACAAATTACGATTTCAGTGCCTGAAAAAAAAGAGGATTAGTGACACAAATTGTTTGACTTAATATATAGCCCTAGCCCAATCCACGTTTGGGGCACTCAATTGCGTTTCCTTAATGTGGTTGTTTATAAAACCGTATCATATCGATTGTTCAATCGAAAAAAATTGTTAGACTGTTACTAGTGACGCTAAACCAAGAAGTCGAGCATGTGTAGACTAACTTAAGTAGTGAGGCACCATTTGGGATTGTTGTCGGTGCCGCCCAACTGGTACGCCCAAACAGTTATCCCTAACCGGTGAGTAATTATTATTCGTGTGTCTGGAGCAAAAAATGGTATAAACTAAAATCATCTATCAAAATTTAAGTTGATTTATATTTTCGCGGTATGAAACAATTGAAGCTTAGTTCATGAATCGGAGAGATTTTACACCTTTAACGAATCTTTCCTGGACTGTTTGTGAGAAGTTGATGTGCGTACGTGGATGTTGCAATACCATTACCGTCGTTCTCCAAAACAGTGGGCTGAAATAAAGAGGTTGGATTTGATTGGCGATTGGGAAGAGATATATTTGGTGCTTCCCAGGAATGGACAAATTTTTAAACACCTTAAAAAAAGAAGAAGCCGCGTGTTTAATTCTATGCTAAAAAGGAGTGGGCCCGTTCGTCCAGCAGCCAGCCGTCTGTGGACTTTGGATCAGTGGACTGTGGGCCCAATGATAATGCTGATGAATCGGCCATGGGCCCCTAAACTTTGCCGGCAACCTACATCACAAAACACGCTTTCCCGTTGTTTGGAATATATATAATATATATATTACTGATTGTCATGTGTGATAGGAAATAACCAATATAATCATACAAGGATGAACATCTATATCTAAATCCACAAGACTAAAAATATAAGTTTTTAACGACACATAATTACACTTATTATTTAGCTGCACAATCAACATGAGAATTAACCTCCATTTACACTTGATATAAAGTGATCTCACAGTCTATAATTAACAAAACTCATATTTGAAAATTGAAAGGTTGATGCTGGAATGCTGGTTGTCTTGGGTCCTCCACTATCGAAGGGGGAAAGCTGCCGGTGTTGTAGAATCATTCCACATAGAAATACGATGATATTCTCGCTTCACGTGCGAACTTCAAACGCTTGTGTGCAATTGATAGCTCTACTCTGGTGTTTGCACATTTTCTCGTGCTCATTGTGAGCCCCCCCCCCCCCCCCCCCCCCCCCCCCCCCCCCCCAATAATTGAACATGTTAACCTCTAAAGCACACGTCCTTTCGCCGGTGACCCTAATGGTTGCATAAACGAGCCATCAGAGATAACCGTGGTGCAAACTCTTTAGAGTTGGCCATGAGAATTTGTATAATTTGATTGATAGTGATGTAACTCTGCAATCTTAGATAAATTGATACTACTATCGTATTCAACAGAAATTGAGATAACGTCGTACTGTCCATATTATCAATACAAGGATTAATACACGAAAATCCTTCTTTTTGGATTATGAAACTTGGATTTTTTATAGTAATGACCTCAAGGCTAAAGGGATTGGGACGAAAGGTTTGACCCATAGCTTGGGCCAACTGAGCAAAGGGGACCAACCCCTATCATGGTCACAAATCTAATCCACAAACAGATCCAACGCCGGCCTTTCGGCATTAATCCATCCAACCAACCAAACTATGCTATCCTATCTTAATAAATCCTCCTGTTCTTTTGTTTTTTTTAGCTCAATAATTCATGGTGGCAATATCCAAACCCACGTTTGCCAACTGGTTTCTTTGAACTTTTTCTTCACTCTACAGCATTATTGTCCAATGGGATGCCCGCTAGAAATCCAGCCGTAGATGAATGCAACCATTGTCGGTAGCATTGCTTTGCTTGCTAATGTTTGGTGATGGAAAGTCAATCGGAGCTTGGATATTAGTCCATACAACCAACATGGAGGTTCATAGGGCTGGAAATTCGGTTTCGGTTTTCAGATAGAACGAAACGTAAATCAAAATTACTAGTCTCTGGCTAAGCAAGATTCATTCTTCCATCTTAATAAACAGTTCCGTTCCGTGCATTTGGACAGTTCTTAATGTCCAACGAAACTGAAATCCGGAACGAATTGGCCACAACCGTTGGAGGTATCGAGCATTACGGGATAAGGGAACCCTCCATCAAGGATTAAGATTCAATCAGAACTTACAAAAGAAAAGGAACATTCAAAGCCAACATGAGAAGTTATATTGATGTCTGGATGTGGTCTCATAATGAGGGAAGCACCATTTCCACTCAATTATTATGGTTTTGAAGGGCCATGGGATGGCTACATAGACTAGTGCCCTTCCAGGGATCAGCAGAAGTCTGCACTCAAGCAAGAACCTGAGCGTTTTAACATACAGGGTGCTTGTACTTTAACATACAACATCATAGGGGGGAATAACTTTATGATTATAAACAAAACTTTCTGCACTACTAACCATCGTGTCACTAGTCGTGGTGGTGAGGTTACTGGATTCTGCAGCATAGTCGACTAATCATCTCACGAGTTGTCCGGATCGCTCGAACCATGATGACCTCCATTGAGACTCAATTCCTCAGTTACCTCCTCTGCTATCCTCCACCTAATGGTAAAGCTTTTTAAGCTCAGCTTATACACCACAATGCTAGAGGAATGCGGTGGGAAATAACAGAGCACCTTACCTCTCAAGAACAAACTTCCCTTCCTTGTACTTCTGGCTCTTATCGTGCGAAGCTACCTGCATTTGAGATACAAAACACAGAACATGCTGAATCAACTACATGCAATGGAAACAGAAAACCTTAATCTGATTTCAATTGTCTGTTTCAGCTCCATACACACAAGATGAAAAGCTTACATAAGTCCACCCGAGGATTTGTCCACAGCGGCAGCAGAAGACGTCTTCCACTGTATGGGTACCAGAAAGCATCACCCTTTCCTCTGTCATTCCCACTGTTACATTCACTCTGTAATAGCAGTTTCAGGACAGAACAAAAGTATGCTATTAATGATCATTCAACCACGGGAGAGAATGAAAGAAGAAAAGCTCTGATGTTTATCTCACACGTTGCTGAACAAGTACGCCCTCCCTTGTCTACAATTGAACGTCTGCCCACCAAAAACGGAAGTTGAATACTGATTAATTCGAAGAACTAGCTTACTGGGTCATCACGATATTAAACAAAGAAATGAAAAGCTGATGACTTTATTCTTCCCCAGTCCCGCTGATTTTACACAGAGAAATCGGCAGGGTAACAGGAACGGAGCAAGGACGAGTTACAGCTCAATTCATAGGTAAAACAACCTAAGCCCCTAATCCAATTCAAGATTCTGCGCCTATTTAGGGTTCCGATTGCAGGGGAAAAGCAGCAGGGGCAAATGACGAATTAGGGTTTGAAATTGATTGTACCCGCGAAATAACGTCGTCGGCAAGAGCGAGAGGGGTGTCGCAGAATCTGCAGCGGTAGCACCTGCCTTCCAGTTCCACCAGAAACAATCGCCCCATCTTCTAAACTTCCGTCGCCAGCACCGCCACCGTGTCGCTCCGACCACTTCACCTTTTATCTTCTACCTCTCGCACCACCAGAACTTTCGGCCGGACCCTTCGCGTGAATTCTAATTTTTGTTTAATTTTTTCCCCTCTTAATAGTAACGTTTTTTTAGCGCCGAAATCCAGGCAGTAACTTTTATTTTATTGTATCTGTTTAGGAATTAGGATGCTAAACAAGTTCTACTTAGGCATTCAAATTTCATTTGGGGGGAAATTATGGTAATCAACATTTTTTAAGGAGTCACATCGACCTTCAAATTTACTCATTTTATACTAATCTCGATACACTTAACTTGTATTCCATCACTTAAAACTGCACTTCTTATGAAAGGCAGCTGAAAATATATCTTCAACTTGTTGGATGACACATTTGATAATTCATAATCAATACTTTGGCACGATTTCAATCACATTCGATCCAGCTGAGATCAATCAACCCTATACAATCTTCACCGCATTCGATCCAACTGAGATCAATCAACCATCAGGTATAGTAATCCCAAACTCGTGGTTGTGAGAATGGGAGGAGCTAGGAAAAGCTGTCATCTCGAGTGGGCAACAAAAAGTCCACTAAGAAGGAAAAAAGAAAAGCCGGCAAAAACAAAACAAACGCTAGCTATATGCATTAACGAGTAATCCTCCACCAAGAATTGTTGTTTTTCTCGCAGCATTTTGGTGGTTATATGGTGGAGAGATAGTTGCTTCGTCGGTTGTTATCCACTAATGGGATATCTTCAATGCCACAATTAATCGTGATTAGGAATAAAATTATCATCTCTCAACAGCCATTAGCCAATACTTTATCTAGGAAGTAGGAAGTGTTAGTCATATAAATACCGCTAAAACTAAAATACTCTCCAAAATGAAAGAAACAGCTGTCAATTTATTATAGTAATATAGAAAAAAGGGAAAAGAATTAAAGAAAATGAAAGCGGCCCGCTATTGGGCCCAAGTTTGAAAAAGGATAAATGGGTCTACTGCACTCTATTGCCTAGTGGGCCCAAAATGCGGCAGCCGCCCGGTGGGTAACGTGGCGTATCAGAACGCGGGATCTGCCGTCGCGCGGTGGGGAATGGGACCCGCCGCCAAAAAGCAGGGTGGCTGGTAGCCATGGAAACACGACGACCACCCCCCGCCGGCTCAACTGTCTGTCGCTATCCGACGGACACGTCGCCACCTTCTTCCCTCCCACCACGAATTCTTCTTCTTCTTCTTCTCCTTCTTCGCCGCCGTACTTTCATGAATATATTAAAAATGGGTGTGTCATTCTCACTTTTGTCGCTAATGTGGGAATCTTCCCGTCGCTGTTCCCTCTCATCTGCCAAATTACGTTATCGGTCACCCAATTTTGAAGCTTCACCAACTGATCGATTGGAAATCCAAGTTGCATGATCAATCGTTCAATCATTCCAATCTTCGGTGATCATTCATGTAATGTGGCTCCCATTCAGTTCATTCACCATATTATCATCTTTGAGAGTCTTCCCGTGACAGAGGTATTTGTTGTTCGAATCCCGATAATTCCCGTTGGTATAAGCTCATAGTGTCTTGTTCATGTGCAAACTTCAAACCTATAAGAGTGGCGTTCGTTTTAAGGAGCATGTTAGTTATAGTATAAGATTCATTATGTAACCTCTCATAACAATCCAAACAAAATTACTGGGACTAACTAGTTATTGACAGCAAGTTTAACAAGTCGATTACGATATATATAATCGTTAAAGTCTTGTTTTTTAAAGACCGATTCTAAATAATCCGAATATTTGAGTCGAATTATCTCAGCTACAACAATAAGATTACGCATCATTAGATTTTTTCTCCACCACCAACAAACTTGAAAACGAAAGTGTCTCCTCCTTCCATCAACACAAGAGTTCACACTTCAATTCACTAGTAAGTTGCTTCATAGTGAGGAAGAAAGATGAATTGTCGCAGTAATTGACACATATCTTGTTTTCCAAAGACACGCTTATAACAAACTCTGTTTTCTTATCATCAGGCAACTAATAATTAAATAAATAAACAGGATAATGGGAAACCAAAATTAGGGCGTAGAAAAATAGAAACGGCATTGAGGATGGCGACGACAAAACGCGAAGCGAGTGGGGCCCACGAAACAAACAAAAAGCGGCAGCCGCGCTTTCGCTTCTCTACCCCCACTTTCAGCGCCAGCGGTCTCCGGCGGGGCCCGCCGTCGCATCTGCTCTGCCTGCCACCGCTGCCTCCATTAATAAAAAAAACTTAAAAATGATTATATTTAATGACAGCCGTGATCGGACGGTCAGTCAACACGTGCGATGCTGACACGAATCTCCAGATGGAGCGGTCAACAAAACCTGGTTGGATGAATCGGATAAACTCATATTCTCTTACTTTTTACTTTTACAGTCACCGCTTCCCCCACAGGCGCGTAAATTTTTTACTGTTCGCACGCAGCTCTCCCACGCGCCGTCCGTGGCGGGCTGGCGGCAAATATTTACGATTCATCCCTTCCTTGGTTGGAATTTTTATATCACTTGGTCATTTATGAAGGGATTAAGTTCGTTCTAAAGGTTGAACCTAATCATTGTAAAAACTAGAGAAGTTAAATTTGAGGAGGGTCTCAAATGGGGTTAATTGAATTTCTTAAGACTAATATTGTTAGCCCAATTCATAAACTTACCAGGGATGTTGGTGGAGTGCTATTCGAAAGAGTGAATGATAGATCGATACCAATAACATTGTTATTTAACAAACATTTTGTTCTGTATTGTGATTATGAACATATATAACATAAACTCGTCAAGAATGTTGTTGCCTCAACAAGGCTGCAAGTTCAACAAGTTGAACTGTCACAACACCACACTAATAAATCAAATTGACATAACCCAAATACTCTATAATATAAAATCAAAAGTCACATTTTTTTTTTGGGTTTGACTGCGTTGAACAATTAAAATCTAAATCGGTGATCACGATCTTCTCTCGTATTCGTAGTTCCCCATCAGATCCTAGTTGCCTATCCTGATTGAGTACGAAAACAAGCGCATTCGACTTGAACAAGACAATCAACTTTGTTGGTGTATGTAAGTGTCAAAAATTCGTTGATACCAATAACTTGAATTCACTAGTTGACCCAGACCCTTTGGTTCAACTGTACTATGATCAATGATCACCTCTAAGCAAGAAGTACATAGAGTCATCACTTATGTGAAAAGTTTTTAAGTTTTAACATTCGTTCACCAATCTAGAATTATTCTCAATAATTAAAAAGAATTTGTTTTTTAATAGTTAAAAAGATTAAAGTTTTCAAACAAGTAGACTTGTTCTACTAGGGACTCGAGCAGTAGTCTTCGGAACATTTCAGAGCCGGTCGGCGTACAATCTCCTACCACACTTTTTGGTCTCCGGCGAACTAACCAATCAGGAAAAATCCAACAAGAGAGAGGACAAGCTCAATCGACGGCGAGATTTGTAAGGGTGGGAATAGTTTTGACTTTGAGGCGGCAGTTCCCCTTTTCACCCATTTATTTTTAGGGGAATCAATCAATCAAGCATCGACAAAATCAACGATCAGAATAATTACCATCAACCGGCCAAACAATGAATAGCTAGCTAGTTAGGAGGTAATTATCAAGAAACCATCCATCCAGCTTTTCAATCAAACAAACAAACAAACGTCGTCGTTGGGTCAATATGTTCGATCAATGATCATGACAGGCAAGGTTCAGATCCATCCCCCGTTCTAGTATTCAACCCTTTCATCAACATGAGAATGTCTCGTCTTATTACATGTGTTTTCACAGGCCAACACATTCTAGCCATGGACTTTGTGCATACTAGCTAGCTAGGGTTACTCAGTCAAACAACTCATATGTAGCGGCACGTGACCATCTTGAGAGTTTAATCCAAATCGTGTTATATACGTGAATTCGGTTATGTTGATTCAATAGCAGTTGGTTCTTTGTTTTTAGATATATGACAGGGCAACGAATTGATTCATCATTTGTTGGGTTTAATTTATCGACCACAACTGTATTTTCTCTGTATGTTGCACGCAGCTCACCGATTTGATGAGAAATTAATTATATAAAAAACGTCGAGCACAAACCATGTTCTTGATTTATCGCCTCGGAGTAAGAAAAACATACTCTTGACTTGTGCCAAGGGTTGCAAGTTCGGTTCTGATACAACGTGTCTATTATCTCGCTAGCGGTTCCGTTAATTTTTTTTTTTGTTTCTCCATACTTAAAACCAAATTATTAAGGAGGGAGCTTATCAGTTTCGAGAAAGCCAAAAACCAATAAGCCGTTCGGGTTTTGGGTTTTCCATAGCCAAGCCGATAGACCTACTATAGGTCTATAGCTAGAGCTTAGTTTGGCCCTGCTGTAGCTTTTGCAGAAGCAGCTTCTGGCTGGAGCTTTTAGATAAATACTTTTCAAAAAAGCAGATATGAGCAGTTGTGTAAAATTACTATAAAGAACTTATAATATAAAATAAAAATTCTAAACAATAAAAAGTAGTCAAAATGGATCTTGTTAGATTTCTTTTATATTAAATAATATAATTTTATAATTTATTTTATTTTTAAAATGATATAAATGAAATAAAATTATATTTTTTGAAATAAAATTAAAATATGGTAAGGATAATCTTGTATTTTCAAAACAGCTTTTCGCAGAAGCTCAAAATCGGAGTTTCTGCTTTTATGTTATACAAAAGTGCTTTTTCGGCTTTTCAAAAGCCGAACTTTTAGAGGTGTTTGACCCTTCCTTAGCTTTTGAAGCCGAAAAACACTTCTAAAAGCCAGGCCAAACATAGGCTAGGTACAACAAGTTTGCAACGGCGGAGTAAATATAGTAGATAGGAGTGGAGTGGGTTTCCAGGAGTAATACGGCAGGCAACTACTGGAATGGCACTATCTGTAACAGCATCCTGACGGACCAAAATGTCGGCCGAATTTCTGCGCTCGGCCGAAGTTTCTGTCCATTTCCTTCCTTCGATTCAATCTGCAGCGGCGTTTTCCCATTATTATAACATTATCACCATTTCCCCGCTCACTCAATCGGCATGATTCCCCGGCCGTTTGAACTACATCTGCAGGTAACATATGCACCAGACGACATATAATATAGGTTCGGAGGCAGACGGCCGACTTTTGCTTTGCTTTTCCCGGCCGATTCCCATTTCTATCTTTCACATTACCAGTACTGCCGACAGGCGACAAAAAAAACAGGGGCAAGCAAAGTACGTAGGTGAGAAACAGAACGTTCATATTCTAGGCGTAAATGTCCATTCCATGCAACGACTACCATTAGATGTGATTCCTTGGTAATGAAGCCCAAGGGTAAACCAACGACGACAAAGTGCATAGATCAAAGCAGACGAGAATTTGAATCAACTAGTAATATTACTGCACTCTGTAGTTAGGTTGAACAACAACAAAAAGAAAGCCTATAAACAAGTGTACCACGACTTTTCGATACAATGACACTAAACTGAAAAAAATGAATCAAAACAAGGATTTTGGATCAACGGAATTTTCAACCACCATTTCATAGATCAGAGAGAATTTGGATCAACGGAATTCGAGAACAAGTTGTAAGTGATTGTATTTTGTTTGAAAGACGAACAAAAAAAAAAAAGAGACATTTGTAAGTCGTTTATCAAATCTTTTTATAAGGTATAACTGTCACTGACAACAACCGAGGAGTGAATTAAAACAAAATACAGTTGGAGTTTAGGTGAGGAAGATAAGTTATAAGTGGTTGCAATTTAAGTGGACGTATCGGAAAGAAACAAAATTGAGGGAGGTATTTATAGAAACAGTTACGGAAACCTTTCAACGGGGCCATAACTAGTATTAAAAAAAAAAAACATTTTCCGACATACAAATGCAAAAAAAAACCTATCTGAAAAGATTCATCTTAGTGGCTTGTTGCGAGTGATGTGTTGAAGGAGACCGTTATTTTGCAGGTAATCTTCATCAATCCTATCTATCAACGTGTCTATGACTAACCAGAAAGGTATTGCGGGAAGAAAATGTCTCTCTCTCTAGAAACCCCCTCTCCAAACTTTCTCTCTGTTTTTTCAAATGTTAGATCTGGAATCCCAGAAGCATCCTTTAATGAAGGTGCCCCCTCTTCCTCCTTAGAAACTCTAATGGAGACGTTTAATGTCTGCTGCCTCAACTCAGCGAAAGATCCCATCAAAGGCCTTGTCATGCTGTTTAATGCGAGCAACTCTTCTTCTCAACAAACTATCCATGGAGTTAATGCAAACAGATCTGCTCTGTGCATACAGCAGATACCCCCCATTCAAAGCTCCATTCTAATTCTCAACAACCTAAGCCTTCTTCACCGCTTCCATTCAAAGCTCCATTACTTAAACAATAATATTCTCATCAATATGTCAGGGACTTGGGAGAAGAGGAAGAACTTCAGCCTCTTTAAACCGCCAAAAGCTAGCAGCAGATCTTCCAGCGGCCACGAATCCCTCGAGCCCCAAAATCGGAAGAGTATAACTCCTCCGAGACATCCAATCTCACCAACCGATAACCCACCATTAATGAAAGATTGGATGGATAACTACTCTCCCTCCCCAGTTCTATTTAACCTCCAGATTCCCCAATACCAGTTACCAGATACCACACCACCACCCAAAATCTACCTCTTTAAATCTTGCCCCCTTCCCATTCAAAATCTAC